TAAACGTCTAAAGGAGACAGCAGAGACGTTGAAGAAATGAGCTCGGAATCCAGCCAGGCCCTCTGGAAGCTCTTGATCAAATCCAGCGGGAATTTGAATAACTCTGCGAGACGCATACGTTTCATTTACCGAAGGATACCAATCCCAGTCTTCTCTTCGTGCAATTGTATCGAAATAAAATTCGTGCAAGGCTGATGGTACCTTGTGCAGAACGTAATTTTCACCACGTAGTCGACAGAACCGTTGAATAAGTCCGCGTTCGTCGACGCTGTCGGCGTGTACGAATTCGCCCTTGAGCCAAGAGTGAGGCATATGCGTTCTCAACTGCGACCCGTCGTGATTCATCTCATCGAGAGAAAGCGCGCTCGGACCGTAATCAAATCCGACGCACAGCGCATTCGCCTTGCAGCGTTGCGCGCAGAATTCCTTGAAGACCCCATGTTGACGCGAAACACTCGTCTTCGAGAGCGCAAAAGCCGGGTAGTGCGGAAGAACATCCGACATTGTGTATCGTTCCAACAAGTCTCCGCCAAAACCAATCACCCCGCTGGTGATTCGTCTATCCTTGATCACACCAGTCGCGTCCGGGCGCGTGACGCTCGTCTTGTAGATTTGAGTTTTCTCCGGAATCGACCCTGTCGTATAGCCCTGAAACCACGTCATGTCGCGAAGATCGATTTCGAAGATACCGAGATCGTGCCAGTTCGCAGCCTTCGAACACCGACTTGAGTCAGAGGCGTCGCATAAGCAAACGTGACCCCGGCGATCAACAAACGAGTCGCTCTTTTGGGCGCTCATATCCAACTCGAGATCGCGCCATTCCAAAAACGGGCGCATGGACGTCTCAATCTTTTGGTCGCGGGAATACAACTCTCCCGACAACAAGCCCGCACAAGTGGATTGGTTTACAGACTGGACTGAATCGACAGCACCGGGAAAGCACTGGCTCAAGGGATATCGACGTCGTTCAAATGTATCCGGCAAACCTTTGTCTCGTAGTCTTTGGAGAGCCTTTTTGTCGTACCTGTATGGTGCACGCATGCTGTACGACAAGTCCTCTTCGACGGGTCGGCCGACCGGCCGGACAATGTGATCACTTTGCCGAGCGAGCGTAGTCTCGGCCCAAATGGTGGTAGTATCGTCCCACGCGCCCATACATCCGACGTTGTCGCCCGCAAGCAGTCGTATCCATGCCTTGCGAGGTATTATGGACGTCCCACCTTCAACAAAGATCATATTCGTACGCTGACCAGAGAGCAGCCGCTTCGGCCCAAATCGTATCTGCTGCTCATCATATTTGGGAATACAAACGCTAGCCTTGTCGTCAAAACCATACTTGGCGCCGATCCGACGCGCGCATTGCAATCCGTAAGCGCACTGGTCGTCGCTCATGCAATGTCCTTCGTACGCCTGGCATACCTCTCCACCTCCGAGACCTCCACAGTAGTCGTAGTCACCATTCGTGAGATTGAATCGAGCGTTGTAAGCTTCCTTGTTTTCAAAGTAGCCATCAGAGCCCGAAAAATCGGCGCAACACGCGTACGGGTGAATTTCACTCTCCAGCGCGCACTGCTTTCCAGGAAGTCCCCCTCGAGAAGCGACGAAATATCCTCTGTCTGTAGCGTTTCCACACGTTTCGTTTGTCCAATAATACTTGCCGACGATATTTGGATCTCCATAACGTCTGGGGTTGCCTCCCCATTGCGTTCGTACGTAGCTGAGATCACATGTGTCACCGAATGCAAACCCACCGACGACGCCGCTAAGAAGTTCGTTCGCTGAACACAGACGCGTGCCAGCCTGCGCACACTGTCGCATGGCAAAATGACGCGAGCCAATGCTCTTGCCGCTCACGCCAGGCAAATTTCCTCTCGCGACGTGTTCCATATCACTCAATGCCTTTTTACACTGCTCCGATTTCTTTGCGCTCGCATCTCGATCAAAGCATGCGGAAGTGTCCGGAGCCACGGCTCTGAAGCCAGGCGCGCCGCACGTGTCAGAGCCTTGCCTCAGCGCAAAATAGTTTTTGAAAGTGAATCCGTCGGGCTGCATTCCGCCTTCAAGCTTTTCACAGTTCCGTGTCACGTTACACTCATTGTAGCATATTTGCTCAATCTCGGGTGGCCCATGACCAACCAATAAACCAATCCAACCGCTGGTATAGCGGCTAGAGTTTTTCGTCAAACTTGCCTTATCGTACGCAATAAGCCCTTGAGGATCATATGAATGCCAGTCCAAGTCGTATCGCTTCTCGCAGTAGTGAAGTGGCACCTCGCGCACGCAAGGATTTATCATATCACCAGCCGCAAAACACTTTACCTCCCGACGACGCGACACTGAGCATGTTTCAAAATCGGACGTCCAGTTCCGTGCGAGGCATGGCGACCATTCACCGATAGAGTAAAAATGATTATGTTGAAACACAATTCTGACAGTGTCATCGTCACCCGTTTTCAGCCTCAGGCCGTAATGCCATCCTTTCATTTGTGCATCCGCAGCGCCATTCACCATCACAGAAAGATCGCCCTCCAAATCACCAACGCCGTACTTTTTCTGAGTTTTAAAGTCGGTGAAACTCGCCACACAAATGGACTCTCGCCTATTGAAGTTAAACGAGTTGCAAGCCATGTTGCGAGTTGGACCTTTTTTTAGCGAATCACAGAGCGCAATACACTCTGCCATAGTGAAGGCGGCGCTGCTCTCGATCGCAATGGCTGGTACGTACTTTTCCGGGTACAAGCGATAATTGTCCTTCATTTTGTTGTCAAATCGACTGCACGCTCCTCGATTACTTCCGAGCATCGCGGATCCAACAGTATGCGTACAGGGTCCAAGTTTCGTGTCACCTCTGCAGCATGAGCGACCACACTGTGTGACTACGTTGGTCTTCGTGCGAGGCGCCATAGTCCCAGTGATTGTATTTCTTCTCTCAGGGCACTGTAAACGGTTCCATTCCAAGTGTATCGAAAGTCTTCCGCCGACGATGGGGTCAATACATCCAGTGTCATCAATCTCGTTGCCATGATAACACTCGTGACCGGTCAGATTCTTGGCGAAATCAAAGCAGCACCCGTAATCATGGCACGCGCGCGCGCGAGAATCAATGGACATGAACTCACTTCGAACGTCGCCGTAGTACGCCGTACACTTGAAACGATCTTCCATTTTAAGCGCACAATCAGCTTTACAAGAGTGGGTGTTACACTCTCGAGAAGTCTGTGGTAAAACACCACAGATGTGATCTTGGAGCTGCTCGCCGGATGTGGTGTTGACGCAAATCGCGCTCCGCGTTTGTCCACCTCGCTCGCACTTTCGCGAACAGTTACTCCATTCGCTAATTTCCCATCGGAATCCAAGTGGGTCTTCACCGTAACAATCAGCGTAGCCCCACAAGCCAGGCTTGGAGGTGTAGCACCAAGGTCTCGTGGAAGGCTCGGCCGGCGCACGACCCACAAGGGTTGGTTCAAAGAATTCAACGACTGTCTGCCTTTGACGCGCGTTATAGTCGGTGGTAAAGGGAAAGACGCACGGCGCGCCACCAGCTGTACCTTCACACGTCGGTATCGCTCTTGAATGCACGACAAAATCTGCATCATTGAGCATCGAAGAGCCATCGGTGACGCTCTTGAGCAACATCGCGCTCGTCGTCGACACATCAAACGGACGCGTTGTCGAAAGTCCAAGCGTGTCGTGCTTTTTGTACATCCGCGCGGCACAGTCCGTCGTGTTTATGCACGTATAATACCCTTGGCATTGGGAATCGCTTGCACAAAGCGTTCGTAGCCCAGTCTCTGATTTCCCGTTCACCGCGCGCCAAGCGAGAAGATCTGGAAACGCAACCATTTTCCCCTTGTGCGCCTTCCACTTGGCCTTGGAGTGCACACTCTTCTTGCGATAAAAATCACTCTCCGCCGCTCGTTGTAACCCGAATCCGCGACCGACCAAAGTACAGAAGTCCGTGGTCAGATCCTTCTTGAAACCCGCGCAGGCGAACCCTTTCGCGTCGCACTCGCGTTCACACGCGTCGAAAGACTCATAAGTCTCCATCAGGTTACTCCCGACTGGAATGCGGCTTCCGTGCCACCAATAATTTGTTAAATCATCCTCCAACGACCCAAGAGCGGCTTCGGGAACGTTCACGCCCGCTTTTTTCATGGCGCGCCCCAAGCGTCCTTCGGGAACGCACCAAGCATATGCCGTTCGACCGTGAATTCCGATTAACACGAACGTAGCGACGAGGATGAACGCGGCCGAGTTCCACCCAATCCATCTATCGCGCGTTCTTGTTCTTCTCGTCGTCATCGGTGCGTCAACGCCCGTCATGGGCGTTCGATTCTCGACCTCGTTGCCACGGATGGTGTTGGCGGAAACCTCGAGTGATAGCGCGGGTGAGTCTCGAACGAACGGGTGAGTTACGGGTGAGTCTCGAACGACTGTTTCTTTTCTCGGCCACGCGCGCGTTTTCTTTTGTCCGCCTCTCTCTCTCGCGCGCGTCGTCGAGTGATGCTGGTGCCGCTCGTGACGGATTTAAGGGCTTGAACACCCGCGTGTAAAGGCAGACACTTTATATAGCACTTTGGGAGGTTAAAAGGTGTCCCAAAGTCTCATACATTGGCCTATACTTTGGCAACATCCCGCGCTTTGATTACAGTACAGTAATATAACCCCCGCCAATGCGCGGGATGAATGGCATACATTCCATAGTATATGGGGACCGGACCGGCGGGACGTGTGATTTTTACCGTATGGGTCACGACTCGTCATTCGGAGTACTCGTATGGAATAATGAAACACCATAACTGCATTTACTTTTTGGTTCATTAAAAAAACCGTACGGGCATTTACTGCAGAATTGGCCACTTTTCGCGCGGGTTTCACTGGACACGTGTCAAAAACGTGGCTTTTCTGAAACTCGATTTTTGCTAGGGTTTAGCGTCTCAGTGTCCCGACGGAGATACAGTGCGGGGATCCCGTCGGCAGCACTCTCCGTCGCGCACGCAATGTCGAAGAAATCTGATCCACTGTATGTACCAGTCAACACGTGTGAAGACGACACAGTCGGTCTTCTTCGGACGATCGATGAAGTTCAAGTAGACGAGGGTGAAACCAACGTTACTTCGCCCGAAGATAATAATTGTGACGGCGGCGTTCGAGTAGTAGACATGGTTGGGTTGATACGGAACGGGCTGCATGCGCGGAGGTGCGCGAGCAGACGACGGTCCACCGCGATCATCCACGTTTTGTTAACTGTCGTTCTGGCAAGTTTTTTGCGTTCGACCTTGGCGTTTGAAAGGACAGATGGGTTTCAAGGCGAGCTTGAAGATACCGCACACGAAGGACCGGGAGCATCAAGGAGTTCGGTGGCGAACGAAACCGCGGCGCTGGGGTGTGCATGGGGGATACCTTGTCCGCCAGTGGCTCAGGCGGTGGTGGATGTCGTGTCAGATCCACATGGTGCTGCCGAAGATGCTGCGAACCTGGCTGGAGATGGACTCAATAGTGCTGTAGATGCAGCAGCGGCTGGGGCAACATTTTTGTACGATCAAGGGACGGCAGCCGCGAGCGCAGCAGCGGCAGCGGCGACAGAGTTGGCGTCGGCTGGATTTGAATTCGCCAAGGGTGCGGCCACAAGCGCATACGCGATGGGTTGCTCCGCGGCGGCGATGGCTTGGAACACGGCGACGGCGGTCTATGACCGTATGAGCGACCCAGAAAAATTTTTGTCAGACATGATTGACAGCTTTCCCACATCTTTGGGGGATTTGAAGTCGCTTTCGGGCAAGGCACTCGCAGTCGGTGGAGAAGCCTTCGTGGAGATGAATGCGAATAATCCCGTTGGACGCCAAGCGCTCGCTGCTGTCAAAAAGGCAAACGAAATCGGCGGCAAGTACGGTTTCGAGAACCTTCAGAAATTCACCGCTGTGGGCGCGTCGTTGACGAATCGCGTTATCCCCGGCGGTGGCATAATTTTTGAAGCCGTGGACGTCGTCGGTGAAACGGCGCAAGATGCTGTGGATACTGCGATTCTCATCGTGGAGTCTATGCTCAACGCTCTTGAGTGCAAAGTGTCGCCAGTCGATGTTATGGAGGTGATACAAAAAGTTGTCATCGAACAAATATCAAGCTGGAATGCGTTTGCGAAAATGTTCGAGGAGAAGAAGGGGACTGACTTCTTCTACAAACTCGATCATGTCATCTGCAATACTCTTTGGACAGTGGCTATGCCGCATGCGGACTTGATGGTGACGGCGATTGGCGTCCTCCTGGAAAAAGTCCAAGCCACTTGTCCAGGAGTTATCCCAGCGGATTCCAAACCAGCAGCTACGCTGGGGTTGATTTTTGACGCGTCTGTAAAAGGGGGCTCAATGAAAGGTGTATCTGCTGAGGTTGGCATCGGTGCTGACATTGATGGGAACAAATTTTGCTATTTCGGCTCCTGCGCTTACGCAGGTATATCGTTTGGTGGCTACGGTGCTGATGGGACGATGTTGGCGGGACTCAGTGTTTGGAAGTCTATGGATTCAGTTCCGGGCACCTCGAGTACATTTGCGTTCGCGGCCGATATCACCATGCCATTACTCCCCTCGTTTGATCCCGGAGTCACGTTCGTTTCAAACGACGCCGGGCTCATCGGCATCAGTGTCTCAAAAGAAATCCCCGGCGGCGACGAACCAAGTGGTGAATTTTCGGTCACGAAAGGGCGATGCGTAACGCCTGTTTGTGTCAAGACAGATGGTAATCCTTGTGGTGAGGGTCAGGCTGCTTGGTCCGACGTGGGCTCGCATGCGACTGCTGCAGTGGAGGCGATCAAGACGGATGAGTGCATAGTTGCTGGTGCCGGTGTGATTGAACAAAATGGTGGAATTTCCGTGAGTCGAGAAATCCGGTTACCGGCGTCTGGGGTGAACCTTCTTGCCGATGCTGAGGCAAACCCGACGGGAATGAAGAATTTTAAGCCCTCAAGCGTGAGGATTCCTGAGGGTAAATTCTTACTTGCGTTTACCGGTGGTGATGAAGCATTTAAGGGGAGCGAGACAGTGATTCGTAGCTATAAGTCAAAACTCAACAACCGTTTGTATTCAATGACGTCCTTTGTCGTTTCTGACATTGCAGCCGAGTTTCACGAAGAAGCGCCAAAATCAGTTGGCCCAGAACATGCTGGTTCAATCAGTAAATGTAAAGCGATGTGCGCGGTGAAGAAACACTGCTGCAATACGGATGAATCCATCGGAAGTAACCAGTATCTAAGCTGCCTACAGGCATGCGTCGTCCGCGTGCGTGGAACCGACGAGCGGACATGTAACTCTTACTGTGCATCTGCAACGACTTCTCGTCACATTAATGGTTACATGTACAACCTCGCAACATCTTGCGCTGATGTCGTTGCATCCGAAGGAAAGTTATGTTCTACTCGGTACGGTAGCGATCGTTCAACCTGCCTATACGGTTGTTCGATCGGACGCGACCCCGAACAATCGCTCGCAGTCGTCAAATCCACTGGATTCTATATGCAACTTCCTGCGGCACATGTTACCCCCAGGTCGACGAATAATTTGCGCGATCGGACGTTGAGTAGTGTGATTGTTCGAGCCGGGTTTGTTGTTAAACTGTACGCCGGGCGCGACCTGAAAGGTCAATACCTGACGCTCGGGAGTTCGGCGACGCTGTATGGTAACCATGCGAGGTTCTATTCATCCTTACGCGGATCATTCCCGAACACGAAGTTTGCCTGGGCAAATTTCAATGACAGAACTCGGAGCATCGCCATCTTGGAGGCGCCTGTGACGCTTTATACGCAACCCAATTTCCATGGCGATCATGAATCAAAACTTGAGCATGCATTTGACTACACCAGTCTCGGTCCGACAGTCGGGGACAGGCATGTTAATTCCATCTTTCTAAGAGAAGGATCTGTGGTTGAAGTATACGAGGGACGCAGTTTCAACGGTCGAGGCATGCAGTTCATATCCAGCGTATCAGATGTCCGCCGCGCAACTGAATCCATCGGTGACCTTTCTAGACCGACATGGCAAAGAGTTTATGGAACTGCAAGTATGGTTGACGCGGGTCGTGAAGAAGTATATAGTATTCACGCAGATGACGTCGCAAATACAAAGCCAGTTGATAATTCTGGTGACTGGTCGGACTTTTTGACACTGAAGTGGAGTCATATTTCTGTTGGGCCCACAGGCCATGTATGGGCGATTCGTAAACCTTACGGCAACGCTTATCACTGCATGCCACATCAAACCTCTTGCAAGACCAAATGGGAGTATACCAGGCTCACCCAGCTGGATGCTGGAAGTTTGTACGTTTGGGGGGTGACGTACTCGGGATACGTATACAGGCATCTCGTGAACACACACGAGGGTTCATGGACACGTGTAAATGCGCCAGATACGATGAAGCATATCTCAATAGGCCCAAGTGGCGATGTCTGGGCGGTATCGACGACGAATAAAGTATATTTCTGCGTGCATCCGTGTACTGGATCGTGGCGTGTCATCGGCGCATCCGCACCCGTAAAACGTCTCATATTTACTGTGAACAATGACAAATATATGGCTCGTGTCGATTTGAAGACTGACGGTAGTATTAATTTCAACGCTGGTCATAAAGTAGCTGGCTGGTTGAGTCTAAGCGGAATCACGTACGCCACGAGCGGTCTCAACTATCTTTCCCTAAACTCGCGTTATTGGGAACATTATAGTGGCATGAATGGCTACTGGTCGCCAGCCCAATACTCGTGCTCGAACGGCCTCGTTTCTGTGACTGGGCTCGTGAAGACAAAAAATCATGGCTGGGGGCAGGTCATCGGTACTCTCCCGTCAGGGTGTCGTCCGACGAAAGCACTCATCTTCACCACGAATAACCACGATGAGCAGGCGCGAGTGAACGTATACGCCGACGGGACGATCAAATGGGGTGCCGGCGGCAAGGGTCACGGATGGTTGAGCCTAAGTAACATTGTCTTTTCGACCAGTGGCAACGCGCTTTTACCTCTGAGCAATGGTTGGGCGCACTACAGTGGCACGAGTGGCTACTGGTCGCCTGCTGAGTACTCGTGCGCCGACGGCCTCGTGGTCTTGAGTGGATTAGTACGCGGTAGTAACTGGGGTTCTACTATCGGCACTCTTCCTCCGGGTTGTCGTCCGAAACAAGCTCTCATCTTCACCACGAACAACAGCGATAAGCAAGCGCGAGTGAACGTGTCACCGGGGGGGGTGATCAAATGGTCACGTGGTGGCAAGGGCCACGGTTGGTTGAGCCTGAGCGGCATCGTATTTGCAATGACTGGGCTGCAGTTGATGCCTCTGAGCAACGGTTGGAAGTACTATAACGGCGCGAGAACGAGCGGGTATTGGGCACCCGCACAGGTCGCGTCTGTGCGCGGCCTCACCGTTGCTCAAGGCCTTATCAAAGGCGGTGGATGGGGTGGAACAATGGCAAAAATTACCGGTGGATGCGGATATATGAGTGATTTAATGTCCCTGACTAAGAAGAACGCGGGTCAACATAGCACAGCACATAATGGCGTTGCAAGCCGCCCGTTGACGTCGACTCCAAATGGGCGCTGGGGGGGTGGCACGTGCACGCACACGAATCATGCGTCCGACCCATGGTGGCGACTTGATATGGGGACGACGAGGACCTTGAGTTCGGTGGAGTTGTTGAATCGCAACGACTGCTGCAGTGACCGCTTTATCGGCCTCCGCGTCTACATCAGCAATCATAACTCCTACGTAAAGGATCATCCGAGTAACAAACAGTGCGGGCAGACGTTGGGATCGCCGAATACTGCCTGGAATATATTCGACTGCGGCGATGCCATCTCTGGGCGCTACGTATACGCCACCCTATATGGTAAAGCAGCACCGTTAACTATCTGCGGTGTCAGGATGTTCGAATCAAATACGATGATAAAGCAGCTGGACGTTGGAAAGCGCTATGTTTACGGAACCAGTACGAATGGTCATCTTTTTAAAATCCGTGCCGATGGGGGCGAGGATAACTGGTCCCTCGTACATCGTTATAGCGAATTCGGCGGTATTGATGCCAATTATGTTTCAGTCTCACCGCATTCCGAACAATCGTCGTTCCTGTGGGTTACAAACCAAGCGAACGAAATTTATCGCCAATCCATCGGAATACAAATCTCTTCCATGAGAGTCGCCTCGGCAATCGTAACTGCTTACAAAGGTGTGGGATTTACCGGTGATAGTCTGCCCCTGACTTCCGGTTTTTATAACTTTAAGACGCTCGAGGCAGACTCAGACGCCGGATTTAAGCTCACGAACCTCAGAGCGTTTGTGCGAAGCATCAAGTCTATAAGGATCCATCCAGACTACGAGGTTGAGCTGCGCGGTTATAATCAAGCACGAGCAGTCGTCACCTCTAGTACAATGGGAGTACACGATTTTCATAAACTGGACACAGAGGGCAAGGAACACGAAGAGAATATAGTTGGAGCTACAAGATTTCCGCGACCGAGCGGTGTCTCACGCAAATCGACGTTTATGCCAATCGAAGCAACTACGCTAGGAACATGGATCCAAACACGAACTGCCAACGTTTACGTGATGTCAGATCTATCAGCCACCCCAAGTGCTCTCATTAGGTACATTGCTGCGTACGGCGATGCAGAATATTGCAAAATGATCATGTTTCACGTGCGTCACGGCGATGAAGTCTCTGTTGTGCCTGAGGAGGCTGGATATGCGACTTTTGGCATCAGAGATGCGTCTTCCGACAAGTGTCAGAATCGCGACGGTGTACTATCGCTCTGGCGTATAAAGCAAACTCCGAGATTGGCGCGCCGCGCGACAGATGCAGGCTACGGCATCGGAAAGTTGAAATTCTCGATTTTGGGAGGCTGGACGGGAGAAATAGCCTCAATGAAAGTGATGAGAAAACTCACTTATGTCCAAGGGTACTCCGGTGGCCGTCATCGTAATGAGGGAGGAAATCCAAAACGGACTCCACGAGAATGTCGGGACATCGCTAAAAGCAAGGGTTTACCTGCCTGGGGATTTCGAACCGGCCGTCATAATGATCCTAACTGGCGGTTTACGTGCTTCTTTTATGAGCACGGATTTGGGAGATTTGCGGGTAATGATGACACAATGCATATGACAGGATGCGTCGATATATCCCGAAAGACCGCAAATGGCTGCGCACTGAGCGCATCAGCCAGCGCGCGGTTGGGTTCTGAAGACTTAGAGACTTACCCTCGCGCGATGGCGAGACCAAAGGCGAGACTGCTAGAATCAGACTGGTACTATATCTCTGTCTGCTGTGTTCTCGTCAGCCTAGCGTCTGTGGTAGCGTTCGTCGCATTTCGACGCTCGCGAACGTCGGGCAAACGCATTCTACTTGAACGAGTCTCAACGAACTACGGTGCCACAATTTAAACAAATCATTTCAAACCATCCTATTATTGGCATTGTGGTAAGTACAATCGACCTCACGGAAAAGGCAGGCGGTACTGGCGTCGAAGAGTCGCGTGAGATTTCGCTTAAGATTTCGGCACCCTCGCTTAAGATCTCTTCAGAATCGAATCTCTGAACGCAAGGCGTGGATGTACATTAAACCATGAACGAGGCGGGACACGGTTCGATTTTTGGATTACAAGTGTAGGTCTACTTTTACGTTTCGTGGACTCCGCTCGAGTCGGCCGATGTCACCATGTCAGGTGTTTCGAGTGCACTAGAGACGTGACCGCCGATACACAGGACGTCGAGCTCGGCGTGCCTGATTTCACGACTCGGCGACCATGGTTTGAAACCGAAATGACCATCGGCTTCAGGCCCAGGCGCGGCCGCAATGCTACTTTAAACTTAATTTTTTTTTTTTGAAAAAAGAGTAGTAAGAGTAATAAAAATAAACTTTTTTTTTGTTTGAGTTGGGGCCCCCCCAACATGATAAAACCGCACATCGACGTTGATGTACCACATGTAAGATTTCTCCGGGAACCAATCGTGTGAGTGAAGTGGTCAAACCAAGCCACGCAACTCATCGACCGTAAATTGATACTTGTCGAGACTGCGCTTCGAAGGCAGCGTGCCGCGCGCTCGAGCATTCTTGAGGCACGTCTTACGCAGTATCTTTTCGCGTGCTGCTTGTAATAATTGAGTTGTCTGTAGTTACCATCGCCGCCGTCCCGCTTCGGCGTATATTGAGCTCTGCTGTAGGCCGGACTCTCGTCCACGTTCTCGTGGCACGCCTGCTTCTGGCTGCGTCCAGTAGCTCGGGAGTTGAATAAGCCGTCACGCTTCTCTCTCATGTAGGCACTTTTACGTTGATGGAGCTCTCCAGCTGGAATGTCCTTTTCGAGAACTCTCACGTCCGCGTCGCCAAACGTGAAGATTGGATGCCGTGCGTATTTATGCGAGGCAAGGCGCGCTCTGATCGAACCTGTCGTCGATCCGATGTACGTTTTGTCACATTTCGCATTATCGCTATACATTTCGTACACGCATCCCGACGGCATTTGTCCTGGTTACCTATCTATCCCTAAGAAAATATTGTTGCCTCCTCCTGCGGTTTGCAGTCACATTCGAGAGACCATAGGTACTCGTGTCGCTGCGTGGGGTGCAAGGTCCGGGATGTAGATATCGAACCGCCCGATTTCACACCTGGACGTTCGTGATCCGTCGAGACCTGACGAAATGACGAACTTGTTTTGTCGTCCCGAAATTCGTCAGCCCGTCGTTCGGTCACACTTTGTGTGTACCAATGATGAAAATGACGAAATGTTAAAATATTTTAATGTTTATTTTTATTTTAGATCTATGACAAGCAACAGTGTAGACCTTTATGAAAACAGTTCGTCATTCGTCATTTCGTCAGGATCCAAACCATGGTCTTTTTGGTGTCTTGTTGAGTCTTCATATTGCAAATGTACGAATTACAAAATTAGTATGAGCACCAGACGACCGCCGGCGCGAGCTCCGTCTCCCCCGTGTACCCATTGTTCTTCAGCCACTCGAAGCACCCGTCGCGGTCAATTTCCCAATAAACGCCCTTCTCGTCCCTACCTTGCCTCAGGTGGTCCTCTTGCATTGGGACCCTGTGGCCCTTTTCCTTCTTGAAGAAGTCCTTGAGCTTATTACCGACCTTCGTCGCGCTATCTTGACCGCGCGCAGCCGCTGGCAACCACGTCTGGTATTCGATGAAGATGTCACTGTTGCGGATTTTATTTCCAACCCACTTCTCAGGGAATTCAACAGTGACGCAATGCTCAAACCATCGAGTGAACTTGGGCATGCATCCACGCTTCATTTCCGAATACGCATCGGTCGTAGGTCTGTCTTTGACGTAGTCAAAGGTCGATAGGTCGAGCCCCATGAGATGGTCGTAGATTGCCCTCAAGTTCCTCGGATCCCTGATGTAAACCTCGCGGAATTCCTTCAAGAATCCAGTCTGGTCGTTCAAGTGCGTGAGCAGTGGCTCCATGACGACGAACCGACGATCACTCATTTCCAGAAAGACCGGGTAGTCGTCGTTCGAGAAAAATAGGAACCCAACCAGATTCATGATGACGTACAGCTGCACGTGCTTCGGGTTGATTGTGAAACTCGTGTCCGTGAGCATCGACTTCAGCAACTTTCTATACATTTTCATGATGCACTCATCTGCTTCGTTCAACGCGAGGCACTTTTTGCCTTCAATCATGTTCGCATGCGTCCCAAATATGTCCTTTTTCGGATCAGCCGTCTCGTGAAACGTCTTGCCCATGAGCGCGTGAAGCAGGTGCAGGAAAGTGCCCTTGCCGGTACCTTGGACTCCTCGAAACACGAGCGACGTGATCGGCTTCTCTTCGGGTCTCTGGAAGAGACACGCGAACCAATTCGAAGCGTACTCGAGCGCATTTTCTGAACCGCCACATAGCACCAGGAGGAGCTCGAGGAAAGGCTTCACGTCGCCCTCTTTGCCCAGTTCACTGGGGATGCCTTCGACCGGGTAGCCTCGCCACAGATTGTACGTCTTGTTGCTGCAGTTTTTCGGGACGACGTCGAGGTTATCGTACACCCGTTTATTGTCGTCGTCGAGCCACTTTTCGATGAACCCGTTTTTCTTGCCTTTCCTCAAGACACCGTTCTCATCGACAAAGGAGAGCTCTCGATAGCGCCTCACCAAAGCGGCCTCGCTGTACTTGGTAATGTCCCCGGTGGTTCCATAACAGCTATCGTCGCAGAAGAGGTCCTTGGTTAAGATCTTTGCGACGTGCTTCTCGAACTCACGGCGGACCTCGATGTAGCCCGCAGACGTGCCCTCTTTGATTTCGTTCTGCTCCTTTTCGGTGATACCGGTCACCAAACACCCAACCTCAAAGCGAAACTGTCTGGGCTTGCAGTTGCCATGGTTTTTCACGGTGAGCACGCCGAGACCGACCTCGGCGACGTAAAAGTGATTCCCACCGCCCCTTCCATTGCCTTCGTGGAAGCCCCCACAGCAAGGACATTGGCCCACAGTGGTGCCTCGCTGTGGGCGACATTGGTCGCATTCAAAATCATACGATGTCGCTCCACTGAGCCAATGTATGCCCGTGAACCCCATTTCCTCGAGCAAAGGTGTCACAGATGCTTGCGTAAAGCTGCACTCCGTGTCCGCGCGTTCGACCTTGTGACCGACTTTGCCATCAAGGAAACTGTACAAATCGTTGGGCATCGGTGGTAAATTGTTGATGTCGCCTCGGAGTAGCTCGTAGCCCGGGGCATCGGCACCGACCACGTAGTTACCCGTCGTACGGATATCGACGAACCCTTCGATGCCCACCGTGCCTTTCCAATCGCCGAATCGTTCTTCGTCCCATGCGAAGTACGTGTGGTACCCGCCTGATCGCGTTTTGACGATATACGCGCCTTCCCCGCCGACCTTGCGCGTCAACATTTCTTCCGTGAGTTCAAACTCGCACTTGCCACCGTAACAATCCCAGTCGATGACGAGGACACGGTTCGGTCGCCCTGTCAGCACGCCGTACATTTCTCCTGGGATGACTTTCTGCGTATTCCGTTCATAGTTTGCTTCATCGAGGAACCCCCTGCCGCATGTTGGCTCCTTGTCCTGGTCGAGTGGGATCAGATGCATGCCGTTCGTAAATTCTCTGGCGTCCATATATATCACATAAGAAAAGAATTCTTTAAGCCGTGTTTTTCCTGGTCACATCGGCGCGATGACTGATTTTCAAGTTTTTCAACAGCCTGGAAAAGCACGCCAGCACGCCCCACTGGTCAACATTTTGCCACTTTTTCGACGAGATCGGGGTACTGCAAAGCACACGGCGAAGACGGGTGGCCGATGATCCATGTGTCCGTGTCTTCTCTGATGATTCGCTCCCGTTCATGGCTCAAGTGGTCGCGCGACCTCGCGCGTGAACGAAGGTGCCAAATTTTAGGTACCAGAGGTGCCCATTTCTTCGTGGTGAGATGGTCCCTCGTGTACCACGCCGCTCCCCTTTAAGTATGAAAAGTTATGTCCAATATATTGCGCGCGATGTCCGATGGTACACCATACAATTTCATAGTTAAGCCACACTTATTATATGACGACAGTGCCTACCTGTCGGTGGTCACGGAAAAGTTGCGTCTCAGACTGAGGATGGCGTGGCTCATGCGAGCTATATATACCTCATATATACATATATTAACACTTATAACACTATTAATGTACAATTGATTGGATGAGGTGCTCAGTCCACCCGCGCGAGGTCAACAGCAGCAATTGTCTATGCACTTGGAGCATGAGTTTTTGCACTCGCACGACGGACACGCGCAGGAGGTGCATCCGCACGACTTACACGTGGTCGCATCGGGACACGCGCATTTGTCGGGGCCACAAGCATCACAGTCTTTCGGGCAGCACGCCTTGTCCGTGGACTCAGATTGTACCGTCCGTGCTGCAACCCGCGTCGGGCGCGAGACGACGCGCACGGCGCGTGGCGCGGTTCTTGACAATACGAAATCTGGTATCTGCGTACTCTTTACCTTAACGGCGGAGACTTTGAGCATTGTTGCGTCGAGGAATGGGCCAAGGGTAAGTAACCTCGTGGTCGGCACGTGCCCGCCTTATACAATCGACGCCTGAAAAGGGAGACTGGATGAGATCGAGGGCACCCCGTGAGCGATCACTCTTCGACGCGGAACTCGTTCCTGTAGACGGCCAGCCACCACTCGAACGACCATACGGCAGCACAAAAGTACATCCACAACGTGTACGTATCGAAATGGCTGCCTATACTCAAGCGACGTTAACAGCACCTTCGTCGTCGACAGCCGTAAGCAATTCGAAGATAAGACTACGCCGTTCACGAACAACTACGCGCACACATTCTGATCCGTCCGAAAGTACGCCGTTGAGTGAAGAGGCGCAAATCATAGTTGATGCATCGGAGGCGTACCCAGCGCAGACAAGCGTGGATTATTCGTTCGCAAGGAGTGGGTTCAGTAACCAGTGTGAACGAGCACTCAACGAGCAAATCAATGTCGAGTACAATATTTCGTACGTCTATCACGCCATGTGGGCGTACTTCAATCGTGACAATATCGCATTGGCTGGCTTTGCTGAACACTTTCGAAAAGAGTCACTGGAGGAGCGTGCGCATGCGGAACAACTCATGGAGTACATGAACTTACGAGGCGGCAAAGTTGAGCTCCAACAATTGTTACCACCACAGAGTGAATACGATCGCCCGGAGAAAGGATGCGCACTATTAGCCCTGGAGCTGAGTTTGAGTCTCGAAAAGTTGAATAAAGAGAAACTGTGTGAACTGCATCGCGTCGCTGAGGATGCAGGAGACGCACATATGTGCGATTTTATTGAAGGCGAGTTATTAGACTCGCAGGTTCAAAGTGTGCGACAGGTTAGCGAGATGGTCGCCACGCTATTACGCATGGGACCGCCAGCAGATGGTATGGCAACTTGGCACTTCGATCAAACCTTACTTGAGGTGGCATAGAAGCGGATTGTATCTCGTTGAGTCTAGTCACTTTCGTGTGCTCGTTTCGTTGGTTTCTGGTTACGAGTTCTTCCGTTGTTCTAAATATAACATATATTTAGACATATCCAAACCCTAGTACAATCACCCTAGGGTTTAGTCAAACTTTAATCAGTTTTATCTAAATTAATTTTCATCTGTCGTCGCGAAAGATGAATCCTCGCGACAGAAAAACAGGTCTAAACCTTAAACCCTAACTTCGGTTGGGCTATATAGCACTTTGGGCGGTTAAAACCGCGCCCAAAGCCCCATATATTGTCCCATGTTTCGGCCAAATCCCGCGCTTTGAGGATGGCGTGGCTCATGCGACCTATATATGCCTCATGCGTACATATATTAACATTTATAAGGGTATTAATACATAATTGATTGGATGGGGTGCTCAGTCCACCCGCGCGAGGTCAACAGCAGCAATTGTCTTTGCACTGATCAGTCCGTGTTTGACAAGGAGACGTTCGCGCGAAAGTGAGTGGAGTGAGATAAGCAAAATTGGGATTTTTTGTTATTTAAAATGACTTCTTTTATATCGACGATCTTGTCTCGATTATACGCTGACCTTCGCGGGTGCTTGTTGTACTTGTACGTACACGACCCAGCTAGTCCGCTTTGTTGTGGATCTTGTCGCACTTGTCGAAAGCGTATGCGGCGACGGTACTGCTGACCCCGGACGGATCAAAGACTGATGCGAGCTCAGCTGCCGCGCGGACCGCATCCGTCTCTGATTCCGCGCTGTTTACGTTTTTCATCGCAGAAAAATAGCCGGTAGTCTTACCAACCGCCTCCATACCTTGGTCGAGACTATTTGCCGCCTTTTTCAAAGCAGCAAGCTTACTCCCAGCTTCGGCAACGTTAGCACCGGCACGGGCTGCAGCCTTGGCCCCAGTTGTCGCAGCTCCACTACTCCCAGCGGTCGCTACAAATGCAATAATTTCCAACGGCCCGAGAATCATATTAGTTACCGCGGAGCCACAAGCGGCGTCATCTTTTGCGGCACCCATACCGCAGTTCACCCACTTCTCACCGCTCACTGTTGGAGGTTGGCCCCAGCAAACTGGACCGACGCCATTGTAACCACTGCGACATTTCTTGTAACACAAACCAGCGTCGTACTCCAAACCAGGAGGACACGTGGCTGCTTCAAAGCCGTGTGAGCAGTATATCTTTTTCGGGCAACTCGGCGCAATTCCATGTGCGTACCCATTGCCGGTGCAAGAAACGCCGCACAAGTTGCAGCCAATCCGGTTCGGATGACTGCTAGGGCAAGGAGGATAACAAAGTCCAAGACAGTCTTGTCTTCCTTTTCTGCTACAGTGCCTTCCGCCGCATACGAGTCTTGTCCTCGCGTTCCCCAAAAGGCGTCGACCGTTGGCCGCATGTTCGCCAAGGGTGGATGATGATGATGACCAGTACTCCCAGCCACACTGGACGGTACCAACACCACGACCGCGGTTACCTCTGTTACAAAAAAGACCATGATCATTCCAGCCCGAGCCGCAGCGTTGATGGCAGTCGTAGCCAAATCTGGCATAATTACCGAGGTGGTGGCATTTGGTATAGCACAAGACGCCCCCTGCAATTGTTTCTTTATTGGAAGGGCAATGAGACGGGACTTTGCCCACATCGCGGCCGTATGAGTTTTTCCAACAGAACTCGACGGTGATGGCGTTCGCAACGACAGCACCCTTCGCATTCGACGCAGCACTTACACCATCACTAAAGCTGTCCCATTTTCCGCCCAACCGAGCAGATAGCATCGCTTCGTGTACCTCCAATAATGCCTTGTCTTGCTCAATCTCTTCGTGCAGTTTTTGCATATATGCTGAGACGTTCACTGGCGCCGGTTGCGTCGCACCCTCATCCACCGTGGCCTGCCAAACGAAGTTCGAATGCTCATCATTAGCAAGATTTTCATCGTCACGCCTGCGCAAATGTTGTTTAAGCATCTTAATTCGTAATAGCGTCGCGTTTCTTCCGCCCTTGGTCGATATGAACATGCCATCCTCGGCTCCTGCCGCATTCAACCTGGGTTCGGCACCTGGGATCACCTCCCCAGGACCCGCACTCCCGAGCAACGCGTGGACTTCTGGACCGAATTCCATCTCGTCAACGAATTCGTCCAAGTGATCAGGGAGATCAAATTCACCCTGGATCGAGTGCGCGGACAATCCCAGCAACGCAGACGGCCCTTTCGGTGCACTTTCACGGTACGAGAACGAAATCACACCCACAGCAAACAGCACAGCGGCCTGCTTCACGGTACACCAGCCGCATGCCGCCGCTTTTCGCCCTTCACGTTCCTCCGTTTGTTGCCAACTGCGAGCGCCGTCGTTCGACGAGCCGGGCGCGCCGTATGTCTCACTAATCGCCGCCGCTTCGTACGTCGGCATAGTTTGTTCCTTTAGTCGAGCGTCGGATTGTGGCGAAACGGCGGGTGCCCTCGGTCGGTCGGACGGACTTTCGCGGTCGGTCGGACGAGGGGCCCGTTGGCGCCCCGCGGGTGTGTGTACCAGCCCTTAGGGTTTAATGTATATTAATGTATTTATGGGTATCATCCCGCGCAATTCGAGGGGTAGATTACTGTACTGTACAGTAACCCTCTAGTAGAACACGCTAGGTGAAATCAAGCGCCGCGACCGTACGCTTATTCTCGTCGGCGTTTGCCGCTGCCGCTGCTACTGCTACTGCTACTGCTACTGCTCGAGGACGAGCTCGAAGACGAACTTTCGTCGTCGTCGTCGTCGTCGTCGTCGTCGTCGTCGTCCCACGTCGATTCATCCTCGTCTTCATCCTCTCTTAATTCATCCGCAAACTCGCGCGAACTGCGCACCAAAGCCTCTTCAAACTGCCGCTGCGCCTCGCTCCGCGCGCCTTCGAATCGAAACACCAACCGCGGCGTGTGTTTCATCGTCAACATCTTCGACAGCATCGTCCGTATTTTCTGCGCGTTCCGCTCCAACGCGTTCCCCGCGATGTGTTCCTCCCCCATCCGCGTCGTTCCGTACAGCACGTGCACCGTCTTAAAATCTTTCGACACGCGCGCGTCCATCACGTTCGCCCCCGTGCCGTCAAACTTGTGCGCCAGCTCCTCGTGCACCACGCGCTTCAGCGCTTTGCGCACGCGCGCGCTCTGTCGAATCTGCGCCTTGTCCTGATCGATCGTCGTCCGCTCCACCTCGATCGGGCGTCGCGCCGCGCGCGGGCGCCGCGTCGTCGTCCCCGCGAAGTGCGCGCCGCTCGCCGCGCTCGCCGCGCCGCGCTCGCGCGCGCCCGCGCGCGCCGACGACGCCGTCGCGGTCAGGCGCATCAGCGCTCGCGTCGCGCGTCGACGCATCGTCGCGTCCCGCGTCGCGTCGCGTCGCGTCCCGAGCGCCGCGATGTCCCGAGCGCCAATCGCCGCCGCGCCGCTCGGCGCCGCGCGCGGGACGCGATGCCACCGCCGACGCGCGCGACGCCCGCGCGCGGCGCGCCCGACGTCGCCCGCGAGTGGGCGGCCGCGGGCGTCGGGTGCGCGCTCGCGGACACGGTGTTCAACCCGCTCGAGGTGCTCAAGGTTCGCGCGCAACAACGACCGGACGCGGTCGCGCTGCGAGCGCTCGCGCGCGAGGCGATCGCGCGCGATGGATTCGCGCGGGGCTTGCTCGCGCCGGGACTCGCGGCGACGTGGATGCGAGGGCTGTCGTACACGGGGTTTCGAATCGGGCTGTACCCGACGACGCGGGACGAGGCGCTGCGCGTCTTCGGCGGCGACGGCGTCGGCGCGCGAGTGCTCGCGGGGGCGGTCACGGGCGGGATAGGCGCGGTGGTGTTTAATCCGATCGACGTCGTGCGAGTGCGGATGCAATCGAGCGAGTGCGGGTATCGAAGCACGGTGGGGGCGTTCGCGGAGGTGGCGAGAGAGGAAGGCGTGAGACGCGGATTGTGGCGAGGCGCGGGGGCGTGCGTGGCGCGCGCGATGACGCTGTCGGGGTCGCAGTTAGCGACGTATGATGTCAGTAAACGATGGTTGTTGAAAAATGGGACGTTTAGCGAGGACGCGCCGCCGTTGCACTTTACGTGCTCGTTCGCGAGCGGCGTCGTCGCGCAAACCGTCACGCAACCCGTGGACACGCTCAAGACGCTCGTCATGTCCAACGTCGGCGACAAGCGAGGCGCGATGACCATCGCGCGCGATGTCATCGCCAATCACGGCGTTCGCGGGTTATACAGGGGCTACTTTGCCGCAGCCGCGCGACAAGGTCCAGTCATGACGCTCCAAATGCCCATAGTAGAGGCGCTCAGAAGATTTTTGGGCCTCGAATACTTTTGAACTTTCGAGCGCGCGAGATTCGACGCTCGCAGCGATTCGTTGTATTTATCATCTATTCTTTCAGCGCGCTCGAAGCCTTCCCTCGCGCGTCGCGGTGCCAGAGCGCGGCCAACCTCGTCCGTACCTCACACCTCGACGCGCCGAAGCATGCGCGCCGCGACGTCGCCGCGGGTTCGCGCCGCCCTACGGCCGTCGACGCGTCTTTCGCGCGTGCGCACATCGCGCGCGACTCACACGCGCGCGGAGCCGTCGAAAAGCGAGGAAAAGGCGTCGAAAGACGCGCAAGATGAAGATGACGCGTTCGCGATTGATTTATCCGTCGACGTCGAAAAGGAGTTCAAACGCGGCCTGGAGTTCGGGAACACTGAAGTGCGCGCGCGCTTCCGCCCAGAGGCGATCTCTGAAGTCGACCGCGGGTTGCCGATCGCGGATTCGCTCGTCGCGGTGTCCGCGCAGGTGCTCGTGGCGGTGGCGGCGCTCAGCGCGGGAAACATTCCGTCGTGGTTGGCGCCGATTGGACCGAGGTGGCGTGGATTAGCGTATTTGTTGCCCGCAATCGTGCATGGGGCGAAATTAGCGAGCGTGTGGGTCGTGGGGGGGCTGGCGGGGAAGGCGTACGAGCGGAAGGCGTTCGATGGGACGTTTCGGGAGGCTATGCGACGAACGGTGAGCGGCGGATGTTTCGCCGTGGGGCTGCTGATATTTATCACGCAGATTGAAGTGGCGCATAAGTTTCACGAGTTAGGGTTGGGAGATCCCGTGCTTGAATCGTCGCCCGAGGGTGATTTAGTGATAAATGGAGCACTGTCTGAGCTTTTGGTTGACATCTTCAGCGAAGCCGGCGCGTTGCTGACGTGGCGAGCGATTAGGTGGAACACGTCGCCGACTGATCCGGCATCATTGCTGGAGGAGGAAGAGTAGCGATTAATTGTTGTGATTCGATTCTTGTATTATATTATTTTCAACTTTCAATTCGTGTGTGTGTATTTGAGCGCACGCGTCATTCTTCGCCCCACGCTTGGTCGGCACTGCCCGCGTTCTCTTGGTCTTGTTGCGCGGCGCCTCGCAAGTGAGGCGGAACCCATTTCACCTGGGACGAAGTCGGGCGATCTTGTTCGTTGGAGATATCGTTTGACGTGGACTTTGTGAACGCACTGTCCATCATGATCTTTCCGGGAGGCTTCGCCGGTGCGGGCGCCTTCTCGGGTTCGGGTTCGGGTTCGGGCGCACGCCCACCTCCCCTCTTCTTTTCGGCTTTTCGTTTCTCCGACAACAAGTTGCCGCCCGAAAACTCTTCGCGCAACTTGGCTTTGTAATCGTCGAACGATCCATTGAAAACTTGTACGCTTCCTGGGACCGGAGGATTGGATTTCATGTCGCCCTTCGTGACAATCCAAATTTCATCGACGACGAGCGAAATGAGACGCTCGTCGTGCGAGACTAACACGACGCCGCCTTCGAAGTTGTTGAGCGCCATGGCAAGTGACTCGATCGTTTCCAAGTCAAGATGGTTAGTAGGTTCATCCAAAAGGAGAATGTGAGGTTGCTTCCACGCGAGTTCGGCAAATGCTAGACGTGACTTTTGCCCGCCGGACAAAACTTTAATCGGCTTTGTCGCGAGCTCGCCAGACAGGCCGAATCGACCCAAGTACGCTCGCGCCGTCTCTATAGGCATTTCGCTGTCTAGTCTCTTCATGTGCGCTACGCAATCTTCCTCCAAGTTCATCGTCTCCAAGTGATGTTGAGAGAAACGCGCTAGCCGAAGCTTGGTGTGACGATTAATCCAACCTTTGGTGGGCAAAATGTCACCCTCGAGAAGCTTCAAAAACGTCGATTTACCAGCCCCGTTCGGTCCGACGATTGCGACTCGGCTATCCATGTCTAACCCAAAGTCTAAGTTTTGGTACAAGGTTTGATAGCCTTCGTAACCGAACGCGACGTTCATCACGGAGATGCACGGTGGCGGCAACGGCGACGCGGATGGGAAATTGATGCGTAGATACGGATCATCGTAATCCACGTCCACCCGCTCGCTCTGTAATTTTTCGAGCATCTTCATGCGACATTGTGCCTGACGCACCATTTTCTTGTGACCTTGCCCAAATCGCTGAATGAATTGCTTCAGAGATGACTCTCGCAAACTTTGGTTTCGCTGCATCGCCTCCTCGTTGGCTCGGTGCTCAGCGCGCACCTTGAGGAAGGTATCGTAGGATCCGCCGTAGTAGCGCAACTTTTTGTGGTGCAAGAAAATTGTTGCCGTCGTGCAATCGTTCAAAAAGCCGCGATCGTGCGACACGATGAGGACCGTCTTTTCCCACTTTCGTAAAAACTCTTCGAGCCACGTCAAAGCGTGCACGTCCAAGTGATTCGTCGGTTCGTCCAGCAACAACAAATCCGGCGTCATGAACAGCGCCGCCGCGAGCGCGATGCGCATGCGCCAACCACCGGAAAATTCTTTCGTCGCCTTCATTTGCTCCTCGGGATCGAAACCGAGACCGCCCAGAATTTGTCCCGCGCGCGCCGTCGCCGTGTCGGCGTCTATTTCGTCCAGGCGCTCGTACACCTCGTTCAAGTCGATGCCATCGATTTGATCGAGTTCTTCGTCCAACATTCGCTTCTCTAGATTGAGCAAGTACAGACGCTCGGTGTCGGTCTCCACGACGGTCTGCAACGCGGACCGCTCGTCCGGTGACGCCTCTTGCTCGACGTGAATGATGTGCAAAAATTCTGGCAACTTGATGACGCGTTCGGAAATCGCTCGCAACAGCGTCGACTTGCCGCATCCATTTCGACCGACCAAACCGTACTTCGTCCCGAACACTAACTTCAAAACCCCTTCCTGAATCAACTCATCGCGTCCGCCGTAGAGCTGAATACCGCTGATGTGAATGTCCATGTTACAGTTGGCGCGACGATTCGCATCCGGGCCGCTTCGAATGTGAAAGCCCAAATCCTCCGAGCTCAACCGCCCCCCGTTCGCCGCGATTCGCGCCTCCCGCTCCTTCCTCGCCCGCTCCTCCTTTTTCTTCCTCGCTTGTTCCTCTTGCTCTTGCTTCACGCTCAACATTTTCCTCGTCTTCGCCTTGCCTCGCACGACTTTTTCCTCCGGCAGCGTCTCGCCGTTCGCCACCCTCTCCCCGTTTTCCCTCGCTCGCTTCACCCTCGCCAGCATCACCCTGTACTGCTGACAGCACTCCATCGCGTCTCGTCCATCGACGTGCGTCGCGATCGCCTCCCACCTCTCCTCATCGCTCGTCGCCGCGTCCCTCGCCGCCGACGTCCCTCGCGCTCGCAAGCCCTCCACGAGCGCCAGGTCCTCCGCCTCGTCCCACGCCCCACCGCGTCGCGCGTCCTCGCGCGTCCGTCCCTCGTCCCGCGTCTCGCCCGCGTCGCCCGCGTCCTCGCGCGCCTCCGCGCGCGTCGCCTTGGCCGCGTCGCGCGCCGCGCGCTTCGCCGCGAGCGCCGCGCGCTTCGCCTCCTTCTCTCGATTCTTCTGTTCGAGCGCTTCGAGTCGCTCGCGCTCCTTCCGCGTGCTCATGCCGTCGTCGAGCGCCGCGCGTTTCGCGTAACGTCGCGTCGCGCGTCCTCGCTCGACGTCGCGATCGCGCGCCGCGCCGCGCCACGCGCCGACGAGTGCGCGCGACGACGACGTCTCGAGCGATTCGCAATCCGCACCATGACGCGCGTCGTGCGCGGCGTGCGCCTGCGCGCCGCCTTCGTCGCGCCCGACGTCGACGCCGACGTCCTCGACGCGTCGAGCGATCTCGCGCGGCGCTTCCGGCGACGCCGCGACGCGACGCGCGACGCGCGGTCGTCGACGCCGTCGCTCTTTTCGTCGTCGACCGACGCCGACGCGCGCGCGATCGCGACGTCGAGCGACGCGCGCGACGCGCGCGACGACGACGCGGTCGAACGCAGGGAGGCGGCGATCGCGACGACGCGGGTCTCGAACGCGTGCGATCGCGCGACGGCGGCGCTGGCGGTGGATTTAAGGATCGATCCGACGCGCGTCGGCGATTTCGCGCGCGGGTTGGAGGAGATGGCGCGGATGGGGTTCGTCGACGACGGGACGTGCGCGGGCGCGCTGGTGCGGTGCGGCATGGACGTCGCGCGCGCGGTGGAGACGGTGCTCGCGTCGCGGTGACGCGCGAACGCGGAGACGGTGACGCGCGCGCGACGATCAGGCATTCGTCATTCGTTGTAACGCACTCGTAACGAACTCGACATCGCGCGACGCGCGGGCGACGCGCGGGCGACGGCGACGGTGGACGACGACGCGGATCGACGCGCGACGGTCGATGGACTTCGTCGCGCGCGCGCGGGCGAGGGAGACGCCGCGCGGAGGAGGACAGGAGGCGACGACGTCGGCGACGTCGGGAAGGGAGATTTTGCTGCGCGAGGCGAGGGACGCGAGAGACGCGCGGCGGTGGGCGCGCGAGCGCGCGAGCGCGGCGGTGCGGTGTCAACGCGCGCGTCGGAGGCACGTGGCGCGACGGGAGGCGACGCGGCGGGAGATCGAGGCGTTGGACGCGGTGATTGAGAGAATGGCGAGGGAGGCGAACGCGAACGCGAACGCGAACGCGAAGGCGACCGTCGCGTTTTTCGACGTCGCGATCGCGATCTTGCGCAGGAGGGGAAGTTTTAAGGAAATGGGACTCGAACGTGCGTTCCGAGCGTACGCGCTGGCGCTGAAGTGGGTGGAGGGATTGCGAATGGGATACGACGCCGGGACGCTCGAGGCGCTCGCGACGAACGCGTTGGCGACGGCGAGCGACGAAGACGCGAGGGCGCGTTTACCGGCACTCGTGGCGTGTGCGGTGAAATTCGCGTGCGGATTGTGTGATGCGGATGAAAATTTGGCGGCGCGCGTGCACGGTGCGGTGTGTGAGGCGTTGACGGTGGTGTTGGAGGCGGACGGGTTCGAGCATCGCGCCGTCGTGGCGCGAGCGCTCGCGCCGTCGGCGTTTGCGCCGTTGACGAGCGGTGGTGACGACGCGTCGTTCAGCGCGCTCGCTGTGCGTTTGCTCGGCATACCGCAGTTGCGAACAAATCTACCTGCCGATGCCGTGCGCATTCTGGAAGAGCCGAAAACGTTGACGCGCGTGCTCCGCGCGTGTTCGGCGAGACGCAATCGAGGCGCCGAGTGCGCGATTGAAAACGTTCTCGCGTTGATGTGCAAAGGCAGTAAGGGAGGCGAAAACGTTCGAGCTTTCGCGGAAGCGGATGATGATAACAGTGTCACGGCATTGCGCGCGCTCGCAGAGTTGTCCGCGAGCGCGCGAGCGCAATCAGCGAATTGGCACAGTCGACTGTCAAGCGAAAGTCGATTTCGAGCGAGCGCGACGAACGCGATGAGCGAGACGTGGTTTTTGGCGAGCTTAGTCGGCGGAAACGACGGGTGCATCGCATCGCCCGATAAAGCAGCCGAAGTGGCGTCGCTTTACGCCGAGTTGTCGCGCGCGAATAAAGATGGAGTGTATTCGGCGTGCGCTTTTTCACCTGGCTACTTGCACTCGCTGTGGAACCATCTCGCGCGAGCGTTGTCGCTGCCAAGCAAAGTCTCAGACTCTGATCGTGCGTCGTGGGTCGCCTCGACGTTCGCGCACCGAGGCATATTAGATTTATCACACTCCGAGCTGGAGAGATTTGGTTATTTCTGCTCGGCGTACACGTACCTTCTCGTCGTTTTGCGAGACAAGCAATTCTTTGAAGAGCAAAAGCCGTTCTCGCTGGACGAGCAGCGAGCCATAGCGGTGGCTGTGAACACTTTGATTGTTCGCTCGCATGCGTCGAATCAAGTACACTTAATCACAGAAGATATGAAGCGGTCTATAAATGCCGCGAGTGAGTTACTTCACGCGCTCACCACGCGCGATGCGCGACGCGCCTTTGCGCCGAAGGAATTGTGGCTTGCGCCGAATTCCATGGAGCTCGAGCCAGCAGTCGCCGCGTCGGCTTTGCAATCACAAATCGACGGCGGCGCGCCGACACAAATCACGGGTTTGCTGAACGATTGTCCACATGCTTTGTCCTTCGACGAACGAGTGAAGATATTTCGTGAACTCATCAAGGCCGACAGACTCAAGGCTGGATATAGACCACAAGCCGGCGGTGCGGACGCGGCGCACGGCGATACATTTGCGCGGCCGGTGGCGCAGGTGACACTGCGACGCGAGAGCGTACTAGAGGATACGCTCACGTCAGTTTTACCTCTCGGTGCGAAAGCTCGAGGACGCATACTCGTGAAATTCGTCAACGCTGCGGGTCAAGAAGAGGCTGGCATTGACGCCGGAGGTTTATTCAAAGAGCTCCTCAGTCAAGTCACCGAACAAGGCCTCGACCCGAACCGCGGGTTGTTTCAGTCCAACGCCACTGGACTGATTTATCCGAGCCCTCGCGCAGGAGACACGCACGAAGGGATATTGCTTCTTGAGATGATTGGAATGATGATCGGAAAGGGAATGTACGAAGGTATTTTGCAGGACATAAACATGGCACCATTCTTCGCGGCGCACGTTTTGGGAACAGCGCGAACGATTGACGACATTCCCAGCCTTGATGAAGATCTGGCGCGATCGATCGTACAAATATTAGAATATGAAGGTGATGTCGCCGATCTGTGTTTAGACTTCACTTGCAGCGAAGAGATTTATGGCGAGCTTGTGACCAGAGAACTCGTCGCCGGCGGGAGAGACGTTGAAGTGACGGCGGCGAACAAATTATTCTACGTCTTCTCACTAGCAGATTACCACTTGAATCGACGCATTGCGACGCCAATGCTCGCTTTCATGCGAGGTCTAACGAAAATCATCAATCAACGCTGGCTCAGGCTGTTCAATGTGACAGAGTTGAGTCTACTTCTCAGCGGCGGTGAATCCGCGATAGACGTCGACGATTGGGAGCTCCACACAAGATACTCGGGTGGATATTCGTCCTCGAGCGCGACGGTGCGCAACTTTTGGCGCGTGATGCGAAAATTTACCCCAAAACAGCGCCAAGACGTCTTAAAATTCGTTACGTCGTCACCAAGACCACCGCTCCAAGGATTCAAGCACCTCAATCCGCCCTTTGTCATTCACAAAGTTCGCTGTGAGGCTTCGATGTTCGCCTACTTCGGCGCTACCGACGTGCGTCGCCTTCCCAGCGCCAGCACGTGTTTCAATATGCTCAAGCTTCCAAATTACCGCCGCGCGTCGACGCTGGAAAAATCCGTGTCGTACGCCTCGCAATCTCGAGCCGGTTTCGAGCTTAGTTAAACGTAGCCGCTTGTAGCAAGCTCGAGCGCACGAGCCAAACCACACACATCGCCGCTCGCGCGATGCCCAAACGCCGCGGTAAATCCGGTCGTAAACACGACGGTCCGACGCTCCCCGGCGTGCTGTTCCGCCAGCTCGACGGTTTCGACGACGGCGGCACCGACGGTGTCCCGACCAAAAAGCGCACCGACCCGAAACTCGACCGAAAGGCGCGCCGAAACGCCGCCAAGGCGGAAGCGGCGAAGAAACGCCAGGCGAGCGCGAAGTGGAAGGCTGACGGCGCGGCGCGGCGCCGAGAATCGCGGCAGACGAGCGACGACAAACGCACGGTGGCGACGAACGCGCACGCCGGCGGCGGCTCGAAGATTTCCGTCGACGACGACGATGGACGCGCGACGACGACGACGACGACGACGACGACGACGACGAAAAGAGATAGAGCTGAAAAGAAACGTGCGGTCAATACGTCGGAGGCCGCGGTGAAGCGGGTCAAGACGGTGAAGGAGTCGAAGACGACCATGCGCGCTTCGATGCGAGAGGCGTATGAGCGGGACGAGGCGAACGCGAGACGGTTGGAGAAGAAGCTGAAGGGAAGGAAAGGACCGGACGATGGGTTGGATTCTTTGTTCGAGGGATTGCCCGGTATGGACTTTTTGGAGGAGGAATACGGCGAGGATGATGAAGAGGCAGAGGGGAGCGAAGACGATGAAGAGGGCGAGGACGACGAGAGCGATGAGAGCGATGAGAGCGATGACGAAGAGGAAGAAGAGAGCGGAGACGAAGATTTGGGCGACGAGGACGCTGAAAACGAGATACAAGGGCATGAAACAAAAATGTCTGATCCGACGGCGAACACGGGGAAGTATATACCGCCGGCACAACGTGCATTGATGGCGGCCGCCGCGGGGAAATCGCCCGGCTTTGAGCAGTGCGCGAGGCAAATCAGAGGTTTGATGAATAGAATGGGCGAGGCGAACGTGGCCGGCATCGTCAACGATGTCTCAGATTTAGCGCAAAAGTATCCTCGCTTGGAAGTGTGCGACGCAGCGACGAAAGAAATCATGGTTGCCCTCACCGAGGGGCCTCGCGCGAGCGACCAATACTCCGCCGCCATCGCGGGCTTCGTCGCCGGCATTGCGGGCTCCATCGGGCCTGAAGCTGGCGCGCGCTTCGGCTCGGCCATTTGCGTAAGATTAGAACAAGAGCAAATGGATGGAAAGGCGAGATCATGTAGCAACATAGTGAACGTTCTCGCGAGATTGTACACGTGCGGGCTGTTTCCGTCGGCGTGTTGTTACGGTTTTCTAGTCACCTTGGCCAAGAGTTTGAGTGAGCTCGACTCTACGCTCATGCTCACCTTGCTTCGCATCGCAGGGAACCGCTTGCGTTCAGAAGATCCAGTGGGGATGAAAGAGTTCATCTTGGCTTTGCAAGCACGCGTGGCTGAGTTACAGAAGGAGCGCGGCGACGGCGAAGACGGCGGCCAACTCTCAAAGCGCGCACGCTTGATGCTCGAGATGGTCATCGATTTGAAAAACAACAAGAAGCGAGACAGCGCACAAGATGTCGGTAAAGATCAGTGGGGCTTCCCTGTCGCGCTCAGCAAGTGGTTGCGGGGGACAAACGTGGGCGAGGCTACCGTGGCGCTTCGCGCATTGACGTACGAAAAGCTCATCAAAACTGAGAGTCAGAAAGGCCAGTGGTGGTTACCCGACGCCGCAGGAACTGCAGAGTGGTTCGCGGCGCGTGCAGCGCAAGGTGCGATCACCGAACAAGCTGGGAAGACACGCGAGGGTGGTGAGTTGCTTCAACTTGCGAAGAAGATGCGAATGAACACAGAAACGCGTCGAGCCATTTTTTGCGTCGTCATGGGCGCAGATGATTTTGCCGATGCTCTCGAGCGTTTACTGCGCTTACCACTCGCTGACAAGCAAGATCGTGAAATTCCTCGCGTTCTGCTCGAGTGCTGTCTTCAAGAAAAGGCGTACAATCCGTACTACGAGGTTCTCGCCAGCAAATTGTGCGAGCGTCAGCGCTCGCATCGGCTGACGTTTCAGCTCTGCATTTGGGATCAGCTCAAAGAGATCGACGATCCGTCATCTTCGGTCAGACGCATATCGAACATGGCGCGATTTTTTGCCGGATTGGTGCTTTCAGGTGCGCTCGCACCGACTGCGCTCAAGGCTTTGGAATTCGGCGTCGACATCGCGCCGCGCGTCGCGCTCCATCACAAGCTCTTCCTCCAAACTGTCCTAGACGATCGCTCGCGAACGTCTGCCGCAGATAGCCTCTTCCAAAGGATTGCTGTCCACCCAGAACTCATGTCCGCCAAGGCTGGCTTCTTACGACTTCTTCGTGATCCTGCGTCGCTGGCCGCCGTCGCCGTCGGCGGCTCGAGCGATCCTAAAGCCGCCGCCAAGCGGCTCGCTGCGCGCGCCGGTGCGGCGCGCAACCTCCTCGGTGGCGTCTCGTGATGATAGCACTATTTAGTAATTCACATTCCTAGCGAAATATACACATCCTCGGCGAATGCATCGGCACCGAAGTCGTCCGAATCCGTCGCGACGGCGCGACTTCGATGCTAACCCTCGTCGCTCGACCACTCTGGCGCTCGCGCGACGATGTCGTCGTCGTCCGTCGCGACTCGATGCGCGCGCCTCGCACGAGCGATGGTCACGCCGCTCATCGAACGCCCCGCGCGCGCGCTATCGTCCTCGTGCGCGCACGCCGACGCGGCGGCGCGCGACGTCGCGACGATCGCCGGCGGCTCGACCGCGAGTTCGACCGCGAATCCAGCGCGCGCACGACGCGAACGCGCGAGCGGCGCGCGCGCGAGCGCGACTGGGATGTTTGTGCGCGAGTACGCGGCGCGTGGGCGGACGTTCGCGTCGACGTCGGGGTCGGGAGACGAGGGCGAAGGCGCCGAAGGCGACGCGAGTGAAGCCGCCGCGAGCGAAAGCGTGACGGAGGAGAAAACGATGACCACGGAGAGCGCTGAGGATGGTGGGTGGGTGTTCGGGATAAAAAACCAGCGAAGACCGACCAGGAGGGATAAAGGGTCGTACGATGGATTCTTGACGGAGATGGATTCGTATCCCACGCGTCACGACGTTCGGGACGTGTACAACGCTCGAGAGTGGGTGGAGGCGAGTCTGGAAGAGAGCTGCGCGCGAGCGGAGGAACTCATCGATAAGATGATGCGTGGTGTGAGAGAGGGCGAAGAGTTGGCGGCGAAGTACGCCGATGTGTTCCCGAAGACGCTCGGTGAAGAAGTCGATCCGGAAGCGGTGTTGACGTGGACGAGCGAATTCATCATGGAGCCGGGAGACGAGCAGGAGCACCCGCTCAACTGGAAGGTTTCGATGGAAGTGAACCTGAGCGAGTTACAGCGCGTCACTGGTTTAAGCGATGAGGCTATCGAGTACATCAAGCTGTTGGTGGACAAGAGGTACAACGCGAAGCAAGACGTATTGCGGATTGTGTGCCGAAGAAACGCCAATCGCGAGCACAACAGACAGTGGTGCTTAAAGGTGCTGTACGATTTAATTCAAGAAGGCAATAGAGAGTACCCTAGCGACTCTTATCAGTTTACTGGGAATTTAGGAGGCGACAACGCGGGCGAGGCGTAAACTCACTTTTATTAATATCATCGGAGCGCCGATTTTAGAAAATAATTCTTGGTTTGTTTTATTGACACCGTACACTTGTTCGCGATCTACCCGACCAGCGAATGAATGAATGGAAGCGTTTACTTCTTCGATTCATCCGCATACTTGCCCTTCATGACCCCGTACAAGCCCGCACCGACGATGGCGATGGCGGAACCGACCAGCGTTTGCGTGGAAATCTTGTTTCCGAATGCGAGAATGCTGAAACCGATGACGAAGATGCGCTTACCAACGTTACCGACGGCGTGAGTCACCGGAGCAACCTTGCCGAGCGCTTGGTAGGCGACTTGGTTGTACATGTGGTAGTAGAAACCAACAGAGGCGAGCGCCATGAGGAATTCCGTTTTACCCTTGACGGCGATGGCTTTGCTGATGCCCGCCGAGAGCGTCGGGCCTTCAAAGTAGACGGCGAACGGCAAGCAGAAGAGCAAGGCGACGATGGTGACCCAGTTGTACAGGTTAAGCGGAGACATCTTGCTCATGAGCTTCTTGCTGAAGATGGCGCGCGCAGAGAACGCGATGTTGGAGCTCATGGCCGTCAAGAAGCCCAACCACGTGAAGGAAAGCTCGGTGGCGCTCGCGATGGCGACGCCGGCGATGACGGGAAGCAAGGACAAGTACACCGGAAGCGGGTACACGGTACCTGCGACCAAGTACGAGCCAATGGACGTGAACACCGGTTCGAGCGTCTTAACGGTGTGCGTGAACGACACCGCCACCGCCGCGAACGAGACATTTGTCAAGCAGTGCCCGAACGCGTGCAAAAACGCCGGCAACGACAGCGCCTTCAAAAACTCCTTGTCGGGTTGTTCGTACTCGACCAACTTGGTACCCCAAGAAGAACGCCATGATGAACAACCCGACGATCAAGTGCACGCAAGACACGAACCACGGGTACGGGAAGTAGTTGTAGATCGTCTTGTTGATGATGTTAAACTGCACGTTTAAAAAGTACCACGCCGCGAAGTAAAACACGGTTTCGAGCTGCGGGTACTTTTCCTTGATCTCCGCCAGCGGTCCACTGTTCGCTCGAACGACGCGCGATTCGATCCGTCAGTCTTAGTCTTCGTCTCGCGTCCACCTCCCGTCGCCACCTTCCATCGCGTCGAAACACCCGATCGTTCCGGCGCGCGCGCGCGACCGCCCCCTGGAAAAACCTAACGCAGGCCCCGCGGTCGAGGGCGATCCTGGACACCCGATTCTCGACCCCCCCCCCGCGTCCCACGCGCGCGCGGGCGCGCGTCCGCGCGCGCCGCGCGCGCCGTTTCGCGCGCGACGCCTCCGTCGCCCCCCCCGTTCGCGCTCGAATCCACCGTCCCGTCCCGCCCTCGCCGCGCGCGCGCGTCAACTCAAACCATCCGACGCGACGAAAGCGGTTGCCGTCGCGCCATCGCCTCCGCGCGCCTCGCGCCTCGCGCGCGCGCTCGTTCGACGCACCTCGCGCTCGCGGCGGTCGTGATAATATCCCCACGTTTTTTCCCATCGCGCGTCGCGCGCGTCGCGCGTCGCGCGAGCGTCGCCGACGTCGCGAGCGCGACGCGCGAAACCTCGCGCGCGCGCGTCGCGCGCGGCGTCGCGAGCGCGCGCGGCGTCGCGCGCGGCGCGCGGCGCGTCGCCGGGCGCGCCGCGATCGCGGGGCGCGTCGTCGCGACGGTCGCCACGGTCGCCACGGTCATCATCGCGCGCGTGTCGTCGAGCGGTCGCGCGCGGCGTCGTCTGCCGCGCAATGCGACGCGCGAGGGTCGTTGCGCGTCGAAAAAAAAGCGCGCGCGAACTGTTTGCCCATAGCGGCGCTTTTTTTTCGTTCCGTGTTTACGCGCAGTCTCGTTTTTCGTACCGGTCGCGACCGGATGGATGGATGGATGGCGACGCGCGACGGTTGGCGACGCGCGACGGATGGCGACGCGCGTTTGCTCGACGACGACGACGACGACCGCGCGGACGCCGTCGACGACGTCGTTCGTCGTCGCGCGGCGTCTGAGGGCGCGACGACACCGGGGACGGGTTCGCGCGACGGCGGCGACGAAGGATGATGACGACGACGACGACGACGACGACGACGACGCGACGGCGACGGCGCGCAAGCGTCGGTACGTCAACGTGACGGGATTCCCGTTCCCGCTCACGCCGGTGCTGCGAAGGAAGACGACGATGGAGACGATCGTTCCGGGACGGGTGTGGGCGCTGGAGCAAGAGCAAGGGATCGGATTCGGGCTGGGGGTGACGACGAACGTGCGGATGACGGTGGTGAGAATGCGCGACGGCGCGCTGTGGGTGCACGACCCGATCGCGCCGACGGAGGAGTGCGTGGAGTTGTTGGCGAAGATCGGGGGAGAGGTGAAGTATTGCTGCTTGTCGACGACGCAGTACGAACATAAAATATTCGCGCCGGCGTTCACGCGCGCGTTTCCAAAGTGCGAGCTGTGGATCGCGCCGGGGCAGTTTTCGTTTCCTCTGCCGCTGCCGAACGCGTTTTTGGGATTGTTTCCGAAAGGTACGCTCGGTGACTCGCGTAATCCGCCGCCGTGGAGCGATGAGATCGAAAGCGAGCTTTTGTATCTACCGCCGTTGTTTTGGCACAATTACACGTACTGCGAGTGCGCGTTTTATCATAAAGATACGTCGTCGCTTTTAGTCACCGACGCGGCGGTGTACGTGGGAGAGAACGCGCCAGGAATCATCCCAGAGGATGACTTGGAGAGTCTGGGGAGCGACGACTGCTTCACCATTCGTTTGCTGAAACTGGGGAATTATCGCGGCGGACGAAACATCGCGTCGCCTCAAATTCCGGCGAGTCAGCGCGAAGCGCGCGTGTCGAACGGATGGATGCGCATGGCGCTGTTTTCGTTGTTCATCGCCCCGGACGCGAAGAATATCTTAAACCCCGAACGGAGCTTTCGCGGCATGGCGGGGAAATTCGTCGTGTCCCCGATCGTATTCAACGTCGTGTTTCAATTTTACCGCGAGGAAGTCGCGGCGTGGGCCGAAAAAGTCAGTCGCTGGAACGCAGAGCGCGTGATCGCCTCGCACTTCCCCGTTCCGGAGTCCGCCAGCAGTGCTGACTTTTTGCGAGCCTTTGATTTCGCAAAGTCACCGGACGCGATTCCTGCGGAATACGTCGATGCGGAAAACGACCTCGCGTCCTTGAATCTCGTCGTTCGCATCTTGGCCGCCATCAACGCGGTGCCGCGCATAGAATGAAGAATATTTGTAAATTACACAATAGAGCATAGGTAGCATCATTTACTCCCAGGACTCGTCGTCATCGTCTTCAGCCGCGGTGGTCGTGAGTGCGCCGTGATTTTTGTTCCATTCTTCATGGAATTCAACGTCTGCTCTCGTCACAGAAGGGCGCACTTGCTTAGCGGCGCGGCGAATGTCGGCCAATACGATGGGTCTGAGAGTACTTGGCGAGAGCGGACCTTGAACGTCCTTTGTCTTTTGAAACGTCTCACGAACGGGCGCTCTCGCGGCTTCTTGGATGAGATGTTTCATGTCAGATCCCGAGTAGCCGTCAGTTTTCTCGCAAATTAAATCCAAGTCGGCATCGGTGAGGTTGTGCGCGACGCCTTTGCCAGAGCTGAGCGTACGAAGAACCATGTCCCGCCTCGCGGCGGCGCACGGAAGAGGGATGTACAGCTGCTTAGGCATGCGCCGTCGAGCGCCATCATCGAGCTCTTGCGGCCTATTCGTCGCTCCGATGAGCAACAATCTGTCGTTCTCACCGCCGCCTAAACCGTCCATTTGTACTAAAAATTCCGTCTTCATGCGACGCGAGCTCTCGTGCTCGCCGTCCGATTTACGAGCGGAGAGCAATGAATCGATCTCGTCCACGAAAATCACGGCGGGAGATAGGTGACGAGCGACGGCGAAGAGCGCACGAACCATTTTTTCGCCTTCACCAATCCACTTACTCGTCAAACTCGAGGCAGAGATCGAGAAGAACGTCGCGCCGCACTGACTCGCAACGGCGCGACCGATCAAAGTCTTACCAGTACCGGGCGGACCAAAGAGGAGCAAGCCTTTTGGCACAGCACGTGCGCCTACGAACAATTCTGGATTCATCATCGGCCACACCGCGAGCTCTTGTACCGCCGCTTTCGGGTGCTCCAAGCCCGCGATGCTGTCCCAATCCACGCTCTCGTGCTTGTCCAAAATCTCGCTCACCACTCGTTCGATGATTTCTCTATCAATCTTAAGGATATCCTCCGCGATCGCTTCGCCGTTAGGGGATAGCTTTTGCATCACGGCTTCACTGAAAGGCTGCGCGTCGTCTTCGTTGCTCTCATTCTGATTCGGCTTCACTCGCTGCCCATTCCCGTTCCCGCCGCCGTACGGAGGCACAAAGCCGCCCCGCCCGTACGTTCGAGTCGTTCCATTCGCTTCCCTCGCCGTGCGATACTGTGCTGTCGCCGGAGGTAAGCCTTTCGCCGCGTGCTCTAAATCCAATCTCTCTCCAGCGCTCATGAATCGTGTCGGTGGCTTATTCGCCGCGTCGCCCTCTCCTTTTCCCGACCACCTCGACGCCGGCTCGCCACCCTTTCTATTTCTCTTATTTTTCGGACTCTTTCTCGGACTCGTCTTTCTGTCCTTAAGTCCCGGTCGTTCGAACTGTTTCTGTCGCTTCGGCGCGCCGCCGCCGATCCCGATCCCCCCATCGCGCGCCGCCGGCGCCGGCGCCGCTCGCCGCGGTTCCAAGTATCGATTTAAATCCGCGTCGCCCAAAATTTCCATCTCGTCGTCGTCCTCCAACGTCACGATCGGCGGTGGCGGCACCCCCCAAGCGCTCGTCGTCTTTTTCGCCAGCATCGCATCGACCGCCTCGTAATTCGGCCGCTTGACGACTGTCTCATCCTTCCCTCCCGTCGTCGTCGTCGCCGTTCCCCTCGTCACCCGTTCCTCTCGCGCCGAATCCGACCCCTCATCGCTCGATTTTATCTCCGCCCCGTCCTTCGTTTCGACCTCACCCTGCCGCGCGTGCATCTCCCGTCGCACGTCTTCCATCTGCGCCGTGATTTTCGCCAGAACGGGCGCGATCATCTTCGCATCCGCGCTCGACGCCCGCATCGATGGTTGCAACAGCTCGCGCTGGGAGATTAACAATTCGAGCGCCTTGGTGTGGTTTCCGTCGCGTCGCGCGTCCGCGATGTCCTTGCGCATGGCGCCTAAACGCGCTAAGATCGCGGCGCCGTCGCCCATGGCGCGTCGGCGCGACGCGACGCGGCTCAAAGTGACGATCAGCGCGGGCGCGGTGCTCGGTTTGGTTGTTTGAAATCGACGCGCGGCGGAGAGAATCGCGATGGATATTACGAAGTGAAGACGCTCGACGAGCGCGATCGCGCGAGCGCGATCACTCGGCGTACGTGCGAGCGTCGTCGGCGGCGTCGTCTCGGACGTCGAGGGAGAGCTTGGACGTCGCCGATTCGAAGACGTCGCACGGGCGACACAGCGTGCCGATGGCTCCGTCGACTATGAGGGTGCGATCGAGATCGATAAAGTGGAGGTAAACCGCGGTGAGGTGCTTCACGGCGTGGTCTATGTCGTCAGCGCCGCAGACTTCGCGGATGGAGTGCATGGAAAGCTGCGCGGCGCCGACGTCCACGGTGCGAATGCCGGTTCGGGTGGAGAAAATCGGCCCAATGGTGGAACCGCAACCGGTGTCGCTTCGCACGACGAACTCTTGCACGGGAACGCCCGCGCGCTCGCCAATCTCGCGGAACATGAATGCCGTCACGGCATCGGTGGCGTAACGCTGGTTGGCGTTGTGCTTGATGACTAAGCCGCCGTGCATTTTCGGCGCGTGCGCCGGTTCGTGTCGATCGGCGTAGTTTGGGTGCAAGGCGTGCGCCATGTCGGAGCTGACGCAAAACGACGCGCGGCGCGTGCGCTCGTCCAAGCCTTCCACGCTTCCTTGGCTCAGCGCAGCTGCGATGCGTTTGATCGCGTCCGTGGTCATCGCGCCCGCGGCGCCGCTCGAAGACTCGCTTCCGACTTCTTCGTGGTCAAAGTGCATAATCATGCGCACGCCTCGCGCGTCCGCCAACGCCTCATCCGTCGAGGCGTTCATCAGCGCGTGCAACGATGTGTAACAACTCGCCAGGTTATCCAAACGGCCGCTGTAAATGAACTCATTCTGCGCCCCACCGATCGCGCTCGGTTGCGTGTCGCACAGCTGTAGATCGAAATCGACGATGTCGCCCGGCGCGCACCCGAGTTCCTTGGCGAGCAACGTCAGCAGCAGCGGGTGATGCCGTTCGCTCGACCCCTTACCGTCGCTCGCCGTCGTTTTCTCCCCACCCTCGTCGTCGTCTTTCGCTTCGGCCTTCGCGCGCGTCGCCAAAATCGGCGCCATGTGCTGCTGAAAGTTCACCTTCATCCCCTCGCTGTTGACGTTTCGATCCAAGTGAATCGCCAGCGTCGGAATCCGACACACCGCCCGATCTATCCGCACCAATCGATGCAAAATCTCCCCCGTGTGCGACGATTTCACCACCACCCGTCCCGCGATCCCTAAATCGCGATCGAACCACGTGTGCCACAGCCCGCCGCCGTACGGCTGCACGCGCACGCGCACCTCGTCGCCCCCCTCCACGCGCGTGTTCGGCTTCAGCTTCGGACACGGCGAGTCCGTGTGCGCGCCGACGATCACGAACCCATCTCCCGGTTCGTATCCACCCCCCACCGCGAACGCCACCACCGCCGACGCGTTCCGCGTGTAAAAGTACCTCCCCCCGCGCGCCAACGACCACGTCGCGCGCTCGTCGAGCTCGACGAATCCTCGCCGCGCGAGCGCCTCGCACGTCGCGCGCGTCGCGTGGTACGCCGTCCACGCGTCGTTGAGATAATCCACGAGCCCGCGCGCGTGCGTTCGCGCCGTCTCGGTCGGCATCGTCGACGCCGACGACGCGCGCGCGACGATGCCGACCGACGACCGACGACCGGCGCCGCGATCGACGATCGATCGATCGATCGATCGTCGTTCGCGGGGAAACTCGATCGACGTCGCGAGCTTCGACGCGCGCGCGCGATCGGCGCCGATCGATCGATCGATCGATCGATCGTCGATGGATGCGAAACCCCAAGAGCATCGGGAGTGCGCGACGCGCGCGCCATGGACGACGTGCCCGCGAGCTTTCCGCGCGGCGAGGTGCGGACGACGCGACGCGAACGCGACGACGCGACGCGACGGCGACGCGGCGACGCGCGACGGCGACGCGCGACGACGCGCGACGACGAGGAAACCGATCGAGAGCGGGTTCGGCGGCTCGCGCGCGACGGCGAGGGGGAGGGCGGCGCGCGCGGGCGACGCGATGCGAGCGACGCGAGCGGAGACTGACGAGACGGACGATTCGCGGCGCAGGATGGATTCGTGGATTGGGACAAGGTGGACGTCGAGAGCGTGGAGCTGCCCGCGGATGAAATCAAACGCGCCGGGTTGGATCAACCGGTGAAGGTGGAGTTGGAGGAAGCGAAGGAAGATACCGGGTTCGCGAGCGTGATCGTCGTGGATAATTTGCCGCAGATTCCCGAGGCGAAGTTTGGCAAGCTGTTGAACGTGCTGACGAAGATTTTTACCCAAATTGGTGAAATCCGAGAGGGAGGGATGTTGATGCCGCAAGACGAGGCGACGAAGACGTCTCTCGGATACGCGTTTGTGGAGTTTGCGAACGAGCAACAGGCGCAGAGCGCGGTGGAACAAACGGATGGGTATAAATTGGATAAGACGCACATCTTCAAGGTTTGCAAGTTTGATGACTTTGAAAAGTACCAAAAGGTGCCGGATGAGTACGTCGCGCCGCCGCCGAAGCCGTTCGCGCCGCGCGAGAACACTCAAGCGTGGATGATGGATCAGCGTGGGCGCGATCAATTCGTGTGCCGATTCGGCGATGAGACGCAAATCTTTTGGAACGATCCCCAGACGAAGAAGGGCGAGGATGTGTACACGCGTACGCACTGGACGGAGTCGTATGTGCAGTGGTCGCCCAAGGGGAGTTTCTTGGCGACGGTGCACAGACAAGGCGTTGCACTGTGGGGTGGTGATTCGTTCGGACGTATCGCTAAGTACGGTCACAATGGCGTTCAATTCATTGAATTCTCTCCATGCGAGCGATTCCTCGCCACTGGGTCCACGCACGATCCGACCACGGCGGACGGAGTGACATCCGTCCTCGTCAACTTTTTCGACACGCGCTCGGGCGCCAAGTTGCGTACTTTCATGGGACCTATTAGTGATTTCATAGCCCAAGGCCAACAAGGTTTGAGGTGGCCGGTGTTCAAGTGGTCGGGGCAGAGTAGCGATGAGAGCGGATGCTTCTTTGCCAAGATGGGCACAGGCATGATTTCCGTGTACGCCGCCCCGGAAATGACGCTGGTGGATAAGAAGTCCATCAAAGTCGACGGCGTGGTTGATTTCTGCTGGTCCCCGACGGATCCTATCTTGGCCACGTTCCAACCCGAACAAGGTCTCGGTAACCAACCGGCGCGCCTTTCTTTGATTTCTCTGCCGAGTAAGAAAGAAGTTCGTTCGAAAAACTTGTTATGCACCGGTAGCATCGTCGGCGTCAACATGTACTGGCAAGCGAGCGGTGATTACTTTGGGGCTAAGGTTTTACGGACGACCAAGTCAGGGAAGACGACGTATAGTGGTTTCGAGTTGTTCCGCTTGCGCGAACCAAACTGCCCAATGGAAGTTGTTGAACTCGCCAACAAGGCTGAGAAGATTGTCGCGTTTGCGTGGGAGCCGAAGGGCCATCGCTTTGCCGTCATTCACGGCGACGGTGCGCGTCCGGATGTCTCTTTCTACAGCATGAAGGATAAGCAAGGTAACAACAACTGCACGTTGATTGGTACCGTCAAGAATAAGACGGCCAACCATTTGTTCTGGAGTCCGAATGGGCGCGTCGTCATCTTGGCGGGTCTGAAGACGATGAACGGTCAGTTTGAGTTCTTCGACGTAGAAACCATGGAAACCATGGCGAGCGTCGAGCACTTTATGGCAACTGATGTCGAGTGGGATCCCACCGGTCGTTTTGTCACCACGGCGGTGACGAGCGTGCACCAAATGGAGAATGGATACCACATGTGGACGTTCAACGGCAAGCTGCTGTACAAGTACGGCAAGGATCGTTTCTTCCAGTTTTTGTGGCGTCCTCGCGCAAAGTCCTTGCTCACGGCAGAACAAGAGGCCGATATCGAGAAGAACATCAAGAAGTACAGCAAGAGGTTCGAAGAGATCGACGAGAAGATCAGAAACGAGGCGGATTCCAACGTCGCGAGCGAGAAGAGAGCGACGGCGGAGAAGTGGAAGAAGTGGGTCGAGTCCAAGAAGGCTGTTCGGGACACCCCGATCTACAAGCAAGCGCTCGACGAGTTGCTTGGCGATCAAGCCAAGGCAAAGTTGGACTTTGTCGAGACCACCGTCATCGAGGAAGAGATTTTATCCATCGTCGAAGAACCGCTTTCGTAGAGACTACGAGTTGCTTTGTCAATATCGACACCGAATTTATCATCAAAACGCCGCGCACGCGTCGTTCTCAAGACAGGAATGAATTCATCACTACAACACCTTAGATTTCATCGCCGCGACGGCACGGTGCACCAGCCATCGTCGTCTGGCTCGTTTTTCAAACGTCGCGCCGACGTGTCCAGCGCGTCGTCGCCGCTCGGGTGAACGTTAAAAGCCCCACCCAACTGCTCGGCGAGCCCATCGGCGTCGACGGCGTCCATTTCATCATCTCCTTCATCATCACTCGAGCTCGCTCCGGTGTCCATGTCCCCACCACCGTTCATCGACCATCGCTTGTCTTCTTCGATTTGTCTGCTTCGCTCGATCGACTCGCGCGGGAGCGGCTTCGATTCAATCTGCGCAACCATATCGTACCTTCCCTCCGCACACTGCTCGTACATCATCCACAGCGCCTTCGCCACCTCACCCGGCGACCCATCCTCGCACGTGACGTTAAAATCATCCCCTAATATCTCAATCAACAAATCCTCCAACTCGAGCGCGTCCTTGCTCTTGCGCGACGCGAACCACTCCGCGATCTCCTCTTCCGCCTCCCGCGCCTTCCGTTCGCTCTCCGTCCCCCCCCACGCGTTCACCACCGCCAGCTGCATCGCCGTCCACCGATCGAACACCGCTTTCACCCCCCTGCGAAACGTCGGCGCGTGCTCGCTCGCCATCTTCGTCCCGCCCGGCCGTCCCATGAGCATCGCCCTCGCCTCCGCCGCGCTCCTCGGCGTCGCTCGCGCCTCCGCCGCGCCTCCCACCGCGCGTCCCGAGCGCAGTCGCATCTCATCCTGCCTCGCGCGCGATCGCTCGCGTCGTCAGTCACCGTCGGGTCGTCGTCGTCGTCGCCGCCGCCGCCGCCGTCGCCGGCGCGTCTTCATTCGCGTCTTCGTTCGCGTCGCCTCGCGCGCGCGCACCGTCGCCGCGCTCGACGCGCCGCTTCGAAGCTCCATCGCGCGTCGGCGCGTCGCGCGCCGTCGTCCGCCGTCGGTCGGCGCGCGCGTCGCGCCGTCGCGCCGTCGTTTTCGACGACGATTCCATCGATCGCGCGCGACGCCGGCGAACCTCGAACCGTCGATCGACGCCGCGCGAACGAACCTCGCGTCCGAGGTTCGAGCGCGCGCGTTTTGGATAAAATCATCCGACGCCGCGCGAAGAACGACGCGCGCTCGAGAGACGGCGACGCGCGACGCGCGAGCGAGGCGACCGAGCGGGAAACGACGCGAGCGGGAGCGATGCGCGCGACGGCGGGCGCGCTGGGCGGCGCGCGCGCGCGGTGCGAGCGCGCGATCGGCGCGCGATCGGTGACGAAGACGAGAAGCGCGCGACGGGGGGGGCGCGCGACTCGCGCGGCGAGCGCGGCGGAGCTGGCGAGCGAGGAGAATAAGGACGTCAAGGTGCTCGTCGTGGGGGCGACGGGGTACATCGGGAAGTACGTGACGCGGGAGTTGTGCGCGCGCGGGTACGACGTCACGGCGTTTACGCGGGAAAAGAGCGGCATCGGCGGAAAGACGAACGCGACGGACGCGAAGGCGTTGTTCCCGGACGCGAAGGTGAAGTTCGGCGACGTTGGAAGCAAGGAGTCGATCGAGACGAAGGCGTTCGATGAGGGCGCGTACGACGTGGTGGTGTCGTGCCTGGCGAGCCGCACGGGCGGCGTGAAGGACTCGTGGGATATCGATTATCGCGCGACGAAGAACGTGTTGGACGTGGCGCGCGAGCGCGGGAGCAAGCACTTCGTTTTGTTGAGCGCGATTTGCGTGCAAAAGCCGACGCTGACGTTCCAAAAGGCGAAGCTTAAGTTTGAGGCTGAGTTGCAAGCGGCGGGGGATATTTCGTACACCATTGTGCGCCCGACGGCGTTTTTCAAGTCTCTCGCGGGGCAAGTCGAAGTGGTGCAAAAGGGCGGCCCATACGTCATGTTCGGCGATGGACAATTGGCTTCGTGTAAGCCGATCTCCGAGAGCGATTTGGCCAAGTTTATGGCGGATTCTATTCGCGAGCCGGAGATGTTGAACAAGGTGCTCCCCATCGGCGGCCCGGGCGAGGCGATGTCGGCGCTTCAGCAAGGCACTATGCTTTTTGAACTCCTCGAAATGGAACCAAAGTTCATCAAAGTGCCGATTGAAGTGATGGACGTCGCTATCAAGGTTCTCGATGTCTTCGCTGGCTTCTTTAGCAACATGAAGGATGCGGCCGAGTTCGGCAAGATTGGTCGATACTACGCCGCCGAATCGATGTTAGTGATGAACGATGATGGTAAGTACGACGCCGCCGCGACGCCGAGCTATGGCTCGGACACACTTAAGGAATTCTTCGATAAGGTGAGCAAGGAAGGTCTCGCGGGCCAAGAGCTCGGCGACCAGGCCGTTTTCAAGTAAACGCTGTTTACTCGCGAAGAATTTCATTTATTTTAATGCAACGTGCGCTTTCTTTCTATTTTCCATCGTATCATCTAAGGCTACCCTACTTTTTCGCCGCCAGCGGTCCTAGAATGTTCAACGCTCGCTCTAACGCCTCCACCGCGGTGTTCACGTCGTCGAAACCCAACGCGCTTACCGCATTCTTTGCGTGTCGCTGCGCGTCGGCGATGCTTCCAACGTCGATCTTCGGCGGTGTGACCCCAGGCGGCGCTCGACCGCCTCGAACCACCGGCGTTTTGCTCGTAGCCTTCGATGGGGCGCCCGTGTTTACACCAGCTGGTGGTCCACTGGCCACGTGTGGCGGTGGAGGTGGCGGCGGCGGCGGTTGATGCCTCGGCGCCGGCGGCAATTCCACCTCTGGCTCCGCCGACGACGCCTCCGCCTCGACGCCTATCTCGCTTCGCTCTTCGCCCTCATCATCTACTGGCGGTGCGGTCGCATTTCGACCCTCTCTACACGCTTTCGTTATCTCCGCCGCACGCCACTCCGCGTACCGCTGCTTGTTCTCTATATCTGCGTCCAATTTCCCGTCGGCGTCAAACTGTCGCAAAACGTTGAAGAAGATTGATGACGCGTAAAACATTTTTGCCGTGTTCATCCCTCGCGAGCCACCCCGATCGGCCCGATCGGCCTTTACGAATATTTGCAAAGCGAACGACTCGCACTCCAGCTCATCGTGTTCCTCGTTCAGTTCGTCTTTCATCTTCGCCTTGGCGCGCTCGAGCCGTTCCATGGCGTCCGACAGCGCCTCGTTAACCTCCGCCGAGCGATAATCGAGTTTCAGCCCCTCGCGCACGGCATGCATGCGGCAGTAATACGCAATTTTCGGTTTCGCCGCGTCCAACTCCTGCGCACGCTTCAGAATCGGCGCGATGAGCTTCAACTGTTTGACGAAGCGAATCTCTCGACGTGGTCAGTCGCGAACTTTGACACGACGATTCCGCGCGTTGCGGGACGTAAACGCGCGATGACGCGTTCGAGATCATGGTGTCATGTGCGTTATAGGTCGGAACGCGGTCACGCACCTGGTCAGCCATGGATACGCGTCGAGAACGCGAGTCGCGTTGTGAAGGTGCCTCTCGAGTCGAACGCGTGGAGCGCGGAACGGATCATTCGAGCCGAAGCTTCGTGCGCGCTAGTACTACTGTAGGACTAAATCACCGCTTGCGTAAGCGATGGACTATGTGTGCTATGGACGCATCGTCGGTGGCGTTCGAAGCGAGAGCTTCGCTCGTGGCGCATTTGCAAATACGCCGATATTCATCCTTCGTGACGTCTCCGGCGGCGTAGAGCGGACGCAAGACGGCTTTGACGCGATCGGCGATGGCGAATTTGAGTGATTTATCCGGTGATGATGCGGCGGGCAGTGGCCGAGAGGTGTGAGAGTGCGACGGTGCGGCCCGTTGCGGAACGGGCGTCGCTCGCGCCGTCTCCTCGCGCGGTTTCCACGCCGTAGCCGACATGCTCCAACCGGGAGGCTCGCTTCGAATGGATGGACGTTTGAGTTTCGGTGCACTGGTGCTAGCGACTGCGTTTGATGCTTTGTCCGATGTTGACGCCCGCTTCTTTTTCTTGTCGTCTGCGTGCATCGCCTTTTCAAGAACGTCCCACGCTTCGTCCACGACGTCCTTCGGTCCGTCTTCATCCGTGTTCGATCCTACCCGACGCGGTGCCGACGGCACCGACGAGCGAGGCGACGAAGGTGTGTTTTGTATCCGCGTCCAGCCCGGAAACTCGACTTCCCCGCTTTGTAACATTTCCCAGGCTTCTCTCAGTACGTGAACTCTCGAAATCTGCTCAACTCGAGCGTCGTCGCCGCCGCCCGAGCGACTGCGCATCACCGATCGCTCGCCGCCGCCCCCGCGTCGACGTATTTCCCCACGTTGACGCGCTCTCACCGCGCGACGCGCGCGATCCGCCCTGCGCTCTCTCGTCCGCACGGCTTCGACGCCGCCATCCGACCGTAACAAAATGTCCCGAGCGCGCGACTCCGCCTCGGCTCGTCGTCGGCGTCGACTCGACCCACCATCGCGCGCTCCCGCGAACTCTCCCTCCATTCCTCGGCATAGTTCGCAAAACCATCTTCCACGCGGCACGGACTCGAGTCCGACGCAAAACGTGTGCGCCCCGATGTCGCACGCGTCGCACAGCAACAGCGACGCCTCGTCGTCGCCGCGTCGGCACACGTCGCAAAAGTACCGCTCCGCCTCGTCCTCCGATTCTTCCTCCGCCTCGTCCGGGCGTTCGTCGCCTTGATTCGTCTCTCGAAACTCCATCACCGGCCCCGCGCGCGCGCTCGTCGACGCGTCCTCGGGCGTCATCTTTGTGAACCTTTCCTTGCACAGGGGACATTTCGTCTCAATCGAAGCCCAGCGCACGATGCACGGGACGCAGAAGAGATGACAGCACGAGTCTAACCTCCCTCTTTGCTCGGGGATGGCCAAACAGACAGCGCACACGTCGGCAGCGGGCAGCGCGGGTGCCGGCGTCATCTCGACGCCGGCGAGCGGGACGGAGAGTGCGGCGCGACGAAACAGTTACACTATCGGTACTCTACGCGTGACGAAACGAATCGATCGCGGGTTGCGTGCGTAAGGCATAAACGTGACCACTTTCGGCCCAGCCCGCGAGGACGTCGCCGCGGCCGCACGCGGTCTTGCAGGAGTGCAATCCCATCCAACGCGTGTCGGCTCGAAAGGAAAATCCGCCGTCGGATTTTTGCGTTCGCCAACTGCCACACATGCACTCGTAATCTAACCCGGCCACGTACGCAAATCCTGGGCTCGATGTGCTGAGTTCGAGCTGGGTGATGTCGAACTTGGCGGCGTTTCTCCAGCGTTCCATGGCGCCCCATTTGCGGATGTCGAGGACGTGCACGACGCGCTCCGCTCCGCCACACGCGATGACGGATTCCAATCCCGGCGTTCGAGACGTCGACACCGCGTACAGCGGCTTATTATACCCTAATGATATTCTATTTGCGCACCCACCCCTTTCGGCGATTCGATCGTCGTACACCGCGAGCTGATGTCCCTCAGCGACGACGAAGACGTTGCCTCCGTTCCCAACCGCGGTGAGCTCTATATCGTACGGCGCTAATAACGTGCGAATCCGTCGCACGCGTCGATCACCGTCGTACAAATCCACCACACGCTGTGAACTCTTTGCGACGTATATCTTACCGTCTTCGCCTCCTCCCGTGACGGCGCCGCACCATCCGCCGACGCCCTCGACGTCGTTCGCGCCCACCGCCGCGAGCCGCGAGCCGTCGCCGAATTTCCCTCCCCCGCCCACATCGCGCGTCATCACGTCCACGACACCGTAATTATCCACCATCAACAGTTTTCTTGCGTCCTCGCTCAACGAAATCGATTGAATCTCCCGTTTTGTCGACGACGATTCCAGCCGTCGCCGTCGCGCCGCCGTCTCGCTCACCGCCGTCGGTCTCAGCGCGTTTTCCTTACCTCTATCGACGTTCGAGTCGCTCAAGTTGATCTCACACGCGAGAACATCGCATCCCGAAGCTATGATCACGTCGTACGTCTCTTCATCGCTCGCGCGCGCGTTGTACACGCACGCTCTCGACGCGTGATGTTCACCAGGGCTCGGGTGACTCGGTGACGGAAAAACGACGCGCGCGTGCGCGAACGCGCGAACTTCTAACGCTGATGGACCGTGCGCTATGGATTTGGGTAAGTTAGCGGGCGCCATGCCGCGAGGGCGCGCGCGAGGCGACGCGCGAAGGTGTGCGGCGCCGCGCGCAGGCTCGGGACAGCGGGACGACGCGCTTCGGTGAGAAGAAGAATTTACACTATTTATTAGAACTTCCAAATCGCGCTTGCCCACGTGAGACCGGCGCCGAACCCCGCGAAGGCGATAATGTCGTCCTCCTTGATCGCGCCGCTCTCGACGGCTTCGCACAAGGCGATCGGAACGGAGCCTGCAGAGGTGTTGCCGTACTCGGCGATGTTACTAACTACCTTGTCTTCGCTCAAACCAAACCTTTGCGCCGCGCTGTCTATGATACGCTGGTTGGCTTGGTGCAAGACTAACTTATCGATGTCTTCGGCGGTCATGCTGGCCGCCGCGAGCGACTTGTTCACCGTCATCGGCACCGTGCGCACGGCGAATTTGAAGACGTCTTGACCGCTCATGGAGATGTTGCAAAACGCCGCCGTTTTCGACGCACCATCGCTCATCGGCTTACCGTTATCACCAATATACTGTGCTACCAGATGATGATTTTGGCTTCCGTCTGAGTGCATGTCGAACCCTTTTAACGAACAATTCGCCGCATCCGTTGCCGTTAACACCGCCGCTCCGGCGCCGTCGCCGAAGAGAATGCACGTCCCTCGATCGCGCCAATCCACGTATCGGCTCAACACATCGCCTCCGATCACCAGTACATTCTTATAGCCCCCCGCTCGAATAAATTGCGCGCCATTCACCAACCCAATAACGAATCCACTGCACGCCGCCGTCAAATCAAACGCCAACGCATTTTTTGCCCCAATCGCCGCCTGAATCGTGCACGCGCTTCCGAATATATCATCCGGGCTCGACGTGGCCAAAATGATCAAATCCAAATCCTCAGCTTTCACATTCGCTCTTTCAAGCGCTTGTTTCGCCGCGTGCGCCCCCAGGCTCGTCAGCGTTTCATCCCCCGTAATCACGTGTCGCTTGCGAATGCCCGTGCGCGTCGCAATCCACTCGTCGTTCGTCTCCACGAGTTCGCTCAGATCGTCGTTCGTCAGGAATTTCTCCGGTATCGCCTTACCGACGCCCGAGATCTTCGCCCCCGCGACGTCGAACGCGCGCGCCACGCACAGACCGCGCGGCGTTCGTTTCGCCGCGTTCGCTTTCGTCGTTTCGCTTCGACCTCGCGGCGCGCGCGACCGCGACGGCGCGCGCGCGACGGCGGACGCGAGAGACAGCATGACGCGACGTACGCTCGCGCAGGTACGTGCGCGCGGTCACGCGAACGCCTTGACGCCGACGGACGCCCAGACGCCGACGGACGCGCGCGTCCAAGACTGCCGATCGACCACTGGACCAAGGTTATCCAAAAGCTGTACACGCGAAGGCTTTGACGCGGGACGCGAGAGGCGAGCGGGACGAGACCGCGAGGCGAGACCGCGAAAACGCAGAGATATCTGAGATGCACTAGGAATGACTAGGCTAAAATGACTATCGCGATGAATGCGTGCCGAGTTCAGGAGCGAGACGCGCGACGCGCCTTGTCGACGGCGTATTCGGCGACGCGGAGCGCGTCCTTGGCTTGGATGTTTTTGGGATCTACGCTGAGCGTGCGCTCGAACGCGAGGACGGCGTCGGTGAATCGTTTTAAGGCGTGCAACGCGAGACCGCGGCGGAAGTGGGCCTTGACGTAGTCGGGTTTCACCGAAAGAGCGGCGTCGGCGTCGGCGAGGGCTTTATCGTGCTCGCCGAGCTTTAAAAAGCACTGCGCGCGGTTGCACAGAGCCACGACGTGCGATGCGTCGAGGTCTAGGGCTTCGGTGTAGTGCAACACGGCTTGAGAATAATTACCATCCTTGAAAGCGGCGTTGCCTTTGTCTTTGCGCAGCTCCGCGCGCGCCGGAGCGGTGTCCAAATGTTCCGCCGCGAGCGCGTCGCCGAGCGAATCGCGAAGTTCGCGTTCCGTCGTCGGGTACTCATCTTTCCCACGAATCAACCGCTCGGTGAGCAAATCTCCATCTATCACTCGCGTGATGAACTGTGGAATCTCTCTGTGATCACCGGGCGCTAAATCTTCCGAATCGAGCCTTTGAGCGTCGCTTCCGAAATCGCCAAACGCCACGTCGACGCCGACGCTCGTGGCGAATACCACCGCTCCCATGAACGCCCGTACCGCGTATTTCAACCGCACACCGCGACACTGATCGATTTGAGTCGTCCCGAGCGCGCTCTCGTACCTCACCTCACACCGCACGCAGTCCCAAATCTCCAAGTGTTCGCTCAGCACGCGTCCCGCCACGACGATTTCGCACCCCTCGCACCGCTCCACGAACACCTTTGCGCACTCCACGCTCGCATCGATCGTCACGCGGCTGTCTTTACACCCCGCGACGTGAATCGCGCGTTTTGCATCGCAGTCCGACGCTCGCACGCGCGCGTGCGATCCATCCACGACGTCACCGACGACGAGACGCGACGCTTTCTCTCGCGCCAAAGCGCGCGCGATGGCGATCGTTTCCGTCGTTTTATCGCCGTTCGCGGGCGCGTTCGAGCGCGTTTCGGCGTCGTTCGCGGGCGCGGCGTCCGGCATGTCGTCGCTGCGCCGTCGACGCGACGGCTCGACGCGTCGACGCGTCGCGAGGTGACGCCGACGATCGTTCGGTCCGTCGATCGACGTCGCGCTTCACCGTCAGTCGAGACACGCCGACGCGCGACGACGCCGACGACGCCGACGACGCGCCCGCGAACGCTCGATCGTCGCGGAGGGAGAATTTGCGGAGAAGAATCGGCGCGCGCCGTCGGAGAGCGACGACGCGCGATCGCGAGCGACGCGGCGCGCCGACCGAGACGACACGAGACTGGTGATATCAACCGACATGAGCGACCCCGCGCCGAGGCCGACGACGACGACGACGACGACGACGACGTTCGTGAAGCTTCAACAGACGGTGGACGAGCTCGAACGCGAACTTGAGACCGCAGAGAGTCGATTAAAAACGCGCCGGAGCGATATCGTCACGCTCGAGGAGAATTTGGACGCGGAGCGCGCGCTCGCGAAGCGCCTCAGAGGCGAGTTTGCCGACGTCTTGGCGGAGATTGCGACCACTAAGGCGGCTTTGATGAAGTCGAACTTCGAAATCGAGGATGTGTTGCGCGAGATCGAACCGCATCGCCGACACTCGATCGGTGAACCATCGCCAGGGGCGCCAGAGACGATCGAAGAAACCGACGCCGAGGCGCCGGATCCCGAGCGGCGCGCCGCCTCGCGACGCGCCGCGCGGCTCGCGGCGTGCGAAGAAGGCTTCGAGCGCGAAAAGGCGCGCACCGCGGACTTTTTGAAGTCACTTCGCGCGTACGAGAATCGTCTCCAGGCTGAGCGTCGACGCGACGCGCTTCAGCGCGCTCGTTGACGCGCTCGTCGTCGCGCGAGAGGTCCCGAGCCCTCCGTCACCGTGCAATCACTCCTCACATTTCGCCGCGCAATAACTCCGCGCGTCGCTCGAGTGTCGTCACGCGTCGCGCGCGCTAGTGCACCGCAGTCGGTCGTTCATCGCGGTCGTCGATCGCGCGCGTCGCGATCGAGCGCATCGCGCGCGTCGTCATCGTTTGATCGAACGCGTTCGGGCCCTCGATCGAACTCTCGACTCTCGCCGCGCGCGCGTGACGGCTCCGCGGCCGGCTGCCGACGCGACGAGCGGGCAAACGCGCGATGTCGTGTTGGTGCTGCTTTAAGGGCGCGCGAAAGCTCGATGTCGCGAGTTGGCGCGCGCGGTTTCAACCCGGGGAGGATGACATGTGGTTCGACGCGCGCGAAGAGTTACACTACGGCGACGAGGATGATGGCCTGGATGATTTGACGGATGAGAATATCTCCATTGAAGCGAACAGTGAGTTCCCGTTCACGCTTGGCAAGGTTTGGGAACAGGAGGAACATCAGAGCTACGTGGCGACGGCGATTCGGGAGATGAAGGGCAAGGTGCGACACGTGTTGCGAAAACAACACGAGGAGGCGGTGAGACAGGCTGAGGAAGAGGCGGCAGAGTTGGAACGATTGGGTTTGATGACGGCGGAGAAGCGAGCGATGCATGAACGCATGACTTCGGGTCAAGGTACGCAAGAGCTGGTGGGAATGACGAAGCACTTGAAGGTTGGTCAAGACTTGACGGATATCGAACTGCCGCCGACGTTCTTCGTGCCGTTTAGTACGATTCAAGTCGCGGAGGACGTCGTGTACGTGATCGAAGGCTGCAACAATGATTGGAGCGACTTAAAGCATCCCGATCCCGAGCGTCGGATCGCACGTTTGGTGAAGTTGTACCTAGACATGAGCGCCATTCGAACGGAGCACGGCTCGAGCGCTGGGGTCAAGTCAGCGTACACGTTTGGAGCCATGAAGAAGCCTTTGAATCCGATTTTAGGCGAAACACATCGAATTAAAAGTGGCAACACTGAGTATTTAGCCGAACAGGTGTGTCATCACCCTCCCATCACGACGTGGGACTTGAGAAATGAAGAAATTGGTTTGCACCTGTCGGCTGACGTCAAGGCGAAACCCGTCTTCCGAGGAACATCGGTGCAAGTGCTCATCGATGGCGAGATGCGATTCGAAAATTTACACACGGGTGAAAAGTACGTCATGGATATGCCTTCGTTATTTATTCGATTTTTTGGACTGAGCGGGAGCTATTCCGAAACGGTGGGTCACATCACACTCAGGCGCGTCAGCGAGGGTCCGCCTTTGTGCGCGGAGTTACACTTCAAACCGCGAGGCACGACTGGCTTGCGCAGCCATGCGAATAAGGTTGAGGGATCGATTAGCTCTGAGACCACCACATTCATGCACTTCAAGGGTAAATTCAACGACGCCGTGGACGAGGTCACAGAGAAGAGGGAGTTTGTGCGACCGTTTTGGCGTCCTGCACCTCCAAAATCGTCCAAAGCACCGAGAGCGGTGACGCGCCCGCTCAACGGATTCACAGACAGTCACTGTCTTTGGGGAGAGTTTTTCCAAGCTCTCATTGCCAAGGACATGAAAACTGCGAGCAAGGCGAAAAAGAAAGCTGAGCGTGGGCAGCGCAGCCTTCACAAAGCGATGAAAACCGGCGAACTCCCGCCGTGGGAGCCGACGATGTTCGCCACCGAGGACGGCGAGCGGTGGCTGCTGAAGCCCAATTTCAACCCCAGCGTGCAGCCGTCGTGGTTGAAGTACATTGGCTATAGAATTTATGAATAGTAGAAGACCGCGCCAGAGCGCGCGCGTAGACTTGTGAAATAGAAAATTTGTTGCATTTCTTCCGCTACGTCACTTCGCCCCTCGCCGCCGCTCCGCGTCACGGTCATGCACGCGAGCGCTCGAAGAACCGCCCTCCGCGCCCTCGCGCGCGGTGTATCCTCCAGCGCCTCCACCAACGCCTGCGCGACGCGCACGAACGCGACGGCGTTCCTCGCGAGTCGCGCGTCGACGTCCCCATCCCTCCCCGCGCGCGTTCGCGCCGCCTCGCGCGCGCGACGCGCGTTCGCGTCCGACACGCACGATGATTTCAAACCCAAGGTTGCCGATGCCTCGAACGAGGACGTCGAACGCGCGATCGAAAGCGACGTGCAAACGAACGCGGTGCTGATTTACATGAAGGGGTCGCCGAGCGCGCCGCAGTGCGGGTTCTCGAACATGGCGTGCCGCATCCTCGATCATCACGGCGTGGAGTACGCGTCGAGAAACGTGCTCGCGAGCGAGGAATTGAGAAATGGTATCAAGGCGTACTCGGCGTGGCCGACGATCCCGCAATTGTACGTCAAGGGAGAATTCGTCGGGGGCTCGGACATCATGATGTCGATGCACCAGAGCGGCGAGCTCGCGGAGTTGTTCAAGGACGTCGCCAAGCGCGCGGATTGATGCACGCATCGCACGAGTAGGTTTGTCTATTTTACTTAGTCTAATTCCCGAGGCGTGCGATCGCATCGCGTTCGCGTTCCCATTCGGCTCGTTCCGGGCGCGACGCGTCTCGCTCCTCTCGCCGCGTCACGACGCCCAGTCTCGCGCCATCTGTTCGCTCTTGCGATCACCGTGCGCGTCCCCGCTCGTTCTCGCGGCCGCCGCCTTGGACGCGCGCACTTTACTCGCCATCGCTTCGCTCTGTCGTCGTCGCGCGTCGTCGTCCTCGCCGTCAGTCGCGTCGTCACGCCGTCTCGAGCCAACCGTCGCGCACCTTGATCCCGCGCATCTCGCTTTGCTTATTCCGCGCTTCCGCGGCTTTCAGCGCCATCGCTCGGCGCTCGTCGACCGTGGCGAGATCGTCGTACGGCGCCGAGGCGCAGCATCCCATCGGACGCGATCCCAGTCGGCGGCGTCGACGTCGCGATGTGACGGGGGCGCCGCCGCGGCGACGGGAGTGAGTTGAAGCAATGAATCGATTATTATTACATAACCTCGTAGTCGTATATGGTGGACGCGAGCCCCTATCGCGCGTTTAAAAACACGCGAGTTTATGGTATAGTTCGTTTTCACACCGCAGAAAGCATAGACTCGTCGAAGCGATATTTTCCATCGCTCGACGACGCTGCGTTTTTGCGAGCGCGCTCCTCCGTGGAACGCGCTCGCAGAAGACATTTTTCATATCATGATTTACATCATGATTTCTCTGTACAGAGAAATCATCACCCTCTCACCCATTTCACGATTTTGACTCTTGGGAACAAGTAAAAATGGATCAACTGTTTTACTTCTTGTTCTCCAGGAGTAATCGCAAAATCCGTTTACCGAACGGACTATTTTTGATCAATGGCAAGTGTGGTCTGATACGCTCGACAAGTTCGGTGTGAAGAACACCTTTTGTGACAGTGAGCGTTGACTGCACGACGTAGTTACCGTACGGATCCATGAGAAGACGGTCCAACAGGGGCGACTGCATGATTTCACGCACGACCGTGTTGCGATTCTTCTCGAGAGACGCGTCGGCGAGTTTGAGGCACTTCTCGACAACGTTGGAGCTGAACTTCTGCATGGAGAGTTCGGCATAGTTGCCGAGGAGCTGCGTCATAACTTCTCCGTTGGCCCAAGACAATCCGAGGTCCAAAATGTATTGAACGACGTAGTTTCCAAAAGGATCTTGAGAAAGCACGAGCGCTTGAGAGGCGATTTCGAGCACCAACGGACGACGTTGTTCATCAATGGCGTGGTCGATGCAACGCTGAAGAACGCAACAACCGTGTCGGTGAGTCGCAATCTCAACACAGTGCACCTTGGCCGCGTCATAGATGAATTGGTTGTCTTCAGACGACAATCTTTGAAGGCACCGCTGAATTACGTGGTTACCATTCAAGTCCTTGATCAAAGTAACGACCCCAGGTCGTAATGCGTTCGTCGCCAGAGAAACCTCTTCGGGAGAGTTGAGCATCTCGATCAACTTTTGAACCGCGCGAGTACCGTGCGTGTTCAAAGCGATAGTGACGAGCTCAGGCAACCCATCAAGTGAATCATCCTTGACGACAGAAACCGCGCGTAGAACTCCAGAACGTTGTTCGTCGCTGCAGCACTCGATCAACTTTTGCACCAAATAGTTGCCAAAGGGATCCATCATTAACTCGACGGCTTCGGCGATGATTTCATCGTAGCACAAGTCGACGGCTTTGGCACCTTCTTCATCAAACTTCCGTTGTAAGAATCGGCAACCGTGTTGATCGCGCGCGAGCACAGAAATCTGTCCGACGCAGTTGTCGACGGAGACGAAACGACTGTCCATCTCCGCGATTTCAGCCTCGGACGGAGGAGAATCAGATCGCGCAACCGAACCGGAGAGCGACTGTGAGCCACCCCCATTTCGATCGCCTCGATCACCCGCACGATTTCTTCCCATAGTTCTACCAACGCGAGAGCGATCGTCTCGACCGCTCATGCGCGAGCCGTAGCCACCGTTATCGCCCCCGGCCATCCCGCCGTCGAGACCAGAGAATTGCTGAAGCTGTTGCGCAGTCAAGTTCTGATGCATAAGTCCAGGAACTTGTTGCTGCATGCGCATCAAGTTCTGCAACTGCTGTTGCTGAGCGTAGAAAGCGGCAGCGTACGCAGCTTGGTAGACTTCAGCCATGGATTGCGGTTGACCATTCGCGCCGTAACCCGCACCGCCGAGCCCGCCGCCGAGGTTCGACGCGAGAAGCTGCGCCATCTCCGGCGTTTGGACAGGCATACCGCCCGACATGCCGCCTAAACCGACACCAGCACCCATCCCAAAAGCATCCATGCCCGCCATGGACGGCGTGCCTTGGAGCTGCTGCATTTGCTGCAGCTGCTGCAACTGGAGCTGGAGCATGGCGGCGTTATCCATACCACCGCCGGCGCCCACGGCGCCGTAAGCGCCCATGACCGGTGCCGGAGAGGCACTTTGCGAATTCGCTTCAGTGCTAAATCGCGATGAGTTACCCACAAAGCTCGCTTGCTGTCCGTGAGGAGCGGCGTGCGAGCCGTGCGGCGGAAGCGGCGCGGTGGATGGCCGCAGCGGCACATCCGTCCCTAACCCGAAGCTGGAGAACGCGCTCACGACATCCGTCGTGCCTTGTCCCAAACTACTACCCGCCATATTCCCCATACCATTCAGATCGCTCGGCAACCCAAACGCGCTCTCGTTGAACGCTCCGTTTGACATCGAGTTCGACCGCCCGTGGTGCCCCGACGGAATCGCCCCGTCGTCTCTCGACGCCCCAAACAACCCACCACCCTTCCCGAACCCCGCGGCGTGTCCGAAGTGTCCAGAGTTGTGCGCACTATCGGCATCACCCGCTGCCGTCTTCCCGTACGACAAATCTACCGCCGACGCGCTCCGCACGAGGTCATCCGTCGCCCCCTCGCCCGCGGCGCGCGTCTCGTCCCGCAGTAACCTCGAAAACGTGCTCTCGTACTCCCTGCGTCCCGCGCGAGCGCGCGAAATCCGTCAGTCACCGAAGCGCGCGTGCGTTTCATCTCTCCTTCCCCGCATCGTCTCGTCTCGCGCGCTCCCGCTCGCGCGGACGTCGCGCGACGCGTCCAGAGTCACGCCGCGCGGATGTCTCGAGTCGCGCCGCGCGCGCGCCGCGACGAAACCGCGCGCGTTCGAGCGCCGCGACGCGCCCACGCCGCGTCCGCGTCCGCGCGCGACGCGCGACGTAAATTCTTCTTCCGGATTCTCGCCGCGCGAATCCCGCGCGCGAGCCCTCGACGACGACGACGCGTCCCATCGCGTCGCATCGCATCGCATCGCATCGCGTCGCGAAACCCCCGCACCTCCACGACGGTGACGTCCCCGCGATGTCGTGCGCGCCCTCGCTCGCGCTCGCGCTCGCGCCGCCATCGCTCGATGGTTTAAACATCTGCGTCCTCGCGGCGCGTCCGCGCGTCTATCGCCCGCCGCGCGGACGAGCGCGTCGTCGATCGACGCGCGGACGCGCGCGGATGTCGAGCGCGACGCGCGCGGCGTCGGCGCGTTCGAATCGATCGTCGCTCGAGCGCGCGATGCGAATCCACCGAGCCCGCGACGCGGGCGTCGAGCGACGGCGTTCGAATCGATTCGCGCGCCCGCGTCGCCGTGCGTCGCGAAGCGCGCGCCGTGCGACCTCGACGACGGCGCGTCGAACGCGACGCCCGAGCGTGCGTGTGCGGGCGCGGCGGCGGCGGCGAGGCGCCGCGCGAACGATCGAACGATCGATCGATCGATCGATCGATCGAACGATTCGCGAACCCGATCGATCGATCGATCGCGCGCGCGAACGATCGATCGACGTCGATCGATCGATCGACCTCTCGCACACCCGGGTGTCTGCGCGCGCGCGTCGAACCGCGAAATCGCGTCGAATCGCGCGTCGGCAGACGGCGCCGGTCGTCGTCGATGGAGAAGACGCCCGCGCGGGCGACGTCGGAGGACGAAGGGATCGGGATCGTCACCCCGGGCGCGGTGAACGATGGGATCGGGGCGCGCAGACGCGCGAAGAGTGGGTCGGAGACGACGACGACGAACGCCGCGAACGAGAACGACGAGGACGATGACGATGATTCGGTGACGATGGTGGCGCGAGCGAACGCGCGGGCGCGCGAACGCGCGAGGATGGAGGCGCTGAGAGATTGGACGGTGATGCGGGAAGACGAAGGGCGATCGTCGCCGCCGCCGGTGGCGATCGAAGGGCTGACGACGATTCGGAAGTATTGCGCGCTCGAGTTGGGCTTGCGCGTGGGCGAACGCGAGGACGATCCGGACATGTCGCACGCGCGCGAGCGCGTGTTCGATTTATTGTGGTACATACCGTTGGAATTGGAAAAGTTTTGCCTGTACGGGGGGTTGCTGTGCGCGGATGCGATTTTGGGGTTGTTTACGTCGCTGCCGGTGCGCGTAATGTCGCAGACGGTGCGTTTGGCGTGGTCGGTGTCGGGGCTGAAATCGAGAGACAAGACGTCGTCGAAGCGTCGTGCGTGGGGGATACACCCGTATGCGCGCGAACATTTGAACGATGTCTTGTGGCTGTTCATGCTGTGCGTCGCGGTGACGTACACGCACATGCTTGACGTGAGCGTGATTTATCACTACATTCGAGGCCAAGAAGTGATCAAACTTTACATGGCGTGTCACGTCCTGGAGACGTTCGATAAGTTGTTGTGTTCGTTCAATAGCAACGTGCTCGATGCGCTACAAAACAGCGTGCACGGATGCGTCAGCGCGGCGACGAACGGGTCAAAAGTTGATCAAGTGAAGTCTGGTGTCAGGCTCGCCGTGGATGTGATTTTGTCCACGAGCGCGACGGTGGCGCACACGTTCATCCTTCTCACGCATGCCGTGACACTTTCGGTGGCGATCAACAGTCACACGAACGCTATGTTGCTCGTGCTCATCTCGAATAATTTCGCGGAGATGAAAGGTCACGTGTTCAAGAAGCAGGATCCAGAGAAGTTGTTTGGCGTCAGTCGACTCGACGTCATCGAGCGAGTGCATCTCTGCGTGTGTCTGATGTTCGTCACCGCACAAAGAATCATGGCTGCTGGAAATCTTGAAATGGCGCTCACGCGTAAATTTTTGAACGACATAGCCTTGGTGATGGGTTCGGAGATTTTCGTCGACGTTGTGAAGCATTCATTCATGGCGAAATTCAACGGCTTGCGCCCAGGCGTTTATCGACGATTCTATCGACAAATCTGTCGAGATCACGTGCACTTGACGCAGTCATACAAGATACATCAAGTCGTTGGATTCGTCCCACTCGCTCCGGCGGCGGTTATCGTTCGCGTCGTTCCAGGTCTATATCGAACACTCAAGCAAAACGCGATGTCCTCCGACATTGTCACGCGAGGAGCTTTCGATCGTTTATTGGCACATTTTAGCGGCCGTGTCATCGGTCTCGGGGTCATGTTCATCGCGATTTGTTTTAAGCTCGCGTTCGGTATCGCTATTTACACCTGGGGTGCGCGCTCGCTCGAACGCACATCGAAAGTAACGCCGAGCGCCGAGCGATGGGGCGCTAAGACGCCGGGCAAGGTGACTGGAAGCATGCCGAGATCGCCGCCTAGGATCAAGGTCAATTAGTGTTGTAGTACATAGAATTGAAATGCATTTGTCGAGCGACGTCCACGGCTTCGCGCCGTCCGGACGCCCCGATTTTAGAGCGTCGTTTCGTCGGCTTCGCCAGATTTTTCTGGCTCTGGTGTGCGCCACTCGTCGGCGGACGCGCCGAATTCCTCCGCTAAGCCGCGCCAAAGAGAGAGTGAACGTTCGGCGTTGGCGACTTGCACACGGGAGTAGTTGAGCAGCATGGCGTGAAATTGTGCGACGCGCTCTTTTTCTAAACGAGCGAATTCCTCGCGATGACGATCTTGGATGATTTTGTAATCGACTTTTGCCTGCTCTCCAGTCGCGCGCGTGGCGTCGAGTTCGAGCTTCAAATCTTCAACCTTTTTCATCTTGGTGAAGTCTGGCGTGAGCTTGGCGATTCTGGCTTCCAATCTATCCGCCTCAGCGAGCATGGTTTGAAGCGTCAAGAGAGATTCATTGCGGTCGCTGATGGACCTACGAACGGAGGGCATGATTTTCAAGTAGTCGTGAAGCGGCTCGAGCGATTGCGCCGTCTGCGCCGTCGCCGCGCGAGAGACGCGGCTCACCTTGATTGACGTGTTCCCAGCTTTTCTCATTTCATTCGCGGCAGTCATGCACTCGAGACCATTCTCGCTGTATTTGCCTAACCGCGTACCCTCCTCTTCTTGAATCTTTGCAAATTTCAAGCACTCCAAACCAAACTCTCCCACGGCTTCGCCAAACTTTTGCTGCAACGTCAGCAACTTCGTCGCCTTGGATGACATCCCGGATAACTCATTTTCCATGCGAACGACTCTATCCTTTTCAACCAAGAACGCGGCGTCCTCTTCCATCACTTTCGGTTTGGGAGTGTCCAGCCCCAACACGCCGCCGACGGCGCTCACCGCCGTCGACTGCACCACAGTCTGTCTCAGTTCTTTGAAAAATCTACCGAAGTCACGAGGCTGCCCAGGAGACGCCACCGCGATCGGAGGGCGTTGTGGCGTTTCCGGACTACTCGGTAGATCGCTCGGGATCGTCGTGATGACCCTTCCCGCGGTCATGTTGAACCAATCGAGACTCGACGCCAAATCTTGGTGAGTGAGGAAGATTCGAAGCGGATCCCCGAGACGAAGCTTGGAGTGCGATGCGATGCGATTGAGGTAGTGCTGCAGCTGTATCGCGCGTTCTGCGATGAAGTTGTCTCCCGTCGAGCTCACAACCGTCTTCTCCGGTCGAGGCGGGATGAAATAGCCTCGGTGAAGCGCCGAGAGTCTGGCGTCGAGGGCGACAAAGTCGCGAAATCGTCTCCAAACCACAACCTCTTTGTGAATGTACGACGGAATCGTGGTGCGCGTGGTAATCTTGTAGTGCGTCACGCGCTTACCGACGAGCGCCGCGCTCGTATCGGCCTCAATCTTGGGATCGCTCACCCAAATCTGAAGCGTCTCCTCGTCTCCCGCTCCGTCGTCGCCGTCGAGGTAAACCGTCGTCGTCCCTCCCACCGCGTTCGCCCCGACATCGCGCGCTGGTTGAATCTCAGGCTGCGCGTACATCACGCTGTCCGCGTACGACGGCGGCGGTGCGAGTAAATCCCCGTACGACATCCCCGCGTTCGCGTGATAGCTCCCGTTTTCGAGCGCCTCCCCGCCCCCCCCCCCCGCCCGCGTCGGCGTTCGCGGCGACGCCGGTTCGACGTCCCGTTCCACCCCGACCCCGATCCCGATCCCGATCCCGCGTTCGTCGTCGAGCGACGCGTCCCGCGTCCTCGCGCTCGCGTCGTCCGCGCCCGCGTTCGTCTCCGCGCCCACCCCCAGCGGTTCGTCGCGCCGCGCCTCGAGCTCCGCCGCGTCCACGTCGAACGGATTCGTCGACCGCGCGTCGAACATCGCGCGCGTCGCGTCGTCCGTCGATTCGCGCGTCTCGATCGCGTCGCGCGTCGTCGTCGTCGTCGTCGTCGTCGCCTCCATCGCGCGTCCCAATCCTCCCAACGACCGATCGAGCGCCGGTCCCGCGAGCACGCCGAGCGCGGACGCGCCCGGGTCGAGATCGATCGATTCGTCGTCGCTGTCGTCGCGCGGCGTCATCGCGCGGCGTCGTGTGCGCGCGACGCGACGCGACGCGCGATCGGAGGCGATGGCACGCGTGTCGTATGGGTAAACAGTGAGGCGTATGTTTTAGTTCGACCCGTCACCCTCGGCGCGACGACCCGCCACACCGCGACGGCGACGGCGCCGAGGGTGACCGGGACGAGGGAAACCGCGGTGACGACCCATGACGACGCCGCGCGCGCGCGTCGCGGCGCACGCGGCGCGCGAGCGCGACGACGTCGAGGACGGCGGCGCGCTCGGAGGCGCGACGACGACGGCGCGCGCGCGGGGACACGGGAACAGGAGCCCGCGATCGATGGCGACGCACGGATTCGGACAGCCGACGCGACGGACGCCGTGGGGGGCGAGGCTGCGCGCGACGCTCGGGATGGACGGAAGGAAAACGGGAGAGCGGACGCGGGACGGACGACGCGGGCGGGGACGGGGACGAGGGGACGCGAGGGAAGACGAGGAAGACGGCGATGGGAGCAAGGGAAGGCGCGACGGGCGACGGGAGGCGGAGAGAACGTCGAGATTGTGGTGGGTGTGCGCGGCGGTGCTGGTGTGGACGTTCGGGCCGTTCGCGTACAAGTGCGCGCAGGGGTTCAACAAGGTGTACGGGCGAAGATGGTTCGATCCGGTCGAGCGACCGGTGCCGTGCGAACCGACGAGCGCGGCGGCGGCGAAGCTGGTGGATAACTCACCGTTACCGGGGCTCTTACCGGCGGACATGACGAATCTCCCGAGTTTACTGCCGAAAAAGTTCAAGATTGGAATGATTTCGCTCTGCGACGACGGCGTCGAAGCCATCTGCGCGCAGTCGATGGCGAACAAGCAGGCGTACGCCGATTATCACGGATACGATTTGATAGTGGATGAAGAAATTATCGATAGAAACCGGCCGACGAGCTGGAGTAAGCTACTGGCGATGCGCAAGTATTTGCCCGATTACGACTTTATGCTCTACGTCGACGTCGACACGATCATCATGAATCCGGAGAAGAAGTTGGAAGACATCGTGGATTACAATTACGATCAGATGCTAGCGGCGGATAAAAACGGTTTAAATTGTGGGGTTTGGATGGTGCGCAACACGCCGTGGATGCTGTGGTTCATCGACGAGATGTGGGCGCAAGATCAACTCGTCGCGCCGAAGACGTGGAACATGCTCTTTAAATACGAGCAACGCGCTTTTCATTATCTCTATCAGTCAAAGATTTGGCGCAGCAAGGTAAAAGGTGATGCATACCCCAAAGCTAACACCGTTCGCGCGAGGACAAAGGTTTTGAACGCGTGCGTGTTCAATTCTCAGCCTTCGTTTTACGTCAAAGGCGATTTGCTCGTCCACCTCGCCGGTCTGAAGGGCACGGTAAAGTGCATGTGGTTTAGATATTACTACAAACAGTCTCTGAACACGATTCGGGCGGTGGGTGCGGTGTCATCAGACGCCGATCTCCCTCCGCCGTCGATTTGGACGTGTTTAACGAGGCAAACGTGAAATAGCGTGCGCTAGCGTAGTGTATTGAACAGCGCAAACTCCGAACTCCCGTCCTCACACTCGAGCGCGCGCGTCGAGCGCGCACGCGTCGCGATGGCGGATTCGGTGACGCAGTTACAGAACCAAATCAACACTCTGTGTCAGTTGATGTTCAACTACGCCGGGACGCTGCAGCGCGACGCCAAGCCGGTGCGACGACCGACGCGCTCGACCGCTCGAAAAATGCGCGACGCCGCGCGCGAACTCTCGCCCGTGCGACACGACTGACGCCGCGCGCGGCGCCGATGAACAGGCCACGATCGGACCGAACGGTGAACTCAACGATGCGCTCACCGAGGGTGGGGTGACGCGAGCGGAGATAGACGAAATGGCAGCCACGATCGCCGAGGCGAACCGAGTGATTATGGAAATCGCGCGCGCGCTGCCGGAGATCGATACGGATGAGAAAGCAGCGCGTAAACGCATCGCCGCGCTTCACGCGGAGCACGACAAGGTGAGTAAAGAATTAGAAACCGTCATCGCGCAGGCGAAGGCGGAGTTAGACGTCATCAACGCCGCTTTCAAAGCCGCGGCGAGCGGCGTATTGGCGCTCGACGACGAAGCGACCGATTAGTCGATAGAAAATAGATCCGCGTTGAAGTGTACATCTTCGTTCGTATAGCAGTGACTAGTGTAACGTTACAATCTAAATTTCCCTCCCTCACGGCGCCGAAGACACGAGATCGCGCAGGCACTTCTCCACCTCCTTCGCGTCCAGTCCCTCGAGCTTCACGCACTTCTCCACGCCGTAGTCGTACCGCGCGTACAACTTCCCCTCGATCCCGCTCGCCTCGCGAATCAGCACCGGCGTCGTCGGCGACGCCGCCTTCAAGTTTTTATAGCTCGACATCAAGAAATTCCTCACGCCCTCGCTCCCTTTGCTCGTCTGACACAGGTGAAAGCGAAGCTCTTGCAAGGTTTTCAGTCCCGCGAACGCGGCTTTGCTCATCGCGACGCCGCGACTTCCGTCCCGCGCGCGCGCGTCCCGCGTCCCTGAAAGAGTGAGCCCTTCGGCGTGTCCCGCTCGGTCGCCTCCGCGATCGATCGATCGATCGACGCGCGCGACGCACCGTGCGGACGCGCGCGCGATCGCGACCGAGGGCGCGATTCGATTTCGACGCGCGTCCGTCGATCCGTGTTTTGTTCTCGAAAATCAGTCTCATCACCGCGCGCGCGATCGACGCGCGCGCCGTCTTTCCGTGGCGCGCGACGAGAACCAGACGCGATGACCAACACGTCGTGCACGATCCGCACGCGCAAGTTCATGACGAACCGCCTGCTGCAGCGCCGTCAATTCGTACGTGTCGCGCGCGCGAGCGAACGCGAGAACCAGCGACGAGGACGAGGACGGGACGATGGGGCGATCCCGCGGCGGGCGGATGCGTCGCGCGCGACGCGCGCGGCGACGGATGGATGAGACGCGCGATGGATGAATACTGACGATGAATACTTTTCACGCGCACAGATTCTCGATGTGCTTCACCCGGGTCGCGCCAACGTCGCCAAGGTGCGTCCAACATCGTGACGGCTTGGGGTTTTTTGACCCTAAAATGCCCGCGCGAGCGACGCGGCTGACTCGAACGCGACGACTGACGATTGATTGGTGTTTAACGATGTAGGCTGAGCTCCAAGAGAAGTTAGCTAAGATGTACAACGTGTCCGATGAGAAGTGCGTGTCCATCTTCGGGTTTCGCACGGCGTTTGGTGGCGGTAAGTCCACCGGGTTTGGTTTGATCTACGACAACCTCGACGCGTTCAAGAAGTTCGAACCGAAGCACCGCCTCATCCGCGCTGGCTTGAAGGATGCCGTCCAAAAGTCCCGCAAGAACATCAAGGAGAAGAAGAACCGTGTCAAGAAGCTCCGTGGTGGCGCCAAGAACAAGGTTATGTAAATCTTTTGGCTTGGTTCTCAGAGTGTATGGGGGATGTGTAGGCGAGCGCGCCTTGAAATTAGTTTGGGCACAGCTGTGTGCGACATTAGAAGACGAAGCTTTTACGTAGCGATTGTACTCGGCTGTTTCACGGCATCGAGTGATTGTAAAACGAGAGAAAGCTGTTTCGGATAAACTCAGCGCCGCGAATCCCGCAACTCGCGCGAGGCGCTTCGCGTCGCGTCCGAGCGCTTTGAACATAGCGCAGATGAAGGATTTTCGAAACAAAATCAGTCTAATGATCACCTAGGCCCGTATATAACTATTGGAGGGTTTGTGGCGCATTTTTTATTAGTGCGCCTCGCCCGAGCGCGTCTCTTGAGTTTCACTTCGCGCGCACGCCAGTTAGCTCAAGACGTTCATGCCCATCTCGAACGCTCTTTCTTTCTCAAACGTCTCAAAGTATTGATAAATGATCGTGACCGCGAGCAAGATACCAGTACCAGAACCAATCGCACCGAAGAAGTCGGCCACGATCGTCAACGCGCCGATGCACATACCGCCGAACGCCGCGGCGATGGGGATGTACCTGTTGAGCTCCTTTTCAATCTTGACGTCGCGATGACCTTTGATGATCATTTGTTGTTGCTTGAGCTGCTTGGCAACATCTCTGGCGGAAGAACCCGCGACTTCGATCCAAGTCTTAGAGAACAACGCGCAAGCGGAGAGCATGAAGGTGACGTAGAAGATGGCGTGCAGCGGATTTGCCGCGACGTCAGCCAAAGACGTCGGCGGCGAAATGTAATATACCAAACCACCAGTGGGGATGAGCTGACCATTGCTTTCGCTCTCGTGCCAGCGACCAAAGAGTTGGATGAAAAAGTTACCACCGTATCTCTTGTATAAGAGTTGGGAGATGAAGTACAAGTTTGACACCAAGGCAGACTGCAAGATGATCGGCATGTTGGACGTGTAAAAGAGCTTGATGGGATAGTTTTGCACGTAGCCGCGGTTTTGCTTGGATTGGATCGGCAAGTCGACGCGGAATCCTTGGAAATAGATGACGATGAGGAAGATAAGGATTGTCGACAGCAGATTGGTGATGTTTGGCAAGTTGGTGCGGTAGAACGCTTCCTTGAGCGCGCGAATCTTGTCCGTGCGCGTGAGCATCAAGTGGAAAAACGCGATGATCGCGCCCTCGAATTCGGTGCCTCGGCCGGTGTTCACCGTGGTCGGAGAGAACGCCTTCCAGATGATCGATTCGCACTGATTCGTGGCGATGAACAGAGAGATCCCCGACCCTAAACCGTAGCCCTTTTGCAACAATTCGTCCAAGCAAATGACGATTATTCCCGCAAAGAAGAGCTGAATGATGATGAGCAACGCGTTGCCCACCCCCAAGTCGCGCACATCACCGTAGATCCCGCTCACGACGTACGCCACGGCCTCGCCGATGGTGATCAACACCCCGAGAAGTTTCTGCGCGCCGTTCAACAGCGCTCTATCTTCCTTGACGCTCTCGTCCACCTCGATGATCTTCGACCCCGACAAGAGCTGAATCACCAGCCCCGACGTCACGATTGGCGATATCCCGAGCTCCATGCACGTCCCTCGATTGCTCGCCATGATCACCCGCGCCCAGTAGAACGGATCCGCTCCGCTCGCGGTGTTGATCCCGTACAGCGGCAGCTGCGAGCACACCAAGAACACGAACAACGCCACGCACGTGTAGAGCGTCTTTTCGCGAAACGGAATCTTGCGATCGGCCGCCTTGACTTCGGGCAGGAAGCCCAAGAAGGGGCGCACGAGGTGCAGCACGCGGAATCCGCTCGACATCGCGCGCGTGCGTTATCTCAACACCAGCGCGCGGCACTGCGGGGACGCACACGCACGAAATCGAAATCCACCCCACTCGAAATCGCCGCGCGCGCGCGCCGACGACGCGACGCGGGCGCGGTCGATCCCCCGATGCGCGCGCGAGATCCCTCGATGCGCGCATTCGAGCGACGCGAAACGCCATCATTTACGCCTAAACCGATCATGGACAAAAAAATGACGGAAAAATCGTAAACCCCGACAACGCGCGCGGGCGCGCGGGCGTTCGCGCGTTCGGCGCGCGCGGCGTCGCGGCACTGGCGGGCGTCGTCGTCGCGCGCGATGGATGCGGAGGCGCGAGAGGTGTACGAAGAGATACGCGCGCTGGAGCGGGAGGCGTTGGAGAGGGTGAACGAAGCCCTCGATGACGGGCGCGAAGACGCGGAAGCGTCGCGCGAAGACGCGCTGACGAGGGCCAAAGCGTGCGCGCTTCGAGTGCGAGCGCTGATTGAGGAATTGCGGGAAATCGGTGACGACGCGGAGAGCGTGGACGCGCGACGAGCGATCGCGAGCGCGGTGAGCGAGCGGGAGTTGGCGTTAGAGAACACGCGGGCGATCATGAGACACGCGGTGATCGAGGCGGCGTCGAAAGGGCGAGCGAGAGAAGCTCGAGAACGCGAGGCGCTGCTGACGGGACAGAGCGGGACGAGTCGACACGACGCGACGAAGGCCAGCGGCGCGGTGTCGATCGCGAGCGAAGCCACGGAGGGATTACGAAGGGCTCGACAAATGATGGCGACGGAGTTGGAGAAGGGCGAGAAGACGTTGGCGGCGATTACGGAATCGACTGCGACGATGGAGCGAACCGGAACAGAGTACTCAAACCAAACCACAAAGCTTAAATCAGGTCGCCGTTTGCTGACGACGATCGAGAGGCAAACATTCATGGATAGAATCATCCTTTGGTTCGGGTTCACGGTCTTTTTGTTGGTCGTTATACACATTTTGTGGAAGCGAACGCCCGTGCTCGCGAGGTTTCATCCGCTGTACTACAAGTGGTCTTCAAAGACCGCGGCTGTGGCACCGGTCCTCGGTGATTCTTCCAAAGAATCGGCGCATTCGTTCGAAATTACTCAGCATCCGTCCGATGGTGCGGTGAGCGGGGAATCTGGTGTCGGTGAGGAAGACGACCCTTACAAGATCGGCGTCGAGACGCGTCGCGGCGACGGCGAACTTTAGACATTTAGCGTCGTTTTAGTCGTGTAAATTACATATTAGCGTAAAGAATCGCGCGCCGTTCATTGCGGCGGCGGAACACCTCGGCGCTTGCGCGGTCGATTCGCTTCGAGAACGCGCTGCTCAGCGGCGCGTTCCTCCTCGGGCGTCAACTTTTCCTTCGTCGCCCACGGGTGGTTTGCAGGAATCTCCGCCTCGGAGAGGGACTTTTCAAAGTTATCGTTCCCGGCCGCGGAGGCTCGACGACGCTCGCGCGCCGCCAATATTTGTTCCTCCGTCAGTTCGGGCATCTCCACCGTTCGCACGGATTTCATCATGCCCTTGAAGAACTTTTCCTCGTCCACCTCTCGGTTTTCGTCCAACATCCCGCGCTCCTCCAAATCTCCGAGCGATCCTTTGCTACCACTACGTCGCCCGAATAAGAGTTTTTTCAAAATCAACAGCGCCAACGCTCCTCCGGCGTACACCACCGGTCGAGGCGCTTGCTCCAACGCGCGCGGTATCCCCTCCGGCACGTCCACGGCCACCGAACCAATCTTCAGCGTCCTCGTCCCCTCCGTCGGCGGTTTCAAGTGCTTCGAGCTCTTCTTCCCCGACGTCTTCGCGTTCTTCCCATCGCTCTTCCCTCGCTTGACGTTCTTTTTATTCTTTTTATCGTTCGCGTTCACCGCCGCGCTTTTCCGCGCGCGCGTCACGATCGCTTCACCGCGACCGTGGGTTCGGCGCCCGCGCGCGCGTTTTGAAGTCGAGCTCGAGCTCGAGCTCGACGACGGCCGCGCCGCGTTCGGCGCGCGCGCCGAGCCCACCATCGCGACGCTCGCGCGCATTACCATCATCATCACGCGACGTCGCGACCGTCGCGCGCCCGTCCGATCGCGTCGCGATGCGCCGTCGACGCGCGCGTCGCGATCGAGCGCCTTCGCGCCGTCGCGCCTTCGCGCGTCCGAATGTCCGAGCTGTCGCGCCGCGTTTGAACGCGTCGCGTGCGGGCGTCGGTTTCGCGATCGCGACGCGATATTTGAGATTTGAGATTCGAAACGCGTACACCGGCGGTTCGGAGCGCCATGTGGCACGATTCGAGTCGCCGACGTCGCGCGCGCGCCGTCCGCCGTCCGTCCGCGCGTCCGCGCGTCCGTCCGTCGTCGCGCGCGCGCGCGACGGTGCGAACGACGCGCGGGCGACGGTGCGCGCACAGCGCGACGCGACGCGCGCGCGCACGGCGACGGCGAGGAAGACGCGAACGCGAACGCTCGAGACGCCCCGCGCGCGCGGAGGCGAGGCGACGGCGAGGAAGACGCGGACGCGACGCGAACGCGATGGCGACGACGGCGACGGGCGACGACGGGCGATGGGAAATTGGCGGGAACTTTGACCGCGACGACGGCGCGGGACGGGCGCGAAGCGCGATCGAATCGAACCGCTCGAGCGCGCAAACGCGCGATGGATCGCTCGCGCGCAAGCGCGCGACGGAAAGCTCGCCGACGAACGTCCTGAGCGCGGGCTCGTGCGCGAGCTCCGAGACGAGCGAAGATGGCGATCGGGACGGGCTCGATCGGGGAGGCGAGGAGACTCGGAAGTTTGGCGCGCGTAACGTGGCGGTGACGACGGAGTCGTTCGAGTCGAAGGGCGACAAACGCGAGGCGAGGTCACGGGATGGGAGATTGATGCGCCCGATAGCGCCGAGCGCGGAGAACGACGGGTTGCAAAAGCGCGTGAGCGAGCTGCGAACCGCCTTGAGAACGGCGGAACAAGTGCTAGATAGAACGCAAAATCGATTAGAACTCGCGGAGGGGGCGAAACGAGCGGCGGAAGCTGAATCGGCCACTTTACGCGCGCGCGTTTGGTCGCTCGAAGGCGCTGAAACGCTGGCGAAGGGCGCCGAGAGCGGTGGTTCTCTCGACTCTTTGCGAGGACGGCTGCTGAAGGAAGCGACGGTTGAACTCTCGTACGCCGTAAAGATGACTTCTGCGGCCGATCGTAAGGTTCAGATCCTTCGCCAGGACTGCAAAAAATTACAAGACACTGTCGCCGCGCTTTCCGCGGCTTCTGCGGCTGAACACGCTACGCTATCGATGGAACTGGAGCAAGCGCGAATGCGCATTCGCTCGGACGCTCGCGAAATCGCCTCGCTCACGGATAGAATGAGACACGCCGAAGCGAACTCCGATCGATTGTGCGGGGCGGATGAATCAGCAAATAAAGCCATATGTCAGTATCAGGCGGCCGAGAAGGAGGCCCAGCAAGCGAAAGAATCTTTGGCGGAGACGATGCGCCACAACGAATTTCTGCAAGGACGCGTGAACGAGCTCGAAGAGATGGTCAAGTCTGACGGCACTGCACACTACGATCAAGAATTACGTCGCGTGCGAGAGCATTTGGGTAATGAAATCGCGCGACTGAACGCAGATTTGAAGCAGGAACGCTCTGGTCGAAAGGCGTTGGAGGTTGAATTGCGCGGCGCGATACAAACCGACACTCCAAAGCGCATCGGTTCGACAGAGGACGCCGAGCTTGACGCGGAAAGATCGAAGAACGCGGCATTGGTGATAGAAATCGGAGAGTTGAAAGCGCGACTTGAACAAACTCACAGTCACAGTGGGTCTCCGCGTAAAGATGACTGGTCCAATGCCCTGGGCCTTGGCGGTGACGAGGAGGACGACGACGGGTCCGTCGAAGCGCTGAGTCCTTCAGGGACGCCGTCTCGAGTACGCGACGCCTTGTTGGCCGCTGCTCGTCTCGAGGTCCAGAAGCTTGGTGAAATGAATCGTAAGCTCGTGCAAGCGAAGCTCGCGGCGGAAAATGAAAGCATTTCCAAGGCAGAATACGAAGCGGCGCTCACGCGACACAACGAAGCGTGGGCCTCCAAGGTCGCAGAAATCGAATTGGAAGTCACGAAAACCAAAGAACAGCTGGCGACGATGCAAATTCAAAACGAAATACTCTCCAGAGAGGTCGAAACGAGCCGACTGGAGTTGGATGAGACGAAAATCGCCAATCGCGAGCTCGAGTCGTCCCTTGTGTCTCGAACCTCGAACCAACAACAAACGACGGATGAAGGAAGCTGGTTGAAGTTACTCCCGAGAAGGCACTCCAGCCCAGGCGTTTGTACTCAGCAAGATAATAATTTAGTGTGCTTGGGATCATGGGCGAGTTTAGCGGGCATGGACAACAGCAGTGATGATGATCTGTGCCGCTTGGAGGAGAATGACGTCGCCGAAGAAGCGACGCAAGAGTCCATTGAACAACCTTCTCGCAAGCAATTGCTGGAGGAGAAATCTCGAAACATCCGTGAAAGGTTAGCTTCGAGACGGATTAAGCCACCTCTAAGCCCGTTGAAGTTATCGGAACAAGCCATGGAACGATCTATTCGTGAAGGTAGACTGGCCATGGAAGCCATGAAGGCGTCGAGATCGTCTTTACTTCGCGCTTCGACGTCGTCTCTCAGGAAAGTGCTCTCTAATACGAGTACGATAGATAGACGCGATGGCGAATGTTAAAACTTGATGTAAGATATATATACAACATGCCTACATGCTATCACTTCTAATATTCCACTCCTCGTTCTTGTGGCGTGAGCAACGTTCCGGCTCGCATACCGTACGTATCAACAATTTGTTCCTCGCGAGTTCTGAATTCCCACAAGTCTTCCAACTTTGGCCCAAGATCTTTGATGTCGAGCCATTTTTGATCCAACTTCATCGGTGCTCGCTGTGTCTTCAGTACCACCTTTTCAGGAATCTTGAGAACATTGGGGTACACTCGCTCGTCGCGCGGGATTGTTCGACTAACTTTCGCCGCCGCCTTGGCGTGAATGTGTGCTTCCGTCAGACGTCTGATTTCGTCCGGATCAGTTACGCCTAAAGTTGCCATATGATCGATCAATTCTGCTTCGACGTCGAAATCGTCCTCGACCGCCGTGTTTACCGGTTCCCAAACCGCTTCCTCTTGTCCGTCGTTGATGTTCACTTGCGGCACGCTCGATGGGACGTCATCAGGCGTCGCTACCTTCGCTCGCGATGGCGTGGCGGCTCTGTCTTTCCTCAGAGCAGAGATCTGAAGCGCTCCTTCGAATATTTGAGGAGGAGTTTGCGGCGTGCACACCAAGAGTCGGTCGTTCGAAGATACCAAATAATCGCACGTCAGGCAGGCCGAGACGAGCTCGTGCGACGCCACTGTGGACCAATCCTTCGTGTCGAAAAGTTGCACCGTTCCCTTTCCGATAGTTTCCCCTATCTCTTGCGTACCTAAAGCGAGGATGGCTTCGTCAGCACGGAACGACAGGCAAGTGATAGCTAATCCTTCGTTATGATCCAACACCTTTTCCAAACGAGCGCTCGCTGCTTCGGTGTTCACACGCCAAACGTGCAAGCATCCATCAGAAGACCCAGCGGCTACAGTGATATCAGGATCTTTCTGCGTTACTGCTAACGACACGACGTACTTCAGCTGTTCAGATGCGAGTCTGTGCATCATTCGCAACCGAGGCCCGTCTGCTGCGACACTCCAAATTCTCACCACACCGTCTCTTCCGGCAGAGACGAGCGTACGATTCCCCGAAAGCGCAACGCATCGCACTAAGCCATCGTGCGCAGTTGTCATACTTGCCACTCGTCGCCCGTCGTCCAAAGCCCAGACCGCTAAGCTTCCATCTTCAGTTCCAGTTGCTGTAATGCTTCCATCCACGCTCACTGCTAAGCTCGTCACGGGCGCGCTGTGCTTCCCAAGAAGATACACCAAACTAGGCTCGGACTCGCTCTGGGGCAGCGACGTGAAGAGCAAATTTTGTGACTCCGCCTGGACGACAAGTATGGCCCCCGGTTGGCCTGGGATGAAAGCGAATTGCCACCACGGGCGTCCAGTCGGCGTCGCCACGCCGTCCTTGGCTGTTTGAAATTGGAACCGCCTGACTTTGCTATCGCCTTGCGTCACCCTGATCGTGCGCAACACCCCCATGTGTTCGATGACGGCGACTAAAGTGCAATCGTTCGGGTCACCGTGTCCACCGTCGTACAGTTTCCCATCTCTCACCTCCTTCGACGCGTCCTCGAGCACCGGTGCGCCTCGCAGCCCAGCGGCATGTCTCGGCGATGCGTCGTCCGCGTCGAGCGGTAGCGCGACGAGCTTGAGCCTAGACATCGTCTACCGCGCGCGAAGACGTTTGCGAGCGCGTTTTCGACCACGTTCGAGTTCGAGCGCGCCGCCGAGTGCGGTGCTCGTCGCCCGAGCGTCGTCGAGGCCCTTCGATTCAAAACGCCCACACTCTCGCGCGCTCGTTTCGATAACTACCAAACCATGGCGACGTTCGCTCGGGCGCTCGGATGCGAGCCGACGGCGATTCGGGAGCGCAACGAAATGAATACGCGACGTCCATCGCGTTCATCCGTCTCGCATCGCGGGCGACGCGTCATCGCCGCGGCGCAGGCCCCGGACGGAACTGAGCTCGCGCGCGTGCTCGAGGTGCGTGCGCTCGACGAGTTCGTCGCGCTCGACTGACGCTCGCGAATTTTCTAGGTGGCCGTGGGCGCGGCGAAGGAGGGTGGAATCATCATGGCTCGAAAAGTCGGCGCAGATGTGATTAAAACCAAAGTGAACGCGCGTGACTTGCTCACAGAGGTGGACGGAGAGGTGCAGCGCATCATAGAGACGCGCGTGGCTGAGGCTTTCCCAGAACACGGATTTTTGGTGAGTACTGCGCGAGCGAAGGCAACGGTATGAAACTCACGATGGACGTAGGGTGAAGAAAGCGTCGCGGCGGGCAAAGACGCGAGCGCGGACGCGCTGAGAGACGTCCTGCGACAAGGTAAGCTGTGCGCGACTCAGGGATTCGTGGGAATAATTTAATTAATTTTTTATATATAATAAACGAGTGTCGACGAGCGAGTGCGCACGCGACTGACGATTCATCGCATTTACAGGACCGAACTGGCTTTGGATTGTCGATCCCATCGACGGCACGACGAACTTCGTGCACGGCATGCCATTATCCGCGATTTCTATTGGCGTGGCGTACAAAGGGTGAGTATTAAATGATTTCCCGTCGGTTGTTTCACGCGCAAACGTCGCTCGCACGTGGCCTTTCGAGGCGCTGGTTTCACACGCGTACTGACAATAATTCATAAAACAGGGAATTACAAGCGGCTGTGATTTTAGATCCGTTCCGAGACGAATGCTTCACCGCTACGCTCGGTGGTGGCGCTAAATTAAATGGTTCGCCCATGAAGGTGGGAGAGGAGAGTACTGCGTTGGAAGCAGTCGTCGTCACTGGATACGCACCCACGGATGCATCGACAGATGTCATGCTCAAAGGGATGACAGGTAAACACGCGCTCGCGCGTCGTTAACGTCGAAAATTGATTTCGTGACAAAATATTCTGACCAATTAATTATTTCGCTCGCAGCGCTGGCGAATTTACCCGTTCGTACGATCCGCATGTTAGGAAGTGCAGCCATCATGCTTGCGTGGGTGGCTTGTGGAAGGGTAACGGCGTACTTCGAGGCTGATTTGAATAGCTGGGACACCGCAGGTGGAGCTTTGTTGGTGGGTATTTCTATTAATTTAATTCACCAGAATTTAATTAGTTCTCGATGCAGATCAGAGAAGCGGGCGGGCAAATGACGAACTTGGTCGGCGAGGAGTACGGTACGTCAGATAAAAAATCGAGCGATCGAAATACGACGGTATTGCGAACTTACGCGCGGTCCACGCGATCGAAGATAACTGGACTGATTAAATAAATTCTTGTGCGCACAGACTTGACCACGCGCCCCATTTTAGCGAGCAACAGGGCGACGCACGCAGAGCTCTTAGCTTGCCTGATGGTTTCTCTACGCCATTGAATAATTCACTACACTTTCTACAATCTATATCGCGTTCTATGCATTCGCGCACCGTTACTCACGCGCAGGCGCTTTCTTCTTTGTCCGTATGCCGAACGCCTCGAGGTCTTGCGTTGGTTTGTTCGCTCGACCTTTTAGCTGCGGAGGTAGGAGCGTGTTGATCTTGCCTAAAGACTTCGAATACTTCTGTTGCGCCGGTCGTGGATTCAGTGCGGGCGTCGGCGCGGTGCGTTTCGTTCCAATCGTCGTCGGCGCTCCAGCCGCCGCCCGTGTTGAGCTCAATTCCCGCTCAACCGTCTCGGCCTCGTTTGAAAACATCGCCGCCGCGGACGGTAGCCCCCCGGTCGGCTTCACGCTCTTCACTGCCAGCACCGCGCTCTGGTCTTCCTCGGCGACGCCCTTCCCGACGCCCTCCGCGACGTCGGTGTCGGCGTCGTCGTCCGACGACGAGTAGTCCAGTCCGAGCATGTTCGCGCGCCGCGGACGCTACGCGAAGACTCCGCGGCCGTGGCGTTTGTCTGCGCGAGCAGATGAGCGCGCTGCCCCTGGTCGTTGCCCAGACTCACGCCGAGCGCGCCTCGAGCGCGCGTCGATGTGCGCACACGCGCCTGACTGACGACGACGACGTCGACGTTCCTCGACACACCGACGCGTGCGCGAGCTCAAGCGCGCGACCGAACCGGACCAAAACCCCGACGCAGGGTGATGATGAAAGTCTTCGCATCACGCGCGAACGTCGGCGCGTGTACGACGGCGACGACGCGCTCTCGAACGACGACGACGATTCGCGCGTCGTCTCGCAAGTCCACCGGCGTGGACGCTGGTAAAGCGTCGGTCAAGGAGTGGAGCACGTCCAGGCGGAGCGCGTTCGTGGCGCCTGGTGCGTCTGCAATCTTGCGCACGATCGGTGCGGGCAGTGCGATGTTCGGGGGCGGGAAGGCGTACGCCAAGGCGCCGCGCGCGAAGGCGGACCCCTTTGCGGATGTTCTGAAGGACCCGGGCTTCCCGGCCGAATACCCGTTCGGAGAGAAAGAGATGGCGAGATACGACGAGAGCTCTGATTTTATCTTTTACTCTCAACCTAGATTCGTGACGCACATCGACGACGAAGCGATCGGCGCGTTGACGAAGTATTACGAGCGCTCGTTCCCACCGGCGAGCGAAGACGTGGCGATTTTGGACGTGTGCAGTAGCTGGATCTCCCATTATCCCGAAGGATACAAGGCTGGGAAGATTTCTGGGATCGGGATGAACGAGGACGAGTTGAAGAAGAACCCTATTTTAACCGATTACGCCGTCCGGGACTTGAACGAAGATCCGACGTTTCCGTATGCGGACAATACCTTTGACGTCGTCACGAACACGGTGAGCGTCGACTACCTCACCAGACCTTTGGAAGTCATGAAAGAAGTGAGCAGAGTGTTGAAACCGGGTGGCACGGCGATCATGAGTTTCTCGAATAGATGCTTCCCCACCAAAGCCGTGGCCATTTGGACCGCCACGGGGGACTTGGATCACGTTTGGATCGTCGGCGCGTACTACCATTTCGCCGGCGGTTTCGAGCCGCCCGCGGCTGAGGACATCTCGCCCAATCCCGGCAAGACGGATCCCATGTACGTCGTCACAGCGAAGAAAATGACCGCGTGATAGATTTATCATGTAGCACGTACGCACCACGCTTTGTTTGTTACGCATAGATTTCGACTTCCGCAAACGCCGCTCGCGCTCGCGTCGTCGCATACCTCGACTCTCGTCGACATGTTCGCCACGACTTTGACGACGCACACCGCTCGCGCTCGCGTTCAGGCGCCCACACGTGCGAGGACGCACTCTCACGCCGACGCGCGCGTCGTCCGGGCGTCATCCACGCCCTCGCGCGCTGTCCACGCCGCCGACTCGACCACCCGTCGACGCGCGTTGGCGTCCACGGCATCGCTCGCGCTGGCGCTCGTGATGACGCCCGCGAACGCGCACGCCAAGGACGGTAAAAATGGAGTGTATTTCATCGAACCGCGCGGTGATAACCCCGTCGTCGGCCAAGAGTTCGTCGCCAAGTTTGGTGTGAAGGGTTACGAGCTCGCCCCGGCGTCCGCCGGGTTGCAAGAGGGCACGGGACATCACCACTTGATCATCGATGGACCGGCGTTCGTGGAGAAAGGACAAGAGATCCCGTTCGATGACACGCATTTACACTTCGGGAAGGCGCAAAAAGAGGGAACGGTGAAATTGAGCCCGGGCGAACACACGCTCACGCTGCAATTCGCCGACGCCAAGCACCGGTCGTTCGGGAAAAAGTTCGCAAAGCGAATCACGGTCGTCGTGGAGTGATCGTCAATCGCGGGCCTTGGTAATTATATTAATGTGTGTGTGTAAGCAGTACAGAATGAGAATTGAACGAACGACGTACGCGCTCAACGACGTTTCGATTTCGAGCGCTCGCCTTCGTCCGCGCCTCGAAACGCCGTCGCCGCGAGGCTCAGCGTCGCCGCCGCCGTGAGCCCGTAGCGCATCGGCAGTAACCATCGCGGGTACCCTCCCGCGCGCGCGTACACCGTGTCGACGCCCGCACACGCGAGTAAACCTCCCATGAGCGTCCCGCACGCCGCCACCTCGCTCGGCGCCGACAGCGCGGCCCACGCCAGCAGGCTCGGCGTCACCGACCACGCGTACCTCGCCGTGAGCTGCGCGGGCGTTGGATTCCAATGCTTCACCACCGTGTGCTTCACCGCGGCCAGGCCCCAGTGGATGCCACCGAGAAAGCTCAAAATCGTCGCCCCGTACGCGATTTGCGCTCGAGCGCACGTCTCGCCGCTCGCCACGGCGCGCAGACCGAGCGCGTCGCGCGCTTGCGGCGTGAGACCGACGAACGGCACCGCACCGAGCGCGCCCATGACGTGCGCCGCGTGCGCCATGACGCGCGCGCGAACGCGCCGCGGACTGACGAATTCCGAACGCCGCGCCCGGGACGACGCGCGACGCCGTCACACGTCGACGCGCGTCGCGTCGCGTCGCGTCGACGCGCGGACGATCGCGATGACGTCGTTCGAGTACATCGAACCGCGCACGCGCGTGGAGATTCACGGGATCAAGGCGAAACCCGAGCTGAACGGACGCGTCGGGACGGTGATGGAGTACGTCCCGGCGCGCGCGAGATATCGCGTGCGCGTGAGCGACGGCGACGACGGCGCGACGACGGGAGGAGGGAAGATGGAGGAGGTGTATTTGAAGCCGGATAACGTGCGGAAAGCGGAGACGAAGGCGAAGGCGACGACGACGAAGGCGACGAAGGAGGTGGAGGCGGAGGCGGAGCCGACGCGGCCGACGGAGACGACGACGCGGGACGAGGTCGCGACGACGTCTGAAAAGAGCGTGGATGAGATTTTGACGACGCAGAAGGCGATGGAAGAAATTGTGCCGAACCCAGACGCGGTGGCGGCGCCGATCGAGGAGATAAGAGATAGTGAGACGCTTTTGAAGGAATTCTTTCGGGACGTTTCCGACGCCACGCGAGACGCCGAGGTGGAACGTATTTTGTCTTGCTTCAAGCTGAATCCGTACGAGTTCTTAAACCTTCCGTTTGATTGCGAAAGGAAGGCGATTCCTCGCTCGTTTCGTAAGATTTCTTTGCTCGTACACCCTGATAAGTGCAAACATGCGGATGCAAAGGCGGCGTTCGACGCGTTGGGACAGGCGCAAAAGCTTTTGCTCGACGAAGACTTCAAGCGCACCTTGGACTTTCACCTCGAGCAAGCGAAGGAATCTGTGCTAAAAACTTGGAAAAAAGAAGCCCGAGATGACGTGGCGCTTCGTGTGAAGTACGAAGGCAATAAGGAGGGGATGCTTGAAGACTTTTGCAAGACGGATGAATTTCACGAGCGCTGGAAGTACGAGGGACGCAACTACATCGTCGAATTAGAGTGGCGACGCCGTAAGATGGCGCTGCGAATCAAGGGAGAGGAAAAGCGGGTGACTGAGGAAGAGAAGGCTGAACTCGCGCAGCGTCGTAAAGAACACAAGGAAAAGAAAGAATGGGACCAAGACGAGAGGCGCGAAGCGCGAGTCGGCGGTTGGCGAGATTTCATGAAGGATAAAAAGGTTAAGAAGACAAAAACTGCGGGCGAGTTCAAGAGTTACCTAAAAACTGAAGTGAACCCGAGCAAGAAAGCGTTCGCGCTCGAAAAAGATAAAGTGCTTCGCCCTGATGAGATCAAGAGAGCGTTTTAAGATTCTCGCTAATTTGTATTGAAATCTATGACTTCTCTTCGCTAGTTTCATCAACAGTCACCCAACTCGACGTTGGATTCGCTGTTTGCTTCACATCGTCCTTCTCTTCTGTTTCCTTATCGTCTTTCTTCTCTTCGTCGGGTTGAACCGCCTGAGGCTTGAAAGCGTTTCGTTGCGCGGCCGTCAAACTCTCGCCGCGAGGCGGCGAAGCGATACCCGGTTTCGATTTCTTCAAATTCTCCCCTGACTCTCCCGGTGATGCATCGTCCAAGCCAGGTGGTGGACTAATGGATCGTCCCCGCTTGCCCAACTCACCGTGCGTCGGCCCAGTGTCGACTTCATCCTCGAACACCGAGTGCGCCATGGGCGGCGGCGCAAAGCGCGAACCTTGGAAGTGGAGTACGGGCGGACTGTGAACTGCAGCTAAGTGCGGAGGCTGCTCGACGCCCGAGTCTGGATCATCATCGGATTCGAAGTAATCTTCTTCATCTTTGCTCATCGAGCTATCACGCCTCGCGCGCTGCTCTGAGAGCGCCTGCGCCGCCGCAATTTCTTGTCTCCCGTACGCCGTGGGGGCAACTCCGGCAAGCATAACTCCCGGGGGAAGCTCGATCGTCGTTGCGCTAAGGCCTTGCTGGTATCGAAGCTTGAGCAATCTAAACGTATCGACGTAGTACACCTCTTCGAACCACTCTTCGTACTTTTCTACTAGATGATGGATCAAGTTTCGAATGTTTTCACGACGAATAAAGTCGATCAATTCGAGCACGGAGCTGTTCAACAAGTTGTACTTGTCGCCATTAATCTTGAAGACTTTCATCACAGGATCGAATGCATTCATTTTAATGAAGTAGCGGTTGTAGAACTCATCTTTCAGGCTCACGCACGCGCGCAAGAAACGAATGGCTGACACCACGACGTACTTTTCTTTGCGCTCTGTGAGATGAAGGACGTGCTGCAACACGTGATTCCTCAGCATGTAATACTTGATTCGATATTGATGATTCTGCACCAAGAAGATGAGCAGATCGACGATCTTCGTAAGCGCCCATGGAGGGACGCTCTTTTCGTCGGGCGTGACGTCTTCTTTGCCGAGGGTTATGCGTGCCACCACCGCATCCATGTGCTTGTCGTAAAAGATGTCCAAAAGTTTATCCTTGTCTGAGGACGTGCCCTCCATCGTCTCCGGATCCATCAAAAACAACAAAATTTCCAAGTACGTCGCCTGAATTCCGTCGCTCCCGACAAGAAACAGGCGCACTAATTCCGAGAGCATGTTCCGCTCCGCCGAGCTAGCTTGTTGCACCATGAAGTCTCGAAGCACCGCTGGATCGTTTTGCAAGCTAGACATGATGACGTCCGCGGCTTTTAACTGCGAATATTCACCACCATGAATTAAGATGTCCGTCAACACGTCAAACAGCCCGTGGTTTTGCAGAGTTGAAAATACTTGCAAACGCGAGGCGTTTTGCAGGTGCCTCGCCAGAGTGCACAACTCTTGAAGGAATCCTACCAGGTCGTTCCAGTCTTCATCGCCGGGTTTGGACGCTTTTAACCTTTTGAATAACTCCCCGAAGAATTCTGGATCTCGATGGAGCTCTTGCACCACCTCGACGTTGTTACACATCATCATCGACGTGAGCGTGCTAAACGCCGAGTCGTCGAGTGCACGAGGAAGAATGACATCTTTGAGATACCCTAAACGGCACGTCTGATGGATTTTCTCGCGAATCATCGTATTTGTGATCGGTACCACCTCTTTAAAGGCGACATTTTTCTTTAAAAACTGTCGATGATGAACCCGCTCGATTTGGTCCGGGTCGTACTCCAACGCGCCCACGAAGTCGAATACAAATTCTTCGCTCAGTAACGTTTCGTACAGACTCGGATCGTTCAGCATCACCATCGCCCTGAATATGGCGTAGAACAAATGCAAGTTCTCGATGTCGTCCACGTCTTCGCACTGCCTGAATAGCTCGAATAGCCTGGGCAGATACTCTTTCGATTTCAAAATTTGCATCGGGATGCGCTCTCGAGCAAACAGCGAGCTCCCCGAGATGAGGTTGTAAAGCTGCTCCAAATTCTTCGTCTCGGGCTCGGGAAGTTCTATTTGCACGTCACGTTGCAGTCCTATGTATCTCACGCCGCCTTGCGCCTCGACGGCCTGAAACTGAAGCAGCTCTGACCCGACGTCCATCGCCGCCACCTTGGAACCGTCCTCCAAAGGCAATCCTCCCGCGAGCTGCTCCACATCACCACCAGTCTGCTGCATGTACGCCCTCTGTACCGATTTGATCTGTTCCCAAATAAAGTTACATCCCATCCCTTCCTGAAAGCTCAGCGCTATGTCCGTCTCGAGCTCGGCGTCGACCCAGGAAATAATGGTCTCGTCCTCTTGTCTCGAGTAAAATCCCACCTCAGGCGATATCGCGTGCACTAAAAGCGGTTCTTGACTGTGTTCAGACATCACCACCAACCCAACCGATCCCGATTGCTGCGGAATCGCGAGAGACCCGTCAGTCGCGTCGTCTACGCGCGCGCGCCAGTCGTTCATTCGCACCTCCATGTACTCGCACGACGCGAACCCCGTGCCTTTATCGTCCCAATGTCCTCGGTCGTTCAGCCTGTACAGCTTCACCCGCGCCATGGCGTTCCTTTTCTCTCCATCTTGCGCCGAAATCACCGAGCCCGGAACGTCGAGGTCGTCCGCCGCGTCGCCTCGCCGCGCCACCAGAATCGTCTCCTCTTCCCTCGCGTCCCCCACCGTCGCGTCCGCCGCCGTCGTCGACGCCTCGATCGCGTCTCGCGCGTCGTCATCCCCGCCTTCATCCGCGCCGTCCATCGCGTCTGAATTCTCCATCGCCACGACGTCGCGTCGACGCAGATTTCAATCGCCTCGAATCTTTCCTCGTCTCCGCGCGCGTCGCGCGGAGACCGAGCGTTCGTCTCCCGCGCGCCGGACGCGCTCGATCGCGCGTCGCGCGGTGCCAACCGTTCGTCTCCGCGCGTTCGCCGTCGCGTCGCGCGAACGCGCGCCCGCGCGGTCGCGTCGCGCGTCGACGTCTGCGCGCGCGCGGCGCGCATTCGCGCGACGCCTCGACCCGAAACATAAAAAAAAATCACGAAAAGTCTCGCACCGTCGCGCGCGCGAACGGTATCAAAAAGTAGTGACAATGACGGGATTTGAACCCGCGCGCGTGAGCAGTGGAAAGTTTCGCGCGTCGATCCGCGTGCGGCCTAAATCCACCCCCTTAGACCACTCGGGCACATTGTCGCGCGGTCGGCGGGCGCGCCGGCGTCGTCGCGCGAGGCGCGGATGGGGGTTAAGAGGGCGCGCGGTCGCGCGCGGCGGCGCGCGGGACTCGAGACCGAGCGAACGCGCGCGACGGTCGCGCGTGAGGATCGAGCGTTGGATACACGCGCGCTACGTGCTAATGATGATCTACGAGGGCGAGACGGGGACGAAGGACGATCACGGCGACGGCGGCGCGGCGGAGACTTTGGCGGCGCGCGACGCGGGGTCGAGCGCGGCCGCCTTCTTCAGAGCCTTCTCCACGCCCTGGATCAATCTGGCGTTTTTCTGCGAGTCCGTGGAACGACGCGCGCGGCGTCAGTCGTCGAGTTTCGCGCGCGGGCGGCGCGCGAGCGAAGGATGCGAGCGTCGCGCGTCGACGGCGCGCACCAGGGCGTTGCGTTGGCGCGTTTGGGACATCTTCGCGAACGCGTGCGTCTTCCAGATGATCCCGCCTGCGCGCGAGCGACCGCGCGTGACGCGCGCGATGCGTCAGTCGATGATCGCGTTCGGCGCTCGCGCGTCTCGGCGCGCGCGTCGGGCGCCAGCGGTCGCGCGCGATCGAGTCGAGGTCGAATCCAGCGGTGCGCGCGCGCGACGTACCTCGCGCGAACGGGCCTTTCTTGACCGCCATGAGCACGAACGAGGTGAACATGGCGTCGACGAACGCGTCGACGCGCGCGCGTGCGTCGCGCGCGACGTCGCGCGGGACGGTGCGGGACAGCGCGCGACAGTGCGGGACGGTGTTCGAGGACGGCAAAGGGCGCTCGTCCAGTCGTCGCGCGGGCAAAAAAATGCCGAGACCTACAACATCGACTTGTCTATTGCAGTTTCTATTGCGGATTCGAGTCGCCCCGTGTCGTGACCGTCGCGGCGCTGAAGCTTACGGTTTCTTTCCTACACGATGTAACAATGACTTCTATTCTAGGCCGAGTCCGAGGATTTCGGCCGACTCGCGCGTCAATTCTGCGATCCGCACGCGCCCTTTCTCGGTGATGAAAGCCGCCACGCGTTCCATCTCTTCGCGCGAGACGTAAATGAACGTCCCGCGGTCGTCCATGATGCCCGTGATTCGCCCCTCGGCTTCGAGCATTCGCACGCGCCGCACGGCGTCGGCGGTTCGCAAGCCAAATTTGGCGGCTAGTTCCTCCAAAACGACCACTTTTTTCGTCTTGATCTCGTCGGCAAACGCAACGAGCGCTTCCTCAGACTCATTTGCGGACGTCTCGTCCGCGGAACTCGCCTCTTTGCCGCCGAATAATCCCCTCCGAGTCCCGCGCTGCTTGTCCTCCAGTCGACGCCGCTCCGCGCGCGCGGCGGCGGCGGCTTCCATCTCCGCCCTATCCTTCGCCTCGCGCTCGGCCCACTTTCTCCTATACTTTTCCTCTTTCTGTTCCTTCCACGTCAGCCCTCGCTGCTCGCGCTGCGCCGCCGCTTCGGCCTCCGCCTCCGCCTCGGCGCGCGCGCGCATCGCATCCGCCTCGCCGTTCGCGTCTTCATCCCTCCCTCGTCGTCTCCGCGCCCCCCCCCCGCGCGCCTGACCACGTCGCGCGCCTCCTCCGCCGTCGTCGTGCGCGTCTGCCTCCTCCAGCGTCGCTCTCATCCGCGCCTCGTGCGCGCGCCCGAGCACCAGCACCGAAGTCACGCCGAGCGCGAACAGCACCACGAACGCCACCAGCGCGCTCACCAGCGCGCGATCCATGACGTGCGACCTTTTCGCCCTTCCCTCGCGCGCCCGCGGGTCGCGCCGCGCGCCGCGCGTCGTCCACTGGCGTCGTTCGCGCGGATTCGGAGACGCGATGGTGGCGCGAACGACCGTGCCTAGGGTTTTGTTTTACACTACTGTAGACCCACGAACGCCATCAAGGGTTTTTATCGGCACCGCGCGACACGTCCGCCGGGACGTCGCACATCGGCGCGCGCGTCGTCGTCGTCGTCGTCGTCGTCGTCGTCGTCGCGCACCTCAGGCATGTCCGGCATCGCGCGCGCGCCGACGCGCGCCCGCGCGCCCGCGTCGTCGTCGTCGTCGTCGCGGGACGGCGCGCGACGACGCGCCCCGACGCGCGCGCGACGCGACCGCGCGCGCGCCTCGCGCGTCGTCGCGCGCGCGTCCGCGCCGGCGACGGAGTCGTACTCGTTCTTCAACCTCGCCCGGGCGGAGTTCCCGGAAAACTGGCGCGAGCCCGCGGTGAAGGTGCGGTACGAGGACTCGGCGCTGGACCTGGCGCTCATGGCGTGGTTCATGGCGAAGATCGGCGCGGCTATCGACGCGCCGAAACCGAAAGAGATATCGTACGACGAGTTCATCGCGCTGTGTTTCTTGCAGATGAAAGGACGAGACGCGGTAGGGATGGGTGACGTGACGGCGGGGGTGATTCGGTCGCTGGTGCCGCCGGGAGGGAACGCGGCGTTCAGGGCGCTGTTCCCGCCGAATCGATTTTCTTGCGAGCTCAACGCGACGATCACGAAAATCGTGTTCGCGTGGATGGTGGGACCGATGGAGGTGGAAACGACCACGGAGAATGATCTTGGGATCGAGATGGCGTCCAAGGTGCACATAAAGAAGTGTCGGTGGCTTCAAGAGAGCGGGTGCACGGCGATGTGCGTGAACATGTGCAAGTGCGCAACGCAAGAAGTTTTCACGGACGATTTCGGGTTGCCGCTCACCATCAAGCCGAATTTTGAAAACAAAAGTTGCGATTTCTACTTTGGACTCACACCACCGCCGATTGAAAAGGATGAAGCGTTGTTGTTCGGATGCAATGCGTTGTGCGCGACGGCGGCGCCGGATTCGGAAGGCACGCCGTGTCATAAACTCCGTCCGTACGAAGGAGAGCTTTAGAAGATCACGCGTCTCGTTGGTTGTGTAATAGTAAACGTTAGTAAGCGCGCGCGCACATGATGCGAAGTCGACGTATGGTTATATCTTGCATGACTAAGGAATTATCTAAATTGTATGACGAGCCTGTTTCAAAACTCACGCTGAAACGGAAAAAATTATGACATGAATATGGATGGTACAGTGGGCAGGTGATGTGGATGGTACAGTGGGTAGGTGAAAACATCATCGCATCTTAAGCTCGTAGTCACGCGCTCGAGGAAGACTTGACCAAAGCTTGCGCCTTGATAACGAGGTCTTTGTAGTCCTTACTCTTGCAAACTTGGAGCACGAGTTCGCGGAATGCCATGTCGACGTGTCCAGAGATTTTGGACGAAAGCAATTTCCACCGTCGCATGATTCGAGACAAATCACGGCCCCGAACAGTCGACGCCCATGGCACAGCTTCGGCAGTCATCGATCTGTACTTGATGACGTTATTCAACATCTCGTAGTCTTGTTCGACATCCCACTCGCCCGTACTCGTCATTGGAGGCGAGATTTGATACCATCGTTGCAAACAAGCCTGCTCGTTTCGAGTGCCCATTTTGGCAGAGATGGTGACCCAGTTGATATTGTCGCGAAGTGAAAGGTGTTCGTTGCCCGTTCCCGGCCCGCATCCAGCTTCCGCGCCTCGCTGGCGGAAGTGTTCCTTCACGAGCTCACACAACTTGTCGGTTTCTTCCTGGCTCCAGTGCCCCGACTTTTTGTGTTCACCTCCCTTGGCGAGACGCCACTTGTCACGGCACGCCGACGCCGGCCTGCCGACTATTTCCGCGATCTTGGACCATTTCGGGCCCAGTTTCGTGTATTGCTCGAGCAAAGCTTCCGTCTCCTCCTTCTGCCACTTCCCCGACTTCGACTTTTTGTCCATGTTTCTCAAAATCCAGCCGTAAATTTGCTTGGCGTTTCTTGTCGGCGTCTCGCGAGCGACTTCGATAAACGCGCGTCGCTCAGATAGCGGTAAGTGTGCACCTTTACCTCCTTGCTTTTGACGACGGTTGAACAAGAACTCATAGTTGCCATTCATGAAATCTTCTGCGAGCCCGTGCTCGTTGGCCCATTTCTCGAGCGAGCGCTTCATCTGTTCCACCTCGAGCGTGCTCCACTGCCCGAATCTCTGCCCCGGAAACTTGACGTCCCACTCGCTACTATCAGAAACAGTTTGCAATTCCTTCTCCGAAGCCTGCGCCACCGGCAAGTCTGCATCCTTTGACTTGTCGTGCATCAACGCCGCGTACGCCGCGTCGTCGTCCAGCTGTCGCTTGCTCAACGGCGCCCTGACGTCGAGTTCCGCCTTACGTTTCTTCGATTCCTTCTTCATGTGAGCCTTCTTAATCGTCTCAGTCGCGGCGGCGATATCAGCCAACGCGATCGTCGCCGACTTCTCCGCCGGCTCCTCGCCTCGCGTGCGAGCCATCGCGCGTTCGATGACGCCCCGAATCTTGCCAGTCAGCCGTCACCCTCGAACGTGCGATCGACGCGACGCTTCGACGCGTCCCGTCGACGCTGAGACCGCGCCTCGATCACGCGCGCGCGTCGTCGCCGACCGCGTCGACCCGCCGCGATCGTCGCGCGCGCCGAACGCGAGCTCGATTCGATTCGCCGGCGACGTTTCGCAGTCAACGGCGAGCGTTAATTGCGCCTCCTCGGTGCGCTCTTCGCGCGTTTCCCGGCGTGCGCGCGATTCTCGCGGTGCGTTGACGCGTGGGCGTCGGAAATGCGACGCGCCTCGATCGCGGGCGTCGGAAAGTGCGGCGCGCGCGTCGTTCGCGAGGGGTACCGAGTCGCCAAAATCGGTCGCGATGGCGCGTGCGTTCGCGAGCGACAGGGAGCCTGACTCCCGGGTGTTTTCGGATCGGCGAGTCAGGATTCAAAAACGAGTCCCCCCTCGAGGGGGCCTCGTTTTCGGGTGTTTCGAGAACGCCCGCGAGATAGACCCCCCCTCGCGGCGACCGACCGACATCGCGTTTCGTGGACGTCGAATACGAGCGCGGGCGCGTTTGTGCGATAAATCTGGCGATGTCGGTCGGTCGCCGCGCGGTCGCCGCGCGCCGCTCGAGACGTGACTGGGAAAGGAGCTGGACTACACGCGACGACGACGACTACGGCGGGGCGGCTACGAGCGAGTCGACGCTCGAGCGCTCGCGCGCGCGTCGGCGCGCGTTCGCGAGGTAGGTTTCGCGTCTTCGCGCTCGTCGTCGTCGTCGTGGACTCGGACGCCGCGCTTCGCGAGCTCGCGCCTGGCGCGCGCGACGTCTCGCGCGAGCGCCTCGGCTTCGGCTTCGCACGTGGGGAACCAAATCACGCCTCGCGCGATGACGACGACGGAGTACAGCGCGAACGCAACGACGGCGTAGATCGGGGCCTGTGGATTTGGATTCGATCGCGCGCGCGTGGGGTCAGCGTCTTCGTCTCGCGTTCGCGTTCGCGTTCGCGTTCGCGTTCGCGTTCGCGCGCGTCGAGCGTCGTACCGCGACCACCAGCGCTCGCGCGCTCGGCGTGAGCTCGGCGTTGCGAAGCGTGGCGTACCACACGCTCAGTAATACCGCTCCAACGCCACCTGCGACATCGCGCGGGGTCAGTCGTCGTCGTCGTCGTCGGTGCGCGCGACGTCGAGACGGTGCGTCCGCGTCGATCATCATCGCGCTCGATCGCGACGACGCGCGCACGCACCGAACTGCTGCGCGCGCGTCATACCGCGCGCGCGCGCTCTCGACGCGCGCGCGCGATCGCGCCTCCAACGCGCGCCGCGTCGCGAAGTGCGGGCGACGAATCGACGACGCATCGCGACGCAACCACCGCGGAATCGCGCGATCGGCGACGTCACACGACGACCCCACCCGCGCGCGCGTCGACGCGACGCGCGAGCGACGCGAATATGTCGGACGCGCTCGACGCGCGCGCGGTGCCGCGAACGGGACGATATCGAGTGCGAAAACGCGTCGCATCGCGCGTCGTCGTCGCCCTGGTGGTGGTGTCGACGGCGATGTTTTCGCGCGTCGCGCGCGCGCACGGCGTGCCCGCGGCGGTGACGGCGGCGGTGCGAGGTGACCTGGCGTGGTTCGATGACGCCGCGCTGGCGTACGACGAGGAAGAGTTGAAGACGATGCTCGACCGACAGGAGAGCGACCACGGGTACGGCGCGCTCGTGACGGCGGTGGCGCGCGGCGACGAGACGACGGCGAAAAAAGTGCTCTCGATGGGTGCGGACGCGCGGAGCGAGGATCACGAGGGGCACACGCCGATGGATATGGCGGCGGTGTCGGGGAAGGTGAGCATGGTGAAATTGTTGCGCGAACACGGGGTGGACGCGGGGGCGCGAGCGCGAGACGGATTTACGGCGCTGCAGCGCGCGACGTGGGGACAGACGGACGCGCACGCGGAGGTCGTGCGGTATCTCGTGCGCGAGTGCGGGATGGACGTGGATGAAACGGACGCCATGGGGATGAGCGCGACGTTCAGGGCGGTGGATCGCGAGAATACGTTCATGCTGAAGATATTGTTAGAGCTCGGGGCGGATCCAAACTTTGCGAACAAGCGCGGCGACTCGTTGCTCGCCACGGCGGTTCGTAAGCAAAACGCCGAACTAGTGTCGATGCTCTTGGAGGCGAACGCGGACGTCACGAAAGGAGATTCGAAAGGGCGAAACTTGCGCAAGCTCGCCAAGCAGCTTCGATCGAAAAAGGTGCTAAATTTAATCTCCGAGGCGTACGCCTCGGCGATGGGTTCCGCCGAGTTGTAATCACGTCATTCCTCCACGTCGTCCTCGTCGTCCTCGAACGTTTGCGTCTCGCGAGCGAGCGCGCTCAACAAAAATTCAGAGCTCTCGAGTATGCGATCGAGCGATGATTCACCCTCTTGAATGACTTTGTCGTACGCCTTGACGCGCTCGCGGTCCCGCGCCACGCGTTGTTCGAGCTCCTTCACCCGTCGTCGGAGCGTCTCTCCATCGCGCGCGCTCGCCTCGATCCGCGCCAGCGTCGCGCGTTTTCGTCTCTGCAGCTCGCTCAAACCTTTCTCGCGCGCGTCGTTCGTCCGCGTCAGTCACTCGTTCTCGGGCACACGAACCGTCGAGTTTTCCCATCCTTCATTCGTTCGACGCGCGCCGACGCGGGACGCACTCTTTCCCACGGCCTCTTGCGTCTGGCGCATCACGAGCGTCTTCGTCGTCTCCCCGGACGCCATGAGTTCGCGACGGCGCCGTCGCGAAGTGCGCGTCGTCGACGGCGCGGCGTCGCATCGCGCGGCGTCCTCGGGATCGATGCTCGATGCGTAATATAAAAGACGAAAAGAGAACCATGTGTGAACGCGCCCGATGGCTAAATCGACGACGCGGTCCCGAACCCTCGCGCGGCGCCGACCGCGCGCGTCACTGCGCGACGCCGACGTTCGCGCGCGATGCTCGCTTCGCAAGTCTCCACGTTCGCCCGAGGCGATGCCACGATTTCCCCGCAATCCACCGCGCGCGGTCGCACCGTCGTCCGCGCGACGATCGAGGCGAAGGAGTCGCGCATCGGGAAGCAGCCGGTGGCGGTGCCGAAGGGGGTGACGTACACCCTGAAGGATAACCATCTCGCGGTGAAGGTGCGCGCGGCGCGATGCGACGCGCGCGACGCGGGAAAGCGCGCGAGGGATTACGTTTCATCGACGCGCGCGATCCGCGACGGCGTGACGGGGGAAAACGCGCGACGACGACCCCAATCCCACGCGACCAGGGCTTGAGGTTGTAGGGTTTTCCGCGCGCGTCGGACGGCGAAGAGACGAAGAGACTGACGAGAACGCATCGATCGCCGCGCGCCGCATCGCAGGGACCGAAGGGTAGCTTGGAAATGTCGTTCCCGGACACCATGGTGTTCACGGAAGAGGGTGACTCGATCAAGATTTCTCGCGCGAACGACACCCCGGACGCGCGCAAGGGTCACGGGTTGTACCGCACGCTCGCGAACAACATGATGGTGGGCGTGTCTACTGGCTTTGAGAAGAAGCTGAAGTTGTTGGGTGTGGGTTACAAGGCTTCCATGCAAGGGAAGGACCTTAACTTGGCGTTGGGCTACTCCCACCCGGTGATTATGAAGTTGCCGGAGGGGGTCCAGGTGACGTGCCCGTCGAACACCGAGGTTGTCGTGAGCGGCTACGACAAGGTTGAAGTTGGTAACTTTGCGGCGATCATTCGCTCTAAGCGTCCGCCGGAGCCTTACAAGGGTAAGGGTATCAGGTATGAGAACGAGGTCGTGATTCAAAAGGAGGGTAAGCGCGGGAAGTAGGCGCGCGCTTCGATTCGTTTCGGGAAACGGCGCGACGAATGATTTTGATTCTTCATTCGCCGGCGTCGGAGCCGTGTACTTCTTGATTCAAACCAACCGACGACGAACGAACACCATTAGTGATATTCTTACATCGACCGACCGACCGACGAGCAAAATAATCATCGCATCATGTAGCTTGTGATAACAATCTTATCTCTCATCGCGAGAAATATCGTCGAGCGTTGTGTAGGCGATCGATTCAGTCATGAGCTATCAAGTTTCGAACGACTTCTAAGTGCGCGTCGCGGTAACCTTCTCTGTGCGCTACCCATAACGGCAGGAACTCGCGCATGGAGATCTCGCCGTCGTTCGCTCGCTGGAACTCGAGCGCGACGTCGACGCCGAATGACTCGTCGACGTCTGGGATGACGACTTCGTTCAGCGCCTCGGCGTACCGATCGGAGCCTGGACATTTGCGAGCGCACGCGTACTTCAAACACTCCAACTGTCCATACTTGGCGGCTCCCTCGCACGTCCGCTTGTCCCAACAACACCCGTTCTCGCGCGCGTATCGCAAACAGTCCAAGTGTCCATTCGAGGCGGCATGCGCGCACGTCACCTCGTTCCAAGGACACCCGTTCTCGTGCGCGTATCGCAAACAGTCCAAGTGTCCATTCGAGACGGCAAACAGGCAAGTCCACTCGTTCCAAGGACACCCGTGCTCGCGCGCGTATCGCAAACAGTCCAAGTGTCCATTCAAGGCGGCATCACGGCACGTCCACACGTCCCAAGGACACCCGTGCTCGTGCGCGTATTGCAAAGATTGCAAATTGCCGAAACCAGCGGCATACGCGCACGTCCATTGGTCCCACGGCGCCCCGTGCTCGTGCGCGAACTTCATACAAACCGAACCTGGAATGCGCGTAGCCCGCGTGCACGGCGCCGCATATTCTGGAAAGACTCTCCTCTCGTCGTCCGCTTCAAAATACCCGCGACCGTGGCCAATCGAGTGCCACTCGACGCCATCGCGTCTCAAATCTTGTAAAAACGACGCCACCGCATCCCTTGCATCGCTCGAGACGTCCTCACGCTCGAGTTCACCGATGAGTCTCTCGTAGACTTCCTCGCGCAGTATGGCCTTCGTGAGGTCCACCCCGCCCGCCCGCACATGCTCGAGTTCAGCAATGTACGCACGCTCGAGTGCGTCGTAGACTTCATTCTGCCTCCGCGCCTCTTCCTCGTCGAACTCCATCCCGCGCGTCGCGCCGTGGCGCGCGTCGTCTCGTCTCGTCTCGTCTCGTCTCGTCTCGTCTCGGAGGACCCGAACCGCCGCGAGTGACGGGAGGGTCAGCCAAAGTTACGTACTGTTGGAGCGTCGACCTCGCAAAAAGCGGACCATCGATAGGTAAAAATGCCGACACGAGCTCACAGTTAAACTAAAACCCAAAAAATATGACCCAACCGGTTGGAGACGTGAAGTGGAGGAATGAGCGCCGCACTCGGGCGCCCCGCGCGCGGCGCCGCTGTGGCGAAAGTTACGGTTTTCTACGGACATTCGGGTATAGAGAGCAATACGACGAAATAAATAAAAAGTGGAAAAATGATAGGATAAAAAAAGTTAATATACGGCTCCTCCCTACCCGAATCGAACGGGTGACCCGCTGATTACCACGTGGTCCTTCGTTCGCGATGACGCTGTGACGCGCCGTATTTCAGGAGTGTATCCTACAGTCAGCTGCTCTTCCATCTGAGCTAAGAGAGGCTTTATAGCGCGTACAACGACGTTGTAATCGCTATCAACGAAATAAAAAGCCGATCGCTCGCCCCCCGATCGCGTTCGCGGTCGTCGCGGTGAAGTTACGGGTAGAACCGCACACGCGCGCGATGGTCGTCTTCGATCGCCCGCGTCGCGTGTTGTTCTCGACGACGCTTCGCGCGTTCGTCGAGTCGCGCCCGCCGCGCGCGATCGCCCTCGCGACGCCGCGCGACACCGTCGCGAATTTACTTCGAATCGCTCGACGCGCGCGCGCGTCGCAAGTCCTCGTCGTTCAGGACGACGCGGCGGAAAACCAATCGACGAATCCGTCGCGGCGAACGCGCGCGGTGAGCATGCGCGACGTCGCGCGAGGGTGGATGCGCACGTCGCTGAGCGACGGCGCGTTTTAAGAAAGATTCACGACGCGCGAACTGTGCGACGCGATCGGGGCGACGACGCCGGAGATCGTGTGGTACGACGAATCGACGCGCGCGTACGACGCGCACACGCTGTTGGACGTCTGCACGGCGTTGTCTCGAGGACGGAAAATCGCGGTCGTGCACGACGGCGGAGGCGCGATCAGGGACGTCGTGACGAAGTATGATTTGGTGTACTTTCTGTCGCGTCGAGCGGCGCACTTGGGAGAGATCGCGGACATGCCCGTGGCGTCGTTGTTCCCGGGACGACGCGTCGTCTCGGCGCCGGCGTCGGCGTCGGCGCGGGGCGCGGTGCGCGACATGCTCGACGCCGACGTCTCCGCCATCGGCTTGACCACGCCGGTCGGCGACGGCGCCCCGAACGAAATCATCGCGTGTCTCTCCTTGAACGACTTCCGCCGCATCGATTCTCACGTCGACTTCACCGCGATGAAGACGCGCACGGCGCTCGATTTCGTGTCGCGCAAGCGCGCCGACACCTTTCGCGCCGACGATCGCGTCCCGTTCGAGTCCCAACGCCACGCCACCGGTTCTCGAGCTCGACGGTACGTCGAGCTCGTTTTCGCCAAGTCCGACACCTCGTTCGAGCGCTTGCTCGCGCTTTTCGCCGAGCACGGGATTCACCACGTCTTCGTCCTGCGCGCCGACGACGTCCAGCAGCGCGAGTTTCGCGTGCTCACGCCCTCGGACCTCATTGACGCCCTCGCGACGCGTTAGCGTTGTCACGTCGTCACTCACCCCGATGCTTCCCGCGCTGCGATACGACGTCGACGACGTTCGCGACGCGAGCGACGACGACGACGACCGCGACGACGCCGGCGACCGCGACCGATTCGTCCCCGGGACAGATGCGACCGTGACGACCGAAAACGCGCTTCTCGCGGCGCGAAAACTGGCGTTCGTCGAGCGCGCGTTCGTGGACGTCGAAGCGTCGCGATCGATGATGGCGCACGAGGTGCTGGAGCGGTGTAAACAACACGGGATGACGAATAAAGAGTACCAAAGCGCGTGCGCGGAGCGCGCGGCGTGCGGCGCGTGCGGCTGGACGCCGTGCCCGAACGCGCCGACGCGGGACGATGGGACGACGCAGCGGTACGAGATCGATGGGAAAGCTCGAAAAGTGCGAGAGATGGCGTTCGTGCGAGCGTTCTGCTCGCGAAAGTGCATGATGATGGCGGAGGCGCTGGGCGAACGCTTGGGCGAACGCGCCGACGCGGTGAGCGCGCGCGAGGGCGCGGCGCGAGGACGCGCGGCGATGGACGGCGAGGCGAGCGTGGTGAAACAAGACGTGCGCGAGCGCGCGACGACGGCAAAAAAAGCATTCGATGCGAAAATGCCGGTGCGAAAATCGGACGCCATGGCCAAAGCGGCGACGGTGGACGGGTACGTGCCCAAGGCGGCGCGGAAAAGGATCGAAGAGGAAAGGGAAAAGGAAAAGACCCATCGAGCCGCGTCGATCACGTGGAACGAGCCGGAGATTGAAAAGATAGAAGAAGAATTGTGGCGAGAGAAACGAGAGGCCTCGGGCGTCGACCCCGCGGGTGGGGTGTTTTATTTCGACACGTTCGGAGAAGGGAAAAAGCCCGAGGGCGACTTCGTGCCGAGCATCGGCGGCAGGTTCTCCGAGGGACAACTGCGCACGGAACCGCGCACGGTGGTGGACGAAACTTCGCGAGCGATGGAAAACTTATTGTTAGAGCGCAATGACGGCGAAGATACCGAGTCACACGTCGCGTTGGAGGAAGACGTCGCGGAGACGACGCGAAGGATGCTCGCGTCCAAGTTGACGGCGACGCCGATTCCCGGGTTCGTGGACGACGGCGACGACGACGACGACGACGCCATGACGGCGGGCTCAGAAGAAGAAGGAGAAGAATCGTTCACCACGGGTGCTCCGAAGATTTCGCAATTCGGCTTGACGTGGATGGCGGTTGATAATTTAGTCACCGACGCGACGTTTGCTCTCGTCGCCGGCGACGGCGCGTTCGTGGACAAGCTTCCGCCGCGAGACAGGTACACGGTGTCCGTGAGCGAGGCGTGGAACGAAAACTTGGCGAGAACGATTCCGAATTTGTGCGTCACGCTGAATATAAGCGCCGAAACTCGGCGCGTGGAACAAAATTTGACAACGCTTTTGCGAACGTTTGCGTTCGATCGCCCCGTGCCCGCGTTTACGAGCGAGCGGTGGGCGATGATGGCGCTGTTGTTTATTGAATTGTTGCTCCACGCCGATCTCGTGAGCAAGGAATCTATCGGGAAAGAAGTATTCGACAACGCGAACGCCATCGCGGTGTTCGCGAACGCGGGGGCGACGAGCGAGGAGGTGAACATCTTGCGCGAGCGTTTGCGCGGCGACGGCGTGAACTCGAATTAAGTAACGAGTGAAATGAATAGTGATTTGTGAGTTGACAAGCTAGAGCATCGTAGAGATTTATTATTGCGACGCCATAACGTTTGCGTCTCGAAGAGGCGATCGATGCGTCACCGCCGGTCTCGTCGCGCACGCGGACGTGGGCTCGTCAAACATCGGAGGCGGCGTGCCGAGCGGCGACGCCCCGATGGCGACGGCGTTGCCGGAATCCACGCGATCGAGCGTCGTCGCCGCCAATTTCGTTTCGATAGCCTCGAGCGTGACCGGTACTTCAACCACAGTCGCTTTCGGCGGCGTACTTTCCGGAGCGTCGTCCTTCGAAACGACGTTCGCGGTCGTCTCTTTCTCCTCGGCGAAGCACTCGGCGATGATCGCGTCCACGTCGGCTTTGCCGTCGGTGTGATACAGAATGCGTTCGACGACGTTTTTCAACGGATTATTCTCAAACTCAGGACGTTGGCACACGTACTCGACGTCTTGAAGCTTTTCAAAGTAAAACTCTCGCTCTTGCTCGGCGCGCTCGACTTGAAGCGCCAACGCGGTGTTGGTCTCCGTCATTTCTCGCGCGCTCGCGCCGTTCCCCGTCGTCGCTCGCGCGTTCGCCCCAGACGTCGCTCCCGCCCCACTCGTCGTCGTCATCGAGCCTCGATGCGCTGTCGTCGTCGTCGTCGTCGTCGTCGTCGTCGTCCTCGATCCTCGCCCCCGAGCGTTCCCTCCTCGATGTCCCGCGCGTTCGCTCGTCACGCTCGCCTTGCGCGCGCCCGCGTACTCCGCCCCTCCCCGCGCGCACGCCCGTCGCTCCTCGGCGTCGTACGTCGAGTTTTCCACTCCCGCCCCCCCCGTCGCGGTGTCGTAATAGCGTTTCATCCACTGCAAAAACTCCAAATTATCCAACGGCCGTCCCTTGATCAACTTTTGCACCTCCACGTTCTTCGCCACGTGCATTCGCTCAAACACCAATTGCAACACTTTATAATTTTGCACGAACTCGTGCTCGCTCTTCGCCTCGAAGTTCACCCTGCGCATCGGCACCACGTCTCCACCGCCTCCGCTCCAGTGCGCGGCGTCCATGATCTGGCAGTACACCGCCCCGCTCGCGCACTGCTCCACCTTGGTCAGCCGCAGCGCGAGCAGCGCGTTCACCCACGCGATCAATTCGTTCCGTCCCACGAAGAACGCGTCGTGCATCATCCCGGTCGTGGACGCCATATCGTGCGAACCGTTCGTCGTCTCGTCGCGCGTCCCTCGTCGTCGTCGCGCGTCGCGGTGTGCGCGCGCGCGCAATCATTCATTCATTCCGTCGACGATCCTTTCGCCCGTCGATTCGCGTCCCCGTGGTTCCCCTCGATCGTGTTATATACACCAGCGCACTGTATACGCATAGAGACCATTCGGACAAACGGATACTGATGGGCCCAAACGCCCTCGAATGCGTGAGAGCGCGCCGCGGTCGGATCGCGCGTCGCGCGCGCGATGCCTCGCGGCGGCGCGTCGCGCGTCGCGGTGCTCGCGCTCATCGCGCTCGCGACGTCGGCCGCGCCGCGTCGCGCGACCGCCGATCGCGCGCGCCTGCCGAGAGACGCGCGCGACGAACGATTGGACGACGACGACGCGCGATTGCGCGCCGAGGAGCACGTCGCGTACGCCTCGGACGCGCGATCGCGCGTCGGACTGCGACGCGACGGCGCGGACGCGCGGCAGTGGATCGAGCGAATCTCGGAGTCGCCGCGGGCGTACGTGTACAGAAATTTCCTGACGCGCGAGGAGGCGGAGGCGACGATCGCGGCGGCGCGGCGGACGATGCGACGGAGCGAGGTGGTGAACGAGGCGGACGGAACGTCGAAGACGAGCGATGAGAGAACGTCGAGCGGGGGGTGGGTGAGCGGGGAGGATTCGGAGGTGATGGCGAACATCGAACGACGGGTCGCGGCGTGGACGATGCTGCCGAGAAATCGAGGCGAGACGACGCAGGTGATGCGGTACGAGGCGGGGCAGGAGTACGCGGCGCACGATGATTACTTTCACGATGAAGTGAACGTGAAGAATGGTGGACAGCGCGCGGCGACGGTGTTGATGTATCTGAGCGACGTCGAGGAGGGGGGGGAGACGGTGTTTCCGCGAGGGACGCCGCTGGGGGGGGCGGCGCCGGAGAAGAGCGGAGTGACGCAAGGAAACGCGTGCGAACGCGCGTTGAGGGGAGACCCGAACGTCTTAGCTGTGAAACCGCGACGCGGAGACGCGCTGCTGTTCTTCAACGTGCATTTGAACGGCGAAGTCGACGAGCGCGCGCGACACGCCGGGTGCCCGGTGGTGCGCGGGACGAAGTGGACGGCGACTCGCTGGCAGCACGTCGGCGCGCTCAATATCGGGAGTTTTGCGCGCACGGATTCGCAGACGACCTAGCGTAGTACACGAGTAAAAGATTGTTTTCATAAAACGGACTAGACGCGCGCGCGTCGCGATTTATCTACTACGTCTCGCGACGACGACGTTGGCTCGCTCAAAGTCGTCGCTCGAATTGGGCGAGTGTCGTGAACTCTTTCTTGTTGCTGGCTATGGTCATCTCTTCGATGACGGCCGCGCGCTCTTGACGTCGCGCGAGCGCGATGCGCGCGTCCGTGATGCGCGCGAGTAATTCGCGATGAACTTCCTCCACGGCGTCGAGTTGACCAAAACTCAAGTGTTCGAGATCGATGCCGAGAACGTGTCCGCAGCCGACGCCCGAAGCGCACGCCTCGAGATGCACGGCTTCCATTCGTCTCGACGCGCGAGCGACCCAACCTAAGGCATCCCAGTCCGCATCTATGTCCGTGGTGAAGATTTCTCGATCCCAATCGGGCATAGTCGCGGCGGCTGATCGCGGCGGCGGCGAAGGCGCCCCGACAGAGGAGTGCACGGCTTGCGGGATGTGGGACCAAATCGACCCATCGCCTCGCCATTGATTTAATCTCGACTTACTCTGGTGTAGTTCTTCCTGGGATTCTCGCTGTTGCTCTGATTGCTGCTGCGCCGGCATGACCATCTCGTGATGCTGCATGAGCTGCTTTGGAACATCCACGGACGCCCAAGCGGGCTCTTCTTCCTCGGCGACGCGACCACTATGTTGCTCTATGGGCGCCTCGGGCGCCGTGGATTGACTATAAGCGCCATTTCGATCCAGTATTGATCCAGGTTGCGCGGATGCTTTATCCGCGTCGACTTGCCGCTTTCGCGCATTTCTTTCGGGCATATCATCCTTCGGTTTTGTCCCCGCCTTCGTTCTCCCGCTGCGTTTGCGTCGCAAAACGGTGGCGGCTGAAGGTGTGTCCTCGTCTTCAACGTCTTCCTTTGCGCTCGCAAACGGACTATGCTCCACGGCATAATCCACCAGCTGTCGAGGAATGATTTCATCAGCCAAATCAAGCGCCGTTTGAGTCGTGCCCGTCGAAGTCTCGTCCGAAGCTTCGCGTCCGTTGAGCACCGACGGTGGACTCTCGCTGTTATCATCTTTCGCCATTTTGCTAGGAGTGGCCGATTCCGGCTCCGGCTCCGGTTCCGGCTTCGGTTCCGGTTCCGGCTTCGGTTCCGGTTCCGGCTCCGGCTTCGGTTCCGGTTCCGGCTCCGGCTCCGGTTCCGGTTCCGGCTTCGGTTCCGGTTCCGGCTTCGGTTCCGGTTCCGGTTCCGGCTTCGGTTCCGGTTCCGGTTCCGGCTTCGGTTCCGGTTCCGGCTTCGGTTCCGGTTCCGGCTCCGGTTCCGGTTCCTTCACATTGTCCGGCTTGTCCTCCTTCTCCGGTTCCGACTCTGACCCTTCTTGGGCTTCCTCGGCTCCTTCTTCCGTCGCAAGCTTTTTCCTCTGACTTCCAGTGAGCTTTTTCTGTTTCTTCTTCTTTTTCTTCGGCTCATCGTCGAACAACGCCAGAGACTTGTCAAAGGTCGACATCGTTTGCGCCTCCATCGCGCTATCGAGCAAATCGACAATCGCAGTGTGGCCGCGCGACTTTGCCACGTCGCTCGCCGTATCGATCGTCCGTTTCGAACGCGACGAAGGCGTCCTGAACGGATTGAGCTTCTTTCCGCCGCGAGAACCGCCCTTCGAACAGGCATCGTCCCACTCCTTAGCCTTTCGTTCCATCTCGAATGAAATTCTGTCAAACGGACTGGCGCCGTGCTTTAACAAAAGCTTGACCACGTCCAGCGTACCAGCTCGAGCGGCGTGGTATAACGGAAAGCACGCATTACAATCCGACACAAATCCATTCTTCGTGAACCGTCCATCCTCCAACAATATTTCCATGCACTCTTTTCCCGAGGTGTACGCCCCCAAATCCTTGTCGCGTTCGAAATCCTTGTCCAAAACTTTCAACGTCGCGTCATCGACGGCCGCCACCGCGCGCTCTCGCGCGTCGCAAGTCGAGATCAGTAAGTTCACCGGATCTTTACCGAGAAGATTCAACACGTGCTGATCGGCACCGTGCTTTAACAGCCATCGCACCGATTTCGGCGACCCCGTCGCGCACGCCGCGTGCAAGGGCGAGTTGAGCGCATCATTCGGCGCCGATAAGAACGCCCGCAGCACCTGCTCCTCGTCGCATCGCTGAAACTCACTCGACGCACCGTCTCGCCTCGCTATTTCGCGAAACGGCCCCATGAAATTAAACTGTTCGTCGTGAAACATCACCAACCGCGCGACGAAGCGCAACCCGTCCAACAGCGCGTCCAGCATCTCCACGTCCCCGTTCGCCGCCGCCACTGTTCACCGCGCGCGCGCGCGCGTCAGTCTCGCGCATCTCACCCTTCGCGCCCCCTCACCGCGCCCTCGCCGCGTCTTCGCGTCTTCGCTCTTCGAGTCTTCGCGTCGCGTCGCCTCGCCGCCGCACCGTGCACCGCCGTATCGCGCGTGTTCCTCCGCTCCCCGAACATCAACCACCTGACGCACTCGTTCCCATCTCTCAGCATCTCCTTCGCCGCGCTCGCGTCCCCCCGTTCGCACGCCCCCAGGAGTCCGCCGCTTTCGTCGTCGACGTCCGCGCTCGCGCGTTCGGCGCTCAGCGGATCCACCTCGGCAAAGTACCCGCGTATGCCGTCGACAAGGTGTCGCGCCCACGACACCGCGCGCGGGTCCTCGCTCGCCGCGCCGTCGCGCGCGATCGCGCCGCGCGTCGGCATGACTCGCGGCGTCGCGACGCGCGTCGCGACGTGGCGCGATTCGCGACCGACGATTCGCGCGACGGCCCGATCGCGATCGATCGATCGCGCGATCGCGTCGAACCTCGACGCGAGGTTCGACGCGACGACAACTCTGTCGATCGCGATCGATGACGCGGCGGCGCGACGCGCGCGCGAAGAAGCGCGACGTCGCGACGCGCGACGCGAGCGCGATGCGCGCGGAATCGCGCGCGCGACTGACGGCGGACGACGTCGTCGTCGTCGTCGGCGGCGGCGTCGCCGGGCTCGCGCTCGCGTCGTCGCTCGCGAGGGCGAGGGACGGGACGCGCGGCGCGGCGGACGCGCCGACGTGCGTCGTGCTCGAGCGCGACGGCTCGAGGGAGGCGCGAAGGCAAGGGTACGGGGTGACGCTGAGCGAGACGAACGCCGCGCTCGCGGGGCTGGGCGTGGGAGAGGCGCTGCGAGCGCGGTCGTGCGCGTCGAGCGCGCACTGGACGTTTGCGGCGAGCGGACGCGTGCTGGGGTACTACGGAAACGCGTTCGCGGCGACGGCGGGGGGGAAAGGGGACGGGTCGAGCGCGGGGGGGGCGATGGGGAAGCGACCGATGAATCTGCGCGTGCCTCGCGACGCGGTGCGGAAGATTTTGTTGGAGAAGATTCCCGAGGCGTGGATTCGGTGGGGGACGCGAGTGGTGGATTACGCGGAGGACGACGAAAAGGTGACGGTGACGCTGGACACCGGGGAGAAGATCGAGGGCGCGATATTGGTCGCGGCGGATGGCGTGCGATCGGGAACGCGGCGAGCGCCCGGCGCGGGCGCGGATTTGAAGTCTGGGGAGCTGCGCTACCTCGGCGTCGCGCTCGTGACGGGATTTACGGATTTAGACGACGCGTTGTTGCGCGGGCAAGGGTTTTATACCGTCGACGGGCGGTCGAGGATGTTCACGATGCCCTTCGAGGCGGCGAACGAAGCTAAGGGCACGCCGCCGCGAAGCATGTGGCAACTGAGCGTGCGCGTGGACGAGGAGGAGGCGCGCGGATTGGCAAACGCGCCTCGCGAAGACGTCAAGGCGTTCGTTTTAGAGCACACCAAAGGATGGCACGATCCGGTGAGCGCGATGTTCGACAACACGGAGTGGGAAGACGCCTGGGCGGGGCCGCTGTACGACCGAGAGGAGCCGCCGACGAGCAAGGCGCGAGCGAAGGAGACGCCGCACTTGGTCATGCGTAGCTCGAGCTCTCGAGTGATTTGCATAGGCGACGCCGCGCACCCAATGTCGCCGTTTAAAGGTCAAGGCGCGAACACGGCGCTTTTCGATGCGTGGGCACTGTCAAAATGGTTACGCAAGGCGCCGCCTCAGACCGCGTTGGCGTGCTTCTACCGCGAGATGGTAGCTCGAGCGTTCGTGAAAGTGCGCGCCAGTCGAGAAGCGTGTGAAACGTTTCATAGTCCTAGCATACTCACCGAACGCATCCCAGAGTTTGCTGGGATCGATCCGAAAAAAATCAAGCTCGTGCTCGACACGCTGAACGAGCGAGGCATCGCGGCTTCGATGTGCGACGATCTAGAACCGGCGGTGCGACAGGTTGTCAACGAACTCGGCGCCGCAGAAGTCGTGAAACCGTACGCGGTGAAGAAAAAGTACGCCACGACGGCGTCCGAGGACGATCGCGGCTCGGAAACTGGATCCACGGCAAGCGATGCGACAAATGCGTCTTTGGCGTCTTTTGCCTCGTCGGCTCTGTGCGGCGCGTTGAGCGAGAGCGTCGCCGACGCCGTAGCTTTGGCGTTATCGCGTTCTAATCAGCCTCCACTCACGACTGCTGAGCGTGAAATTGTCGGGAAATGTCGAGTGAGCGTCAATGGGCGCCGTCCCGCGAACAATTACGCGAGCAGTGCGCCCATTCGATTACTGGCCGCGAGAGGCGTGGCGAGAGTCGTCAACGGCGAAGAGGCGAGATTCGCTCGTCAAATCGCAGACGTCATCAATGAACGACAAGCGGCCCGAAATCGCGAAGATACCGTCGATGCTATCGTTGATGATACCGAAGATGATTATTTCATCTCCGCCAGACCCATGTCTGATGGTAAAGTGTTGCTCACGACGAAGAAGCACGACGAGGCGCTGACGTCGCTCGGGTTGAAGCAATGCGAAGGTTGTTTGAAGTACTACGCCGTGCACGGCGGTGGCCTGCGGCAACATTGGGAATCTGGAGGCGATAGTCCCGATTGCGCTTCCGCAGCGCAGCGCGCGATGTCGTGCGAGAACACAGAGACTGAATCCAGCGCGTGGCGCGGCTCAGGCGCGGGGAAACCCAAGGCGTGGCGCACGGGTGGCAACCGCAAAGAGCTTTCGCCTGGAATGTCGGCCGCGTCACGTGGAGATTTGCTCGGCATGCGTCGAGCGATCGTAGAAGATGGCTGGGACCCAGTAACGGAGAAGGATGCCTTCGGGAGCAGCGCTCTGATGTGGGCCGCGGGCGGCGGTCACGTGGAGGCGTGCGAATTTCTCGTCGACGAATGCGGAGTCGATCCCAATCACACCGGCCGCAAAGACGGTCGAGTGCCCTTGCACTGGGCCGCTCGTAACGGCGAACTCGAAGCGTGTCAGTGGCTGGTGAGTCGAGGCGCGAAACCAGGGGTGGCGTCGTATGACGGTGACTTTCCTTTTCATTTGGCGATTTGGAAGAATCATCGAAACGTAGCGGAATGGTTCGCGTCCACGCCTGGCTTTGATTGCGGGACGACGAACAGATGGGGGTGCAACGCCGTGTTATGGGCGTGTACCACAGAAACCAATCAAGACGATGCGCTGAGCATGGTGAAATGGCTCGTCGAGGATCTGAAGGTGGACTTTTCTGTCGTCAACGTCAACGGCCACTCGGCGTTGCACAAGTGCGCGATTTACGGCCACGAAAGTGTGATCGATTACTTGCTTGAATCGAAGATTGAATCGACAAAACGGGCAAAATTCATCATACCGGATGATAGAAACCAAGCGCCGAGCGAGTTGGCGCGCGTGAATGGATTTTTAGAGCTCGAAGTCAAGCTTCGACACATGGAGGATGAGACGCTGCGACTTCCGGCGATCGTCGAACCGTCCAGAGATTCATTCATTCGTGCCTAGTATATTTTATTTATTAGTGATTCTTTGTTACACATTGTTGTTGTTAAAGCCACGGCGTATCATTTGCAGATAACTCAATCTGGCGCTTAAGCCGCTCGAGCTGCGACTCCTCCTCTAATCGCTCGCGCTCGTCTTCCAATTCGACGAGTCGACGGATGCGATCGAGTTCGCCCGTAATCTCGTCGTCGGCTGACTTCTCAGCCCACCTTTCGATGAGTTTGTGCGCGCGCTCTGTTTGCTCCTTGCTCAAATCTTCAGCGCTTGTGACTTCCTCCACTCTCGTCGCTGCGGACTCGTTCTCTTCGTCGTTATCCTTGACGTCGCTCGCCGTCGCGGTCTTCTTTTGCGACGTCTCCGCGCCATCTTTTCCGATGTCGCTCACACTGCGGGAACGCTTCCGATCGAACGACGACGTCTTACCGACTGATGGCGAATCATCGTCAGCACCGCTACTTTCCGCGCTATGCTCGTGCATCACCCTGGTGTGCTCGAGATGCGGCCGGTTTGGCGCCACGCCTCGCGTGCGAATTTTCGCCAATTCACCGACGAGCGTATCTCTTTCACCAACTAATGATGCCACCATCGCGCGCAAATAGTACGCATACGAGCACACAACGTAAAACAACAACGCCGAGGATGAAAAGAACCACGAAAACGCGGGGAACATGTCCGCAATGACGCGGAGCAGGGACGAGTTGGAGTGATACGACGGCACGTACGCGGGCTTCCCGATTTGGTACCTGCACTCATTCGCCACATCCACGGTTTGCGTCAACGAGCGCTGCGCCGCCAACAAGTGCGTCTTAGTCTTGGTCAACTTCGACTTCGTATCCGCGGCGTCTTTCTCCGCACTCTCGGCGCGCGCCGTCGCGATGTCTTTGGCGGCTTTGAGCTTCAACGCTTGCGCCGACGTGGACTCGCAATACGTCGCTCGCGTCGTCATCTTTTGTAACGACTCTTGTAACTGCGCCACAGTCATCGCTGACGAACCTAAGCGATTGAATCGGTCTTCGGCTAACTTTTGTGCGCTCTGCGCCGCGGCGACGTCGGCTTTAGCCTTGGTGAGTTTCACCTCTAAATCGGCAACTTGGACGACGGAATCTGAAACCTTGGCCTCCGCGGAAGCGATTGCGGCGTTTTGACTCGCGTCGGGCACGCCGCCACCGAACGTACGACACGCCTCTAATTCTCTTCGCTGCATCGCCGACGCACGCGCTAAAATCGTCACGTTTCGTTGCGCCTCGGAGAGATGCTGGCGCACGACGGAGGTCGCCCCGGCGCCGACAAAGGAAGGCGAGACGCCAGTCAAGATGGACGCGAGCGCGATGGCGCCGAAAATCGCCAACAGTACGACGACTATAATGATGGTCGACATGTGCTGCGACGATGACGATGACGTTCGCGGCGACGGCTGCGAGACCGCGCTCGCAACCGGCGTCATCGTCGTGGCGTCCACCAGCTTCGTCGTCTTCGTCTTCGTCATCTTCTTCGCATCGGCACTCTTCTTCGTCACGACTACCGTTTCCTCCGCTTCATTTTCTCCGGACTCGCGCACGACGACTTTCCGTCGTCGAACTTGCGCGCGCTGCGTTTGAGGCGCGGACGTCGTTGTCGTGGACGTCGTCGACGTCCCCGACGTCGTTCGTTCGACCATCACCGCGGCTTCAATCTCTTCCACGACGTGTGACACCGGCATCGGCACCGCCGCGGGGTCAGCCTTGGTCCACAATCTGCTCTTCATGTCGCCCACGCTCACGGTGGCGTGTCGTTCCCTGCGGCGAACCGCCGCCGCCTTGGTCGGCGCCGCGCTCGGCTCCGCCGCCGCCGCGGGTTCCACCGCGCGCTTCCGTCCCCCTCGCGCCTCAACGCTCTCCTCCGTCGCCTGTCGCCAATGCCTCAAGAACTTCTTCGCCCGCCACACCAAATACTTGTGAATCACGTCGCGTCTCGCCTCCCTCGTCCGTCGCACGCTCGCCTTCCACTCCCTCAGCGTCCTCAACTTTTTCGCGTGTTCCCGCTGCGCCCTCGATCGCTCCAGCGTCATCTCCCGTCGTTTCGCGTTAAACTTCGTGATTCGCGCCCACGCGATCAGCGTTCGCGCGCTCGTTCGTCGCGACCGATCCCGCCACAGCGCCGTCGCGCGCGCGTTCGTCTCCCTTCGTCGTCTCGTCACGTGCGTCCACCCGCTCCACGCCAACCGCGCGATCGTCGAGCTCGCCATCGCCTCTTCGATCGTTTTCGCCGCGTTTCGCCGCGTCGTCCCGACGTCCGCGATCGGCGCGTCGTCGTTCATCGCGTCGCGCGACATCGCGATTCGATTCGATTCGTCGTCCGTCAACAGTACGCGCGTCGCGCGGTCGACGAATTCGCGTTGGACGCGCGTCGGGCGCGCCGATGCGCGTCCTCGATCGTCGAGTCCGTCGACGGCGAACCCGACGCGCGGTCGAGTCGCGCGGTCGAGTCGCGGCGCGCTGCGGCGCGCCGACGATCGATGCATTCGATCCCCCGCGCGCGATCGATAGAACCCGTAACTCGGCGCGATCGCGCGAGCGGGGACGCTCGGCTGGAGATTTATCGACAATTTACCTCGTGTGCGACCGTATACGGGCGCGTAAGACGCGGATGTGCGATCGTCGATTTTCGGCGATCGGGACAGACCGCACCACTCGGAGCGAACGCTTCTATGGCCCAGTGGTAAGGCGTCCCCTTCGTAAGGGGAAGATCCTCGGTTCAATCCCGAGTAGGAGCAAATCGTATATTAAATTTTTTTAGCCTATCATTTACAAATATTTTATTTATTTCATCTCACTGCGTCACATGCCCGAATGTCCGATTGCTCGATTGTCCAACCGCGGCGGTTCAGGTCGAGACGAGACGAGACGAGACGAGACGAGACGAGACGACGCGCGCCACGGCGCGACGCGCGGGATGTCGCTCGCGGAGGAACAGGCGCGGAGGGACGATGAAGTCTACGACGCACTCATCCGTGAACTCGAGCGCGTCCCGGACGATGCAAGGGATGCGGTGGCGTCGTTTTTACAAGATTTGAGACGCGACGGCGTCGATTGGTACCGGGTTGGCGACGGTGGCGAGTTTGATGACAAGGAGAGTTTCTTTCGAACAGTACATGCGGGGGCGTGCATGCGGGCTGCGCGCATTATGGGTTCAGGATGTTTGAAGTTCGCGCGCGAGCACGGGTGTCCTTGGAACGAGTGGACTTGCCTGTTTGCCGCCATGAATGGAAATCTGGACTGTTTGAAGTACGCGCACGAGAACGGGTGTCCTTGGGACAACAGGACGTGCGATAATGCCGCCCGTTATGGACATTTGGACTGTTTGGAGTACGCGCACGAGAACGGGTGTCCTTGGAACTGGGCGACGTGCGATAATGCCGCCTATTATGGACATTTGGAATGTTTGGAGTACGCGCACGAGAACGGGTGTCCTTGGGACGAGATGACGTGCCTGTTTGCCGCCAAGTATGGACATTTGGAATGTTTGAAGTACGCGCACGAGCACGGGTGTCCTTGGGACGTGTCTACGTGCCAGGCTGCCGCCGAGTATGGACATTTGGACTGTTTGCGATACGCGCACGAGAACGGGTGTCCTTGGGACAAGCGGACGTGCGATAAGGCCGCCTATTATGGACATTTGGAGTGTTTGAAGTACGCGCACGAGCACGGGTGTCCTTGGGACAACAGGACGTGCGATAATGCCGCCCGTTATGGACATTTGGAATGTTTGGAGTACGCGCACGAGAACGGGTGTCCTTGGGACGAGATGACGTGCCTGTTTGCCGCCTCGAATGGACATTTGGAATGTTTGAAGTACGCGCACGAGCACGGGTGTCCTTGGGACTATTGGACGTGCTATAATGCCGCCTATTATGGACATTTGGAGTGTTTGAAGTACGCGCACGAGCACGGGTGTCCTTGGGACAACAGGACGTGCGATAATGCCGCCCGTTATGGACATTTGGAATGTTTGAAGTACGCGCACGAGAACGGGTGTCCTTGGGACGAGGTGACGTGCGATAATGCCGCCTATTATGGACATTTGGAGTGTTTGAAGTACGCGCGCGAGAACGGGTGTCCTTGGAACGAGAAGACGTGCATGGATGCCGCCGAGAACGGACATTTGGAATGTTTGAAGTACGCGTGCGCTCACGGATGTCCAGGCTCCGATCGGTACGCCGAGGCGCTGAACGAAGTCGTCATCCCAGACGTCGACGAGTCATTCGGCGTCGAAGTCGCGCTCGCGTTTCAACAAAACGGCGGCGAGATCTCCATGCGCGAGTTCCTGCCGTTATGGGTAGCGCACAGAGAAGGTTACCGCGACGCGCACTTAGAAATCGCTCGAAACTGGATAGCTCACGATTGAATCGACCGACCGCGCACCGCCGCCGACCAACCGTCTCGCCTCCACGCGCGCGCGCTCTACTCACGAGTGACTATGATCATTACACTTTCTCGCGCTTCGCCGCGCTTCGCGTTCGTTTCTCGCGCTTTGCGTTCTCGCCCCCCCCGCGCGCGTCTCCCGCGTCCCATCCCGCCTCGCGCCCCGCCCCGCGCCCTCCTGGCCCTCACGCCGACGGTCGCAGCGCCTTCGCCACCGCCGCCGCGCTCGGCACCGCTCGCGTCGCCTTCCCATCCCTCGAAAACGTCTCCACGAGCTCGCGCGGCACGATCGCCGGCAGCGCCATCCCGAGCCCACCGATCGCGCACGACCACATCACCACCGGTTCGCGGTGCATCGCGCGATAGAACCACCCCGCCATGCGCTCGCGCCGTCCCTCGCGCGCGCGTCGCGCTCTCGCGCGCGCGTCGTCGTCGCGAATCGCGAACCCTCGTTCGTCGTATTCAAGCACCACACGGACCCATCGCGCGCACCGTCCGGTCCGTGTTCATCTCATACCGACTCGACGGCGCGCGCGACGCGGATCGCGCGCGCCCCGCCTCTCGCGCGCGCGCGTCGTTTGCTCATCACGCTAAGGCAGAACCTCGGTTCTCGGCTACGAACACGAACGCACAGTAATTCACCACACACACACGCACACCGCACACGATGAAATACGTCGCCGCGTACTTGCTGGTGCGCACGATCGCGAACGAGCGCGCGAGGGCATCGCGCGCGGGACGACGACGGGACGCGGGGACGCGCGATGGGAGGCGCGCCGGAACGCTCGAGGGACGCGAGCGAGAGGAAGCGTTCGTTCGTTTCGGGACGGCGCGAACGCGCGCGCGGGCACGCGAGGGGTCGGAAGCGCGGGCGACGCGGGACGGCGAACGATGGGGCTAGGGCTTTGGGGACGACGACTGACGCGGACTCTCGCTTCGCGACGCGCAGGCGCAACTCGCCGGGAAGGAATCTCCTTCCGAGGCCGATGTGAAGGCGATTCTCGCCGGAGGTACGTCGCGAACGACGCGCGACGCGACGCGACGCGACGCGAACGCGCGCCTCGAGAGACGCGCGACTGACGAGACGACGACGCGCTTCGTTCGAACGCAGCCGCGGCGGAGGTCGACGATTCCAAGCTCTCCGCCTTCTTCAAGGAAATCGAGGGTAAGGACGTCGCGGAATTGATCGCTGAAGGTAACGCCAAGCTCGCGTCCGTGCCCTCGGGCGGCGGCGGCGGCGGCGGCGGCGGCGGCGACGGCGGCGGCGACGCCGGCGGCGCGGCCGCCGCGGCGGCTCCGGAAGCCGAAGAGGAAGAAGAAGCCGACATGGACTTCGAACTTGTTCGATTAATCGTTCGATAGATCCCATCGTTCGCGTCGCATCGCGCGTTTCAAATCGAATCACCACTAGTCGTTCGTTGTGAAAAGTCCGAGCGCGTTCACTCACTCATCAATCGAGCACTCATCGGTCGCGCCCGATTGCCGCATTCCTCGGCGCGCCGTTCGATCGGGCGTCCACTCGCGATGTCGTCCTCTCCCGCGCCGGCCGTGCTGACGTTCCAGACGTTTCTGGAAAAAATGCGTCAACCGAGCGCCGGCGCGCTCGTGCGCGACGTCAAGACGTTCATCGCGAGCCTCGACGACGACGCCTCGACGACGACGACGACGGTTGATGGCGAAGACGACGATGATGGCGACGACGACGCGATCCTGCGCGTGGCGCGGCGCGTGCAGACGTTCCTGCGCGACACGGAGGCGACGTTCGAGCGACACCCGGCGTGGCGAGGGGCGTCGATGGCGGAATTGGACGCGTCGGGGGAGGGATTGGAAAAGTACGTCATGACGAAGGCGCACGCGGGCGTCTTCGCGAGACGACGCGAAGATCGAGCGCGGGACGAAAGGCTGGCGAAACGCGTGGAGACGCTGAAGAAAATAATAGAACCGAAACATCTGGACATCGGGGAGTGCAGCGCGTCGTGGGCGCTGGCGGAGGTGGAGTTGGGGAAGATGAATCAGTTCAAGGCGCCGCGGGATAAGTTGGTGTGCGTGTTGAATACGTGTCGAATAATCAATAATACGCTGACGACGCGGCAGGGTTCGGACGGGGGGGCGGACGATTTCTTGCCGGTGTTGATTTACGTCGCGATGCGAGCGAATCCGGGGCGGTTGGAGAGTAATTTAAAGTACATTCAGAGATTTCGCGGCGAGTCGCGATTGGTGAGCGAGGCGGCGTACTTTTTCACCAACCTCGTGAGCGCGGCGCGGTTTTTGGGGCGATGTGCGGCGAACGATTTCACAAACATGGATGTCGAGATGTTTGAAAGGGTGATGAACGAGGACGGGGTGTTGGCGAGCGTGGATTTAGACGAAGACGAGGAAATAGCGGAGACGCCGGTCGAGGCGGCGTCGGCGGAGAACCCGCCGCCGTCCACGCCGCCGCCGCAGATTTCGGTCGAGGAGATGAGCGCGGCGTTGAGCGCGCTCGAAGGTGGGGACACGTCGACGACGCCCAGGGAAATACCGAAGAACGCTGGCGGTGGCGTCGGCGACTACGCGACCGACGACGATAATTTGCACACGCCGACGTCTCGCGCCGCGGCGCCGTACGTTCCGTGGCGCACGACCGAGGACGTCGAAGCCGAGGGCGCGACGCAACTCACCGCGCTCGACGTCGCTGGAAACTTGACTTTGAGTTCGGACTATAAGTTTCTGTACGCCAAGGTGGAAGACTTGACCGTCGGCGACGTCGCGAGGTTGCTTCACGACTACAAAGGATTGGCGCTGCAGTACGAAAGCCTCAGTCGAGGCGTGGCCAAGGTGCTGACGACTCTAGATGCGCGGTTGTGATTTAGATTTTTACAACTTAGACGAAACTTAGACGTAACCGTTCTCGTCGACATTACTCTTCGCCCTCTTTGTCCTCGGACGGCAACATGAGACTGGCGCCGACGCCGCCGCCGAGCATGGTGACGACGACGGCGAGCGAAGCCTCGGTTGGGACCTCGACGCCCGCGTACTCGACGATCATCTTGGCCCCGATAAAGCCGAGCACGAGCGCCACGGCGGTTTGCAAGTACTTCAACTCCCCCACGGCTTTGGAAATCAACGTGTAAAGCTGTCGAAGGGATAGAATCGCAAACAAGTTTGAGGTGTACACGATGAACGGATCCTTCGTCACTCCGAAAACCGCCGGGATGGAATCCACGGCGAAGACGACGTCGCTAATCTCCACCACCGCGAGCACGAGCAACAGCGGCGTCGCCATTTTCACCCCGTTTTGCACGGTGAAGAAATTATCGCCGTCGTAATCTTCGCTCACCTCCAAAAAGTTTCCGACAAACTTCACGATGGCGTTATCCCCCATGTCCTCCTCCTCCTCTTCCCCTTCCGCGAGTAGCTTGTACGAACTAAAAATCAAAATACCCGCAAACACCAAAAGAATGGGTTGGAAATTTTCAATCAACTCCACCCCGGCCCCGACCATGACGGCTCGCATCACCAGCGCCCCGACGATGCCGTAGTTTAACACCCTCGTCTGCCTCTCCGGCGGCACCTTGAAATACTCAAACAACAGCACGAAGACGAATAAATTATCCACACTCAAACTCTGCTCCAACAGGTACCCAGCAAAGTATTCGCTCGCCTTATCCGCGCCCTCCACCGCGCCGATCCCCGCGCCGAACGCGCACGACACCCCCAAGCACGCCGCGACGATGGCCACGTCCCGATTCTGCTTCGCCTCGCTCGTCATCTCCCCGCTCTGTGCTGTGGTCACGCTCTCACTCTTCGTCGTCGGTTCCTCGCTCGCCGCGCGCGGTCGCGTCGTCGTCCCTCGCTTTTCTCGCGTCGTCCTCGTCGTCCTCGTCGCCGCCGCCGCGCTCGGCGTCCATCGTCGCGGCTCCGCCCGCGCCGTCCCGCTCGCCGCCCGCGCGACGCGCGATCGATTACCGATCACCGCGCGCGTCGATCGCGCGCTCGATCGCGCGCCGAGCGTCGTCGTCGCGCGCGCGCCGAGCGTCATCGTCGTCGCGGCGGATCGCGTGCCGATCACCATCCGCGGCGCTCGCGTCGCGCTCGCGTCGCGCTCGGCGCCCGAAACGCGCGAAGACGCGCGGAAATGCGTTCACGGCGCGCGCGCGCGGCAGGACGTCGGCGCGGTCGTCGCGCGCGCGTGTGCGGAGGGACGCGCGCGTGATCTCTCGGGGTCCGGTCGGTCGGAATAAATTTTCATAATATGAGGGTTTAAACGTATATTGAAAATGTTTAACGCTATGTAATACACATACAACTGTACAAGAACAGATCACGCGCGCGACCGACGCGCGGCGACGAGACGGTGAATGAGAATGCCGGCGGCGACGGAGACGTTCAGAGAGTCCACGCCCGCGGCGGAAGACGCCGAACGAGGGATCTCTATCAAGCGGTTGCACGCGCGGCGGACGTTGGTGCGCAAACCCGAGCCCTCGTTGCCCATGACGAGAATCGTCGGCGCGCGCACGGAGAAATCGGAGACGTCCTCGGCGCGAGCGTCGGCGGCGGCGCCGACGACGTCCCAGCCCTCGTCTCGAGCCTTGGCTAAAAATCTGTGCATGACGCCCGTCTGATGGACGACCTGAGCCTCCATGGCGCCCGCGCTCGCTTTGCTCACGGTGGCGTTGAACGGGGCGCTGTTCTTGGCGCAACAGACGACGCCGTCGACGCCTAAAAAGTGCGCGCTTCGCAGGGCGGCGCCCAAATTTTGAGGATCCACGATTTCATCCAGCGCGAGCCACACCGGGGGTTCGCCTCGCCCGTCCCACTTCGGTAAGTCCTCCAGCGTCGGAATCTCCAACGCCTCGGCGTCGAGCAACACGCCCTGGTGCGGTTTATTATCGCACGCCATGTTTAAATCGTGCTTGCTCGCGCGCTTCACCGTCACCGCGCGCGCCTCCGCCAACCGCAAGATCTCCGACTCCGCGCCCGCGCCCTTCCCTCCGTTCGCCGCGCCGCCCTCGCCCGTCTGCACGTACAGCGCGAACAGCGCGCGTCGATTCCGCCGCAGCGCCTCCAGCACCGGATTCGTCCCGTACACGATCTCCCCCACCAGCCCCTCCGCGATCGTCGGCGCCACCCCCCGCTCGCGCCTCGCCGCCGCTCGATCGTACCGCGCCTCGCGCTCGCTCCCGCGGCCGCGTCGCCGCGCGTCCTCCGCGCCCTCCCGCGCCAGCCGCCCTCGCGGCGCCTCCCCGAACCCGTCGTACGACGCCTCGCCCTCGTCGCGTCGCCCACGCGCGTCGACGCTCGCGTCGCGCCGATTCTCGCGCGCGCGCGTCGCGCCGATCGTCCCGCGCGTCGTCGTCGTCGTTCGAGCCGCCGTCGCTCATTCGCCACGACGCGCGTCGCGTCTTCGTCGCGTCGCGTCGTCGCGTCGACCGCGTCAGCCGCGCCAGCGACGGCGACGCGCGCACCGCGCGCATCGCGCGCGCGTCGCGGCGCGCGAGACGGGCCGACGCGACGCGACGCGATGTGATTTCGATTCCGGCGGCGCCGCAGATTCCGACTCGACATGGCGCACCGGTACGAAATTCGCGCGACGCGACGACGCGACGCGACGCGACGACGACACCGAATAGCGTCTCGCGTCGACGCGGCGCGCGACGCGGCGCGCGACGCGGTGCGCGACGCGGCACCGACGCGATCGAATGATGATTTTGATCTCGACGACGACGACTGACGACGCCGTCGACGACGCGCGCGCGCGCAGGCGGGACGACGAGTACGATCGCGGACGTCGGGTCGCGGCGAACGATGGACGGCGCGCGGTGACGGCGACGGGGCCGTACGATCGCGCGCGGGCGGCGGCGCGGTTCGGCGGCGGCGGCGACGAGGGCGCGACGCGGGCGAACGCGAACGCGGCGCCGGATTTGGCGAATTTGCTGCGACAGGTGAACGAGGCGATGGCGCAGGGAGGGCAGGGACAGGAACATGGACAACAGGCGCGAGGTGGGCGCGGACAGGCGCCGGCGAGGGTGATATCGGGGGCGGATCCGAGGGCGAGACGGGCGGCGAGGGCGAACGCGAACGCGAGCGCGAGCGCGGCGGCGCCGACGGCGGCCGGGATGGTGTACGGACAGGGACAGGGGATGTACGGAGCGCCGATGCAGGGGGGAGGACCGCCGCCGCCGCCGCCGGCGGCGGTGGGACGGTTCGGCGGCGCGAGCGCGGGGTACGGCGGCGGCGTCGCGGCGGCGCCGCAGTTTGGGCCGGGGAGCGTCGGGTACGGCGCGCCGCCGGGGCCGCCGGGACCACCGCGCGCGGTCGCGGGCGTGCAGGCGATGGACCCGAGCTCGGTGACGGAGTACGTGATGTGTCCGAACGAAAGCGCGGGTAAGGTGATCGGACACGGCGGGGAAAAGATTAACAGCATACAAACCGAAAGCGGGGCCATCGTGAAGATTCAAAACCAAAACGAAGTCGGCCCGGGACAACCGCGAAGGATCACGATCAGTGGCGCGCCCGAACGCGTCGCGCACGCGTCGCAGTTGGTGTACGCGATCATCGGACAATCAAGCGCGAGCCGCGCGGCGCAGGCGCCGCGCGGCGCGGGCGGCGGTCGCGACGCGGCGGGCGCCGAGATTTTCGTCCCCGTCGAGCCGGACCAGTTCGGTAAGATTATCGGTCGAGGCGGAGAGACGATTCGTAGGTTGCAAGAAGAGAGCGGCGTGCGCATGCAAGTCGATAGACCGAACAGTCGCGTGCAAATCACGGGCGACGCGTCGGGGTGTGAAGTCGCCCGAACGTTGCTTCAGGAAGTCCTCGACGCGACGAACGAACCCGTGGGAATGGGAACGTCGGGCGCGCAGTCCACGGAGATTTCGGCGCAAGGCCAAGAGGGTCGAATCATCGGTAAGGGTGGGGAAAATATTCGTTCGCTCGCCGCGCAAACCGGCGCGAAGCTGAGCATCATCAAAGAGACGGGCATGGTTCGCATCCAAGGCGACCCGCGGCAAATCGAAGACGCCGTGCGCGCCGTCAACGAGTTCATCGACGCGCAGGTGAACCCGGTCAAGTACCCCAACGCCGTCGGCGGCGGCGCCGGGATCCCATCCAACGGCGCGTATCACCCGCCCGAAGATTCCGGCGGGTTGACGCCGTACAAGCCCCTCTGGGAGACGCACCAAAGCCCGGAGGGATACACCTACTATTACAACACCACCACGGGCGAGACGACGTGGGAAGAACCCGAGGACTACGACGGGTTCAGCTGATCGTCTCAAAATCAAACCTTTCTCTGCGTAGTTGCGTAGTTGCGATTGAATTGACTCTCCTTTAATCACTTTTGCCCGTCTTCGCCTCGCTCGCGTCTCGCGTCGGTTACGCCCGCACTTCGCCGCGCGCGCGCGATGTCCCTCCACGCCGCCCGCGATGAGATCGCGTGCGCGACGTGCCGCGCTCGCGGTGCGGCCTCCTTCGCGCCCTCCGACGCCGGCTTCTACGTCTGCGTGCGCTGCGGGACGCAGAGCCAAACGCAAATCGCAAATCTCGCCGAGATTGGGCTCGAGGACGCGGACGACGGCGACGCGTTCGTCCCGGGCGCGGGACGCGTGAGCGGACGAAGCCTGCGCGCGCGCCGCGCGAAGAGCGCGCGCAAAAGCGCGACGCGGGCGGGGAAGCGGGCGCGAGACGCGGCGCGCGACCCCGGGACGGCGGCGGAGGCGTACGCGCGCGCGTTTCAGGCGGTGTTGATGACGCAGACGCGCGCGGTGGCGACGCTGATGGACGACGCGCGAGACGCGAGCGAAAAAGGATTGGAAAACGCGGTGCGAGACGTGTGGGGACGGTATCTGCGAGCGAGCGGGACGCTCGAGCGCGAGAGCGGAGGGACGACGACGACGACGGCGAGCGGCGAGGCGGACGACGGCGACGAAGACGAACGGACGAAATCGACGACGGCGCGGTTCGTCAAGGATCGATTGCCGATGGTGATGAGCTTGGGACTGTTGTATTTGGCGTTGGCGCGGCGCCGCGCGGCGATTTTGCCGTTTGAGCTCGCGAAGATGGCGGCGGAGGGATCGTTGCCGTACTTGAACGTGTACGACGTCGTTCACGAGCACTGCGGCGAGAACACCGTGGAGCTTCTTCCGTCGGATGAAATATTTCTGTTCGAGCATCCGAAGAGGATACCCACGCCGCAGCGCATCGTCGCGGCGGCGGCGTTCGCGGCGGCGAAAATTGACGCGCAGTTGCCGCCGATTAACGCAGCGGCGATATTGACGCGATACGTGGGAACGCTGTTCAATTTGGACTCGCAAGTATTACACGCAGCGCGTAGAACGCTTTCGGTTTACTTGTCGCCAGCTTTACGATACGGCGCGAAAAATGTCGTCGGCGCGCCCGAGTCGGCGCTCCTGGCGTACGTCGTCGTGGCGCTGAAGTTTTTGTACGGTTTAGACGGGAGAACGCACACGCAAGCGCGCGTTCAAATTTCGCGTAATGGTGTTCTGGGTAAAATCGTTCGTCCATCGATCCAGGGCGTGTCTCCGGGTGGATGGAGCGCTTGGGCGCGCGGCGTCGGGGCTTTGGGCGCGCCGGCGCTGCCGTGGAGCGAGGACTACGTGTCAAAGCTCGACGATTGCGACAAGGATCGTCACATTCGATTCGCTTATCACAGACTATTGAGCGGTCGTATTATGCCGTTTCCATTCAACAGAATCGAAGAGAAACTGTTGAAAGTCGTACCACCGACGAGATTGAACGCCGACGCGTCGGTGCCGGCGCCGCCACCGCCGCCGGCGCCGTCCACGACGGATCCTCAGCTCGAGTGTTTGAAAGCAAAACACGCGCTCGCCGAGTCATACGAGACGCGTGTGCGCGTTCACTGCGCGCATGCCGTCATCGACGAGCTCAGGCTCGCGAACCCAGAGGTGGGTGTTGACTTCAATAATGAGCTTCGACGCGCGTGCGTGCGATCGGTGCGTCTTCGCGCGGGCGGTCTCGCGCTGCGTCACGTCACCGATGAACGCGCGAGCTCACTCATCGCTCGCAATGTGAACATTTTCATGCACGAGAAGGAAGAAAGTATTGTGCACGCGGTCGGCGGCCAGCAGATTATCTCACGCATGCGATTAGATTCGCTGGTGCGCCGTGTTCTCGCGGCGACTTTCAAGTCGGACGACGCGTTCGACGGCGCCCTAGCCAAGAGATTGATACGAACGATTTTAAAGGCCGTGGAAACCGAGGATCCGGATTTGAACGCAGAATTTACCAACAATGAACGAATCTCGTACATTAAGGAGACGATCAGTGACTTGGCTCGCGAGCAAGAGCACTTGAACGCCGTGTTGCGACTCGATCCCGATTGGAAAGGTTACGACGACGGCTCCGAGCGCACCGCCAAAATCATCGATGAGCACATCTGTGTGCGCACCGCTGGATCGTACTTACCCGCGGCGAGCGCGAACAACGTATTCGACGCTTGCCCTGCGGAGTATGTGCAAATCGTCGAAGCCTTGGCGCGTTTTGCGTGGATTAATCCCGAGGCGTTGCACGAGAGTGTCATGGAGCTCGAGCTCGTGTTACTCGGCGTCGAAAAAATGATAGCTGTAGAGAAGACCAAGAATAAAAAGGCTTTGAAGAAACGCAAGCGTTAGCAAATATTGGCTTGCTAGTACATTAGAATAGTTGTTACAATAGATTAGACTCAAAGTTGCGCGCCAAACTTGACTCCGACGCCGGGCTTCCAAGTCTTCGCGCTCTCCGCGCGTGCTAATTTGGCCTGCGCTTTGAGCTTTTCGACGTAATTCCTCGGTGACTCTACCGCGTTCGCGTCTCCTCTATGACTCCCTACGCTCGGTGGTGGGGCGAACCCATAGTCATCCTCATCGCTGTAAATTGATTTGGCTTGCGCCGGCGAGCGCTCGTGCCAAACGCGGCGATTCGTCGCCGGCGTCGAGGGCGAGCGTCGCACCGGGAACGGACTACCAGCAGAGGCGTGGTCATCGCTCACACCACCCTCGTCTTCAAAAACAGTCTTCAATCCGAGTCGTTCGAGCTTTTCATTCGTGCTCATCTCACCCACTGACTTGAGCAAATCGGAGCGCAGGACTGACGTGACGAGTTTCGGTGGCTTTTCCGGCGACGTCGGTGTTGATCCCTCGCCGTTGTTGCTCACATTTTCAAACTTCACGCGCATCTCGCGCGAATTTTTATTCTTAGGATTGAGTATCGTCCCCGCACTGCTCGAGCGCTCCGAGCGAGCGCTCTTTGAGTGTCTGTCACCCGCCCACGAACTCCCTCGTTCCTCCCAAGGCGCGACTGGTTTCAACTTTAAGTTGTCCACGCGGAAGCCCAAGTCATTAATTTCGTCCCGCACGCGCTCGGCTGTCGACCCAGCGCGTTCGGCGACGGCGAGAAGTTTATCTAATTGCGTCTCGTACGAATCCTTACCCTCTGCGATCCACCGGTTGGCGTCTTTTTGTCTCTCCGTCGACCGCGGCGGCAGCTTGATTCGCAAGCTCGATCGCGGCGTCACGACTTCCGGGAGTCTCTGGTCGTCGTCTTCCTCGTCCCGTCTCGGTTTCTCTTGCACCACCGCCGCCGCTCGGGCTTGTTTTCGCAACTCACGCCTCGCCCGTCGCGCCGCCGTCTCCCTATCCACCGGCGGACGCGCCGCCGGCGTCGATTCCTCCTCGTCGCTCTTGTTGTACGCGTCCACGTCCGCGGTCGAGGCCTTCGTCGCGCGCGCTCTCCTCGACCTCGACCCCGACGACGTCGACGCCCCACCGCCGCGATACGGCCGCTCCTTCATCGTCTCCGACGACCATCCCGCGCCGGTTTTCGACGACGCCGGCAGCGTCGCCTCCAGCGCGCGTCTCAGCGCCTCGATCGTCGCCGCCTCCTCTTCGCGCGCCGCCTCCGCCTCTACCTCCGACGCCCTCTCCTCCTCTTCCCGCGCCGTCTCTTCGACCTCCGGCGCGTCGGCGACGACCGCGACCTCCCCTCGCGCCTCGCCGTCCCGCGCGCCGCGCGTCGTCGCCGCCGCGTCCTCCTCACCCGCCGCGTCCGCGCCCCCCTCGTCGCCCGTCGACGCGCTCGACGTCACCGACGGCGTCCTCGACACCACCACGATCGTTCGCGTCGGTTCGCTCGCGTCTTTCGAGGCACACGCGCCCATCGCGCGCCGAGATATTTCTCGCGCGTCGGACGCCCCGCGGATTGATCGCCCTCGCGTCGCGCGCGCGCGCGCGTTCGCGCCACCGCGCGTCGCGCTCGCCGCCGCGAATTTCGGGTCGTCGCGTCGCGCCGTCGCGATCGCGTCGCTTCGCGTCGCGCGCCGCGCCCGCGCGCCGCGAAGTCCCGCGCCGCGTCGTCGCGACCGCGGCCGCGCGCGACGTGCATAAATAAAACCACACCGAACCCTAGCGTATACTAACCAACGCGAACCCCATGAACCGCACGGATTCAAACGTCGCGGCGCCGGCCGCCGCGCGCGCGTCCGCACGCCGCGACGCGCTCGCCGCGCGCGCGCTCGGCGCCGCCCGCGCGGCGAATCGGCGAATTCGCGAATTCCCCCGTCATCCCGCGCTCGATTCGCGCGCGATGTCGCCGGTGTCGCCGCTCGAGCGCACCGACGGCGCGCGCGCGCTCGAGTCCGTCACCGCGAGCGCGATCGACGACGCGCTCGCCGACGCGGCGCTCGACGCGGGCGGTGGAGGGACGACGGAGGAAAAGGCCGCGCGTCACGACGGGACGATCGGCGCGCGCGTCGTCGGCCACGGCACGCGCGTCGGGTCGCCCGGGGGCGGGAGCGGGCTCATCAAGGATGCGCTGCGACTGGTGACGAAGAAGACGAGGGACGGCGCGACGCGGGCGGAGATCGCGCGCGTGGACGAACAGCTGAGCTTTGATAAGGGGTTTTATCTGACGATACGCGCGATACAGCTGCTGAAGGCGTCGGCGCCGGAGAGGACGATCGTGGTGGGCGTCGCGGGGCCGAGCGGGGCGGGCAAGACGGTGTTCACGAGTAAGATTCAAGAGTTCATGCCGGGAGCGGTGACGCTGTCGATGGACATGTACAACGACTCGAGCATGCTGCTGGAGGGGAACTTTGACGATCCGAGGTTGACGGATTACGCGTGCCTGTTGGAGAATTTGAAAGGGTTGAAGAACGGGGAGACGGTGGAGACGCCGGTGTACGATTACAAGGAGAGTAAACGGACGGGTTACGTGACGGTGCCGTGTCCAGCGTCCAAGGTTGTGATTTTAGAGGGTATATACGCGTTGAACGAAAAGCTACGACCGATGTTGGACCTCAGGGTGAGCGTCACGGGAGGGGTGCACTTTGATTTGGTCAAGCGCGTTTTGCGCGACATTAATCGAAGCGGTCAGGCGCCGGAGAGCATCATTCACCAAATTAGCGAGACGGTGTATCCGATGTACAAGGCGTTCATCGAGCCCGATCTTCGCACCGCGCATTTGAAGGTGGTGAACTCGTTCAACCCGTTCGCTGGGTTTCAAGATCCGACGTATATTTTGAAATCCGACCGCGTCCCCGACGAGGCGCGCATCCACGCCGTCTTGGGCAAGGATTGCCAAGTCACGGACGAAATCGAGACGGCGGATATTTATCTGTTGCCCCCGAACGAAGACCCCGAGACGTGCACTTCTTGGCTCAGAATGCGTAATCGCGACGGGCACTACACGCTAATGTTCGCCGAGACGGTGACGGATGGGCCGATTATGATTTCGCCGCGCATCAAGTTTGAAGTCGGCGTTCGCATTCTCGGCGGTCTCATGGCCCTCGGCTACGTCGTCGGCGCCATCATGAAACGTCGAAGCAAAGAGTACAGCGACGACTTACTGACGATCAAGGTCGATTGGGTCGAAGGCCTCGATCGATCCTTTGTTCAAGTGCAAGGGCGCCTGCGCTCCGCGGTGGAGGAGGCGGGGAAAAAGCTCGGTCTCAACGGCACCTACATCGCGCACTCCTACATCGAACAAGTTCAGCTTGAGCAGCTCACGAAAGAGCTCTCATCGCTCACGGATGACTTGAAGGAACGATTCCCGATCACGGAGGCCATGCTGACGTCCAACACCGAGGCTTCGGACACGTCGAGCGACGAGGTCGGATCGCCGCACAGCGCCAACGGTCACAGTCGGCGTCGCTCGTCGCCCGGGGGAAGCGACAGCGGTGGCCGGCCGCCGCACCCGCCCCGTCCTCGCTCCGCCGCGCCCGCGAACTGGGGTGGCTACGGTCTCGACGGTCCGGGAGATACGACATTTTACACGCCGCCGCCGCGAAGCTTGAGCCGCGGCCCGAGCCGCAACGGCAAGTCGTACGACATGGACCGCATGGCGAGCCCGAGCCGTCGCCGCACGAGCCCGAGTGATAAGCGCACGTCACCGAACGCCTCGCGCGAAAACCTCAACGCGCACGGTTTGGAGATGAAGTTTGATTGGCTCGCCAACCGCGTCGAAAAGCTCGGCGAGCTCCAACGCCAAGCCTCCATGGAAACCATCTCCGCGAGCGATCAAATGATCACCACTCCCGGCGGTTCTCGCATCAAAGAGTCCGACCTTCTCATCCGTGAGCTCCAATCGCTCACCGCCAAGGTCGACGCCTTATCGACGAGCTTCCACAAGCAACAACTCGACCTCTCTCGCGTCGAGTCGCGCCAATTCGTCGGTTTCGCCCTCGCCGGCGCCGCGTGCGTCTGCGCCGCCTTTCTCGCCGGCGCCACCCGTCGATGACGTCGTCATCGTCGCCCTCGACGTCCGCGCCTCGACGCTCGACGCTCGTTCGCTCGTTCGTTCCTCCGCGCGCCGACGGCGCGCCTGTAATCAATGTCTCACTCACGAAATGACCGAAAATCACACCCGCGCGCGCGCCAACCGCGAAAATCACCCCTCGCGCGCGCGTCCTCGACGCGGCGTCACCCCGCGACGCGCGACACGCACACGATGTTCGCCGCCGCGCAGACCCGCGCGCAATTCACGCCGTCCGCCCTCGCGCGCGCGCCCCGCGCGACGTCCGCGCGTCGCGCCCGCGCGCCGCTCGCCGTCGTCGCCGCCGCGCAAACCCTCGAGGGCGTCGTCGTCGCGCGCTCGGGCGCGAAATCGAAAACCCTGCGCGTCGATCGCAAGGTGCCGCACCCGAAGTACGTGAAGCGCATGAACGTGAGCAAAAAATTCATGTTTCACGACGCCGCGGAGGCGTGCAAGGTGGGCGATCGCGTGGTGATCGAGGCGTGTCGACCGATGTCGAAGGCGAAAAAGTTTACGCTCAAGGAGGTGGTGTACGCGTGCCAGGTCGACGTGGATTGCGTCGTGGCGTGATGGACTCGCGGCGGATGGCGCGCGCGCGCGTTTACGTAAGATTTATGCGGAGGGCGTTCGGGAGGACGGCGGCGCGCGATCGGTCGGCGCGGCGCGAAGATGAAATGAAACCCTAAAGCCTCAAATTTAGATAGAGCTCGCCGCGCGAGCTCCTAGCTTGTAAGATGATTGATTCTTTCATGATGAATGCGAATCGAGGGCGAGCTAATAGAATCCGCGCGATGGTGGCTAACGCGTGCGCAAGACGCCGCGAGCGACGGTGAGGAAATCGGCGAGGTTGCGACGGAAGCGACGCTTGTTGACGCGGTCGACGCCCTCGGCGAGGCCGTTGGCGCTCGTGAGGGCGACGAAGGCGTTTTGGAGTAAATCGACGCTTCGTGGCTCGTCGGCGACGGCGGAGATGAAGGCAGAGGCGAGATTTTGGAACGCCGGGCGCTCGTGGAGGATGATGGGGAGGAGTGCGTCGGCGGCTTCGTCGACGAGATTGAAGACGGCTTCCTCGTAGACGAGACGGTGGAACAAGAGGCGCATGAGATGGGCGAGGATGGACACGCCCTCGGCGTTAGGGGCCATGTGTGCGCCTAAACCGATGGTTTGTGTCTTCGCACTGTTGCATTGGAACGTGGCCAGGGCGCCGAGCGCAGTCATGCTCTCCTTACTCACCGTCTCGTCGGCGTGCTTCAAGCCGAATTCGAGCGTCGACATGAGGGTGCCGAATAAGTCGGGCGCTAGCTGCGCGACTTTTTTGGGGTAGGCCTCGAGCATGTACGCCAAAAGCTCGAAATATTGTCTGCAAAGCTTGGGGAACTTGAGCAATTCATCCGTGATGAGCGGGATGACGGCGTTCAAACCGGCGAAGACGACGCGAGCGATGTCGATTTGTTCCGCGAGCGCCGCCGCCTGGTCGGGCGGCGCGCTCTCGATGATGGCGTCGTGTAAGTTTCCGCTCGACATGTGCGTGAGCATGCGCAATAGCGCGCGAACTTCTTTATACGCCTCTTTTACCGCCTCTTGACTCAATAGCGCGCCGGCTTCCGACTTGACGGCGCCGCGGCCGGATTTCGCGTACGTCTCCACCACGCGCAGGCAATACCGACACACCCAATCCACTTGTTGGGCGTTGAGATACGGCGAGTTGGCCTCGACGAACTCCTCGGTCAGGCGCAGCAATAGCTTCATCACTCGTCCTAAATCTTTCGCGAGCGTTTGCAAATTTAGCAAGTGATCGACGGCTGCGACGAAAAAGTTGAAAACCGCCGGTTGGCTCTTTCCATTCGTCGATCGCACGACGCCTCGCAACGCCTCGAGCGCGGCGCACGCTCGAGCCTCGCCTTCGGGGTGATGTAAACCCTCACGATCGACGCTTACCGCGGCGATGACTTCGCCCGGGGGCGTGATGAGGGCGTTCACATACGCCTCGCACTGCGCGGGATCAATCACGCTCGCGGCGACGCGCCCGACGCACTCGCTCAAACCGCGATGGACTTCGGGCGGGAACGCGACGACGCCGCGCTCATGATGCGCCCCAGCGCACGCCTGACGCAACGCATCCCACGAAGGCATGTTTACTAAGTGCTTCAACAGCGTCTTTCGTCGCGTGAGCACGGGAAACAACACGAATCCGATTGTTTTTTGTAAACTCGTCTCCCCCGGCCAATCGCTGAGCGCCTTGACGCCGATTTGCACGAGCGCGTCGAGCGCCTCCACGCCACCGTTTCTTTCGCTGAACATTCCCCCACCGTTCTCAGCGAGCTTGTTCGCGATGTCAGCACCTCGTCGCACGCCTCCAGCGGCGGCGTACACCGCAGCGTGTAAGCTACCGCCGGAATCCTCTGGAATCAAATACGTATCCGCCCAACGCGCGAGCGCCCACACGACGGTTTCGAGCAGGCGAGGCGACAGCGCGCCGCGCGCGTTGGCGTCGAGCGCCAAGCAACCGAAATCGATCAACGCTCGCGCGAGTTCCACTACGCAGTTTGGTGCGCCTGGTGCCGTGGCTGCGGACGCCGCAGCGAGGGAGTCTGGTGGAATCGGCGTTTCGCCGTCGCCGTCATCCGCGAGCACGTGCGCAGCCAGGCGCGTCAGCCACCATAATTCCTCCAACAACTCACTCGGATCTTGACCGCTCGCCATGCACGCGGGAAGCGAGTTTCGCTTTTCAACTAAAACGTGCTGCAGCGTCGGTAAAGTCGTCGTGGGATGCGCGCGCAAGACTTGGGCGGCGAGTTCGAGTCTCGCGTCGAGCGCCGCCGCCCCGGCTTGGCCCTCCTCTTCGTGCCCATCGTCCTCTTCGTGCGCGCCCTCGCGCGCGGCTTTCAACCCAGCGACGACGTAAGCGTGCGAAATATTTGCCGCTCCTTCTAAAACCGCGCTCGGAACCGCCGTTTCCACGCCTCCCGGCGCGCTCATGCCCTTGTTCACCAACGACGCCCACGCCTCGAGGAGCATCTTTAAACAATCATCCGTCACCGTGCCCTCGCACTGCACCGACAGCGCGTCTTGATTCAAGCACTCTAACGTGAGCTCGCCGAGTAAGTCTAGCGCGGTACGCTCGTTCAACTCCGGACCGAGCGATAAACTCGCGAAATCGTTGGCGTCGTGCACGAGCGCCAACGCGGACATGGAGCGGCAGCCGTCGATGAGGGCGTCTTCTCCGTGCCCCTCCAACGCCGCGCGCACGCTCGTCGCAGCCGGTAAGAGATACTTGGCGATCGCGCGCGCGCATCGCACGAAATGGCCCTGTCTCAGGCTATCGTCCGCATCCCGCGGGGGAAACACGCATCCACTGAGCGTGCAGAGCGCGCTCAGCGTCTTGCGACTCGCCGCGGCGACGCGCTTCGCCTCGACGCCTCCGCCCGCCAACACCGCACTCTCCGCCCCAGCGTGCAAGTCGAACAACCAATCCAGCGCGCCTGGATTCAACAACACATCCCTCCACTCCATTCCCGGCGTGAGCTTCACGAACGCGTTCGCCGCGCTCTCCGAGCTCGGAAACGCCCGTCCCCGAAACCCGTAACTCACGTCTCTATTAAAATCCCAACTCAACACCGCGTTCATCAACCGCAGCGCCGCCGCGCACGCCCCCCGATCGCTCCCATCGCTCACCCTCCCCGTCTCCACGCACCGTCTCGCCGCTTCGCACCCGTGCGCGAAGAACGGTTTCAAAAAATGTTTCTCCGCGCTCGCTCGACATCCTTCGTGCCGCTCCCACGTCGTCCCCAGTTCGCTCGCCGTCCCCGGCGCGAACTCGCTCACGATCGCCGCGAACACCTCCAGTCCCATCGTCTCCGCGTCCGATTCCCCCTTCGACGATTCCATCTTCGCCCGCACCTCGCGTTCGCACGCCCCCAGCGTCGCCATCTTCGTCGCGTCGTCCGCGTCCACCGCCGCGCGCTTCACCAGCGTCGCGCAGCACGCCGTCATCTGATTCCTCACCGCCCTCGCCGCGCCCTCCGCGTCCAGCGTCCATCGCAGCGCGAACGCGCGACACTCCTCGCGCTCGCTCGCGCGCATCGCGCCCCAGTCTCGCAGCGTCGCGTCGCGAAAGCACCGCGCGGCGTGAAACTGGCCGTCGGTCGAGCTCTCGCGCGGGCGTTCGAGGACGCCGCGCGCGATCGCGCGCGCGTCGCGCCGCGCGCGCAGCTCGAGCAGCGCGCGCTCGGCGTTCGCGCGCTCGGCGCCGCGCAGCGCCGTCGCCGCGGCGTCGAACGCGCGCGCGTCGGCGTCCATGCGTCGCGATGTGTCCCACGTAGAACTTAGGGTTTAGACAGTTTGCCGACACGACACCTCAACTGTCGAGCCTCGTCAGCACACTCCTCGGCGTGACACCGACGATGGTGTACGGCGCCGTCCCCGTTAAGGACGAGGAGAACCCTCTCCTGGGCGTCCGATCATCTTCGAAGCGACCACGTTCGTTCGCGTACGGCGTTATCGCCGTCGTCTGCGTCGCGGCGCTTGCAATTTCGGGCGTCTCGCGCGCCACCGATGAATCCTCACGAGAGGATCATCTCTCCGCTTTGGGCGATCTTTCGAATGACTATCTCGCGAAGAGATCCTGGTGGCAGGACGTGAAGACTGCGAATGAAACCCTCATCACCGCGAAGCAGGCGTCCGACAAGGCGATGGAAGCCGCGGCCGAGGCGGAGGAGAAGTTCGACGAGCTTAAGCTTGATGCCGAGGAGAAAGACCGCATGTGCACAGATATTCATAAGGCTGAAGACCAAACATCGGGGTGCGACGACCATTGTTCCACCGGCGCTGTCCAGGCATCGCGTCTTGGATGGGGCTCGTGGTCCGTGTCTTCGTGGTCCTGGTCCGTGTCTTCGTGGTGGCAGTCTATTCGCCAAAGAGCTGCAGAAGCGGCAAAAAAGGCGGCCGAGGCCAAGAAAGCCAAGTGCATGGAGACGTGCAAAAGTCTCGACTGCGGTTTACCGAAATGTAAGAACGCCCCGGCACATCGAACATGTCCTCCCGCATACTCGGGCGACCGGTGCAAAACTGGTTTTGATTTGTACGCTGACAAACCATATAGAAACATCGGGTGGCGTGTAGGAATAACCGGAGTCGATGAAAGCAGGAAATATTTTAAATGCCTCGGTACATACTGTAACCCTCCGATAGGGGCAGAGTATTACTTTCCAGATAAAAGAACCAACAAGTGCACAGAACGGGTTGTCATGGAACGGAAGGATACCTGGGGCAGGCTGAAATCCTACCACACCGTGGGTGTTGGCTCCGACTACTTAAGCGAGTGTGGAAAATGTACCGATTAAGTCGGCTTTCACCCTCGCCTATCAAGATTTTCTCAGACAACACCGACGATTTTTCAAACGTCCCCGCGTCGTTGTTTTTTGAGTACTATCCAAAGTTAAGTTTTACATAAGTCCTTCCAGCTCCTTGACTGAAAAGTTGTATTTTGCAATACTGCGCTCGGTGGGCGGCGTGCCTCGGTCGTGCGCGTTTTAAACACGTTTTTCGGAGGATTTTCGCCGCATGTTCGTTGTAGTATTGCAATTGGTACAACCCCCTTCGTCTTGTTCCACGAGAACTGAGGGACGCATTGATAGACATCATCAAGAACCCGGAGACGCCGAGGGAGGAGGAGGTGGCAGAGTTGCCTCCATTCGCGCGACCAGAGCGTTGACGCGCTCTTCGAGTTCGTCGAGCGCCGCCGCGCGCGTCGACGCCGCGCGCGATGGCGCGCTCGACGCGCTCGGGCGATGCGACGCGCGTCGACGCCTTGATGCGCGCGGTCGACGCGGTCGCGGACGCGCTCGGCGACGCGGGCGAGGCGAATCATCGCGCGTTTCGGGACGACGCAGAACGCATCGCGACGGCGCTGGAGCGAACGCTGACGCGCGACGAGGACGCGGACGCGTTCGCGGTGCTGGGCGTCGAACACACGGCTTCGATGTGGACGGCGTGCGTGGACGCGTGGACGCGGGCGGCGGAGACGCGCGAGGCGACGCGCGCGACGGCGGCGACGCTGCGGGACGTCGCGGCGGCGGCGCGAGACGCGGAACGCGCGTGGGCCGCGAAACGCGCGCGAGGGGTGGCGAGAGAACTGGAGGAGGTGGAATTGAGACACGACGCGCGAGTGCGCCGAGGCGAGGACGCGGCGCGAAGAGCGCGACTCGTCGGACGATTTCGAGCGGAGGAGACGGCGGCGCGGGACGCGCTCGGCGACGCGGGCGAGGCGAGCGCGGGCGTGGACGTCGTGGCGCGGTTTCGAGCGCTCGAGGGCGAGTTTTTGTGGCGCGAGGAGTGCGTGCTGCGAGGCGAGCGCGGGGCGAGCGCGCTGGAGGCGAGCGTGCGGGCGTTCGAGCCGGATTCGAGGGTGGGCGCGTTGGCGCTCGCGGTGACGCGCGCGGCGCGTTGGCGCGAGCGAGTGGCGACGTTCGAGGGACGGCGCGACGACGAATTCGAGCGCCGATGCGATCAAGACGTCATCGCGCGCATGGAGGCGCAGCACCCCGCGCTCGTGGCGCAGTACGTGATGTGGATGAAAGACGCCGCGTTGGAGTCGAGCGAACGCGCGGCTTCGAGCGCCGTCGCCGCCGCGACGACGCATCTCTACGATTTCCTCCTCGCCCTCGACGCCGACGTCTACGACGCCGTTTTCGACGCCCAAGGCCGCGCGAACGTCCTCTGCGCGTCGTTCAACGCCCTCCACGTCCTGCGCTCGCGCGCGTCGCCGTCCTCGCCGCCGCCTCGGCTCGCCGCCGACGCGCGCGCGTTAATCTCTCGTCTCGTCGTCCGCGTCGACGCCGAGCGCGACGCCGAGATCGCGCTTCACGGCGACGACTGGGGCCAGGCCGCGTTCGCCGTCGTCGCCGCGCGCTTGGCGAGCCAGAGATTACTCGAAGTCGTCGCGTAGCCCGGCGCGGCTCGCGGCGGCCCGGGACGTCAACCGTCGACCGCACTCCGTCGCGCGCCATGCGCTCGACCGCGCTCGCGCGCTCGACCGCGCGCGTCGATCGTTCGCCGCGCGTCGCGCGCGCGCGGACGACCCGCGGACGCCCCGCGCGCGCGCGCGACGGCGACGGCGACGACCGGGACAACCGTCCCGAACCGACGACGCGTCGAAAGACGCTCGCGCTCGCGCTCGGGTGCGCGTGCTGCGCGCGCGGGAGCGACGCGCGAGCGATGGTGCGATTGATCGCGCCGGACGACGCGAACGAGGCGACGTTCGACGTCGAGCGCTCGACGACGCGCGATGAGGCGTTCGCGAAGGGCATGGCGACGATGATGGATGGATTCGAAGACGCGGTGCGCGCGCGCAAGAGGGCTCTGATCGATGACCTGCTGGCGGAATACGACGGGGCGAAGGAAATGACGGTGTGCGAGATCGGGGCGGGGAGCGCGCCGAACGCGCGGTATTACGCGAACGCGTCGCGCGGGCCGGAGACGATGGACTGGGTCGGCGTCGACCCGAACGACTCGATGCGAGCGTACGCGGAAGAAAACGTGGCGGCGGCGAACGACGGTGGTCGGGTGAAGATAAACGCGAGATACGTGCACGGCGTGGGTGAGGCGCTGCCGCTGCCGGACGCGAGCGCGGATGCGGTGGTGTCGACGTTGACGCTGTGCTCGGTGCTCGATCAGGGGCGGACGCTGCGAGAGATTCGTCGGGTGCTAAAACCGGGAGGGAAATTTTTGTTTCTCGAGCACGTGCTGTCGAGGGATCCGAGCTTTGCGAGGTTGCAAATCGCGCTGACGCCGATGCAAATCAGCGTGGCGGATGGGTGTCATCTGGACCGACGGACGCTGGACGAGATCGAGGACGGCGGGTTGTTTTCGAGCGTGAACGCGGAGTACTACGAGCTCGACGGGTTTTGGGTGATCGCGCCGCAAGTCGCCGGCATCGCCGTGGCTTAGAATGAATGTGTATCTATAACATTAGTATGTTTCAATCCGACTGCAAGTGCTTCACGAGCAAACACTTCTTGAATAGCCGATACTCCACCGCGGCGCGCAGCCGCGGCGGCGTGTCTTCGGCGCTAAACAGCTTTTCATCCTCCTCGATAGTCGTCTTCATCGATAACAGCACCTCTTCGCAGCGCTTTTTAATGGCGTGCATGACGATCTGGTCGGCGTTTTCGTCTGGCATGAGCGCCTGCGTGAAATGTCGAAACATCAACCACAACGCCTCGTCGTAATCCGTGCGCCACCCCACGCTCGGGCCCATGAGCGTGGATTGTATATCTCGAAGCCTCAACTCCGCCGCATCGTCCGCGGTACCACCGCCACCGCTCAATTCCACGATTGAAGCGCGCTCCCTCGCGCGTTGCTGCGCCTCGAGTTCGTTCGCTATCGAACGCCCGGCGGCTTTATCCAACACGACTTCTCCGCCTTCGCTACGAAACGTCTCGGCGAACCAATCCGCGGCTTCGCCGAGCGAACTCCACAACTCCACTCGATCGTACGGGTTCATGCCACCCACGAATCCCATGTAAAGCAGAAACGACTCCGCGGGCTCGCACGCGTACTGCGTCAGTAACTCCTCGCCCTCGTCAATCGTCTTCAACGCGCGAAGCACGACCGCCTCGCCATCGTCGCTCGCGTCCCATTTCACGTTCGCCGCGCCGTGAGAATGATTCAACATGTCTAACATTGGCGCCAGAAAGCTCTCTCCGCGCTCTAAATCCACCGCTCGGCTTCGCACGCACGACAACGCCCAGGCGAAATGTTTCGTCCAGCTCGCGTCGCCGTATTTTTCGTTCAACTTTTTGATAGTCCCCGCGTCGCGCGCTTTCGCCTTGGCGCAATTCCCGATCCCACGCGCGAACGCCATCTCTGCAATTTCAGCGTTCGTCCACGTCGTCACGGGCGAGTCTACCGTTTGCGGCAACGCGTCGACCACGTACGCTCGCCACGCGCCGCCGTCCCGGTCGCCGCCCCCGGTCCCGCCCTCCGCCTCGAATCTCGCGTGCGCCAGCGTCGCCGCCAATCGATCGGAGGGCGTGTAAAACTGTTTCGAGCTTCCGACGTCGCCGTCGTCGAGCGGGCACGTGGCGTAGCCGCAGCGCAAGCCCGTCGTCCCGAGGCAAGCTGTAAAAGGTACCCTCACGGCGACTTCGCCGGCTTTAATCTTCGCCGTGGACGCGCACACCACGGCGCGGGCGCGCGTGTGAGGGTCCACGCGAAGGTCCACGCGCGAGGTGTCGATGCCGCGGGCGTTGGACCACAGGATGAAATCTTCCATGGCGCGGGCGAGGACGGGGTGGCGGAGTGCGGCGAGCGAGCGGCGGCGCGCGCGCTTTGATGCATCCATATGATTGTAATCGTCTACGTGTCTAAGAGAAATGAGTGTTCGCGAGCGATCGCGCTGAGTGGGGTTTTAAGCGATGGCGTCGCGGGCGCGGTGACGACGGCATCGAGTTTAAGCTTGAGCGCGGCGAGCTTGGCGTCGTAGGACGCTTTTTGCGTCTGCAGCTTGCCGTAAACCATTTTCGCAACGCCCTTGTAGTACACCGCACGCTGTTTTGTGGACTCGCACACGTCTAACGCGACTTGCGTGGCCTCTTTTGCGGTGTCGATGACGTTCTGTCGTTGGATCGGAGAAGGAGAGGCGTCGCGCGAACGCGTCGGCGTCGACTTTGGCGGCTTCGCAGCGCCGCCGCGCATCTCGCGCTCAACCTTGGCAATTTCTTCATCCAATCTCTGGGCGTACAAATCGTTGCTTTGCATCGCCGCCTCGGCCTCGGCGGCTTCGTGTGCGAGATAGTCCGCGAACGAAGTTTCGTGGACGTCCTCGTCTCGCGGCTGCGTGGATTCGGCTTGTTGTCGCGAGGCGACGGTGATTTCCTTCAACTGCGCGCTGAGTTCTTCGAGCATCGTCTTTTTCTCCATTTGAACGGCATTTAGCGATCTCTTCATCTCGCTCAACTCGTCGCGAAGGTTTTCAATTTCTGAGGATTCTTTCATTGACGCCGCTTCGGTGCGGCGCTCGCTCGCTCGCGATAATTCGCTTCGAAGTTGCTCGACGGTTTCCTCGAGCGCTCGCGCCGTGTGTTCGTACTCGTGCAAACGAGACTCCACGAGCTGCCTCGCCTTGATCTCATCACTCGTCTTTTGCAAATTCGCCTTATATTTGCACGCGAGCGCGAGGTTTTCATCCTTGAACTTGGTTAATCGCGCGAGCGCGGCTTCGCTCTTGGTGAGCTCTGCGCGCAGCTTTGACCGTTCGGCTTGCAGACGACTGATTTCGTTCGACTGCCTCGAAGCCATGTCCACGAGATCCCGATTGGTGGCGACTAAATTTGCAACGTTCATCTTGCGAGATCCCGAGCTCGACGCGCGCGCGCGCGCGTTCTTCATCGGCGAAGGCGAGTGGGGATCTTCGCTTTCAGAAACGTCTTCGATGTCGACTTCCGTCTCCTCTTCCGCGAGCTGCGCGGCGATGATGACGTCGTCGAGCTGCGAAAGCAAGTCTTGTTCGCGCTCGCGCATCGTGGCTAGCTCTTGCTGCAAGTGCGCGCAGTGCTCGAGCGCGCTTTCCAGTTCAGTAGTGAGATCGACGATTTTATATTCCTCCACGCTCGACGCCTCTGCGGCGGCGCGACGCGCTTCTTGCGCTTCCACGATCGCCCTGTCCTTCTCCACTCGCGCTTGCTTCAGCTCGTACTGCGTCTCCTCCACCACCCGCGTAAGATCGTGGATGTTGTTCATCGCCGTCGCAAAATCTTTCTCGAGCTCGTATCGCTTCGACGAACCGTCCACGGTGACGCTTTGCAAGGCCTTTTCAAACTCGATGTTTTGCCTTCGAAGCGCCTCGAGCTCCGACGATGACTTCGCCGCGTTCGCCGCGTTTTCCGCTAAACGACGCTCCGCATCGCTGAGCGATCGACGCATTTCATCGAGTTCCGCGTTTTTGGCTTCAATCATGGCGTAGACGTCTGATTCAGACTTGGAGCTCTCGGCGCGATGCAACACGACTTCGCTCTCAGAACGCTCGAGCGCGGCGCGCAACTCCACTTCTCCCGCCTTGCGCCAAGTCAGCTCGCGCTCCAAGTCTTCATTTTCGCGCTCCAAGCGTTGATTCTCGGTCTCGTAATACACCTTTTCATTGGCCGCCTCTTGCACCTCTTCCAATCGCGCCTCGAGTTGTTCAATCTCCGCGCGCGCCGCGTCGAGTTCGGCGCAGAGTTCCTCGGCTTCGATTTCGCTCGCACCCGCGGCGAGTTCTCTCAACTTCGCCATATCGTCTTGAACGCTTTTGTGATTCGCTCGAGACGCGCTCAACTCGCGTTCGCTCTGCCGCAACCGAGTTTCGAGCTCTATGAGCTCGCGCCGCGCTTCCTGCGCCTCCACTTGCGCGGCGCACCGCTCGGTCTCCGCCTTGACACACTGCGCGTTCGCCGCGTCCATCTTCGCCCAAACATCGCGCACGGCCTCTTTCACCGCCCCCTGCACGCGACGATCGCTCGCCTCGAGCTCGTTTTCCTTGTCGTTCAATCGAAGCTCGAGCTCGTGCAAGCGCGCCTTTAATCGAGCGGCGTTTTCATTCGCCGCGACGAGTTTACGCGCCGTCTCCTTCGTTTTGCGCTCCTCGACTAATCGCACGCGCTCGATCGCCATCGCGACTTGTGGATCGTCCACGTTCGGCGTCGCGCACGCGGATTCGTCTCCTTCGTCGTCGTCGTCCTCCGCGCGCGTCGCCGCGCTCCCCTCACCCACCTCCACCGCCGCCGCCCTCGACGGCGATTCCACCGAACCCTCCGCCGTCGTCGCCTCCAACCGTCGCTCCAGCGCCACGACCACGTCTCCCGCGTCGACGTCCTCCGTCTCCGAATCCCCGTCCTCGCTCGCCGTCGTCTTCTCCATCGACAGCGCGCGCGACCGCGCCAACCGTTCCCTCGTCCTCGCCATCTCCTCCCGCCACGCCGACCCAAGCGGTGATTTCCCTCGACTCGCGCTCCCCGTCCCTCTCGGCGTCGTCGTCGTCGTCCCCATCGGCGTCCGCCGCGCGTCCCTCTCGCGTCTCGCCGTCGCCGCCGCGTTTAAATCGTCGTCGTCGTCGTCGTCATCACGATTCGTCCCCCCATCGTCCCGTCGCGCGTCCGCGCGCCTCCCTCGCGTCCGCGCGCTCACCGGCGGCGTGTTCTCCTCCCCCCTCGCCGTCCCTCGCCCCTTCTTCCCCCTCGTCGTCGTCGTCGTCGTCGTCTTCGCCCCGTCGTCGTCCCATCGCGGCGGCGTCATCGCCCCCTCGCGCGTCGCGTCGCGCGCCGCGTTCGCTCGCGCGTCGCGCGGCGTCAGCGGCGACCGCGTCGCCGTCGCGCGCGTCTCCATCGCGATCCGCGCGTCGCCGCCGACGCCCGTCGCGCTCTGCGGCGGACGCCCGCGACGTCAACGGTCGGAAATCTTTGACGTTTCGCGTCCGTCTCACTGTTTACCCATACGACGTCCCGAGTTTGTCGTCCCGACGATGGATGGATGGATGCATCCCGCACGCGACGACGCGATGCCGCGGTGTCGCGCGCGGTACGAGATCGTGGAGCACGGCGCGCGCGCGCCGCTGCGCGCGACGTGCGCGACGCTCGTCGAGGGCGCGCGAGCGCTGCCGGTGCGCGATGCGTGCGAACGCGACGAACGACGCGAATGAAATGAAATCGAAACGGCGCGACCGACGGCGACGGACGAGACGACGCGCGATGGCGCCACGGACTGACCCAGCGCGCGACAAACGGAACAGGGCGCGCGCGCGGCGGTGCGAGAGTGCGCGAACGCGCGCGGCGTCGTGGACGCGGATGACTGCGCGCGCGCGCTCGGGACGACGGCGACGGCGGCGAGACGCGCGTTCGACGCGACGCGCGCGACGAGCGAACGCGCGAGCGATGATCTGGACGACGACGCGAGCGCGCGAAGCGAACGGGGCGCGACGGACAGGGAGACGTGCGAGGCGAGACGGTTGATGCTGTATCTGGCGGCGGCGTGCTACGCGACGGCGCGGGGCGGAGGCGCGACGGCGCTGCGGGACGAGGCGCGGCGGTGCGCGGACGAAGACGCGAGCGAGGGAAACGAATGGGTCGGGCGCGAGGTCTCGGCGAGGAGCTCGCCGTCGAGGAGTCCGTCGAAGCGGGCGATGCTGCGGCGCGCGAACGGCGCGGGGTCGCCGGCGAGAGGGGACCGGTTCGTCGTCGACGACGAGGACCGGGAAGACGCGGCGTTCGGGAGCTTCGTTTTGCTGAATTGGGACGCGTTCGCGGACGCGTGTCGATCGGACCGCGGCGAGGGCGAGGGCGAGCGCGGTTCGGCGACGACGCTGACGCGGGAGGAGGTCGCGTGTTTGGACTACGTATTCGAGACGCGGGACGAAAACGGCGAGCGGAGTTCGCTCGCGGATTGCGCGATGGCGAGCGGCGAGGACGCGATCGAGAGCGCGCACTTGCGCGAGTGGGTGGCGAGAAACATGTCCGCGGACGCCACCTCGATGGCGTCGGCGAGCGCGAAGGCGAGCGGATCCGCGGTGGCGGCCGTCGCCGAGATGGCGGCGAACGTTTCGGAGAGCGACGTCGCGCGACCGGGGTCGAAAACCACCGTCACCGTCGACGGCGCGTACAAAACCACCGTCGTTAGGCGACAAGGGTGCGATGTCACGCGCACGGCGTCGGGAAACGCCGCGGGATGTCGAACATCGCCGCGCGATCTCGCGACGTTTGGTTCGCCGCGGTACGTCTCCGGCGGCACGCCGTGCGCCAAAATCACCGATTGCGCGGAGTCGATCATTTATTTGCTCGAACCTTATCACTACGTCTCTATCGTTGGATGCGTGGATTGCGTGATCGTCGTCGGCGCCGTCGCGCGGTCGTTGCGCGTGGAGGGCTGCGAGCGCGTGACGCTCATGTGCGCCGCCAAACGCGTCACCGTGCGTTCGTGTTTCGATTGCAACTTTCATCTCGGCGTTCTCACCCAGCCGTTGTTCGTGGGTGACAATCGAAAGTGCGTGCTGGCGCCCTACAACACGTTTTACGAGCATCTCGGAGAGCACCTGATTGAGGCGCGTTTGCGACCCGAGGCGTGCACGGCGTGGGATCGACCCGTGGTGCTCGGCGTGGACGTCACGATTCAAGACGGCTCGTCTTCCCCGAGCGCGCCAGACGTGGTGAGAATATCGAGTGGGATAACGCTCATGCCTCCGGACGCGTTCACGCTCTTCATCGTGCCGTTTCGCGAGTACGTCGCCGACGTCGTCGCCGACGCGCCGCCGACGCCCTCGAGCGTCGCGGCGACGACGCAGGCGAACCCGTTCGACGTCCCAGCGAATTACGTCACCGCACTCGAGTCGAAGATGCAGCTCATCTGTGACGTCCGCGCGCGCGTGCGCGACTCCTCCCTCCCCGAGACAAAGCGCGGCGAACTCCAAGCCGCGATTCAGAGCCACTTCAAGGCGTGGCTGCAACAATCGGGAAAGTCGCGCGAGATCTTCGATTTATCCGCCATCGAGCGCGAGGAGATGCGCGCCGCGGGCGGTGAGATGCGCGCCGCGGGCGCCACCGCCGCCACCGCGTGACCCGCCGCCGACGTGAACCCATTAACTACGATTTCTAGACTGTATTAACGAAAAAGCGAGCTACGCCAACGGATTCGCGTGAATCGTCACCCTCTCAATCTTCGCGTCCCTCACCGGCCGATCCCGTTCGTCCACCGCCAACCGTTCCAGCGCGTCCAGCGTCCCGTGCCCGTCGATCACCCGTCCGAATATCGTCACCTTCCCGTCCAGGTGCGGCAGCTTCGCGAAGCTCAAAAAAAACTGGCTCTGATTCGTGTTCGGCCCCGCGTTCGCCATCGCCAGCATCCCTCGACGCGAGAACCGCAGGTGCGCGCGTATCTCATCCTTAAACGCGCGTCCGTCGTATATCGACGTCCCGCCTCGTCCCGTGCCCGTGGGGTCGCCGCTCTGAATCATAAAGTTTTTCACGCATCGATGAAACGCGCACTGATCGTAGTACCCGCTCGCGCACAGCGCCAGAAAGTTCTCGCACGCCCTCGGGCAGTCCGCGACGTGAAGCTCGACCTTGACGTCGCCGCACGTCGTGTGCAGCGTCGCGGACATGACGCGCGAGGCGCCCTGTGACGAACGACGCGCGCGGCCGACCGCCGCCTCAAAAGTCGACGCCGAGAGTCGCGCCGCGCGCGCGCGATGCGCGCGCGGTCGACCGCGATCGACAGCGCGGGCGATCTCGAGCGCGCGGGCGCGGTCGAACGCGCGCGCGAGGCGCGCGCGACGTCGCGGGCGCGCGATGAAGCGAAAGATGCGTCGAGTCGAGCGTCGAACGACGTCGACGCGCTTCGCGCGCTCGCGCGCGCGGCGTCCGCGGCGCGCGGCGCGGAGGCGGCGATGACGCGAGACCGGTGCGTCGACGCGCTGCGAGCGGCGAGCTCGAGGGAGGCGGACGACGAGGCGGACGCGTACTACGCCGCGCTGAGCCTGCACCGAGCGCTCGCGACGCGGGCGAATCGAGACGACGACGAGGCGATGGCGCGATGCGTCGCGACGTGCGAGGAGGTGGTAGAGAGGTACGCGCGACGCCGCGGCGGGCGCGACGGCGCGATGCGGCGGGAGACGGTGGCGCTGGCGGCGTTGACGGTGGCGCGCGCGAGAGGACCGGCGGCGGCGGCGGAGACGCTGAGGGGCGGCGACGAGCGCGCGAGCGTGCTCGGCGCCGCCGTCGCGCGGTGGTTAGCGCTGCGATTGGTGGACGTGGACGCGGAGAGGGAGCTCACGGTGGCGGATTTGACGCGATTGGCGGTTATTTTGTCAAAGGCGCGGGATTCGCGCGCGGCGACGGCGTTTTGCGAGTGCGGCGGCGTGTCGTCGTTGTGCGCGTTGATCGACGTCGAATCGTCCCCGCCGCTGAGCGCGGGGACGATATTTGATTGCGCCAAAGCCATCGCGGGTTTTTGCGCGGCGCTTTCGGATGGTTCGACGACGACGAGGTTCGACGTCGAAGGCGTGTCGCGCGAGTTGAGGGCGATTCTCTCGTCGGCTTCGGGTAAGATGGCCGATCCCCTTCCCGCGGTCGCCGCCACCGCGTGTCGCCAAGCGTTGGCGTCTTTGGAAAAGTACGCGGCGACCCGAGCGGGAGCGGTGTCCACGGTGGAGCGGCAGTCGTCGTACGGGGCGCTCGGCGATTGCGTCACCGCGGCGAAGGAGCTCGATTTCGCCGACGCCTCGCGCTCGGGTTCGCACGCCAGTCTACACCGCGCGCAAAAATACGACGGTTCGTTTGGATCGCAAATCGATCTCTCGCGCACGCGCTCGGAATCGCTCAACTCCTTGGATGCCTCGTTTAGTTCGCCGACGAAGCTCATCCCCGCGGCGTCCGTTCCCGAAGCCTCCGACACCGCCACCGCGCTCTTCACCACCCCACCGCCGCTCGCGCGAAAACGATCCGACTCCGGCACATCACCTCTGCTCAAGTCCAAGTCCCCGGCGCGCGCGCGCTCGAAGAAGCGCGCCGTCGCGCTTCGCCGCTTCCTCTTCTTCGTCTTCGCCGTCGGCGTCGTCTTCGCCTTCGCCGACCGTCTCCGCGCCCATCGCGCGTGATTTCCTCCGTTCGTCCGTCCATTCCGCCGTTCGTCGTCCGTTCGCTTCCCCGTTTCCTCGCCGCCGTCTGTTCCTTCGGGCGTCGACCGCGTCGATTCGCCGCCGAGTCGCGTCGCTCGAGTTAGTTAGTTAGTTGAAAAGATCCTCCAGCGACTAAACCCCAACACTTCGGCGCCACATCATCGCGCCGCGTCGACGCGCGCGATGCGCTGCGCCGCCGCGCCGCGCGAGATGCGCGCGTGCGCGACCTCCTCGCGCGCGCGCGCGACGCGAGACCGCCGCGCGACGCCGCGAGCGGCGCGATCGCGCCGCCGCGCGGCACCCAGGAAAAGCGCTCGATCGGCGCTCGCGCGCGCCGCGGACGGCGCGCGCGACGACGAAACGACGCACGAGTGGTGCGCGGGAGATGCGTCGTCGACGGACGCGCGCGAAAGCGTCGACGCGCGCGACGCGGGCGCGGACTGACCTCGACGCGTCGAGCACTCGCGCGCAGCGTCGTCATCGAAAACCGAGCGGCGAGCCTAGACGGCGATAAGCGCACGCTCGTCGTCGCGATCGAGGATAAACAGACGGAATCGAACTTGCGTAAGAGCCCGGGGAGCGCGGTGTACGGAAATGGGAACGGGAAGGTGTGGACGGAGATGTACGACGAGCCGGGGCAGTACGTCAGGGCGCGGTGCGGGTGCGGCGCGGAGACGCGCTTGCCGATAGCGCGATCGCCGTATCACGTGCGGTACGACTCGGCGAGGTTAGACAGCGCGAAGGTTGAATTCTTGGTGGATTCGAGTCATCATCCGAACGCGCTGACGGGCGCGAAACCGGGCGACGTGTTTCACGTGAGCGAGCCGCGCGGCGTCGGCTTCTCCAACGTGTTGTTCGCGGAGCGATCGCTCGAGGCGGCGATGCGTAAAAACCATCCATTGGTCCTTCTCGCGAACGGTACCGACGGTCTCGCGAGCGTGCGCTCGCTATTAGATTGGCAACCAGTGATGGCGTACGCGGACGCGCATCCTGTGACGTTATTTTACCTGTGCGAGAGTCAAGAGAGCGCCGCGCTCTTGTCCATCCACGACGAGTGGCGGGAGGAGGGCTTCAAAATCATTCCGTGCTACGGCGCTTTGGACGACCAACTCTTCTTGATGGAGCAGTGTTTCCTCACCGGCGCCGTCGCGGCGGGTGGCAAGCCAACCATTCTCGGCGCCGACCCCGCGGCGTGTTCCGTCTTGCTCGCCGGCGCCGAGGGCGACGTCGCCGGGAGCATCTTGAAGCTCCTGAACGCCCGAGGTATCGCGCGCGACAACATCTTGACGAGTGACTTTTTTTAATCCCTAAAGAAGCGTCCGCGCGCCGCGCCGTCGTCAGATTATTCGCGCGCGCCGCGCGTCGTCCGCGCCGTCGTCGCCGCAGCGCGCGACCGACGCACCGCACTTCCCCGCGCGCGTCGTCGCGCCGTCGTCGCTCGCGCGCGATCATGGGAAAGAAGGAAGAGACCCCCGAGCAGCGCGCCGCGCGCAAGGCGAAAGGTGCGTCGCGCGTTTCGTCGCGTTTCTTCGAGGCGGCGGCTGCGCTGGTCTCGAAAGATCGCCGCGCTCGCGCCGCGTGCGCGCGCGCGGCGCGCTCGTGCGCGCGCGAAACCGAACGAAGCGATCGCGATGAAGGACTGACGGACGTTCGCGACGCGCGTCGCGACGGTGTGCGCGCAGAGAAGGGCGAGAAGAAGTCTGACAAGGGCGAAAAGAAGGAAAAGAAGGAAAAGAAGGAGAAAAGGGACGACAAGGGCAGGAGAGGGAATGAAAAGACCGCGCCGAGAGCGCCGCCGAAGATGCGAGCGCCGCCGCCGCCGACGAACGATCGGGACGATTACTTGGCGGGGATGGATTTGCCGTCGAGCGATAGCGATAGCGGAAGCGAAAAGGAGGTCGCACGCGAGGAGAAGGTGACCGCGCTTCCGTCGGGACCGACGGATAAACAAATCAAGCGACAGAGACAGAAAGAGATTGAAGCGGCGCGTAAAGAGGCGCAGGCTAAAGCGGAGGCGATGATGGAGGATGATGACGCGTTCAACGTGCGAATTCCGAACATGTCGGACGAAATGATGGCGGCGATGGCGAATAGTAGGGATATTAAGATCGACGGGTTCTCCGTGAGCGCCCGAGGGAAGCCTTTGTTGACCAACACCTCGTTGACGATCGCACACGGGCGGAGATACGGTTTGGTGGGTCCTAACGGTACCGGTAAAACCACCGTGATGAAATTGCTCGCGAGGCGCAAAATTCCCGTCCCAGAGCACATCGACATTTTGCTCGTCGAACAAGAAGTTGTCGGTGATGATCGCTCGGCGTTGCAATCTGTCGTCGCGGCCGACGTCGAGTTGCAAGATTTACGCAAGAAGAAGGTTGAGCTCGAAGACTTGATGGAGAAGCTCGCCATCGGCGACTCGAGCGTGACGGAGCCCGTGTTCAAAAACGAAGAGACGGGCGAAGAGAACGATTTGAACGCTGAGCTCAACAAAACGTACGAACGATTGAATGAGAAGGGAGACGCCACCGCAGAAGCGCGCGCGTCGAAGATTCTTCACGGTTTGGGTTTTACGGTGCCGAAGAAGGATGGTTCGCAAGGGCCGGATCGTTTCTCCATGCACAACACTACGAAAAGCTTTTCTGGTGGTTGGCGTATGCGCATCTCCCTCGCCCGCGCGCTGTTCATCGAGCCCACGTGTTTGTTGCTCGATGAGCCGACCAACCACTTGGATTTACGAGCTGTTATTTGGCTTGAAGAGTATTTGATGCGCTGGAAGAAGACGCTCGTCGTCGTATCGCACGATCGCGACTTCTTGTCCTCCGTCACGACGGATATCGTGCACTTGCACGACCACAAGCTCGACCAATACAAGGGCTCATTCGATCAATTCGAAGAGATGTACGAGATTCGTCGTCGCGAGGCTAATAAGGCTTTCGAAAAGTACGAAAAGGAGATGAAGGCGGCGAAGAAGGCGTCGAGCAAATCGAAGCAGCAAGATGTCAAGGACAAGGCGAAGAAGGCCCAAGAGCGCAAACAAGGGAATAAAAAGAATAAGGGTATGATGATGGACGACGACGACGACGCGCCGTCACAATTACCTGAGAAATGGGCCGATTACCAAGTCAAATTTAGCTTCCCGACGCCGACTGAGTTGCCTCCGCCACTCATTGGCCTGAACGAGTGTTCGTTCGAGTATCCCGGACTCAAAGGCTTTTCGTTGGACAAAATCGACCTTGGTATCGATATGGGTACGCGAGTGGCTATCATTGGCCCGAATGGTGCGGGTAAGTCTACGCTGATGAATCTCTTAGCCGGCGACTTGGAACCAACGAGCGGGGAATCGCGCCGTTCGCACGCGCTGAGAATCGGTCGCTACTCTCAGCACTTCGTCGACGTCTTAGCCATGGACGAAAATCCAGTGGAGTACTTGAGACGCAAGTACCTGAAAGAGAACGGCTCTTCGTACAAGCCCGAAGAAATCCGCGCCAAGCTCGGTCGATTCGGCTTGCCCGGGCACAACCACTTGACACCGATCGTGAAACTTTCCGGTGGTCAAAAAGCTCGCGTCGTTTTCACAGCCATCGGTCTATCCAACCCTCACATCTTGCTTCTGGATGAGCCGACGAACCACTTGGACATGCAGTCGATCGATGCCCTCGCGGATGCCTTGGAAGAATTCGAAGGCGGCGTCGTCATGATTACGCACGACGCGCACATTTGCGAACAAGTGCTCGACGACGAGAAGAGCGAGATTTGGGTCGTCGACGAAGGTCGTGTCGATAAATTCAACGGCGATTTCGCGGAGTACCGCAAACAATTAGTCGCTGAAATCGCCGCCGAGCTCGACGACGAAAATTAACACCACGAGTTGCTTTTGTTATGAGATGGTGACCCCACCTGAAATACACTAAGTCTTGCTACTGCTAATCATCAATCGCTCGACATCGAGTCCTAAAGCGTTCGCAATAAATACTCCACCGCCTCTTCCTTCGTGCTTCCCGTGGATAACAAAAAGTCCACCATCTTTTTCGCGTTTTCGTTGGCGTCCAACCCGAGCAAGCTCGGCCGCTTCGTCACGTCATCCACAAACATCTCCGCCGTCCGCTCGAACGTCGCCTCCATGTACTCAAACAACGGTCTCAATCGTTTCTCCACGTCGTACGCCAACACCGCGGGATTACGTATGACTAAAAATCCAACCGCGTCCTCCTTCACGCCGCTCGCCTTCAGAAACTCCACCACCTCTCGCATCTCTTCCGCGCCGAATTTCATCGCTTTCGGGTCTTGGCCTCGTCGCACCGCCTCGCGCTCGAACGCTGTGGACGCTCGGGACATGACTTGCAGCGCCTGCGCCCTGGGGACGCCGATGGACTCGAGGTATTCGTACTCGCCAATCATTTCCTTTTCCTGGGTCAGGCGATAGATTCGTTGCACGCCCTGTCGCCCGGGGCGCAGGCGCGATTCCGTCGCGCGCGAGACGCGGCGACGCTCGCGTCGCGAGCCGTGCGCGAGCTTGAGCTCGCGGGTGATCGGTTTAAACATCGCGAAAATCGGTGTCCCGAAATGAGGTTGAGGTTTTGGGCAGCCGTCGGGGCGTCGGGACTCGCGAGAGAACATAATAATACAGCGAACGTCGCATCACTCGCGCTTGACGCGCTCTAAAGGATGCCTAGAGAAAGATGAAGCGACGGCGACGATGGCGCAAACGTCGGCGACGGTGGAACCGATGGCGTCGAAGACGAATTTTGGCGCAAAAATCGCCCAAACCATCAAATGTCGACGGTGGATGAAGGCGCACAGGGCGGCGCACGTCGCCGCGAATGCGCGGAAGAGCGCGACTTTCATCGATACGCGCACGGTCAATCGTTGGAAAGACTCGTATGGTTCATTTTGAGTCATAGCGAACGCGAAGAGCGGAATGGCGACGGCGAGAATGATTTCACCACTCCACGTTTCAAAGCCGAGGAGAAATCCCATGCCGTAAAAGTTGAATTTGCGAAAGCCGGTGAACGCGACGGCGAAGTGTAAACCGTCAAACGAGCACGTGTGTCCTCCACCAAAAAATACAACCGTGCTCGCGAGCCATAGTCCACTGGCGACGACAGTTTCCGTGCCTTTCGAGCGCGGCGACGCGTCGACCAAGAGGCTGAGCAAACCGTCGTACAAGACGTATGTCAGCGCTACGTACGCGACGCCTAGGATTGGTCCGGCGAGCATGGCGATCGTCGGTGCGACTGAGAGTATGAAAACTCGCAGAAGACGTGCGACGTTCGCCGACGGCGACCGCGTCGACGTCTCGATCCCGTTCGCCACAGCGCCTGCGATTGAAAGCGCGTACGTCGCACGGGCGAGCGCGATTCCTTCGCCTTTGAAAACTAAAATTTGCACGCTCCGAATCGCCACGGTGAGCCAGGCGCACGATGCGATGTCGACGACGCGTAACTTACCATTGTACGACGCCATCGACGCATGGCGACGAATCGCGTTCAAAGCGACGATGACGACGACGAGCCCGCACGTTGCGATGACGACGGTGATCGCGGGCGACGCGATCGCCGTCGAGTCACTCTTCACCCACGACACTCCTAAAACATAAAGCGCACCGTTAGCAAAAAGGCACTTGCATCCACTTTGCAAGACCCCCGCTTGACCTCGTGTGAATCTCCCAAACATCGCGGCGACGATGAACGTGGCGAAGAGAAATTGCATCATCTCGCGCTCTTGCACCACGAAACTATTCGATAATCGTGCCACGGACGCTAATATCACCATAAATACACCGACGCGCGCGATCATAAGATCTAAATCTCCATCGCGCGCGTCGTCGACTTTGTCGTACGCGAGCACGGCGTGCGCCGTGAGCGTGACGACGAGCGCGATGAAACCAACCGTCATGCTCAACAATCCGAATTGTGCCCACTTCGCGCGCGCCAATTCTGCCACCTCATTCATGAAATCCAGCACAAACTCTGTCGTGTCTACAGATTTATTCGCTCGCACCACCTTCATGAGCGCCGCGAGGCGCGTGGTGTGTTCGGCACCAAACGGACTCGTCTTGCCGTCGCCGTACGATTGAACGTACGTCCAAATTTGCTCCGCGTTCGCGTGCATCGCGCGCACGTAAGCGGCGAACACATCGCCTCGCCCACTCGCGCGTTTCCCCTCGTGCGCGAGATTGAATACTTTTTCGTTCACCTTTCCTAAATTTCCATGCGGTATGGGCACGCCCAGAAGCGTCGCCATCGTCGGCGCGAAGTCAATCTGTGGGAAATCATCGTCGTCTTCGCCGTCGCCGTTCCCACAGTTCTCACCTTTCGCCCAGGGGTGATACGCGAGCATGAAAGACTCCACCTCCTCGGGCGTCCCACCGCCGTGGTCTCCGTTGTCTGTCATCCCATGATCGCCGAACACGAACACCATCGCGTCGGCGTACTTTTCGTCCGCTCGCATCGCCTCGACTACGTTCTCGATATCTCGATCATTCTCCTCTAACTTTGCGCGCATGAAATCCGTCGTCGCCCCGTGCGTGTGGCCGACGTGATCGGCACCGAGCATGTGCCCTATCAAAACGTCCCAGTCATCGGGCGCGCGCAACGCGGCCGCCATCGACGCGCGCACGCCGGCGTCCACCGTCTCCGTATCCTTCACGTCAAAGCTCGGATACATCGCCGCCCCCGCCCGAAACGTCGCGTTCACGTCGAAAAGTTCGCTCCACGTATCGTCCCCACTGATCGCCATCCGTCGTCCATTCGCGCTCAACTGTTCGATCAAATTATCTTCCCCGAGCGTCGTCCCGCCGAACGACGCGCTCGCGTCGATAAACGTCGGCAACCCTCCCGTGAGCAATCCCTTCAACCGCTGCTGCGTCGTCGTCGGCGCGTCCGCTATGAATTTAAACACCATCCCTCGTCCTCGTTCGTTCGTCGCGTCTTCGCACCGCCTCCCCCCCCCGTATCGTCTCGCGCTCGGCAGTTTCAACCGCCGCCGCGCCTCGTCGCCCTCGTCCCTCGTCGCCGTCGTCCAATCGTGCCGCGCGCCGTCGACGACGAGCACCACCGCCTTATCGACGATCGCGCGCGCCGCGTCCGGCCTCGCGGTCGCCCTCGACGGCGATTCCACGCGCGCGAGCAGAAACCCAGACGCGAACAGTCGCAGCGCCGTAAACTTCATCGCCGTCGCCAGCGTCCACGCGCGCGTCCGACGCGCCGGCGACGCATCGCCGTCGCGACCGCGACGGCGCATCGCGCGCGCGCGCGCGCGTTCGTTCGAATCGAAATCGAACGCCGTCGTCGCGCGCCGGCGACTGGATGGTCGTCGCGCGCGCGCGCGCGCGCGCGCGCACACATTTTTATATGGCGCAATCAGAGGTATTGTACGACCTCAGCGTTCATACAACGGCGGTGCGCGTACCCATGTATGTATTCATTACCAGAGCCACGGCGACGGCCCGCGCGTCGACCGCCGGACCCACACAGCGCAATCAGAGGTATTGTACGACCCCAGCGTTCATATAACGACGGTGCGCGTACCGATGTACGACCAGAGACGCGGCGACGGCCATCGGACGCCACGTCGCGCCGCGACGCGCGCGCGCGACGGCGCGCGCGTCCGAGATCGCGCGCGCGATGCCGCGCGCGTCGACGCGCGACGCCGACGCGCCGGGTTCGGCGCGCGCGGACGCTCGCGCGCGCGATGCCGCGTCGACGTCGCGCGAGACGGACGACGCCGACGCGCTGGCATCGGCGCGCGCGTCCGCGCTCCTCGACGACGCGACGCTCGAGCGCGCGATGGGGGCGACGGAGCATCGACGATTCGCGTTGAAGTGTCGCGCGCTGCGGTTCCGCGCGCGACGCGCGATCGAATCGAGACGCGACGGCGACGACGACGCGGCGCGCGAGCGACGCGCGGAGGACGCGGCGACGCTGGAGGCGACGGCGGCGTTTTGGCGCGAATTGTCGAGCGACGCGTCGAGCGGGACGAGGGCGCTGACGGCGCTGTTGAGACTCGCGCTGGACGGACGCGAGGGCGCGGGATCGGACGGGACGCGCGTGTCGAGCGCGAGAGCGCTGGCGAGGGCGCACCGGCCGCGAGACGTCGACGAGGACGAGGCGCCGACGACGGAGGCGCTGTTTCGGAGCGGCGACGCGCTGCGCGCGCGGGCGACGGCGCAGAATTTCGGAAGCGGCTTCGTCGCGGGGTTGGGGGGGGTGTTGACGCTGCCGATCGCGATCCCGGCGCAGCTCGCGGCGACGACGTTTACGTCGCTGCGACTCGCGCTGGCGCTGGCGATTTTAGCGGGGAAGGATCCGCTCGAACCGTCCGTCGCGGCGAAGGCGATCGCGGCGGCGCTCGGGAGCGCGGGAAGCGCGAGCGAAGAGTTGGACGACGTCGCGAGCGTGGGCGCGGGGGTGCGGGACGGGGTGCAATACGCCGCGATTCGAGCGAGCGGCACCGCGATGCAAAACGCTTCGTGGCGATTGACGCGCGCGGCGGCGACAAAGTTGGCGCAGCGCGGGGCGCAGCGCGGCGCGTCGATGGCGATCACTCGCGCGGTGCCGATCATCGGAGGCGTCATCGGCGGCGCCGTGGACGGCGTCGTGACGCAAAACGCGGGGAACCGCGCGATGGCGGCGTTTTTCCCGCCGCGGCCGAAGGATTGTTCGACGATTGAGGAGAGCATTCGCAAGAGTAAAGACGAGGCGGTGGCGAACGTGAAGAACGCGGCGGAAACCGCGGCGAAAACGTTAAACGGCGCGTTCGATAAAATATCCGTATCGCTGAAGACGAGTTTCGGAAAGCAAACGGACGACGCCGAGGGCGTCGCGACGCCGACGAGCGCGGGCTATCAAAGCCGCGAACTTTTAGCCGACGACTCGTGGGAACGCTTCGAGCGCGAGCGAGAATTGGAAAACATGCGCGCCGTCTTAGAAGACGACGTCGCGTTCGACGACGTGCACGCAGACGTGTTTTCGACGAAGTCGTCGTCCACGACGACGACGACGACGACGACGAAATCTTCGCTCAAAGACGCCGACGCCGTCGAACGCGCCGCCAGGGACAAGAAAAAAGCCGACGCGTGGGCCGAATTCGACGCCCGATGGAAAGTGTTTCACGAAGACGTCGCCGACGCGACGACGAAAGTGATTCGTTACAAAGACATTCCGTGGCCGCCGAGCACGTCGCGCGCGCTCGCCGGCTGTCGCGGCAAAAACGCCGCGCCGGACGCCACCAAACGCGCGTATCGCAAACTCATCTTGCGTTTTCACCCCGATCGTTTCTCGAGGTTCACCCTTCACGAGAGGGACAGGGATAAAATCATGGCCAAATGCGTGGCCGTGTCCGCCGCGATTCAGACGCAGTACGCCGAAGCGACTCGCGAGTCGCGAATAGCCGAATAGCGAATAGCGAATAGCGAATAGCGAATAGCGAATAGCGAGTAGTCAACATTTGTGATTCAATAGTCGCAGTCACACGTCGACGCGAGTCGCGAGTCGCGAGTCGCGAGTACTGTAGCGAAAAGCGAGTAGTCATCTCATCATTCGTGATTCAATAGTCGCGGTCACACGTCGACGCGATCGTCGCGTGGATGCGCGCGCGCGCGGACGCGAGCGACGCGAGCGACGCCGCGCGCGACCGCGACCGCGACCGCGCGAGCGCGGCGACGCGGGACGCGGAGATCGACGGGTTTCGACTCATTCGCGCCCTCGCGTCGAATTCAACGCTCTCGACCTCGCGCGCGTCGGTCCTCGCGTCGCTCGCGGCCGCGTTCGGCGTGTCCGCGGTCGGCGCGGCGACGGTCGTCGCGCGCGCGCGGTCGAGGACGAAGGCGGAGCGGGACCTGCCGCGAGGAACGCACTGGAGGGCGGCGGCGCACGCGGCGCGAGCGCTGGCGGCGGCGACGAGCGGAACGGCGGCGGCGTGCCTGGGAGCGTACGGCGCGTGTCACGCGCTCGGCGTGCGAAACGTTGAAGATTTGAGAAGAACTCTGCGACGAGGGACGACGAACGCGCTGGAGGCGGCGCCGGGGGAGTTTGGGAAGGATGTCGTCGGGCGAGGACGATGAGGTGGATTTGAGCGCGCTGGCGACGATTTCGGAGACGTGTCGCGAGTTTCGACGGTTGCACGAGGCGAGCGATCGAGCGATGGCGGTGATTCCGCGGTGGTACGCGCTGTGCGTGAACGATGCGGCGGTGGAGCTCGGAGAAGCGGCGACGGCGGCGACGCGAGCGGCGCCGAGCGCGCGACTGGACGCGTTTCTCGAGCGCGGGTTCGCGCACGAGAGCGAGAAGGCGCGCGCGCCGGAGAAGCTGACGAGCGCGATCGAGGACGTTGGAAGGTGCGTGGCGTTCATGGGCGATGCGGTAACGCGCGCGAACGAGGCGCTGGGAGAGTTTGTGGAGGCGACGTCGGGGAGGCGGCCGAGCGACGACGGCGACGCGCGTTGGATCGCCGACGTTCCGGTGCCGGTGATGCGCACCGCGTTCAAATGGGGCTCGGAGGAGGAGTACACCATCGAGCAGTGGCTTTGGATGGCGACATCCGTCGTTGAGCAGCTTGAGCGTGAGTTAGAGACGCGGCGTAAGATTTTAGATTACGTGCGCGGCGGCGTCGCGAGCGCTCGAGCCGAGGAATTGGACGGATGCGTCGCCCTCTGGAGCGCGCAGCCGTTCGTAGACGATAGATTGTTCGCCATCGTGTGCGGTGATTCCGCGGACGCGGACGCCGCCGCGGCATCGTAGTGTTTGTTGTATTCAATGTATGTACAAGTATCAATTGATTCTAAATCGTTCCGTCGGCTATAATTCGTTCTAAAAAAAGACGCGCATCGTCAAGCGCCCGACGATCGTCGCGATCGACCCCAGGTATTTTGCGTTCCTTGCGTTGAAGTGTTTTGCGTCCCGCGCGTGCCGCGTCGAGATGGAGCGATTATTTCATCCACATCGTCGCCGCTATCATCACCCGCCGCGGCTCGACCGCGCGTCGCCTTTGCTCGTCCCGTCGGCGGTTTCGCCGCCGGCTTGGTCTTCTTCGTCGCCGGCTTGGTCGCCGCGGCGCGCTTTCGACCTCGCGCAGGCGGTGATGCGTCAATGACTTCGTCGTCATCCGATGCCTCGATGACCTCGTCGTCGACGATAAAAGAATCGTCCGAATCGCTCGGCGCGTCGTCTCGCACGACTGGCTTCTTTGCGGCGTTTCGTTTGACGCGCGTCGAAGCGATGGCCGCCGCGCGAGAAGGTCGCGTCGACTTTTCCACTGGTGCGCTCAAAGGAATGACGTCAGCGTCAGAATCTTCGATTTCGTCGTCAGAATCATCGTCCACGCGCGGAGGCTCGGGCGTCGGCGGTTTGGCTGACGCGCGACGCTGCGTCCGTTGCTTCTTTTGCGTCGCCGGTTGCGTCGGCGCGGCGTCTTCCACCGTCGCCGTGGGTGCGGCGTCATCATTTTCCACCGCTACCGTGCTCACTCGCGCGCGCTTTTTGGACGTCTTTGGTGGCGGCGGCGCCGTGTTTTCATCCATGACTGGTTTATGCTTGCTAGGTTTGTTTAACTGCACCTTCACGGCTTCGTAAATCTTCGAAGTCAATCGATCGACGTCGTCGGTGTTTTCTTGATCATCCGCATTCACCGATGTTTGCACCGCCTTTAAGCGCGTTTGACAAAGCTTGGAAATCGCCGCCTTTTCGTCGCGATTGACGAAATCGTCGAGCGCGGCGGAGAGATCGTTAGGTGTGAGAAGTTGTAAACCGTCGCTCGTCGACAAGTGTTCGCGCACGAGTCGATCGATTCGTCGTTGATTCTCGAGCATGCCATCGGCGAGGGCGTCTTCCTCCTCCAACGCCGCCGCCTCCTCATCGATCATGTCTTCATCCACGTCCACGCCATCGCGACGTTGCTTCTTTTGAGATTTATGAAAGAGCAAAACATCGTGCGGATTCGCCACCTTGCCGACAAACTTTTGACCGAAGCGCTGCGGATTGATGGTGCTAAAGCCGCCCGAGTAATCCACGCGCAGACGAATCAAAGGCAAATTCAAGCGGTCGAGCATGTCGACATCGTCTCTCCCATTTTTCGCGTGTCGTTCTCTATGCTTGCGCCCCGCCCGGACTATCATGGCGTTCACGCGGTTCTCCAGATACGTCGCCACGCCTTGGGCATCCGCGCCTTCGAGCTCGGGCGTGTTCGCCAACGTCATTTGCTCAAACTCGAACGGTCGCGTCGTTCGCAAGGTGATGGGCGTCGTGCGCCAGAATGGCGCGCTATTCGGATTCTCCGGATCACTTCGCACTTCGAGCACGCAAATCTTCTTCTCCTTCGCCTCGCCTTCAATCAAAGACGTCACCACGCTCGATCCCGGTTGCGACACGTGAAATCCCTGCGCGCTCTCGGTTGGCTCCACTAAACACTCGTGCTCGTGCCCCCAAACGACGTAATCCAACCAACTCGGCAAGTAACGATCGGAAATCGCATTCTTCGAATGCGCGGCTCGATTTTGATGAATCAACATCACGTTAAACCACGAACTCGACGAGCAATCCTCCGTCTCCGCCGGTCGATGCCATCGCACGCATCCCTTGACGCTAAACATTTGATGTAAACGATTATCGCGAATGTATCCCAACCCGTACAGCGCCACCTTAGTCTGTCCTTTACGTAACAATACCGGCTTCAAGTCCACGCGACCGGCTCCCCCCCCACCGAGCGCGTGCTTGCCGAAATAATTCACCAATCCCGCGCTCGCGAGCACGTCCATCGCGCTCAAATTCGCCTCCCCCGCGGGATCGTCGTGATTCCCGTGTATGCTAAACACCGGCAACGACACGTTACAATTCGGATCCTCATAATTCGCCATGCCTGATTTTCCCGCATCCGCGCCGTCAGTCATCGTTTCGACCTCGTCTTCGCCTCGCTTCGCGCGCACCTCGACTCGGAAAGTTTTCCTTCCCATCGCTCAAAACTTCAATCTCGATCCCTTTATTCCCTCGCGTCGCCTCCCGCAGCGCGTCCATGCACCGCACCAGCGTCTCTCGGCTCGGTTTATTCACGTCGAACACGTCTCCCGCGAGAAACACGCAATCACAGAGTTGTTTTCTCGCGTGATCGAAGATTTCTTCAAACGCTAAAAACGCGTCATCTTTTCGAATCGGATCGCGCTCGTGCGCGCCCAGGTGCGTGTCCGTGGCGATGAGCACGCGCAGCGTGTTCGCATCGGGCGGTTTCACCCCCGCGGCCGGTCGCATCGCTCGCGGCGACGTGTGCGGACGCGATTCGTTTCGTTTTGAATCAGCCTCGTCAGACGGTTACCGAGGTTTCGCGCGTTTCGCGCCTTCGCGATCGAATCCACGCCGCGCGCGCGTCGCGCGCGCGATTTTCGCGCCGAGTAAAGCACACGCGAGTGAATGTTAATGTCACAACGTCACGGTACGGCGCCGAATCGCGGTCGCGAAGCCGCCGAATCGCGCGTCGCCGCGAATCGCCGTCGCGATTCGCCGCGAATCTCGAGCTCACGCCCGCGCGCCCGCGCCCGCGCGCGGTGAATTCCCCTGCGAGTGCGCGCTCACCACCGCGGGACTCGCGAATCCGTCGCCCGCCGTCGCGCCGCTCGAGATTACATCCAAATCCGCGCGCAATCGCTCGTTCACCTCGTCGAACTGCGACCGCACCGACGCCTTCCCGTCCGCCGACGCGCGAAACGCCTCGTACGCGCGCGTCCAATCGTCCCGCGCGTCCGTCGCGCGACGCGGCGACCCGATCGGCGCGACGAGCTCCGTCGTCGCGCCGTCGTCGTCGTCGTCGGTCGATTTTCGCGCGTCGCCGCGGCACCGCGCCGGTTCGCACGACGCGCACGGATCGAACGCCACGCGCTCGCGCACCGCGGCGACGAGTCGCGTCGCGGTGAGCTCGGAGTCGCGCAGCACGCGGTGCGGCGCGGACATGGCGCGTCGCGGTGCGACGATTCGCGTCACTGCGCGACGGGGACGCGTTGCGTTCGATTCGTCGCGACCATGTTCGAGTTCTTCTTTCGCGCGCCTCGCGCGAGGGGACGGCCGGGACGGCGCGCGTGGGCTTCGGCGTGGACGACGGCGATCGGCGCGTGCGCGTGCGCGCTCGCGTGGCGCGCGACGCGCGACGCGAGGGCGTTCGATGGGGCGAAACGATGGTTCGACCGGTCGAGTTTGAAGGCGTCGACGCGCGCGCGAGGCGACGAGGACGCGGAGACGGCGCTGCGAGCGGAGATGGCGCGCGTGGACGCCGTGACGAACGAATTGACGACGCCGGGCGTGGCGGAGGGCGTGCGAAGGGCGACGCGGGCGGCGACGCGGGGCGACGGGACGCGGGACGTCGGGACGGCGCGAAGGCCGAGCGAGGCGCTGGCGGAGGCGTGCGCGACGCTCGCGGCGACGTCGGCGTGCGCGCTGCTCGTGAAGACAGCGATGAATTTGATCGGACGACGAGGGTTTCTGGATCGCGAGCGGCGGGAGGGGGGGGACACGCTGGACGACGCGTCGAGGGCGGCGTTTTTGAGCGCGACGACGACGGATTTCGCGCGTCGCGGCGTGGGAGAGTTGGCGGCGATCGCGCGGGCGATCGTGGAGCGGGAGTTGCGAGAGTTTAACGATGGGAGGGAGGAGGACGAGGCGTCGGCGTCGTGGACGCGCGAGGACGCGATAGATTTCATGCGCAGGTGTCGGGAGACGTTGAGTCGCGCGTTGTTGGTGCCGTCGGACGTGTTCAGCGATCCAAAGGCTTTGCCGTTCGAGCGTAAAAATAGACTGCACGTGAAAGCGCCGCGGTCGTTCCCGTCGTGGGAGTCCATGCTGTTGCCGCCGAAGAATCCAGATTTCGACGCCGCGCTCGGGGCGCCGTCGAGCGGCGCCGAATCGCTCGCCGAGCGCGAACGGCAGGTTTCGAATTTGAAAGACATCATGAACGAAACGCGATTGGTGATTCGATCGCCGCATTTCGTGGTGGCGCTGAACGACGCCATGCACGCGGCGTGGGCTTCGCACGCCGACGCGATGCCTCAAAAGTTTTTCGGCGCGACGCGCGCGGCGCGACTCAGCCTGGCGCGCGCGGCGCTCGTCGTCGAGGCGACGGCGGATAGAATCGCGTCCGATCCCGACGGTCTCTTGGCTTCGATTGCGAATGAATCGGGGGTTACGTACTTCGGCAACTCGATATGGTAGAAGCGCGCCATGAGAAGCGAGACGCGTTGTATTTAAAGAAAATGAAAGAAATAACAATAACGGTTGCAACAAATAACCGCGCCACGCGAGCGAAACGACCGCACGCGCGCGCTTAAGAATCAACATAACTAATCATCGGTCGCGAGCTTGGCGGCGAACTTCCTGCCTTCGTCCGATCGCAGCCAAGACGCGATGTCTCGCTTTCCGCACTCGTACATGTCCCACAATTCGGCGTCGTCCAAGGGGATGAACGTCGCGTACCTCGGCTTGGGCTCGCTCGGAATGATCGTAGCGTCCCAATCGGTCTTATCCTCGGGATCTAATCCAACGCGCAACGTCGCCGGGCTCAGCGACGCGAGATTATTGCACACGCCGCCGTCGACGCAAACCATGCCCTTGTGCAAGCACACGCCCGGAAACGTCCACGTCGGTATGTACGTCGACGCGATCACGGCGTCGATCAAATCGTCTCGCGTGTCGTACTCGGTGAGAATCACGTTGTGCGGCAGCGGTAACAACGACGTGACCGAGATGAAACACCTCCCCGTGCATCGTTCGTGCGCGTCCGCCGGCAAGACGTCGTCGAGCAAAAATCGGCACTTACTCCCCACCGTGGTCAAATTCTCCATCCACGAATCTCGGTGCAGCGCGGCTATTTCCGGTATGTGCGCCCACACCACGTCGGGATCGACCCCGCACGCCGCGATCGCCGCCATGATCGACCCCACGCTCGATCCCGACCACCGCGCCTTCTCCAGCGCCTTCGCCCCGAACCTCTCGTACAATCCGTGGTACACCCCCAAGTGATACCACGTTCGAAATCCCCCCCCGCACATCGCCACGCTCGCGTGTCCGTCGTGCACGACCGGCGTTCGCCGCCGTCCTCGTCGCGCGCCCGCGTCGCCGTGGTGCCTCCGCCTCGGCTTCCACATCGGCTTCCGCGCCGCCTCCCAAAACGCGATCCACGCCGCGATCCACGCCGCCTGCGCCAGCGCCGCCGGCGCGCCGTACGCCACGCGCATCGCCACCACCAACCGTCCCTTCCCCGTCTCCAGGTACATCGGGTTTCGCTTCGCGTGAAACACCCCGTGCGCGAGCGCGTTCGCCGCGTACAGCGCCGCCGCGACGACGAGCATCCATCGCCACTCCTCCCGCGTCAGCGCCGCCCCCTCGAGCGCGCGCGCCAGCGTCGTCGCGCGCGCCATCCCGCTCGACGTCCGCACGCCGCGCGCGTGTGCGGCATCCATCGCGCGTCGATCGATACACCGATCGACGCACCGATCGACGCACCGATCGATCGCTATTTTGATCCAACCTCGCCTCGAGCGTCGATCGTTTTTCGCGGCTCGATCGATCGGTCGGTCGCCGCGCTCGATCGACGTCTCGCGATCGACGTCGCGATCTCGTCGAACCTCGGCGCGAGGTTGGATAAAAATAGCGATCGGCGCGTCGATCGACGCGCGAACGAGTGGCTGAGATTCATTCGCCCGGTCGTTATCCGATCGCGAATCGCGACGCGACGCGGCACACCGCGACGCGGACGCGCGACGTGGACGCGCGACGCGAGAGGCGTGCATGGGAGCGTTGACGACGCGCGCGGCGCCTCGAACGACGACGACGACGACGACGACGCGCGCGCGGTCGACGAGGACGCGAAAGACGGCGAAGACATTCGGGACGATCGCGCGAGGGACGACGACGACGCGACGCGCGAGCGCGGCGGGAGGGATGGTGACGGTGCGCGAGGTGCCGACGACGCCGATCGAGGGGCAGAAGACGGGCACGAGCGGACTGCGGAAGAAGGCGGCGGTGTTCAGCGAGGGGAACTATTTGGCGAACTGGGTGCAGGCGCTGTTCGGCGCGCTGCCGAGGCGCGAGGTCGAGGGGAGCGCGATGGTGCTGGGAGGGGACGGACGATGGTTTAATAAGGAGGCGAGTCAAATAATTTTGAAACTGGCGGCGGGGAACGGGGTGAAGAAGATGTACGTCGGGAGGGATGGGTACTTGTGCACGCCGGCGGCGAGCGCGGTGATTCGCGAACGCGGGGCGTACGGGGGATTCATCATGAGCGCGTCGCACAATCCGGGCGGGCCGAAGGAAGACTGGGGGATCAAGTTTAATTACAGCTCGGGCGAACCGGCGCCGGAGAAGATCACGGATGCGATTTACGGGTTCACGCAAACCGTGGACACGTTGAAGATGGCGGACATCCCGGACGTCGACTTGAGCGTGTGCGGCGTCACCAAGTTTGGTGACTTTGAGGTCGAAGTCATCGATCCGGTGGCCGATTACTTGAAGCTTCTCAAGCGAGTCTTCGACTTTGATCTCATCAAGTCGTTGTTGACGCGCCCGGATTTCAAGATGCAATTCGACGCCATGCACGCCATCACGGGCGCGTACGCCAAGCCCATCTTTGTCGATGAACTCGGTGCGTCGCCAGACTCGTGCGTGAACGCCGTGCCGAAGGAAGACTTCGCGGGCGGTCATCCGGACCCGAACTTGACGTACGCCGAAGAGCTCGTCAAGGTGATGTTCTCCGCCGACGCGCCGGATTTCGGCGCCGCGTCCGACGGCGACGGCGATCGCAACATGATTCTCGGTAACAACTTCTTCGTGACCCCGAGCGATTCCGTCGCTATCATCGCCGCTAACGCGGTCGAGTGCATCCCGTACTTCAAGTCTGGTTTGAAGGGTTTGGCGCGCTCCATGCCCACCGCCGCCGCGCTCGATCGCGTCGCCGCGGGTCTCGGCGTCGAGTGCTTTGAAACCCCCACTGGGTGGAAGTTTTTCGGCAACTTGATGGACGCTGGTCGCTTGTCGGTGTGCGGTGAAGAATCCTTCGGTACCGGCGCCGATCACGTGCGCGAAAAGGACGGTCCCTGGGCCGTTCTCGCGTGGTTGTCCATCTTGGCGTACCGCAACAAGGACGTGCCGGTGGGCGGCAAAAAGGTGAGCGTCGAGCAAATCACCAAGGAACACTGGGCCAAGTACGGTCGCAACTTCTTCTCTCGTTACGATTACGAAGGCTGTGAGTCCGACCCGTGCAACGCCATGGTCGAGTCGCTCCGTGCCAAGGCTGCCGCCTCAAAGAAGGGCGACAAGTACGGCGACTACGAGTTGGACTACGCCGACGACTTCGAGTACACCGATCCCATCGACGGTTCCGTGTCCAAGAATCAAGGCGTCCGCTTCGTCTTCACCGATGGTTCTCGTTTCATCTTCCGCCTGTCTGGCACCGGTTCTTCCGGCGCCACCGTGCGCATGTACATTGAGCAATACGAAGCCGATCCCGCCAAGCAGGGCGCCGACGCCCAAGTCGCCTTGGCGCCTTTGATCAAGATTGCTCTCGAGACCAGCGAGCTCGCCAAGTTCACCGGTCGCGAGTCCCCGACCGTGATCACGTAATTCTTCATTCTCTCATGCTTTTACGCGCGCGCGACTGTTTTAATCAAACTCAAAGTCGTCGTCGACTCTTTCTCCGTCGCGCGTTGACTCTGAGAGTCGACGTCTCGTTCTCAAACCTAATCTATCGTTACAATCTACCCTTCGCGCCGCACGCCGCGCACAAGAGACGCGTTTATTCTCTCCCCACCGCCTCGCTCTCGCGTCTGAGCTCTCGCACGACCGCGGCGAGCGCCTCTGGATTCACCCCACGTTCGATCAGCGCGATCAAAACCGCGAGTTGTTCGCGATCAACGCCGCAATCGAGCAGCTTCGCGACGTCGTACGCGTTATCGAGCGTTTCTCGAGCGGCGTCCGCCATTTCGCCGCGGACGCTCGAGCGCGCGCGGTGTGACGCGAGCGCAGGAAGTCGAGAAGCTCAGCAACTGTCACATTTTCAAACGCGGCGCGACGCGGCGATGGATGATTGACTAACGATTGGCTTATATTACAAGTGGTGATTTTACTAGAGCTCTCAGAGCATTCGGCTGGCGCGCTGCGCTGCGCGCGCGCGCGCAGCGGCGCGGCGGTCCGTCGGCGCGGTTTCAGTCGACGGCTCGGTCGCCGCTCGGTTATTCCGGCGCGGCGGTTCGACGACGTCGTTCGCGCGCGCGTCGGAGTCGCTCAGTTCGAGCGACTCTTTGGACTCGTCCACGTCGCCGTGGGAGTCGGAGTCGCCACCGGCGAGCTTGGTTGTATTCGGCGCGTCTTCGCCGAAACCAAAAGAGCGCATCATAGCGCGTGATTCGCGCTTTTCGATGCGACGTTGGACTCGCCAGCGAGAGTCATCCATTTTTTCTCGCCATGTCATTCGTCGACCAGATGAAGACTCTGGATCGTGCGTAACGTCGACGTGGGCCGTCGCGTTGATTTCTTCTTGCATCACGGCTTCGAGCTCGGCGACCTTTTCGGTAGCGCTGAGCTCGTCGCGCATCTTGGTCATTTCAAAGTAGTCGTACGTGAACGGATCAACGCTCGTCGACGCTGCGTTCGACGTCGCGGTAATAGATGATGTCGATGGTTTTCTTGGCGGTTTCGTCGGTGACTCGAGCATGATATCGGCCGACGGCGGCGTCCACGAAACCGAATCGCGCGCCGGGAGTCGCGGCGGTCGCGGGATGTAACCTGGCGGATACAAAGGCGCCGGCTTTTCGATCGATTCTTTTTCGGTTCGCTCGCTTTGTCGCGCCAGACGTAATTGTTGCGCGATGATTTCGTTGTACTGCGCCACGCGGGCCTCGACGCTGTCACGAGCTGCTTTTTCTCCTGTGGCGGCGTAGGCGGAATCGTCGCTCGCCACAGATTTGCGCTCACCCTCGCTCGAGTGCGACGCCACTTCGAACTCATCTTCAGAGGACCCACCGATGGCGGTGTTTTTCCTGCGCCAGCGCTCGTGATCGATCGCCTTGAGCTTGCGCTCGAGCGCGAGCGCTTCAATTTCGTGATCCCGATGCGCCGATTGATCCACCATTGACGACTTGCGTGCTTGCCATTTGTTCCGCAAACTCTCCAAATGCACGCTGAGCTGAAGATGTCTCAGCTTTAAATCGTTCGCACCGGCTTTAGATAACTCTTCTACCAGCACTTGATCGTCAAAAGCGGCGATCAGTTTCTCAGCCATTCGCGGATGCAACGCACGCGACGCCGCGTGGGTATCCACGATCGCACGTTTCACCGCCTCGCGTCTGTACGCGTGCTCGTCTTCGATTTCTTTTCGCTCAGCTTCTATCTTAGCCGCGATGACCTCGTCTTTGACGTCTCCGCGCACAGAGCGCAAGACTGTGATACAAAAGTTCAAATTCAACGCGTAAATGAGCAACGCTGCGATGACGGAGGCTGCTTGGTGCTTCACCGTGGACATCAACGCCCCGGCGTTGTAACTCACCAAAATTGTTGTCAGCGATGCGATCTCTACCTTGCGGTGTTGATCCTTCTCGTAAATGTCCAAAATCAACACCAACGCGAGGTAGCTTTGTAAGATGCCGATGGAGATGTACGCCGCGAGAAGCGGAGTTTCAGGAAGGAGCACCGAAGCTGCGACGAGCAAGCCTTTCCGCATCATCACCACGAATTCCCAGTAATACCTTTCTTGCGTGAATCCGATGTAAAGAAAGCCGTACAGCGCTTTTGTCTTTGCCCAGCGTAATTGATTCCGATGTCGTTTCAGCGCTCCAAGGATGAAATACGGAAATCCGAAGACGAATATCGAGGCTAAAATGAAATATCCATACATCGTCATCTTGTATCGAGCGTTATCAGTGCGCACGTTGTAATCGATGAACAAAAATCGTCCGATACCCTCGACAGAGGTCGAACGAATCATCTGCATGATGTTGGTAAAGATTGGGTACCAGCACATGGCGAGCGTCACGGCTTTAAACAACCCGTTGGTGATGTCGCCCGCTGACGGCGCGAGCACTTCGAGTTCGTCCTCGGTCCATTGCTGGACAATATATCCTTCTTTATTCACCTTTGTGAGAAGTTGCAACTTGTACGCATCCGGTTCGGAATCATTTAAATCTGGCGCGCGTTTCATGCGATCCAACTGGAATCGCAATCCTTCGACGTCTTCGCCCTCCCTTCTCGCGTTAATGTACGCCGACTCCAACGCATGCCTCTTTTCGTACCACTCACTTCGTAGTTTGAAGAACGCCGTCAGGCGAAGGTATAAATAAAGAGGCACACACAGCGCCGCGAAGATGCCGACCGTGCCAAAACTGTACGTCGTGTACTGAATGTGATTCCACTTTGACACGCAATCCGTCGCAAACGCCTTGATCGACGTCGTGGACGTGAGCCTGGCGAGCGGGAACAGCACGCCGACGACGTCTGGCCACCCGAGGTTGATCGTTCCGAGCGTTGCAAGCATGTGAAAGTGAGAGACGATGACCTTGGTGTAGACGATTTGCGCTGGTAATGCGCTCCGCGCGGCGCGACAAATCAACAACATGGAGACGATTTGGACAATCGTGAGGACGAACAAGCTCATACCGCTTAGCCATTTTGGCCAACATTTCGTGCACCGCAGCGACGTTTCAAGCGAGCGCGAGTCTTCTAGACTGGCATACTCTTTTCGCGCATCACACGTACCACACAGCGTCCCAGAGTAACCGATGTTACACAATTCGTCGCCTTCACCGACGCCGCCTTTGCAGCTGTACGGTGATCGACACCTTAGCACGCCCAACTTTGTCTCGTCGGCGCGCCAGTTGCCTTCCGAGAGAGATAATTTTGTGATGTCTCGTGAATCGCACACCGCGCCATCGGGACAAGATCCACACTCGTACGCGTCGTACGGCTCCAATCTGTAATAACGCGTATACGTCGTCGTTCCATTTTGCGCCGGTCCAGTGAGTGTGCACTGACACGAGGTTTTGTTCACGTTTGCGAGATGGCCCGGAAGTGTTTCCCCGCTCGAAGTCACGTGCATCTGGCGCGGTTTGCCATCTTCGCCGGTGTACGTGTTCATCCGTATCGGACACGCATCGCACAGTGCTGGTCCACTACCGGTTTTGTAAAAACCCGCCGCGCACGGCACACACGCACCGTACGGCCGCAACGAAGTTATGAAGCTCGAAATCCTGGATGGGTCGACTTGAGCGTAGAGACCTGGATAACTCGATACTGAAACTGACGGAGGTTGATAACCCGATCCTGAGGCGTCTTCCGTATATCCTGGATAACACTCGCACGAACCATTGGAGGTAGACTGCGAATGTGGCTTTACTGTGCTGCACGGAAAGAGCGTGAGTCCACCGGTAACGTTGAGCTCGGCGGTGCCAAGCTTAAACATAAGACTGTACGTCGTCCCGCGCCGACCGATGACTGTCAAATCTTTGAACGTCGCGAGACCGTTCGAGACGCGTTCTGACCCTCCGATCACCGCATATGGAGCCGGCGTTACTGTTACCGTCACATTATCCACTGAGTTTGTCACGACGTTGCCCGAAATATCGTAAACGGTGATTTCAAACGTTGGAAGCGATACGTTGCTGTCATAGCTCGATGGAATGCGCTGCGTACCGAACTCAAGCCTGTACGGATCTCCGGGCTCGATGATGACTTCCAGAGCATCGCCAATGAGAACCAAGTTTTGCGTTGACGTGCACTCGTTGGCTTGACATTCAGACTGAAATTCTAGCACGTAACGCCCTGCGAGCGGGCGAATGAATTTCAGCCCCGTTGCGGTGCCGACAAATCCAGGGTCGCTTCGCACGCCGTAAAAGTCCAAACCAGTCCCCGTGGTGCCAGCGACATTCGGAGGTGAAAGTCCACCAAGCGAGCGTAAATATGCGGTCTCAGCGGCGAGCTTGTTCTCGCTCGCTTCGCTACTATCTGGCGAGCAAAAGCTCTTTGCGCGATTGCTCTCTGTGCCATCGGCGCACCACGCCGCTACACCATTGACGATGTAAAGGGCGCCCACACTCACTGATCGTGAATTGCTCGGCGAACAACCAATTGTGGCGTCCGCGCACGATACGCTTGTTTCATCGGCGATGAGCGGTGACGTCACCGTTGTGGTGGACGTCGTCACTCCTGTGGCGCTCAGTGCGTACTGTTTTAGGTTGACGTTGACGGCTCGGCGGGCTTCGGCGGTGTCCAACGAAGAGCCCATGAGTAATCCACCGGCGTCACGTGTGACGACAAAAATGTCAGTAAGATCGACGACGTCTGCACTTTTGTATGGACGTGTATCTGTGCACAAACCGACGGGGAATTCCACGGTGACGTCAGCGCGAGCGCAATTTGGGCAACCGCACGCGTCCAGAGATGAAATATCGCCAGCCTTGATGAGAATGTCGAACGAATATGGCGTGAGGACCACGGGTGAAGGTGTCGACACAGTTACTCGATATGTCCCAGCGACGGGATTGTAGAGCCTGATGCCAGAGATTAGTCCAACGCCCGACGAGGTGGCGTATTGGCTGATTTCGGGCGGCTGCGAAAATGGGTCTTGCGTTGTCGACGTCACGTATTTTATGCCCACGCTCACATGTCGCAAGATCCCAAAGTCAGCGCTCGTGACTTCGTTTGCACCACCATCGGTAACCGTCACCGCAAACGGGGCTAATATCAGAACTCGTGCCGCCATGAGCGTTGTCGGACGACTGTACGTGGCGTCGTTTGGAGTTGGATAGCCACGCGAGCTCGGCACATTAAGTTGACTCGCATCGCCGAGGGTGATTGCCACGGCCACGCTATCCGATATCAACCCATCGCCTGCAAATGTCAAGACATACTGACCTACTTCCAGCGCTTGCGCGGTGATGCCAGTAAATTTAACGATGGATCGTCCCATCGGCGCTGTAACCGATTTCGTAGCGTACGCTTGCGTCGTAAACGTCCTAGTCGAGTTGAATGAGGAACGTAAAGTCGCCGTGATAACCTTTGTGAACTGGTTGCTTTCCAATAACGTCCCACCAGCATCTTGCATGTGCACAGTGAATTCATCAAATAAAATGAGAGCACTTGATTTGTATGAAGTCACGGTTTCGATGGTTGAGACGTGCTCTAGCTTCGCCGGAACACCTTCGATGATTTTCACCGTCATATCGTACGAGCTCAAGCCAGACGTGGAAAATCGGATGACATGCGTGCCCTGTGGTGGCGAACTGAGATAGAAATTACTCAGTACCACGGTCCCTGCGACTGTCGTACTACTTGTCGTACCGAGCAACTGCGCGGTGCTATCCACCACGGAGATGGTCAAAGTGCGATTGACGCCGTCTTCGGCGAGCAGTTTGTTGCCCGCGGCGTCCACGACGTTCAGAACGAACGGTTCCGATGCACGACCAATAAGGGTGTAAGTCGATGACTTGAGCCCCACTTGACCGACCAAGCCTTCAAAGGAGTCCGGGAAGACGACGTCGAGCGACGCGGCAGAGCCCGGCCAAACGTCGTATGACACATCCACGTCAACCAAACCGGGGGATTTAAAGGTAACGATTGCCTTTCCACCGTGAATGGTGGACTTTGGAAGTCGAAATGCGATGTCGCTGAACGTCGCTGTGCCACTACTGATGGCTTTCGTGTGCGTTTGAGGTTGTGTCGCCGCGCACGCGTTTCCAGACAACACACACGGATTCGTCCTGGCGACGTCAAACACTGCCTCAATCGTTCCGGCACAGCTCGCGTCGCCGGTGACACAGGTAGGAGAATACGCGCTCCCGACCAAATTATCGCCGCCATCCATAACGACAATGACGATTGGGCTCAAGACCACGAGCGCCGCTGACCTATACTGCGTACAAGTACACGAGGAACCACTTCGCAGGAGCGTCGTTGTCGTCGTACACAATCCTGTCCCTGTGTCGCGATATTGCACGTAATAATCATCGCAAGGCGCTCGTATAGCGAGATGGTGTGCGCGCCCGAGAGTCACAGTGATAGACTGCGTGAGATTCGAAAACGCTGGCATCGCTGGCACGTGAAATTTCAGCGTGTGCGTACCCACCTTTGCTCGTTCAAGCGCCAATCCCGCGAAAGTCACCGCGTTTGTCGCGACGTCAAAACTCGGACTCAATCCAGTCGACACAGCCAGCGGATCAGGAATGACAAACGCATGTCGTGTCGCAACCGTGGCATTATACGTCAAGTAATCGCTCTTCACCCCGATAGCATCGCTTGAGACGCCGGATGTGAACTCAAGGTACGCCACGACAGGAGTGTCCCCTAAAACGTAATTGACTCCATTTGCGTGCGCGTCGTACATTTGAAAATCGAACGCATCCAGAGGGACGTAATATGCCGCCGCGTAACGTCGAAACGTCGACATATTCATCACGCCAAACTCTGGTTCGTAAGTCGTCACTGGGGAGTTCGTGAGCGCAAAGCTACTCGGTACGCCTGACGTGACGGTGATGTTGAAGTTCAAATCCACGAGCGGCGAGGTGTTCGTGGACATGACGTTTCCAGAACTATCCTTCAGCGTGTTAGTCGTCGAAGAACACGTGATTCCGTGCACACCCAGCGTGACGGAAGACAAAGTCAAACCGGTGAGTACGGCGGCCCCAGTGCTCAAAGTATTGCCCGTGAGCGTTCCTGAAATAGAAAGTGTCGAGCTGGTGCATGCGAAGGCGCGATCAACTGTGTACGAGAGCGTTGACGCATCATAACGGTCGTTCGCGCCCAAGAAGCTTCCCCCAATATCCGCCACATAAATCGTCAAATCGCCCAGAGGCGTCGACGATCCGGCATAACGTATGTCAGAGCCGAACTCGAGGGTATGTTTCCACTGATGACCGATGTTGCCTTCGACCAGCTGAACGAGTTGCTTTGCCGGGCGAATGTAATCCGAACCAGTCGCGTAAAAGGCGATTACGTAATACCCAGCCGGTTGGACATCGAGCGTGATACTATTCGCTGCGAACGTCCAAGTGGCTGTTCCAGTTGAATCCGTGACGCTCGTCGTGGAAGTCGGTTCGAGCGTGAAAGAGTCGCCGTATGCCCGAACGTCAACCGAGGCACCAGACTCCGGCGGCGATGTGATCAAATTATTTCCAGCGTCGTACAATCGCACCGTGATCGCGTTTGGGATGGTCAGCGTCGTTGAAGACGTCGTCATTGAGGGCACGATATGGTTATCTATCTCCAAATATCTCGGTCGACCGACCACAGTGGTGAATGCGGATATTGCCGAACCAAAGGACGCAGAGAATAGAAATCTGTACGTCGCGTCCGCATCGTTTACTCCCCTGGACGCCGCAGGGTAGGTTAGATTGTTTACGAATATCGTTTTACCGGGTGTTCTCGCACCGATCGGTGCAGGATTGAGAAGCTTCAAGTCACGGAATACCGCCACGCCTCGATGCGTAGACACTGTCGTGGAGCCATTGATAATCGATCCAGAGGTTCGCGGAGCGTTTGACGCGTCCACAGATGTCACCGAGATTGAGTGCGAAACTTCGTCAAAGTTGTGCAACCTGTTGCCTGCGGCGTCTAACACGTACACGTTTACGACGCCGACGTCGGATTCCTCATTAGTGGGCACCACCAATGTGTTTGTTGAGCTCGGTATCGCGGCCAATCCTACAGGCGCTCCAGGCACGACGGTGAAATGGAACGTCGTCGCCATCGCAAGGGCAATGCAACTTGAACCAGTGCAGTCTTCACCGATGACATCGACGACATAATTACCCATCCGCAAAGGTGCGCTAAAACGTAATTGAAACGTTGCCTTACCATCCAAAGTGGTGATGGTGGACGGCACCGTCGTCATCGTCACCCCTGGTGTATCCGTGGAGAGCGAGGTGTTTAGCGTCGCCGTGATTTTAAATCCCCGCGTCCCGCCAACGCCAAGATCATCCGCGATGACGGTGCCTCTGTTATCCACCAAGTTCACCGTCATCGCGTCGAGCGTCATTGTCGACGCGCCAGCATCTTTCGTTGACTCATACGCAGTGTGAGCGATGTTTTGTCGCGCGTGCGTCACGCGAAGACCATTCGGCGTTCTATGCAGCGCTAGGGCGACGCCGGTATGATAATCCACCCCATTCATGCTAAAATCCACCGTCACCGACGTCGGTGGCGGGTCTAACAACCACGGCATTTTCACGTGGTAGTCTCCACATCCGTTTGCGCTCGTCGAAGGACAGAGGGGACACGTGACGCGTGTCGAGTTGACGTACGCCGCGTCCAACACGCTCTGAGCGCCGAATCGACATTTGAGCACGCCGTCGACGAATGGACCGCCATCGATAGCAATTACCGCTGGATCCCCATTCGGTACTTCTCCCGTAAATAGCACCGAAGGCACGTGTGAATTCGTTACCGACGTCGCGACGAGATTCGGCGGGTCGTAATACATGTAATTTGCCATTCCGCCGACCCATATAGAGTTTTCAAAAAACGTCGCGAGCGCGCTGCGATCGTCCGGATAACCCTCAAAACTGATACTGACGGCCGATATGTACGTACCGGTCGCCGCGAACGCACTGTACGACGGCGCATCGCATTCGATCGTTGTCGAATTCACCAGTTTGGCTGGCACATACACGGGCGAACCGTCGTTCAAAAATCGGCACGCCACGCGGTGCGACAGAGTGTCGTCCGGGGCCCAGGAAGAGTCGTATGGAAACCCAACACCACGAATCGTGAGCGTTGTCCCACCCGCCTTGGGTCCTCTTGAAGGGGAAATATCATCGATTTCTGTCACGGAGAAGCTTTGGTACGAGATTTCTGCGTCCGAAACATTGTACGTCCCTGTGAACAACGCACCCATGCTTGGGATCGTCGTCATCGCACCGATCGGTCTTGTCGACGCCGTCGACCCTTGAACTTCCATGCACGCCGATCCGACGCAGTTGGCATCCGGGAATACTTTGACTTTTACTATGCGCGTCGGAGCATTCACGTCTGACGCGTCCTGGCTCGTGAGGACGTACAGCGTCCCTCCACTCGCACCCCCATCGCTCACTGTCTCGATGGCGAGCGCATCCCTAACTAAACTACCACTCGTTCCTAACTTGACGTGTTCTATCGCCGAGCTCGTGTTGTTGAATGATTTTCTAACCCGGTATACGCACGAGATGCGACTGACGCACGTTGCGCCGCACATCGCGCCGTTGTAAGGCGCACTCGATGTCGCGACGTAAGCATAATCTCCCATCACTCCGAGCGCGGTAAACGCGGTATACCTTCCGAGATAGCTCGACGAAAGCAAAGAATGACCTTCGCACGCCGCGTCGATGGCGGTGGCGTCTTTAAAGTACAGCTCCCCATCCGCCGCGATTACGCTCTCGCTCGAGTACGGATTCAGGCGAACAATCGCGGGATAATCTTGCGCCGAACTAGCCTTCGCGCGACCTGCGAGAAACATATCGACGCCACCACCAGTTGTGCCGACCGTGACCGCCTCGGTGAACTTACCTGCGTCTCGTCTGTTGTGGCACGCCTCGCACGCCGCGCGCAGCGTCGGCAACGATATATCCTTCGCGCTCGGCGCTGCGTCGATACCGCTCGAATACACCAGCACGCGACCAAGCGCGCTCACCGCTGTGGGTGTTACTTTTAAAATCAAATCATCGTCCGTGCCCATGGCCGCAACGTCGACGATGTATCCATCCGTGGTTTTCTCGTGACGATTTCTAATCGTCCCGCCGCCCGACGCCAAATCTGACCACACGACGTAACCGTATTCAACTGGCTGCCCCGCCCTTCGCACCCACGCGTTTGCGATGGCGTATATCACATCACTCGTCGCGCTCGCGACGACGATCGGTCCGCGCATGGCTATCGTCGACCACCCGTCGCTCGTCGCCGCGTCGCCGCGCGGATGCCCGCACGACCCCTTCCATCCGTTTGGCACAGGATCATCCACGTCGAGCACGATCGTCCCATTCGCCTGCGGCCGCGCGGGCCAACGCGTGGGTTCATTCGCGTTCCACGCCCGCGCGCTCGCATCGCCCAACCGCGCGTAATGATCCACGCACAGCGCGTCTCGCCCGCCCATCGCGACGACTTCTCGCGTCCCCGCCGCGCGCGCCGTCGCGCACGTCACCTCCCGCGGCGCCGCCCCGACCCCCGTCGCCATCACCGGCGCCATCGCCGCGTACCACGTCTCCCGCACCGTCCTTCCATCGACCTCGACGACGCGCTCGAACGTCTCCACCGCGTCTCTCGCCGCGCCGCAGTCGACGCCGTCCCGGTCCGCGCGGCAGCGACACGTCTCATCGATCTCGCACGTCCCGTACGACCGCTGCGCCAGGCACTCGCGCGGGCAAAAGCTATACGCGTACCCTTCGCGCGCGCTCGCGCCCAGTGATCCGCACAGCAGCGCCAGCGCGCGCGTCACCGCGCGCGTTCGTCGCGCCGCGTGTGTCGGTTGCGCGCGCGACGACATCGGCGTCTTCGTCGCGCGTTCGCGTCGTCTTCAGCGCATCGCACTCGATGTCCGCGCGTCGGGCGATGCGCGACGGTGCGTTTTATCCGCGCGTCGCGTCGCGTCGCGTCGTCGCGTCGCGCGCGCGTCGCGGTTCGGCGTCGCGCGTCATTCCCCCGCGGCTCAGTCTCGTTCGGCTCTTGGATACAACACGGAACGTGCGCGCACATCGAATCGTCGCGCTTGACCGGCGCGCGGGAGACGCGCGCGCGGCGAGAGCGCGACGCCGCGCGCGCGATCGCGGTCGATCGTGATTCGAACCGCGCGCGACGGCGCGCGGGAGCGAACGCGGACGTCGACGCGCGGGCGCGAAGGCGCGCGCGTCGGGAGACGCGAGACGTCTCTTCGTATCCCTCGCGATGATGCGAATCGTCGTCGTCGTCGTCGTCGTCGCGAGCGCGGCGCGCGTCGAGCGCGCGCGCGCGTCGACGATCGTGGACGCGTCGAGCGACGTCAGAACGGGCGGTTTCGCGGAGGTGCGCGGTCGGGCGCTTCGCGGGACGAGCGACGCGGAGGCGTGTCGAGCGCGCGCGTGGGCGACGGGCGCGGACGCGCCGGGCGGCGCGTCGACGGCGGAGGCGACGTGTGCGGCGATCAGTGCGACGTCGGCGACGCGATGCGAGGCGGCGATGGCGTCGTTGAAGTGTCGGCTCGCGCGGGCTGGCGCGCGCGCCCGCGCCGAGGCGTGTGACCTCGCGAGCGCGGACGATTGCGAACGGTGCGTCCTGCGCGCGCTCGGACGAGGCGCGAGAGGACGCGGAAACATGAACGACAACGATTGGGACGACGCGGTGGAAGACGAGGCCGCTTTTGAGAGTGACCGCGCGATTACGCTGGACCGCGCGGTGGAGTTTTCAATGTACGTCGACGAAACGCACGCCATCGACAGCGATTGCAAGTTTTTGGTCTCCATGTTCAGAGCCGAGATGGCATCGCGGGTCGTAGAGTCATTCTCCACGCTGCTCGCAGAGGCGCAGCGCGAGGCCAAGGCGAGGGCGGAAGAAATCACCATCGCGCTCGCGGAAATTGACGAAGCGGCTCGCAGAAACGCTCGCGACGTCGAGCAAGCGGCGATGGCGCTCGACAAAGTACGCCGCGACCAGCTCGAGTTCGCGACGCGGTTTGAAACGTTTGCGGCAAACTTGAACGCCGCGCTGGACCGCGTGGAGCGCGCGTCGCGCGGCGCGCTGCGCGCCGCTCGATTCGCCGCCGAGCTCGCGAAGCGCTGCGCGGGAATCGTTTCCGAAACCTTCGCGTCGTTGGTTTCGGTTGAGATGATTTTCGTGCGCTTCATCGTCATCGCGTTCGGAACCACGCGCCCGGCTTTACGGCGTTGCTGCTTTACGGCGTTACTCGTGGAGTGGATGTTACGCGCCGCGCCGCGAACGGCGGCGACGACGCCCTCCAATCGTCTTCGCCTCGGTCTCCTCTGCGCGTTCGCGCCCAGGATCTGGACGTACGCGAAAGAGCAACTACATCGCTCGCGACGCGACGACGCCGAGACGGGTCGCGTCGACGTCGGCGCGAAACCGCGATCCGGTCGTCGCGCGCGAGGCGTCCCCGCGGCGCGAATCGAACCGTCGCCTCGAGTCCCCGAGCCGACGATCGCATCGCCGCGTCGCGCCAGCGCGCGCCTTCGCGCGACGAAGACGACAAAAATAATTTAACGCTCCGCACACGCCGCCTCGAGATGAGCCCGAAGATCACCGAACTCTGTTCGTACCCGGTCAAGAGCTGCGCCGGAGTTTCCCTGGACGCCTGCGCGCTGACGTCCACGGGATTAGCGTTCGATCGGCTGTTTTGCGTCGTCAACGCTGTCGATGGAAAGTTCATCAGCCAACGCTCGCACCCGCGTTTATCCCTCGTCGCGTGCGCGATAGAGCCACCGGACGCGTTCACCGATCGCACCGTGCGCCAGTTCGCGCTGACGTGCGAGACGTCGAGCATGGCGACGAAATTGCGCGTGGAGGTGGATTTGGACGACGCGAGCGGGACGGCGACGTCGGCGACGAACGTGGAGTGTTGGGAGTGGCGCGGGAAAGCGGCGAAATGCGGCGACGAAGCCGGGCGATGGTTCAGTGAGTTTTTGAATCAAACACCGGACGGCGATGGGGCGGCGTACGAGCTCGTGCGATGGATGGGAAAGGGAGGCGCGCCGAGCGCGCCGCAAGACGCCGACGATTTAGACGTCGACGACGACGTCACGCGTTTAACGTCAGAGAATTACGGTTCGCGTCGCGCGACGACCACCCTGAGCGATGGATATCCGATGTTACTCGTCAACGCCGCCTCCGTGCGCGCGATGCACGAACTCGTGCGCGAGGAAACTGAAAAATCCAACGCCGCGCCCGTCGTCGTCGACAATCGACGCTTTCGCGGCAACGTCGTCGTGGACGACGCCAAAGCCTACGCCGAAGACACGTGGTCCGTGATCGCCCTCGGCGCGCGCGAAGTCCAAGCCGAGTTATGCAAGCCGTGTTCGCGATGTTCGATTCCCCTCGTCGATCCGGACGTCGGTTCTCCCGCGCTCGGCGCGCCTCTGGCGCGCGCGCTCAGTCGCGCGCGCTCCGGCGCCGCGTTACGAACCGCCAATCGTCTCTGGCGCCAGTCCCCGTTTTTCGGTTGGAATTTACTCGTCCCTTCGACGCAGGACGCCACCGTCGTGTTGCGCGTCGGCGACGACGTGCGCGTGTTGGAGACCCGTCCCGCGTTCCCCTAGCGCGTCGCCGTCCCGCCTTCCATCTTTCATACGACACATATTATAGCGTATAAATCCCCATCAATCTATTCCCGCCGCGGTCGACGCATTCCAGAACCCTCGCGCGCGCGCCGCATTCCGCGTCGCTCGATGTCCGCGCCCGCGTGTTCCGCGTCGCTCGCGCGCGCGTCGCGCGTTTCGACGCGCGCGCCGCGCCGTCGCGCGCGTTTCGACGCGTCGCGACGCGCGCCGACGCCGCGCGGACGCGCCGACGCCGTTCGAACGATGGCGGCGGACTCGAAGCACCTGCAGCGCGTTCTCGTCACCTCGCGCGACGGGCTGACGAGAGAGCTCGACGAAGACGTCGACAGCGTCGTCATCGACTGCGACGGCGTCGTCTGGAACGGCGACGCGCTGATACCGGGGGCGAAAGCGGCGATAGAGGCGCTGCGGGCGAAGAAGAAGAGGGTCTTTTTCGCGACGAATAACTCGACCAAGTCGCGAGCGCACTACGCGGCGAAATTCGCGTCGCTGGGTGTGGACGTGTCGAAATATGAGATATACACGTCGGCGTACGCGGCGGCGATGTACCTGAAACAGCGAAGGTTCGATGAGATCGAGGACGGGGACGACGCGGAGCCGCGCGGGGAACACGGAGAACGAGTCGGAGACGCGCGACAGAAAAAGGTGTACGTGATCGGTGAGAGAGGCGTGATGGAGGAGATGGAGGAGGCGGGGATTGATGTTGAGGCGGGGGTGTACGACAGCGTGCGGTGCACGGGGAGAGATTGGGAGGAGATGGAGGAGTGGTTGGATCCGGAGAACGACGTCGGGGCGGTGGTGGTTGGGAGCGATTCCGCGTTTACGTTTGCGAAATTGGCGTACGCGTCGCTGCAGATACAGCGCGGGGCGCTGTTCATCGCCACGAATCCCGATGCGGGGGATAAGATTGGTCGAGCGCTGTATCCAGGGGCGGGCGCGATCGTGAACGCGGTCGCGACGGCGTGCGGCGAGCAGCCGGAAATTTATTGCGGCAAGCCGAGCTCGTTCATGTTGGATTTGCTCTGCGAGCACACCAACATCGACATGTCCCGCACGCTCGTCGTCGGCGATAGAATAGACACCGACATTGCGTTCGGCAAGGCGGGTAAAGCCGGGCTCACCGCCCTCGTGTTCACCGGCGTCACCGACTCTGAACAGCTCAGAGAAAAGTGTCTGCTCGCCGACGCCGACGAATCGCTCGCCGACGCGCTCCCCGATCGCGCCATCGGCTCCCTCGCCGAGCTCGTCGGGCTGACGTTCGATCCCGACGAAGTCTGCGACAGCGTCAGCGACGTCGACACCGACGTTAACATCGACGAAGACGACATGCTTCGCGCGTTCCCCGTGAGCGACGCGCCGTTGCCCGAGTGGTCGCAATACGACGACGACGACGATCAATTCGATCAAACGCAGTACGCGCCGGCGTCGTAATTCATCACTATATTTTAATCTGTAGTCTGACGAAAGTTTTCGAAATCATTCGCCTCGCCTCGCCCGAGCGCGCCTCGCCCGACCGCGCGGTTTGGGGGGGACTAAAAGTCGGTTAGACTTTACTACGCGTGGTGAAAATGAATCGTCGTGACCGCACATCTCGGCGCATCGCGCGCGCGCGCGATGGATCTCGCGAAAACGATCCCAAAATGTCTCAACGACGCGCAAATCTCGTTGACGACGCACAAGCGCGGCGCCAAGACGCTGTGCGCGGTGCGAAACGAAGACCCAGAGACGTTTTTACCGACGTTTTGTAACGCAATCTTGCCGGTTTTGCTCGAGTACAAGGTACGCTTGGACGCCGCGGCGACGCGCACGCGCGCGGACGATACGGTGTCGTCGTTCGTTGGATGTGGACGATCAGAGACGGCGGGAAACGCGCGTGTGAGATGCGAATGCGATGGAACGATGACGCCGGGACGCGGCGAGCGCGCGAGACGGGACGACGACTGACCGAACGCGGCGAACGCTCGAACGAGACGCAGCGAGACGTGTGCACCGAACGTGTCGTACGATTTATCGTCACCTTTTGCGCGTGGCGCGAGGAAGGAATGGAGGAAGACGCGGATGAGTTCAACGAGGCGTTTTTGGGATTTTTGCTCAACTTGCACGGAGCGAAGGACAAGGCGGTGCGATTCCGCGCGTGTCAAATCATCGCGGGTGTGCTGAATGGACTCGGTGCCGACGCTGAGGTGAGCGATGAGTTGTATGAACGCATGACGGACGTGATGCTGGAGCGGATTCGGGATAAGATGCCGCCGGTGCGGGCGCAGGCGGCGCGAGCGCTGAGTCGTTTGCAAGACGGAGGGGAGACGCAAGATTTCTCGCAGGATGACATCACGCAAGCGTTCGTGGAGTTGCTCGGAAGCGAAAAGAACAAAGAGGTGCGAAAGGCGATTTTGGGCTCGCTCGCGATCTCTGATTACACGATTCCGTGCGTTGTAGAACGCACGCGGGACGTGGCGGAGGACGTTCGTCGCATCGCATTTTTGGCGCTCACGTCCAAGGTGCCCGTCGAGTCGGTGTCTATCGCGCATCGTGCCTTGGTTTTGCGTCGAGGTTTGAATGATCGCGCACCCATGGTTCGAAGCGCGAGCGTCGAGATGCTCAAGCGATGGCTCGAAGCATTCCAGGGCGACGTCGTGAAATTCCTCACCGCGCTCGACGTCGAGTCCAACGAATCCGAAGCCGAGCTCGCGCTCAAGGAACTCATCACCATCGGTCGCATCAAGCCTATGGACGTGTGCAAAGACGTCGAGCTGGTGTCGAAAGGTTTGAAACGCGACATCGACGTCGACGGTCTCATGACGCCCGAAGAAGGGTTGTACTGGCGCGTCGTTTTGCAACATTTGGCCGAAGCCTCCGCCGTCAAGGGCGCAAATTCGGCGCAGTCGGTCGGTCAAGCGCGGGAAATCGCCGTCGCCGAAGTCGGTGAGATGATCGAAGCTATGGAATCGGCGTTACCGCCGACGGCGATGGATTTGCTGAGCATCGTGAGCTCGCACGCGAAGAGCGCGGAAGGGAAATTCGCGGCGAGACAACTCCTACCTCTTCTCAAATGCGTCGATCTGAACGACGGTGCGATTCGACGAGGCGCCATCAACTTGGTCGCTGAGCAGCTTCACGTCAAACCCGTGGTGAATTCGCACGGATCGTCGTACGCGTGCGGGGGTGATGGCAAGTGGGAGAGCGCGCTCGTCGAAATTGCTCGTCTCGTCGCCAACGATTCCACCGAATTCGCCGGTCTCGTTTTGGACGCCGCAGATTCTCTTCAAATGTCTGGTACTGCCGAATCGCTCACGCAGGCGTTGTACATCGCGGGTTCTTTGCTCGAGCGCACGTCGAAGCGTTTACCATCCGTCGCCGCCGAAGCCGTGATGGACTCTTTGATCAAGCCCGCGGTGACGCACTCCACCACGGCGGTTCGCCGGGAATCGATGCGCGTGCTGGGTCTCTTACTCGCTTCTCAAGGCGTCATCAACCCTGACGCGGTGGTGATTCTGCGAACGGCCTTAAGTGCCGATGCCGCGCCCGTTCGATGCATGGCGGCTCGCGCGCTCGGCGACGCAGCGCTTCTTCATGGTCCCGCGGCGCTGGACAAATATCGCGTCCTCGTCGATCCGGAGGATGAAGACGTCACTGAATCCGCATTCAACGCGAGTCTTCCTCTCGAGATTGCACTCATGAAGTGCCTCGATGAAGAAGGAAAACCATTTGTGTTCAAAGCGAACGCGTATGATTTGGAAGACGTAGATGTTGAAGACGTGGATGCCACCAAGGCCGCCGCGGCGGTGGAGGCGGAGGAAAGCGTCGGCACCGTCGCCGCGGAGTCGCTCTGCAAAATCATCCTTCGTCGCGGTGAAGGCGCGTTTGAAGCCGCTGCGGCGGTTGTCTCGCGATTGCTTGGCAGCTACTTTGCGGCGGATGCGCAGCGAAGACCGCGTCTCGCACAATGCTTGGCCGTCTTCTTCCCGGCGCTCGCAAGCGGGCCGGAGGATCGTCGACGCTTGCTCGCGGATTGCGCCCTGCCGGCTTTGCGCGCCGCGGCTAAGATCAAGGGCTTGTCGCGCGTCGCCGCCCTTCTCGTGCAACTTCTCACCGCGTCCGAAGAACCGACGGCGGGCGGCGCCGAACTCGCCCTCGCGTTGGCGAACGAATCTCTGGCGTTAAGCACGAAGCAAACGCCATCTGGCGCGCAAGCACCGCTCGCCAAGGCGTACACCAACGCCATCGCTCGCGTGTTATCTGTCGTTCCAGTGAAATCCACGCGAGACGAAGTCGACGTCGCTGAAAAGGTCGAGCTGAACGACACGTTAACCAAGGCTTGGCACGCCGCCGTGCTCGCGGCGGAGCGAACAAAGGAAAAGTCTGCGGCCAAGGATTTGGCGATGGCGGCAGAACGTCTTCGCTCGAATTGCCTTGCGACACAAAAGACGGTGGCGCCCGAAACCGAAGGTAGCGAAGGAATCGCCGTTCCAGCGGATGACGACGACTTATCGACGCAGATGAACGACGACGTTCGCGCCGCCGTGATGGAGTACGCAGAGGAGCTCGCCAACGGCGCTGACGTACCGTTTTGCGGTTCTAAAGTGAAAGCCGCCAAGGTGAAAGCCGCGCCCGCGGTGCCGACGCGCGAGTCTCGTTCGCGCGCGAGCAAAACTGCGGCGGCGGATAAGCTGAAAGACGACGACTTGAAGAAGCCGCTTCCGAAAGTCACGCCCGAACGCAAGTCTCGTTCTCGACGAGGCGCGCTGCAAGAAACAAACTGACGCGAAACATCGATGTGATATTAAATAAACTCCTAACCACACTACTCAGTTCTTCTTCTGGCCACGCCTCAGCTTCATCAGCACGACCGGCGCGGAGACTTTAACGCGAATATCCAACTGATCGAGATCGTGCCCTCCCTCGACTAACCCCCACTCCTCGATCTGCGCCTCCTCCTCGACGCGCGCCGCCGCGATGGCTTCATCCACCGTCAGCCCTCCTCGAAGCGTCTTCAAACTTATCAACAACGACTTCGTCGCCGCGCTCAGCGCGAACGCGCACGTCAGCTCCCACGGGCACATCGCGTGCAACCGCCGCCGCAGCACCTCCACCGTCTTCTCGCTCGTTCCCGGTCCAAAGATCGAATCCGACGTCTCCACCGGTCCGAACTCTCGCTCCGCCCACGCCACGATCGGATCGTGCGCCTTCGCCTGCCTCGCCGCCGTCGCCTCGTCCGGGCTTCGCACCCGCGTCGCGTCCGTGCCAAAGTATTTCAGCAGCGTCTCCACGTGCACCCGTCGCGTCTCCGCGTCTCCCATGTGATCGATCGCCGTCGCGCTCAGCGACGTCAGCGGCATCGTAAACGGCGCGATGCGTTCGCCCTGCGCGTCCCACTCCGCCGCGACCGCGCGCGCCAATCCCTCCGTCGCGAACGCGTACTCGTTTCGCTTCGGCGTTCGCAGCGCGCGCGCGTCGAGCTCGACGCGCCACGTCCCGTCGCGCGCGTCGCGTTCGCGCGCGTCGACGCGCTCGTAAAACCTCGGCGCCGTGCCGTCGGCGCCCATCGTCATCGCGACGCGCTCGGACGACGCCTCGCCGCGCGTGCGCCCGACGCGCTTCGCCGCCTCGGCGCGCGCGCGCAGCGACGCGCTGCGCGCGTCGCTCGCGTCGACGGGCGCTCGCGACGACGCCGCGCGTCTCAGCGCCGCTCGGACGCGATCGAGCGCGCGACGCGCGCGCATGGCGTCGCGATGTGCCGTCGCGATGCGCGCCGGCGCGCGCGGGCGTCACTCATTCGCGACATGTCGAGCGACGACGCGTTCGAGGACGCGTTGGACGACGCGCGCGACGACGCAGACGACGCCTCGAGCGACGACGCGCGATCGGACGCGTTCGAGGACGCGCTCGGCGCGCACGCGGCGCGATTTCCGTTGCACCGCGCGGCGTTCGAGAACGACGTCGACGCGGTGCGAGCGCTGCTGGCGCGCGACGACGTCGACGCGAACGCGCGCGACGACGCCGGGCACTGCGCGTTGCACGTCGCGGCGCTGAGGCGCGCGGTGGGGGCGACGCGGGCGCTGGCGGCGAGCGCGCGGGTGGCGACGGAGGCGCGAGACGCGAGGGGCTGGACGGCGACGCGGTTGGCGACGGATCGAAGGGCGCGCGCGTGCGTCAGAGCGCTCGTGGAGGCGAACAGAGCGAGAGAAAAGAGGTTGGCGCGAGAGATTCGACCGGAGATGGCGCGGGCGGTGGAGGGCGTGGGGGATTTTGAGACGCGCGCGGCGTGGCGGTTCGGTTCGCGAGTGTTGGCGCCTTTGATTAAGATGGTGGCGCCCAGAGACGCGTACGCGGTGACGTGCGTGGGGAAAAAGCTGAGAATCGACGGCGAGTTGAGAGGGATCGATTCCGAGGCGTTGGTGCGGTCGATGATGCCGAAATGGCGACGAGGGAAGTTTAGCTTGATTTACGACGGCGACGCGGGCGAACGCGCGGCGCTTTGGTTCGTCGATCACGAATCGCGAGAGGTGGTGAACGCGATGGAAAAACCCACGAGACGGGACGGCGATGATGCCGACGCGGCGTCGACGAGCGATGCGCCGCCGCTCACGGAGGAGGAGATGATTGACGCGATCACGGACGCGTTGCTCGCCGAGGGTGCGGCGAAGAAGAAGGTGCGAACGGAGGGTTTCAAATTCGCACCGGTGAAAGGATGGATCGCGGGAAAAGCCAGCGCGTGGATTGGAGGACGCAAGGCGGAAATTTGGGAGGCGACAGCGAAGCTGGCGCGCGAGACTGTGGCGCCGGGAGGGGGATTTAAACTCGACGGTTCGTTTGAGGAGTACGTGGAGAGCGCGAACGACGCGCGAGAAAACGTCGTCACGCGCGCACCTTTGGGCGAGTCTTCGAAAGATAAATCCGGGTTAAACATCGATGATAGTAAGGACATGCCACAGCGTCTTCGTAAGATGTCGGCGCGATGTTGGCTCGTGCGCGACTTCCCTTTAAAGGCGAGTCAGGCGTCGCAGATTTTGGACGTCTTGGAGCGTGCGAATAAAAACGCCGCGCACGTGAACCGCGTGGTGAAGTATTGGTGCTCAAACCACGAAAACATGTTTCCGGTGAAGATCCAAGTCCCGCTTATGCTCACGATTTACGCCCAAGTGCAATTTAAAGATTTCAAAGCGCTCGACAAGCGCGCTCGGGAAGCCAAGTTGCGAGACGGCTTCTTCGAAATTCCGTCGGATTATCGCGTGAAATCTGTGGATGAGATGCTCGCTGAAGTGGAAGAGCGCGCAAATCGTGACATGGAACGCATCGAGGCGCTGGATGAGTCGCTGGACGTCGATAACGAGACGGAAGAAATTCGACAGTTGCGCGTCGAACTAGAACGCCTGGCGAAAAACACGTCGGGCGAAGACGAAGGCGACGATGAATACGAGTTTGACGACGACGACGACGACGAAGACGAAGACGACGAAAACTTAGATGCCGATAGAATGAATGTACGCTAGAACTGTATAATTACACCTTACAACACGAGACGCATCACATCACGCTACCCGTTCGCGGCTTTGACGAGTTTCGCCTCGCCGTACGATCCGTCAAAGTATCTCTCCAACAGAATGGCCGCGCTCGCCGAATCCAGCGCCCCGTTCTCGTTCGACCCCCCACTCGTCGCGATGCGTTCCGACGCTTCCTTACTCGTCCTAGACTCGTCGTACGTGTACACCACCAAAGCCTTCGTCTCGGCGTTCGTCGAACGCGCGCACGCGTCCGCCACCTCTCCCGCGAATCGAGCGCACACCGCGTGCATTTGCACCGCCCCTCTCCCGCGTCCGCGACGATCTTTCGCCGCCCTCCCCGGTGGCACCGGAATTCCAACCACGATTCTATCGCAGCATTCCTCCAGCGCGACGTCTAAGATGGCTCTGACCGTGCTCGTCGTCGTCGCCGTCCCGCTGTGCGTCAGCGTTCGCAGCGGCCGCGGCGCCGCGCCACCGTTCGACACCGCCAGACCGACCCTGCGCGCGCCGTAATCCACCCCGAGCGCGATGACATCACCGCGCGCGCGTCTCGCCGCGCGTAACTCATCCTCGAGCGACGACGACGACGTTTGCGCGTCCGTGAAGGGCGCGCGGCGTTGAGAAAACCACGACGGGGACATCGCGCGCGCGACGCCTCTGTCGACGCCGTGGCGACGCGCGCGCGACGAGGACGACGGTACGAGCGCGCGCGAGCCGTTCGCCGCGCGAAACATGGTTCGCGCGGTGATGCGCGGCGCGCGGGCGAGTGGCGCGTCGAGCGGCGGCGGCGAGAGGAATCGAGTGGAAGCGTACGCTCGCGACGAACGACCGCGGTGAATGAGGTGTGCTATTGAAATGAATAGAATCTAATGGCGCGGCGACGCTCACGCGCTGGAGGCGAAGAGTTGCGAAAACACGCGCTCTGCCCACGCCGGAATTTCCACGTCGTTTGCCTGCGTAAAGTTCACGAGCGGTTCCTGGACGTGATAACGAATCTTTCGACCCTTGCTCGCCTTGCGATCGACGTTTTTGCGACGTTTGATTTGTTTGGAGACGACGGAAGGTCCACCGGCGACGCCGGCGTCGTTGCCGCTCTCGAGGAACTCTTTGAGGAGTTGCTCGTAAAAGTCGACGTCGTCGTAAAGCTCCGACTCGCGAGCCTCACCTTCGTCCAAGCCATCGACGTTGACGGTTTCGGCTTTGTTCTCGTCGTCATCGTCGGCTTCTTCGCTCCGCACGGCGGCGCGTCGCTCACCGACGCGAATCGGCGCGCTGCGCTTCGGCGGCTGCGACTTTTCAATCAAACGCGCGGGCGCGCGCATGGTGGACGATACTTGCTGAGAGATGGACTGGTTGAACGCCTTCAGACCGCCGCCCGCGCCTCCGCCGACCGCTTTACCCACGGAGACGGCGGATTTTCTGTACCATCGATCGCACGTCGAGTCGCGGTAGTTTGCGAACGCTCTGTATCCGGCGTCGTGCTTCGTCCACGCGTCGTCCAAGTCGTCGTCCACACCAATCACCGTAGCGTCCGCGCCGAGATTTGAGGTCGAGGCTATGTCGGCTATGTTCGCCATCAACGCAGTTTGAAGCGCAGAGAGCGTTCGCATGGTCTTCCGTGCGACTTTGGATAACGTCTCGAACGATTCGCGCGTCTCGGGCGACGCGCGTTTCAGTCCTCGGCACGCCAACGCCGTCGGTAACTTGGCGGCTCCGGTCATGACTTTCTGCAAACGAATTCTCGCGTGTAGCGCACGCTCCCAAACCGTTCGTTGCGCGCGAACCGCCTTACCTTTCGAGACGTGCTGCGCCTTGGTGTCGACGAGCTTCTTCGTTTGTTCCTCCTCCTCGCGAAACGCTTGAAGCTCTCGAGCGAGATCTGCGTCGCCTTCCGTGGCGGCGCCCAACAAATCTCTCGCCCGCGCGCCCTGCGCGTCGAACTCATCGCTCTGATCCTCGTCGTCCTCGTCCTCGTCGTCCTCGTCGCCGCCGTTCCTTCGTCCGGATCCCGTCGCCGCGGCGTCTTCGTCGTACCCTTCGTACGCGTCGTCGTCCTCATCCGCGTACGGATCCTCATCGCTCGCGTCCCCATCCTCCTCCGCACTTTCCTCGTCGTCGTCCCCGTCGTCCCCGTCGTCGTCGTCGCTCTCGTCCTCATCCGTCTCGCGCGCCGCCTCCGGTTCGTCCCGCGCGAAGTCCCGCCTCGACGCGCTTCGTCCCGCGTACTCCTCCCCCTCCATCTCGATCGGTCCTCGCATCCGCAACCGTCCGTCGTTCCCCCCCCCCGCGCGCACCGCGCGCTTTCCTCGCTCCCTCCCTCGCCTCGCCGCGCGTCCGCTCTCGCGATCGTCGCTCGAATCGTCGCCGAACCCGTCGCCCGCGTCGCGTCCCGCGTCGTCGTCCCACCCATCCTCGCTCCCGCTCTCGTCCTCGTCCAGCGCGCCCTCGATCGCGCGCAGCGCCTCGAACGCGCGTTTGCGCGCCTCTACCCCGCCCTCTGGCTCGAGCGCGCGCGCGCGCGCGTCGTCGTCGTCGTCGTCGCGCGTCGTCGCGCCGCCGCCGGCGTCCCCACCGCGCGTCGTCGCGCCGCGCGCGATCGCGTCCAGCCGCGCCATCGCGTCCGCGCGCGAGGGCGTGGACGAGGGCGACGCTTTCGCGCGTCTCCGCGGCGTCGCGCCCATGCCGGGCGTCGCGACGGCGCGTGACGCGCGATGGGGACGACGCCGACGGCGGACGCGCGTCGTGTATAAAAACCCGTCTCGCACTGCGCACCATACGTGATATCAACAAAACCCGTCTCGCACTGCGCACCATACGACGCGAGCAGTGATATGAAAACCCGTCTCGCACTGCGCACCATACGACGCGCGCAGTGATATCAACAAAACCCATCTCGCACTGCGCACCATACGACGCTACCGCGGCGTATCTCGCGCGCCGCGCGTATCGCGAGCGATCGCGCGCGGCCGACGCGGGCGCGGCACACGCGCGCGCCCGACGCCCGCGCCCCCGAACTTCGCGGACGCGACACACGACGATGTTTGCCATCTCCAGCTCCGCGCTGACGCCGCGCGCGACGGTCGCGAACGCGACGCGCACGCGACGATCGACGACCGCGCGACGATCGACGGCGATCCGCGCCGAGGCGGAGGGCGCGAAGGCGGCGCCGGCGGCGCCGAAGGCGTGGACGGCGCCGAAGTTGAACCCGAACACGCCGTCGCCGATTTTCGGTGGTTCCACCGGCGGTCTGTTGAGAAAGGCGCAGGTGCGCGAGCGACGAGGGAGCGGCGAACGCGCGCGACGATCGAGGCGCGGGCGGGATACGCGACGAACCTAGGGGTGATGATTGGGGCGATTGGGGCGCCGGCGAACGGAGGGGGGGGGGCGAACGATGCGCGAACGATGCGTCGAGTTTCTTTGCGGCGCGGGCGCGCGGGCGATCGGGGGGGGGTCGAACGCGCGCGACGACGCGCGCGCAATCGCGCGATCGGGCGCGGTGGGATGGGAACGTTTGGCGCGAGGCGCGCGGGGGGGATTTCAAAGACGACGACGACGCGAGACTGACGGATGCGATGATGCGTTTGACGCGTGTAGGTTGAGGAGTTCTACGTGCTGACGTGGGAAGCGAAGAAGGAAGCCATCTTCGAGATGCCGGTGCGTGGACGAGGCGAGCGCGAAGGCGCGCGCGCGCGAAGATATCGCGCGCTTTGAAACGACGCGACGACGAAGAGGCAAAGATTGGGGATGCGCGACGCGATCGTGGACGCGAAACAGCGACTGACGTGATGAAACGTGTATTTTGCATCCGCAGACCGGTGGTGCCGCGATCATGCGCAAGGGCCCGAACCTGTTGAAGCTCGCGCGCAAGGAGCAATGCCTCGCGCTTTTGAACAACTTCCGCGCGAAGATGAAGCTCGACGGCTGCATCTACCGCGTGTTCCCGTCCGGTGAGGTGCAATACTTGCACCCGAAGGATGGTGTGTACCCGGAGAAGGTGAACAAGGGTCGCGTCGGTGCCAACCAGAACATGCGATCGATCGGCAAGAACACCAACCCGGCGTCGATCAAGTTCCAAGGCAAGCTCGGCCCGTTCGAAGTTTAGACAGACGGCTCGCGCTCGCCGCGCACCGAGGGTTCGGTCGTCGTCGTCGAGTCGCCGCTCGAGTCAGATGTCCGTCGATGTGTTTCACTCTTCGCGATGCGAAGTCAACGCGAGATGGCGCTCGTTTGAATTATTAGAATTCTTCGACGTCCCTCGCGCTTTGCGTCGCGTCGAGCGCGCTTCGACGTTCGCGGCGTCTGATTTCTTCGCGCGGCGTCGCTCGACGCTTCGATCTCACCCTCTGCGCGCGATCGTGATGTAAATCACGCCTCCTAGCCAAACTAATTGCAGTAACACACAGATTTTCACTGTTCATCCGCGCGCGCGCGTTCGCCCGCCCGCGCGCGATCGCCGGTCGCCGGTCGAGATCTTCGCCGCGATGACGCTGGCTGCGCGCCGTGGAATGACGCACATCGTATTTTAGAGCCATTATATATGCAAGATACGTTTTTAGGGTTTACCTATAATTTCGCGCGATCGGATCTTATCTGAGAAAATCTATACTGTTTGCGCATACGACGCGGACGCCCTCGGGACGACCCGCATCGGATAAGCGCCGACGATCGTCACAGCACGCCTCGCGTTCGCCGCTCCGTCCGCTCGCGACGCCGTGACGAAAGCAGACGCACGTAACACTTTGCGCACGCACCACCGCACGCCTCGACGAGCGACATGCACGCGTTCACCATGCGCGCGAGCGCGATGAAGACGCCGGTGGCGAAGATGACGTCGAGATCGCGATCGGCGACGCGACGCCAAGGCGCCGTGGTCGTCCGCGCGGCCGCGGCGACGGACGCGGAGACTGGGATCAAGAAGATGCGCGAGGGTATCAAGGAGGCGGCGAACGAAAACTTGTTGACGCCGCGATTTTACACGACGGATTTCGACGAGATGGAGCGCCTGTTCAGCACGGAGATCAACCCGAACTTGGACGAGACGGAGATTAACGCCATCTTGAACGAGTTCCGCGAGGATTTCAACCAGAAGCACTTCGTGCGCAACGATGAGTTCAAGGCGGCGGCGGATCAGATCAAGGGTGAGCCGCGCAGAATTTTCATCGAGTTTTTGGAGCGCTCGTGCACGGCGGAGTTTAGCGGGTTTTTGTTGTACAAGGAACTCGGCCGCAGATTGAAGAAGACGGCCCCGGCGGTGGCGGAGATCTTCACGTTGATGTCCCGCGACGAGGCGCGTCACGCTGGGTTCTTGAACAAGGCGATGAGCGATTTCAACTTGGCGCTCGACCTCGGGTTTTTGACCAAGAACCGCCAATACACGTTTTTCCAGCCGAAGTTCATCATGTACGCCACGTACTTGAGCGAAAAGATTGGCTACTGGCGTTACATCTCCATCTACCGCCACTTGCAAGCGAATCCGGACGAGCAATTGTACCCGTTGTTCAAGTACTTTGAGAACTGGTGCCAAGACGAAAACCGTCACGGCGACTTCTTCTCGGCGATTTTGAAGGCGCGCCCGGAGTTGATCAACACCACCGAAGCGAAGCTCTGGTCTCGATTCTTCTGCTTGTCCGTGTACGTCACCATGTACTTGAACGATCACGGCCGCAGTGAGTTCTACGAATCGCTCGGTTTGGACACGACGCAATTCAACATGCACGTCATTCACCAAACCAACAAGACGACGGCGACGATTTTCCCGCAAGTCATCGACACCTACAACCCGGAGTTCAAGGCGCGTCTCGACAAGCTCGTCGGCGTGAACACCCAACTCCAAGCCATCGGTAAGGGTGAAGGTTCGGAAATCATGAAGAACTTGCAAAAGGCGCCGCTCATCGCCACCTTCGCGGGTGAGTTGATCGGTTTGTTGGCCATGGCTCCGGTCGACGCCGGTTCCATCGACTTGACCGGCGTTCCGGAATCCGACCCGTCCTTCATGTACTAAGCGACAGTCACAGACGGCGACGAGGAGGACACACCAGCAACCATTTTAGCGCAACACACATCCACAAAAACGTGATTTTATCGTCACATCTTTTCAAGATTCTTAAAGTCTTCGGCGCCGTTCGCGCCGCCGGCGAACGATATCGCGAAACGAGCCAACACGCTTGGTATTTCCACTTTATTGTATTGGCGCGTAGTCTCGCTTTATAATATTACACAAGATTCGAAATGTTTATCCTCCTCGCGCACTCGATCGCGTCGCGCGTTCGATTCCGCGCGTTCGACGTCCGCGCGTTCGACGTCTGCGCGCCGCGCCTCCCCGTCTCGTCCTCATTCCACCGCGCGTCCGCGCATCCGCGCGTCTGCGCGCCGCCCGCGTCCGCGCGCGCTCAACGAACGTACCATGCGTCGTTTCATGCGCGACGCCTCGCGCTTAGAGCGCGACGCCAAGGCTGAGCACGATTTTTATCATTCATTAATCAGTCAGTTGCAGACGGAATTGGAAGACGCGAAACACTCGAGCGAATTACTGCGCGCCGAGCTCGATCGCGCGCGCGAGGGACGGTCGCGAGACGTCGCATCTTCGTCCGCGACGACGCCGAGCGGCGACGCGACGAACGCGAGGGAGACGACGACGGTGGGGGTGGAAAGGGAGACGCGAGGGGAGGACGAGGCGACGCGAGACGCGAAAGCGGAGGAGACGGAGCGGGAATTGATCGCGTTGCGCGCGAAAGTCGCAGCGTTGAGCGCGCAAAGCGAAAAAAGTGAGAGTGATGCGAATGATGACGCGGAACGCGCGCGGATGGTGGAGGAGTTGGATGAGATGCGAGAACACATGCGAACGGCGACGGCGAGCGCGCATCGAGCGAACGCCGAGGTGAACGCGGTGGCGCATCAAAATCGGACGTTGATGGAAAAAGAACGACGACGCGCGAACGCGGCAGAGGCGAGAATAAAAGAACTCATGGATCTCATGGAACAGCAGGTAAATGGTGAGGACGCGGCGATGCGTAAGCGCGCGGAGGCGTTAGAGGAAGCGTTGACAACGTCGACGAGCGAAGTCGAGACGCTTCGCTCGGAGAACGAGGAACTAGAGGTGCGGTTGCGAGCCGTGATCGAGCGCTTGGATGCGATTGAGTCATCCGTGGATGTGAGTGAGTCATCCGCGCTCGCGGTGGTGGTGGAGGAGAAGGAACGCGCGATGATGGGTCGGGCGTACGCCGACGAAGCGGCGACTTCGCTTCGACGCTCGGCGCTCGAGGCGCGAGCGGCGGCGAACGCGTTTCGCGCTCGCCTGTACCCCGACGGTGATCCTGAAAGTGACGATGCGCGAATGTTGGTGATCGTACACGCCGTGCTCGAGGGACATCCGTTTGACGACGCGAGTCGCGACGTCACAAACGCCGTTCGAGCACGTCTGCGATCGCACGGGGAAGAACGACTGGTGATTCTCGTGAGCGAAAATCTGTGCGATTTGATTCCAGACGACGCCGTGAACGCGCCGATGAGCTTAGGCGCCAAAATCTCTCTGCGAGACGTCGAAAATACGACGAACCGACGACCCGCGACGTTGCGCATAACGTATGCGTTCGACGTGCGCGATTCGCAAACAGGCGATGTCGTCAAGGGCGACGAGCGAATGATCACCATTCCCGTCGGCGCCGCCGGGACTCCGCACGCGTTCGCCATGCAAAGCGTATGGCTCGAAGCCGCGTGCACCGGCATAGAAGACGCTCTCAAAGCGTCTTATTCGCGATTGAGAGACGCCGAAAGCACGGCGAGCGCTGCCAAAGTACGCGCCATCGCGTTGCAAGGCGAAGCCGCGCGAATGCGTCACCATGGAGGCAGTTCGGCTCGAGCACAAGCTCTCGAGCGACGAGAACTCGAGATTGAAAGGCGCGAGGCCCAACTCAACGCCGAGGTCGTGGAAATCGAAGGCATGGTTGCGCGCGCGCGGGAAGAAGCCGAAGCCATGCGCCGCGAGGCGAACCGCATCGTCGCCGACGCCTCGGCGAGTCTCCGCGTCAAGGATGACGAAATCGAACGCCTGCGCGCGCTACAATCGTCCGTCACTCGCGCGCAAAACCGGTCGAAATCTTGGCGTCGAGAGACCGCCGCCGCGCGTTTAACCGCCGCCGCCGACGACGACGCTTCCAACGCTCGAAGACTCGCCGCCGCCGGCAACCATCGCGCCGCGGCGTCCTCTTTAGAAAACGCCGAGCGTCGTCTCGCGAGAATCACCGCCGCGTGCGTCGCCAAATCTACCGCTCGAGCGTTGGCGCCCGTAGACAACGTAAACTTGATGTAAATCGACGTCCGCGCCTCGCCGCGCGTCACACCTCGCCGCGCCGCGCGGCATGGACAAGTACTACCCCGACCCAGACGCGCCGCTCCGACCGCCGCCGCCGTCGCAGCCGACGCAGCCGCACGCCGGCGCCACCGTCGCGCACGGTGATCCCGCTCGAACGACCGTCGTCGTCTTACCGAGCGCGTACGCGCCGCAGACGCCGCAGCCGTCGGTGCCGAGTCAACAGATACCGACGGGTTTGCCGGTCGGTCAGGCGCGGCCGGCGTACTTGGGAGCGACGCGAGGGCACGAGCGACAAATCGTGAGCTGCGAGCGATGCGGACACAGCGGTCCCGCGGACGTGGTCAAGGTCAGAGGGGCGGCGAGCTGCTTCGCGGCCATCGTGACGTTTGGGATATCCGCGTGCCTTTGCGGAGACGCGTTCTCGGATACGTATCACCACTGCGCGAATTGCTCGGCGGTGTTAGCGTTCGCGAAATTAGCGTAGACGATGCGATGCGTGGATGACGCGCGCGCGCGATGTAAATAATGTTCGATTCCTGTGTCGCCGCGGGACTAAAATCCAAAGAAGGAGCCGAGCGTCGACGGGGGCGCGTTTTTCGCCTTGAGCGCCTCGTGCTCGAGCGCGAGCTCGCGAAGTTTGGTCTCGAGCGCGGTCTTCGCGGCGGTTTCCGTCTCCACGACGGATTCGAGGTCCTTGATCTTCTTCTTGAACGCGGCGGACGAGCCGGTGCCGAGTAGAGCGCCGAATAATCCCCCAGAGTCCTCGGCTTCGAGCTCGGCGAGCGCGGTCGAGAGCGACTCCACTTCTTTCTTCAGCTTCTCGTTTTGCGAGCGAAGTGTCGTCATCGATGCGTCTGTGGAGGCGGCGTGCTTCGCTTGAAGCGTCGTGTTTTGCGCCGTGACCTCCTCGATGAGTTTTTGATATTCGCTCTCGTTCTTCTCGTACGATTCCAACGCGGCTTTCAGCTCGGATTCCAAATCGCGCACGCGGGATTCCAAATTCTTTGCTCGAGTCTCGCTCTCGAGCGTCGAAGCCTCGGTCGATTTCGCCAACGCAGTCTTCACGCGCTCGAGCTCGCTCGTGAGCGCGGCGACGCGCGCCGTCGATTCTCGCTCAGCCTTGGCCGAAGCCGCGAGCGCAGCGACGGTTTTCTCGAGTTCTCCTTCCAAACGCGCAATCGTCGTCACACGCGCTTCGTTTTCGGCGCTTACGCGCGCCATCTCGTCACGCAGCTCTTTATGGCTCTGCTCCAGTTCGTGCTCGCGCTCGTCAAAGCTCGTGTTTAACGCTTTCTCTTTCATCAGCACAGCAGCATTTTGCTCTCTCGCCGCAGCGGACATTTCCTTGGTCGCGATGTCGAGCGCGGCGGTGACTTCAGCGACGCGCACTTCGAGCTCCTTGATTCGTATCTTCGCTGTGCGCTCTGACGTCTTTGCATCGGTGAGTTCTTGCACCAAGTTGTGCTGAATCGTCGTCTGCTGTGCGATTTGCGACGATAAGGTGTTGCTCTGCGACGAGCGATGGGCGTCGAAATCCGCGCGCGCCTTGCTGAGCTGTGTCTTGAGCTCGTCAATCTCTGAAACGTGCGCAGCGACTTTGGCATCGAAATCGCGCTTAGCATCGCTCACCGCACGTTCGATCTGCGTCACGCGATCTATTTCGCTCGAGTTTGCCGCTTCCGCAAGTCGATGAGATTCCTCGCGCGCGACGCGCAACGCCTCGACGGCTTCATCGCGCGCCTTTCTCGCAGCGTCCAACTCTTCGCGCAAACGTAACGCGCTCTCTCGCGTATCCGCAAGATCTCTTTCGTACCGCGCCGTCATCGTCTGTCGAGATCGCACCAAGGCATCGTCGTTCCCCGCCGACGGACGCGGCTTCAACGGCGACGTCGACGCCGACGTTCCCGCCTCGCTCTCTTTACTCGCCCTCTCCAGCTTCTCCCTCAAATCATCCAACCGCTCGTTCAAATCCGTCGTCTCCTTTTTCAATCGCTCCGTCTTCGCCCTGTGCGTCGCCCGCTCCTCCTCCGCCCGTCGTCCGAACGCCTTCGTCGGCGACGGCGACGCCGACCCTCGCGCCGACCGCGTCCCCAACGGTTCATACATCGCCCTTCGCGTCCGCTCGTGCGATCGTCCCGCGTCCCGCCGCCGCGTCAACTCTTCGCTAAGCAACCGTCGGCTCGCCATCACCTTGGCCCGCAGCGCCTCCGCGCGTCGCAACGCTTCGAGTCGTTCGTGCTCGAGCCACATCATCGAGTTTTGCGCAACATTCGTCGTTCGCGCGGCTCCGTGCGGCGCCGATTCGAGCGCCATCGCGTCGCGCGCGCGCGCGCGCTTCGCGACTGTGTCGCGTGAAGCGCACGCGGCGTTCGAGGTGCGCTCGAGCGCTCGGCGCGAGCGAACGCGGGCGAATGTGACGCCGTCGGAATTAAGTTCCCCCGTCGGTTGGGAAACAAATCGACGTTTTGGGATCGAGCCGACAAAAATAGCAACGCGCCACTCGGCGACGCGCGCGCGGGCGATCGACGACGCGAAGAGCGCGAGAAACGATGAGAAACGCGGCGACGGATTTAAACGCGTCGCGGGCGAAGGCGACGACGCAACCGCGACGCGTGCGAACGCGGTTTCGACAAAAGTACGACGCCGGGGAGATACCGGCGCGCGTGGCGCACGGAACCGGCGCGAACGCGATCGCGTGGCGCGTCGATCCGAGCGCGCTCGACGCGAGCGCGTACTTGCCGTTGTTTATCGATGGGTTAAAGGAGACGAAGCATCCGTATCGCTTGCTCGCGGTGCGAGGCGGGATCGAGTTGACGCGCGCGTGCGGCGAACGCGCGTTGCTCGACGCCTTGCCACGGTCAGTCTTGCCGATGAAAGAAGCGCTCGGAACGGGCGACATGGCCGTGACCGCCGTCGCGCTCGAGCTCTTGCGAGAGTTCGTCAAGGTATCGCCGTCGATCGGTGAGGCTTTGGTACCGTATTACAGAAATCTGCTCCCGGCGTTGAACGCGTTGAAAGACGTCTCCGACGTCTACGTCTCTCTCGTCAACTTAACCGACTGTCGCTCCTGGCGCGAGCCTCACCGTCGTTCCCGCGTCACCGACGACGCCTCGGACGTCGCCGACGACGTCGACCGCTTTCCCTCGCGCGAAATCGTCGGCTGCGGCCGCTCCAAGCGCAACATCGGCTCTCTCGTTCGCGCCACTCTTCGCGCGCTCGAGCGTCGCGGCGGCGCCGACGCTCTGGTGAACATCAAGTACCAAATTCCCACGTATCAGAGCTGCGTTCGCTGCGAGTGAGCGTCGACCGGGCGTCGCTCGACGCGCGCGGTCCGCCGTCGCGCGCTTACAAAATGCAAGACTGTATACAACACGGCCAATCATCCGAACCTTTAAGCCCCCTTTAACGAGAATCGCGACGATATCGACACTTCGCGCCTCGCGCTTCGCGCCTCACGCGCGCGCGCGCGTCGATCGGTGACGATGCACCTCTCTCGCCCGCTCTTCGCGTCTCACGGCGCGCGCGTCGCTCGACGCGCTGAAAATCGCGGGAATGCGATCGCCGGACGCGCGCGCCCCGTCAGCACGCCGGCGGCGAACGAAACCGCGCGCGCGCGACGCGCGGCGGTCACGCGCGCGCTCAGGGACGCGGAGACGAACGCGGGAGTGCGCGATCGACGACCGGGGCTGGTGGTGATCGAAGAAGACGGAAGGATGCGCGAACGCGTGGAGGACGCGGCGAGGCGGTTGGCGCGGGAGGCGAACGCGGTGGACGAGCACGTGCTGAACGAGGAACTCGCGGAGCGGAGAATCGCGTGTGCGGTGGAGCAGGATGACTTTGAGTCGGCGCAAAATTTAGTGGAGGAAAGGAAGCGGAAGGAACAGGAGCTGTCGCCGTCGACGGCGTTAGCGGTGGCGCTGGCGAGACGACTGCGGGAGCCGAACGCGGAGGACACGGAGGTGATTTGCGCAGACGTCGTGCAGTTGGGTGATCGAAGGCTTGTGCCGGCGCTTTTGCGCGCGCTTTGCGTGGTGAGTGATGAACACGAGAGCGCGGCGCAAGCGATTGAACACGCGCTTTGGATGTTGTGGCAAAAGTCTGGTAATAGTCATTACGACGCGAGGTTATTAGACGGCATTCGAGCGATGAGCATCGTGCCCGACGGGTTGCCCATGGCGCGGGATATCTTTTCAGAGATCATGGAAGCGAAGCCTGACTTCGCGGAGGCGCATAATAAACGCGCGACGGCGTTGTACTTGATGCAGCTGTACGACTTGAGCATTAAAGATTGCGACAACGTACTCAAGCTCAACCCCCAACACTTTGGCGCGCACTCGGGGAAAGGGTTGTGCTATCTCGCCTTACATCAATATCAAAATGCCCTCGACAGTTTCGAGGCGGCGTTGAGAATCAACCCGAGGATGGTGCACGTTCGCCGGTATCGCGAATCACTCAAAACCATGATTGATCGGGTTGAGAGTAAGCGTTTACAAGGCGGCGACTCCCCGTAGGGTGCGACCGAAATTGATTCTTTCATTCCGATATTCTTCTTCCGAGCATGACACGACGATACGACGACACAATAATGTACGATACCCAATTACAATAAACGAGATTTTGTATACGACATATATCTGTACTTTACGAAAATTCGCCGCGAGCTCTGAGCGCGGCGTACACTCGCGCTCGCGCCGCGCGGAGGGGTTCCATCTCCGCCGCAAATCGAGCGCTGTACGCGCGCTTATCTTCGCTAGATGTCGAATCATCGCGCATGTACTCCGCGCGCGCACTCTGAAGCTCGCTTATCTTTGTCTCGATCGCGTCGTATGCTTCAGACGACGCCGTCTCACCGTCGCGCAAGGACAAGTCTACGTACGTCGCCGAGCGTCGGCTCGGATCGTACACTTGTCCAGGAGCCTCGCCCAGGGTCAACGCTTTATAAATCGGTTTGTCTCCCGCGGAGGCACCGAGATATGTGCCGTGAACGCCAGTCCAACTCGGTGCGACCTCGCTCGTGTTTTCCTTTTCGTCCCACCAAGTCTTGACGTCTCGCGACGTGTAGACGCCGCCGAGCGAACGGTTCGCCGTTTGATCAACGTCGACTTCATTATGTTCGGTCTGCTCCACTTCGTCGTCCTCGTCATCATCGCTGTCATCATGTGTACTCCGTGCAACGCGCCAGACGCTCACTCGACCGCCTTCGTCACCGATGACGACCATCCACGGTGACGCGGCGGTCAGGCGCTCGCCCGATCGAAGCGAGATCGGCGTTGGACTCCACGCCACGTGCGTCACCGCGCCGTCGCCGCTCGCGCGCCAACTGGATGTTGCTTCTAATGTATCGCTATCGTGTACGCGCAAAAAACCATCCCGTGTGACGACAGCGACGAGGCCACCCATCGGAGAATGCGCCACTTTGACCACGGCGCCCGAGCGCACGACGTCTACGCCTCGCATCGTCGCGATGACGCCTGAATGATCGCTGTTTTCCAAGAGAGGTTTCCCAGCCCCGCTCGGGGACGCTCGAATGGACCACACACGCAACACACCGTCATCGCAACCCGTCACGGCGACGTTACGCGAACCAGGATGAGGATGCCAGGAGAAGGACGAGATTCGGCTCGAGTGTGCGTCGTACCACTTACACAAGCGTCCGCTCACGGAGCTCCACACGAGAAGTCTGTTCAGAGATCTCGACGCGCCTTTCAACGCGGACATTGCCGTCGACGTGACGACGAGACGACCGCAGGAGAGGTAGTTCACGTCGATGATGGCGCCTGATTTCCAGCGAAGCGTGTGCAGGCACTCGCCCGCCGTCTCCGTCGCTTCTGCGACGAGATCCCACACTCGTCCATCGCCATCGAGAGAGCCGCTGGTGAGCTGCGCGCGACCACGCGTTGGATGAAACGCTAAACACGTTATCTCGCGTTTATGCGCGTTCAGTCCGGCAGGGATGACCAGCTCTAGCGTGGCGTGCGCGACGTCCCAGACGCAAATCGAGCCGTCACTCGCGCCCGCGGCAACGAACTCACCGGTACGATCAAAGTCGATCGCGGTCACGTTGACAGACTGAGAGAATCCAACAAGTGCGTTTGTCGACGCCACTGACGCGCTTGGGGCGCCTCGTTCGGTTAAATTAAATGTCCAAATACTCACGAAACCGTTCACGCCGGCGACGACGAGCTCGCCGTCGCCTTCTGGCGACCATTTCAACTCACTCACCGCGTGAGGTAACTTTGTCGAGTACAAGCACTCACCTTGAGGAACGCTAAATAACTTCAAGTTGTTATCCTCACCGATTGTGGCGACGTACGCGTTCGTCGTTTCCGCGCCGCCGCGCTCAATATTCGTCGAAGAAGGCTTCATCGCCAGACCGATAACGGGACCTCGATGCGCTTGCATGGACGCTACTCTGTCTTCGCGAAGCATCTTCGCCTCCACCCGCGCCAAACCCCCTATCAAAACGCTTGAGAACTCTTCGTCGTCATCGCTTGAGGTCGCTCGATCGACGCATTCGCGATAAAGCTCGGCGGCGCGGGACCACGCGCCGAGCGCCTCGAGCGCGCGTCCCTTCAAAATCCAAGGAGGAAACCACAGAGCGCGAACGCCGATGGCGCGATCGGCATCATCACACGCTTCTCGCCAGCGATCGAGTTTGGCGTACGCCATCCCTCGAGCGTGGTACAACTCGGCGTATTCCGCCGTTCCGTCCACTTTCGCGTACGCCGCCGCCGCCGTGTAACATTCAATCGCCTTCTCATACTCCCCAGCCTCGTACCGCGCGTCACCGATCGCCTTCAAATCTCCACCCATCGTGATCGAAGCGCCGTCTTCGCCTTGGCGTATCTCCAACGCGACCTCGACCTCGACCTCGTCTCTTCGGCGCGCGTCTCGCTCGCGCGTCTCGTCTCCCCTCGTCCCCGACCCGAATGCCGCGGTCCCCATCGTCGCCAACGCCGCGCGTTCGCGCTCAAACTTTGTCGTTATCGTTTCGTACGCGCGCTGTATCGCGCGGAACGCCTCGACGTCGCCCCCGGGCTTATCCGGGTGGTGCGCTCGTGCGAGCGTTTTATACGCAGCCTTCACATCGCGTTCGGACGCGCCTACGTCGAGACGGAGCGCGCTGAACGCGCTCGCGAGCGCTCGGCGCGCGCGTCGACGATTGTCCGACATCACGCGCGCGACCGGTCGCCTTCGCGCGCGCCGAGGGCGTCGTGGTGTGCTCGGCGTGCTCGATGAAAAAAAGCGTTTCTGCCAGACGGACGTTTTTTGAGCTCGAGACTCGGGGAGTGAATAAAAATGGAATTAGGGTCGATTTGTGTTATTAAAAGCGAGTCGAGTCGGTCGTCGAGAGTTTCCGTGGAGTTTCGTTCCATCGTCTTCCGTGATCGCGGTTTTCGCGAGATGAAGAAGTGCGTGGACGAGTGACGAGCGAGCTGGCGTTCGCGCGACTAGCGCATGAACGTCGCCGCCATGTCGTAGCCCAGAACAGCGTTCATGAAAGCTCGGTGATCCGGGACGAAGTTCGTCATCTTACGGTTATCGACGAAGTTTCTGAACGCCTCCATGACTTTGTCCGGAGCGCTGCCGTAGACGTCCTGGACGGCGCGCCACGCGTTATCGCTCGGAGCGACGGCGAGCACGGCGCTGCGCATCTTAGCCATGGTGACGTTGTCCGCCTCCTTGTGCACAACCTTCTTCGGAACCGCCTTCGAGGACGGACCACCGAACGGTCGCGCCTTGCCCGGCGACAGTTGAGCGCTCTTTTCCTTCTTCTTGTCCTCCTTGAGTTGCGCGGCGGCGATCTTGGTGGCTTCCCACGCGCGCTTCTCGTCGAGCAAACGCTGACGCTTGGCTTCACGAGCGGCGAGGGCGATGGCCTTTTGTTCAGCTTTGTACGCATCACGCTTGATGGCGTACGCCTGCGCTTCCTTCTCCGCCATGTCGTCGTACTTTTTGCGTTGCTGCGGCGTGCAAGCCTTCCACGCCGCGCCGAGCTGCGCGGCTTGATCGCGGAAAGACACGGCGTCGGGCGTGTTCGCCTTCGGTCTGAACGTCTTGTCGCGATATTCTTGCGCCCAAATGATGTAACTCGAACGGTTCTTGCGCGGGGCGTTCTTGTCCTTTTTGCGACGCTTGCGGTTACCATCCTTGTCGAATCGCAACGGCGGCTCCTCCTTCTCATCCGGAAGCGGCACGTAGTTCTGCATCTCGCGGTAGTATCGCGCCTTATCCTCGTCGGAAACGCGTTGACACTCATCTCGCTCGCTCTGCGTCACCGTCTTCCACTTCCCCGCGAGCTCCTTGGTCACGTCCGTGACGCTCCACGACGGATTCTTCTTTTGCGTCGCGTCTCTGTGCTTGTTCAAAAACACCAAATACGCCGACATCGCCCGCTTCGGCTTGTCCTTGTCCCGACGTTTCTTTCGCGGTTTCTTTTCCAACGTCTGCATCCCGACCGTCACCATCGTTCGCGTTCGTTCGCGCGCGTCTGCGTTCCCCTGCGCGCGTCGCGCGCGTCTTCGTCAGTCCCTCGCGCTTCAAAAAACCGTTTCAAACCGACATTCGTCCGTTGGCGCCCGCACCGATCCTCTCTCGCGCGCGACGCCGCGCGACGCCGCGACGCCCGTCGTCGCGCGTCCGCGCGTCCACCGTCGTCGTCCTCGTCCTCGTCGCCCTCGTCGTCGTCGTCGCGCGCCGTCGTCCCGCGCGTCGTCGTCGTCGTCGTCGTCGCCCCGTCGTCGTCGCGATTCGCGCCCGTCGGCGTCGCGATTCGCGTCGTCGCCGATCGTCGTCGCGATTCGCGTCGTCGTCGTCGTCGCGCGCGACGCCCCGCGTCGCCCGCGACGCCGAAGCGCGTCTCGAGCGTCGTCGCGAACGCACCGTAGTTAACGCCCCTCGCGCCGCGGTGTGCGCCCGCGCGCGCGTCGCGCAGGCGCGATCGCGCCTAGGTCGAACCGCGGCTCGACAGCGCGAAAAAACGCGTACTCTGCGCGATCGACGGGGCGATCGATCGATCGCGCGATCGACGCGCGATCGACGGACCGTCGATCGATCGACGGGGGCGATCGACGGGTCATCGATCGATCGACAACGCCAGCGATCGACCCATTCGATCGAACGCGCGCGACGAGCGGCGCGTCGCGGCACTTCGCGACGACGACGACGACGACGATGTCGCATCAGGATTGGAAGGAGATCACGATCGGGAAACGGGCGACGAGCGGGACGTCGGGGACGAGCGCGAGGGCGATGAAGGACCCGAAGGCGGTCGCCGCGGTGCGCGAACGACGCGAACGCGCGAACGACGCGCGAATGAATGCGTGCGCGCGCGAATGAATGAATGAGTGCGCGAACGAACGGACGGACGACGCGCGACGCGCGCGATGGACGACGCGGTAAAACGGGAAAACATCGCGCGCGAAAAGGCGGGAGACTGACGACGCGGCGAACGGGGCGCGCACGACGCAGGCGTTGCGCGCGGGCGTCGCGGTGGACACGGTGAGAAAGGGTAAGCGGACGCGCGCGAAGACGACGCGACGCGAAAACGACGCGACGCGAGCGCGAAAGCGAGAAAAGATCGACTGACGGTGTCGCGCGCGCGTCGTAGACTCGGGGGCGGGACGAAACGCGCTGAAACTCGAACTCGACGATGAAAACTTGACGCACAAGACGGTGAGCGCCGACGTGAAGAAGGCCATCTTGCAGGGACGGTTGGCGAAGAAGCTCACGCAGGCGCAGTTGGCGCAACAGATCAACGAAAAGCCGCAAATCGTGCAAGAGTATGAATCCGGCAAGGCGATTCCGAATCAGCAAATTCTGGGCAAGCTCGAGCGCATTCTCGGCGTGAAGCTTCGAGGCAAGGGCGTGGGGAAAAAGTAGTCGACCGTCGCGCGCGACGAGCGCGACTCGAATCGCCATCATCGCCACGCGGTAAAGTAGCAGACTCATCGCGTTCCGCGCTATTTTGTCAATCCAATCGAGGCATCACCTCACGTCGCGTCGCGTCGCGCTCGTCGTTCGCGCGTCGTCGTCGACGCCGCGTCCGTCCCGCGCGGGGCGCCGCGCCCGCACTTCGCGACGCCGTCGAGCGCGCGCGAGAACGACGCCGCCGACGCCATCGCGGCGCGCGCGGCCGATCCATCGCACGCTTCTCCTCCGCGCCGAGTCGCGCCGCGCCCGAACGAGAAGGCGACGCGTCGCACGACGACTCGACTGGACTCGATCCGAGAATGCGAGTGAAACCGCACGCGCACGCGTTCGATCGCGCGTTCTACGCCAAACTCGCGGGCGTGTCGTTCGTCATCGGCGCGGCGTTCGAAGCCTTCATGTTGAAGACGGATTTTTACGCCAAAGTCGTGCACATCGAAGCCGAGCGCAGATTCCTCGCCGAGCAAAGGCGCGAAGGCGAGGGCTCGCGCGACGTCGGGTCGCGGTCCGCGTCGTGAACTATATCTCTATCTCTAGTGCTAGCCTAAGCTTTAGAAGCGCGCGTTGTGTACTTTAGTTGTACGTCTAGTCGTCTCAAAGGCGTCGAGCGTCTCGGTCGAGCGTCTCGGTCGAGCGTCGCGTCTCGGTCGAGCGTCGCGTCGCGGACGTCGAACGCGTTCGTCGATTCTCGCTCACTCGGGTCCTAAATCCATGTCCGAGCACACGCGCTTGGGCGCGCGTCCACCGACCGCGAGCTCGCGCTCGAATTCTCGAGTGAGACCGACGACGTTCGCCCGCGCCTCGGCGACGTGCTCGACGCGGCGTTTACGACTCTCCGTCGCCGAAGCGAACGCCATCGACGAAAACGCGTCGACGCGCCGCGCGTCGTCCCCGCGTCCCGACGCCGTCGTCTCCGCGCGCATCGCCGCCGACCCCATCGCCTCTCGCGCGCACTCCACGAACTCATCGAACAAACTCGGCCACGCCTCGTTTTCGTCGTACCATCGCAAATCGCCGCCGAGCGCTCGCGCGCGTCTCACGAATTGATACGCCTGCGACCACGCGTCCGCGGTGATCACCGTCACATCGCGTCGATCGCGCACGTACGACACGAACGCATCCACCACATCGTTCGCGTTCGCGCGCGCGCCTCCCTCGCCGTCGTCCATCGCGTCTCGCGTCGTCGCGTCTCGCTCCCGCGCGAACGTCTCCCGCCAACACGCCGTCGCCGCCTCCCTCGAGCAATGTCTCGCCCCTCGCTCGCGCATCACGGCGTAACAAAACTCATACCTCGCCTCCGCGTCGTCGTCGCCCGTTTCCACGCACTCGACGCATCGCGCGACGCGTTCGTCGATCGTCGGCGCTCGCATCGCGAAATCCGTCCCGTCGCTCACCCATCTCGCGGCGTCCCGGCGCCGCGAGTCGCGCGGGGACGTCGACGCGCGCGGCGCGCGCGCGAGCATCGTCGCGTACGCGCGATAGTCGGACCGCGCGGACGCCATGCGTCATTCGTCGCCGACGAATGACGCACGGCGAATGACGAACGACGCGCGGCACTCGTCGACGCTCGCGCGCGCGATGACGCGCGAGGACCGCGCCGAGCGCGGTGGTGCGTCGAGCGGCGACCGCGCGACGCGACGCGACGCGACGACGGCGCAGCGGCTGACGTTTCTCGCCATGGCGCCGGTGTTCGCGCTGTCGTTTCAACTCTCGATCTTCGCGTCGACCGACGGCGCGCGCGTCGATCGACGCGCGCGACGATCGCCCGGATTCGAGTGGGGCAAGTTCATGACGCGGAGCGTCGCGAACGCGCGGTTCAAGCTCGCGCCCGGGAGCGGGACGCTGGCGAGGGAGAAGCGAAGGACGGTGTGGTTGTGCAACCATCGCGCGTGGAGCGACTTCTTCCTGGACATTTATCTCACCGAAGGACGCGCGTTCACGATGAGCCGAATGCTCGTCGCGTACGCGTTTCCGCTGTTCATGGTGCCGGCGATGGTGTGCGGGGTGGTGTTCGGATTTAAACGCGACGCGGGGGATAAGGAGAAATTAAACGCCGCGCTCGACGCGCACTTTGACGCCTTCGGCGGCGAATTCGCGGGCATGGTGTGTTACCCGGAAGGCACGCGAAACGTGAGAGAAAACTCGATGCCGTTGAAGCGTGGGATGCTGAGGTACGCGCACTCGCGGAAGATGGCGGTGCAGTGCGTGTGCACGGCGAGGAAAGAGCGGGTGTTTAGTTCGCATTTGACGTGCGCCGAGCGCGGGTTGGCGTTGCCGGTGTATTTCGCCGAGGTCATTCACGCCGAGGATTACCCAGATTTCGAGGACTTTTACAACGAGATTCGCTCGAGATGGGACAACGCGTGGAGCGCGGCGAACGGGGTGAGCGCGGCGGAGGCGGAATCGCTTCCGGATTACACGCCTCGAGAGCACGTCGTTCGGTGCACGCCTCGTCACGACGCCGTCATCGTGTCGAGCGCTCTGCTCACCGTCCTCGGCGTCGCCTTGACTTGGCGCGCGTGTTCGAAATTGTTGTAGCGCAGCGCGTCGCCTCGCGCGCTCGCGCCGTCGTCGCTCGCGCGTAGCGGTTTTCATCGTCAAAGTCTCGTCGCGCCGCGTTCCAACCGCCGCGTTCGCCCGCGCGCGCCGCACTCGCCCGCGCGCGCACCGACGTCCTCGTCGTCGCGCGCGAGCGTCATGACGACAACGACGGACGACGCGTTCGTCTCTAAAACCACGCAAGAGCTGTTGAACGCGCGCGAGGCGATGGAGATTGAAATGCAAGCCATCGCGAGTCGACTCACCGCGCCGAACGCGCCGGGCCTGCGCGGCGCTCTGACCGATGCCGATGGGTTCCCGATCGCTGGATGCGATTTATACGCCGTTCGCGCCGATCGAGGGCGGTACGACGGTGCGTGAGAAGACGCGCCGCGTCGACGCGCGCGCGCGCGGCGAAACGCGACGACGATTCGACTGACGTTTACGCGCGTGCGGACTCGCTGAACGATAGTGCTTCGGAACGATTATAAACGAATCATGACCGAGTTGGAATCTCGCGTGATTCGGGGAATGCAAGGAGACGGGGAGGTGATGAAGGGCGTCGGGGCGCCGACGCCGACGCCGACGCCGACGGAGGACGCGGCGCCGACGGAGAACGACGTCGGAAGGGCGTTCATGGTGATCGATGAAATCATGGACGGATGTCCCGGGGAAGTCGATGGACTGCGCGTGGGTGATCGCGTGTGCGCCGTAGGAAACGTGACGTGGGGATTCGAGGACCCGAGCGCGTCTCCGCCGGCGGAGGTGTTGCGAAACGCCACGCAGACGTTTGCGGATAATGAGAATTCTGTCGTTCGGGTCGTGGTGTTGCGTCGAGGTGAGCGCGTAGCAGTAGAAGTGACTCCGCGCGCGTGGTCGGGTCGAGGTTTAGTCGGATGTCACATGCGTTCGGTGTGACAGGTAGTGTACACGCCGAATGAAATTGAATTAATAACCACGTTTGCGCTGCATCCGCAAGTGTTCTTTACGTTCCTCGGGAGTCATTTCGCGCAAATCCTTCTTTTTCTTTTTCTTCTTTTCGGTCGAATCCGTTGTTCCTTCTTTCTTCTTCTTCTTCGTCTTTTGCATCGTCACGTCGTCTTCGTCCCACGTCCCCGCGTTCAAGCCCGTCCCCGCATCATTTTTCAATAAAGCTTTGAACGCCGCGCTACCGCATGGCCCTTTGCGTTTCAAATCCTTGTTCTCGAACACGCCTATCAATCCCGTGCGCTTTGTTGGATCCTTCTCCTCTTCGTGCGTCGCCACTGCGCCGTCGCCATCTAATACTTTTCCTTTGTTCTTTGCCACGAAGAGTTCCACAAAGCTACGTTCGCTTTCACCGCCGCCGCCGTCGTCATCCTTTTCACCGTCTCGTCCCTTCACGCTATCCTTTACTTTCTTCCTCTTCTTCGATTTTTCTTCCGGATCGATATCGTCGAGCTCATCGTCGCTCGTCGCGTCCGCTCGTTCCGGCGGTCGCCCTCGCGCGTCTCGAGGCTTCCTGCCGTCTAGTAATTTCAACCCGGGGCACATGCGCGTGATCTTCTCCGCGTACTCTGGATCGTTTGCGATCGGGCACCCACGCAGTGTCAACTGTTCCAGACGATTGAGCTCGCGCAGCGCGCTCAAATCGCCCCAATCCGAAATCTTATTGTACCCGACGTCTAATATCCGCAAATTCGGCGTCTTCGCCACGCACGGCGGAATCGTCTTCAACTCGTTGTGCGCCACGCGCAACTCTCTTAACCCCCTGGATGACTGCAACGCATCTATTCCGAGCTTGGACAGGGCGTTTTTCGACAGATTCACCTTGCGAAGCGCCGGACTTTCGCTCAACGCGTCGCCGACGTCCCGCAGCTCGCACTCGGCGCACGCCAACGTGTTCAATTCCTTCAACCCACGCACGTGATCGATATCTCGCAGACCGCACTCTTTCGCGATAAGAGCCGCCAGTGCGTGCATGTTTTCTACCCCGCGCAGCGTGCGCAAGCCGTCGTTTCCGCTCACATTCAGCGTGCGAATCCGAGGACAGTTTTGTCCCAGCGCCGCCAAGGCGTCCGACTTTAACACGTTATTCGCGCACGAGAACCACGTCAGCGACGTCGATCGCACGCCCGACAAGTCGCTCAACGCATTTTCGCTCACGTCGAGCTTTTTAATCGCCCCGGAAGTCGTTTCCGCGCGCGCCAGGACGTCGTCTTCGACGGCGTTCAGGGAGCAAGCTTTGAGCGCGCACGCGTCGCCGATGGTTCGCGCGCTCGCGAGCTCGGGCGTGAGCGTCTTCATGTCGAGAAGACGCCAAATGCGCTCGCGTCGAGCGTTCGCCGCGAGCGCTTCGCGTTTCGAGGCGCGTGGGACACTGAGGATTGGCGTCGCCGCGCTCGCGGTGGTTTACACTTCGCCTACTGTTCGTACATGTTGAATCGTTTTCGTTTCGTCTGGAGTCGTTTGGTGGACTCGAACACAATTTTCTATGACCCCATCGCGTCTGCGTCCTCGTCATCGCTCTCGTCGTCGTCGCTATCGACGACGAGCGGGTGTCGAAGCGTGTCGGCTTCTTCGGCGCGCGCGCTCGCGTCGCCGTCCTCATCCGCGAAAGAAGCCGCGCGAGCGCGCTTCGGTGGTAACTTTCGAAGAACGTATAGCACCAACGCGCTCGGTAAGATCTCCACCGCGACGTAATACGCTACGTTCATCGTTTTTGACGCGTACACATCGACGGCGTATTTCGCCTCTCCCCCCGTCGCGAGGAACAAAACCACACAGCGCACCGCGAACGCGGTGACGCACACCGCGGTGACGCTCCCGATTTCGCGTATTTTCTTCGCCCGCGTCGTCAGGCCTTCTGGAAACTCTCGAAGCATGACGTACAACTTTGAGCCGTAAAACGCGAATGCGAGCGCGACGCTCGCGCTCGCAAACGCCAGCGTCCCCGAAGACGCTCGCTCGAGCGCATCACCGCGCCACTTTTCCTTCCCAAACGCCATCAAAGACCAAATCCCAAGTTCGGTCGCGTACGCGACTACGTTGACTGCGTAAAACGTCGTCCGCGCGCGTCTCGTCCTCGCCGCTTCGCCGCGCGCCGCGTGATAGATGTCGCTCCAGAACAACACCAATCCAGCGTACGTGGACAAAAAAACCAAACCCGGGCCATCGTTCACGATTGCGTTGATGGTGTGCGTCTTTTCGATCGCGCTTCGACCGAAGAACGCGCACGCGCGCGCGGTAGAGGTGAAAAGATTCGCCAGGTGAAACATCTGTTGCGTGGTGAAGAAACCGACGTGTTTCGGCGTGCGTCGTGCGATTCTGTACACCTGCACGACGCAAGTCAACGCAATGAGTCCATAGAGCGACGCGAGGACGTCGTACGCGTCCGGGATCGACGCCGCGGTGGTCGTCGACATGACGGTGTCCTTTTGACTCCGAAAATCTCGGAGGGCGACTGTGCGGCGCGGCGCGCTTCGCGAGCGCGAACCAAACGGTGATTGATATTGTGATTCATGATTAACAACTCAACAAAGACATTTTAAACTCTAGAAACAAAAGTTGGACGATAATAGTGTCACGTGTGATGACGCCGATACGAGCGTCGCTAAGAGCAATGGTGGACCGCGAAGATGTCGCGTCGCCTAGGAAGAACATACGGGGATATCACAAACATCAGTCGCTTCCGCCGGTCATGCCAGCCAAATTGAGCGAGCTTGGCTCTTGACCGAACGGAATCCAGCAACAGATGTTGTTGCGGTGGGCGATGCTTTCAGCGCCGGCGTAACCGACTATTTCGTAGAATTCATCCGCTGACTTGCCGATGAAGGTTTCGATTTCCTCCGACGAGTAGTTGGTGATAGCGCGGCCAAGATCGCGCTCGTCGCCAGTTTCGGAATCGATAGTCAAGATTCTCACGCCGTCTTCCGCGACAAAGTCGCCGCGGCAGGCGACGATGCCCGTAGAGAAGAGCGACTTATTGGTTTCCATGGCGCGCGCCGCGTTGGCGTTGACGACCAAGTCGCCCGAAGGCGGAAGCAACAAGATCCAGCGCTTTCGCCCGCGCAGAGGCCGAGGCATGGCGAGGAAGAGCGTGCCGACCGACTTCTGGTGTAAAATGATATCCGAAAGGTCCGGCAACGCGTTGGCGTGCATGACGACGGTGTTGCATCCGCTCGCTGCGGCGAGACGCGCGGCGGAGAGCTTGGTCGCCATCCCGCCCGTGCCCAAACCACTCGCCCCGGCGTCGTCGGTGGAGACTTCCAAATCGTCGATATTTTCAACCACAGAGATTCTCGTCGCGTCCGGGTTCGTGTTCGGGTTCGCGGTGTATAAACCATCGACGTCGGTGAGCAAGAACAAGTAATCGGCGTCGACGAGCGCCGCCACGTGCGCGCTCAGCGTATCGTTGTCCCCAAACTTCGTGTGCTGCACCGCCACCGTATCGTTTTCATTCACGATTGGAATAATATCTTGCGCCAGCAACGACCGAAACGTGCTCTGCGCGTTCATATACTGTTGCCTATCCATGATGTTATCGAGCGAGATGAGCACCTGCGCCACGGGCTGCCCGACGCTTTGAAAAAAATCATCATACATTCGCATGAGGCGCACCATCCCGACCGCCGCCATAGCTTGTTTTCCCGCTAAATCCTGCGGTTTCTTCTTATTCAGCACCTGACATCCCACGCCGACGGCCCCGCTCGTGACCACCACGCACCGCATCCCTCGTCGCTGCAGCTCGCAGCACGTCTCCGCGAGCATCCCGAAATTCGACAGGTGCAGGTGTCCGCTCGTCCCCCCTTTCAGCAGCGACGACGTCCCGACTTTCACCACCACGATCGGCGCTTGATTCGCGCCCGCGGGCGAGTTCGGTCGCGGCACCATGCCGCCGCCATCGAGCGCGATCGCGTCGAGGTCGCGTCGAACGGCGTCGCCGTGCGCGTCGCTGGGCGCGCGGAGTTCGCGTCGCGCGCGCAGATCGACCGCGGCGTCGTTTCCATTCTCACTGCGTTCGAACGGCATCGCGAGACGACCGCGACGTCGCGCGACGCGACGCGATTTGACGTCGTGCCAAGTCTATCGCGGAACGGGCGCTCGAGCGGTCAACTGGGAGACTGGGGAGACTGGGCGAAACCACACGACTAGGCGTCTAAGGCGGCTAAGAGCTCTTTCAAGGCGTCGGCGTGGAGGGGAATGGAGAGTAAATCTCGACCGTCGTGACCGCGCTTGCTGCGGACGAGCTCGTGGTCGGTGAACTCGGTGAGGTGCGCGCGCAGGGTGACTTCGGAGGAGACGAGAAATTGCTCGCGACAGGCGGCGTAAAAGACGTCGAGAGGACGGCCTTGGGAGTCTTCGTTTTCGAGCTGGTGCTCGGCGAGAAGGCGGAAAATGGCGCGCCCGTTCGGCGTGAGCGAACGCAAGACGTTGGCGGCGCCTCTGACGTGACGCTCTTCGCCCTTGGACGCGAGGAGTTGCGGAAGATTCGCCGTCTCGAGCGCGTACGGCGCAAACGTCGCCGCCTCTTGCCACACCCAATTGAAACGCGCCGCTTCGCGTTTGCTCCAGAGCAACGGTGCGTTGATGTGGTCGATGCTTGCTATGAGGTGCACGCGATCCATGGACGCAAGCTCGCCAAGAAGCGCCTGCGCCTCGCTCGTGCGCAACTGCGGACCGTCGATGTTGTGCAAGACGATGTAAAGACGCCTGGGTTCGCACGTCGGTGATCCGCGCGTCGCACTTTGAATCTGCGCGAGAAGCACTTCAGTGGGCGCATTCGCGCCTACTTCGGTGCTTTCATCCGACAGCGCCGCCGCCGCCGCGGCGACGACTTGCTTAGGCGTGAGCGAAGGGAAGAAACCGTTGACGACGATGACGCCGCCGTCGAGAAAGTATCGCCTCTCGAAATCCTCCATCAACGCCTTCTTAGACCCGAAACCGTACAGCAAAACGTTGAAACCAGCGCTTAAGAGCTGAAACCACCTTCTGTGTTGCTTCTCGTGCTGCGTTTTGATGGCGCTACGCTCGTTCACGTGCCCCACCGGAAGGTGTCCGAGCAGCGTGCGCACCACCTCCTCGTCCGCCAGGTCCAACATCCCGAGCATGTTCACCTTGGCTGAATGTTGATACCCGTGCCCTTTACTCGCGATATATCCTATGCCCTTATTTTCTTGTCTCTTTCGTCGCTTCCGCTTCCCATCGCCGTCTTTGTCGTCCTCCTCGTCGCTTCCGTTTCCGCGTCGCGCGCCTTCGCGTTCAAATTCCTCCATCTTACTTTTCGCGTGTTCGATCGCCAGCGCCAGCGATTCGTCCCGGCTCGCGAGTTCGCTCTCTCGAGCATCCTTCGACGTCGTCGCTCGCGCGTTCGCTCGCGCGTTCACCGCGTTTACCTTCGCGTCGGCGCGTTTTTCTTCATCCAATCTTTGCAAGTACTCCAACGATTTCGGTACGTGTCCTCGAATTCTTCGTCCGACGCCGCGCGCCAGTCGCGCACCGCGCGTCTTCGTCGCGAACGACGGCGCCGCGGTCGTCGACGCGCGTTTTTTCGGCGGCATCGCGACGCGCGCCGTCGTGTCCCGATCGTTCAGCGTGTCCCGGCGTGGATAAAGCGTTGCGTCGCACAACGCCGCGCGCCGACGCGTCGACGCGCCGTTACGCGTCGTTTCCGCTCGCACGCGATGCGCGCGATACCGCACCGCGCCTCGACGGTCGCGTCGCGCGATCGAAGCGCTTCACGACGACGCGCGGAGCGCGTTTCGACGACGCGACGTCATCGGGGCGTCGCCATCGCGCGCGCGGTGGCGCCTACGTACGAAAAGGTGTTCGACGAGCGCACGGGACAGGACGTGGATGTGCTTTCGCAAAGCGTCGAACGCGTCGAGTTGGGACAAGGCGTGACGTGGGCGTATCGTCGAGGCGTCGCGGCGCCGAAGGAGGGGGCGACGGCGCGCGAGACGCCGGTGGTGTTCGCGCACGGACTGGGCTCGCGTGCGTATGGATTTCGAGCGATGTCTCGCGAGTTGCAAGAGAATGGATTTGAGACGTACGCGGTAGACGTCACGGGACACGGAGATTCGAGTAAGCCAGCGGTGGGGAAAGGGTTGGCGGCGTACGACGCCGCGGCGACGGGGGCGGCGATGGAGGCGTTTTTGGAAAAAATTGGGTTGGCGAATGATCGCGTGGACTTGATCTTGCACGGATTCGTGATACCGCAACACTTGTTACTGCTCGTCGCGCGCCGACCTGAATTGTTTCGTCGGGTGGTGATCTTAAACTCGCCGTTGGCGCCGTCGCACGCGTACCCGCCGCAGATGGCGACGTATACGAGACCGTTCGGCATGGGCAAGGGCGCACCGTTCGACGCGGCCGGATATTTGTATAACGGAAACGAGTTTGCGTTACCGGGCGATGTTTTGGCCGAGTACGAAAAGCCGTACGTTGGCGCAGAGGCTGAAGCGGCTCGCGCGGCGGCGGAGGCGTACGTCACCAAGTCGAGCGACTTGAAAAAGCTCAACGCCGAAGTGAAGAACGCCTTGAGCGCGCGCGGGTTGCCTAAGATTCGCGTCGTCTGGGGGACCGCAGATCGCTACCTCGACGACGCACCGATTTACGATTGGTGCGCGGACATTCGCGCGTCCTTTTCCGCCATGCGTAAAGTCGGGCACTGCCCGCACGAAGACTTCGCCGCCGAAGCCGCCGCGCGCTGCCAAGAGTTCTTCCTCGCGGATTTGCGCGCGAGCGCCAAGGCGGCACTCAACTCTGTGCGCGTCGGCAAAATTACCACTGACGATGGTCAAGGGTAAAGTGCGAAGTGGTTTCGCTAGAATTCGTCTTTGTAATCATTCAAAAATTCCGATTCATTCCTTCAGCGAGAGCGACGACGGAGAGTTTGTGTAATGTGTTTTTCTTTTTTCTCTAACAATTGAATTACGTATTGTGTTTGTACTGTGATTAATCTCCGCGAATGCGACCCCAGAGCGCGGCGAGAATCGGAATCAAGCCGACGCTGCCGAGAGACATGCGTTGATTCGTCGTCGCTCGGACGGAGATTTTCCCCGTGCCGCGCGAGTTGATGTTGAAACTACTGGTGACTTGCGTGTCCTTGCCGACTTGGATAGAACTCATACCATTGCACCCGAGGGCGAGGTCGCCGCGCCAGTTCATGAAACTCGCGCTGAGCGTGGATGAGTTCGGGTTCGACGGGTCCTCGCTGTGACGGATAATCGTCTCGAGGTTACCTGCGTACGCAACATCCTTTTGCGCCGTGACAGCGCCCGTGCTAACGACAACCTTCATTCCAGGACGAGCCTTGAATCGGTTCTCGATCTTTGTACCGAGAGCCACCACACCACCGACAAAAGAGGCGGAAAGACCACCGATGATCTTGTCGACGGCGCAAAACTTCCACCTCGTCTCCCCTCGCGCCGTGTACACCAAATCCTTGCCCACGGTTTGAATGTCGACGCCCGTCGTCGAAATCAGAGTTCGCGAGTGCGGGACAGACATTTCACCTTCAAAACCGAAGTTGCTGTCCTTTTTGTCCTTGGAAATTTGCGCTTGAACCACACCTGGGACTTGGTCCTTGAGAACAAACTGATGTTCGACGGAGAAGCCCTCCACGCCAGTCTCGTGATCCCAGCCGTGCGCGTCCACGATCGGTCGGCACGACCACTGTTGGTTCGACTCAAGTTGCCGGTAATGGTGACCTTGCGTGTCGCCATCGAAAGACAAGGGCAATTGAGGATCGGGCGCCGGAATGGAGACTTGCTTTGGCGTCGGCGTCGGCTCCATCTGATCCGCGGGAATGTCGTACGGGGACGGCTCGCCAGAGATGATTTCGTTCTCCAAATCTTCGAATCCATCGTCTTCATACTCCACCAAACGACGAGGCTTTCGAGTGGTGATGAGTGAAGATAACAAGAACGGAAGCGGGGGCACCTTTTGTTGCCCCGGCATGCCACCCGCGCGCGCCGCCTTGGCAGCCTTTTGTTGGTCGGCGGCCAAGTTCAACAACGTATTCGCCTCCGTGAGGATCTTGGACGCGAAGCACAACAACAACAACTGCGGCTTCCAAACTTGTCCGTTCGGAAGCACTCGCTCGCCCGCACGGTTGGTGCGGCAAAGCGGGTGGTTCTCCGCGAGCGCCACTGGGTTCATGAGACGCATGTCGCCCGCGGCTTGGCGAATCGTTTGCTGCACGATGTGCGAACGCTGAGCGACGTACATTTCGTAAGAAATCGGCTGGCCATTTGCGCCATCCGGCGGCGCGGCGGCGGCGTGCGTCAAGACGACGATGGCGTTGAACCAAATCGCTTGGCCAAAGGTGTTCGTGATTTGCTTCAACAACGGCAAATCCGCCGCGTCCGATCGCGACGGAATGTCGAGACGATCGAAGTAAAGCACGATGTCGGGCTTGTGTTGCTTGGTAAACTTCTTCGCATCGTTCATGATGGTGGAGTTGTAACGAATGTCCGTCGCAGACGCTTGCAAACCAGGCGTATCGATGAGTCGAAGCGTCATGCCGTGAATCTTCTTCTCAATCAGTTGCACCTTCTTCGTCGCGTCCTCATCGTCCGTACCAGACGGCGCCGAACCTTCGCCCAACAGAGAGTTGATCACCGCGGACTTACCCACGCCACTCTTACCCAAAAGCAAGATGGTGCACGTAAAATCCAAATCCGCGTCGGAGCCCTCTTTCTCGGCTTGCTCGGCGAGCGCCACGGCGCGATCAAAGGACGAATTGGACGGATCTTTCTGCGTCCCTTTCCCAGCCTTGAGCTGTTCTGCGAGTTCCAGACGGTAGATCACCTGCGCCACCACCGTATTTCTCGGGCTTTGTTCCAATCTCGAAGCCAAGCGCAAGAGCTTGATGCGAAGCATTTGCAGCTCGTACGTCCTCGTCGCATCTTCGTCGCTCGGATCTGGCTTCACTAACGGCTCCACGGGCGCCGATTTCGGTTTCACCGCCGCCAATGCGCTCCCAGCCGCCTCTCGTACGGTGCTCGCGAACGACTTGGCCAACATGGGCGCCGCCGTACCAGCGGCCCGGAACTTCGCCCCGGCGTCGACGCCCGCCGTCTCGCCTCCATCACCGCCCGCGACCTCTGTCTCTTCTTCGTAGTCCGACCCATCGTTCAATTCGTTTTCATTGTCTTTCCCCTCGTCGCTCGCGTACGCGTCCGCGTCGTTCGTCATCCCTTCCTTCGTTTCCGTTCGCTCGACCTCGAAACCCTCGGCTCGCGTCTCCGCGCCTCGCTCGAGTTCCTCGCTCTCGGCTTCCTCCTCGTCCTCGCTCGACCGCGCGAACGAGTGATCGCTCGATTCGTCGTACTCGATCGACTCCTCGCTCGTCTCGTCGTCGTACGATTCGAACGAACTCTCGTCGAACGAGGCTTCGTCTCGACTGTCGTACGCGTACGCTTCGCTGTCGCTGCTCGCGTAGTCGTCCTCGCTCGTGGACATAAACGGCGACGACGGCGATGCGCGAGGGCGTAGCGCTCGTTCGCGACTCGCGCGCGCGTTCGGGGCTCGCGAAACTGGCGCGCCGCGGAATGGCGGCGAAATGGTCAGCGATCCCCCGCGCGCGAGGGTTTGGTCAGCGCCTGCGCCGCACGATAGGTTGAATTACAAAACTGACGGCGCCCGCACGAAGGTGCTGCGAATGCATGCGTCATAATGTTGACTTATTGAGACAAGAGAAGGCGCGGCGCAGATGGTGCGTGAGCGCGCGCGCGCGATGGTGCGCGTGTTCGGTCCTGGTATTAAGGAGGCCCGGGCGCCCGCGGAGGAAATTACGAGACGACGCAGCACCCCGGTTGGGCGTCGGGCTCGTTGGCGTACTTATCCACCATGGGTTCTAATTCAGCGATGATTTCCAAGAAACTCGGACGCTTTTTCACCAAAGGATCCCACATGCGAGCGACGAGGGCGGCGAGCTCGGGGGGCATGTAACCCTCACGAATGGGCGGCCGCAGGTTCTCCAGGCTCGCCGCCCTGCACGCGTCGACGGGATTTCGACCGGCGAATGGTTGTTGGAAACTGAAGAGCTGGTAGTAAATCATCGATGCCGCGTACACGTCTACGGCTGGACCGTAGAACTCGTGGCGGAAAACTTCTGGGGCCATGTATCGGTACGATCCGGTCTCGCCCGTCATGTTAAACGCTTGCGACATTTCTTGCGGAAGCTTGTTGCGCACCGACAACGTCTTGGAGAGGCCGAAATCACCAATCTTGAGCGTTCTATTCGCGGTCAACATCAAGTTTCCCGGCTTCAAATCACGATGAATCACGGGAAGAGGCGAGCGACCGTGAAGGTACGCCATTCCTCTCGCGCAATCGAGCGCCATCTTCGTCGATAGCTTCAGCGGAAAGATTTCGTCGTTTCTGAAGAGCGTCTCCAAGCTTCCACCCGACATGTATTCGCTCACTATGGAAGTCAACCCGTCGTCGGAGACGGTGGTGCCCAGAAATTGCACGATGTGCGGATGATGCAGCTGCTGCATTATCTTCAGTTCCAATCTAAATTCCGCCTGCGCGACTTCGTCCGCGTTGAGGTGCTTGTGCAACTGCTTCAAGCACACGCGCGTGCCTCGCCACAAGCCGCTGTACACGACACCGAACGCGCCGGCGCCGATTTCCGCGACGTTTGAGAACTCACCATCGGGAATTTCCCACGCCATCGTATCCGCCGGGAGCTGCGTATGGAACACCCCGGAAAGATGCGACTCCTCCAGCGGCACAAACGTGCCACTGACCCTGTCTTTGATCTTGGCGCCGTTCTTCGCGAGCATCTTCACCAAGTCGCTGTGATTACCGTAGACCGCGCTTTCTAACGGCGTCGACCCCCATCTATCGACTGGATTGATCGTCACTCCAGATTTTACTAACCAGTCCGCCACCGCAAACGACCCCTCGCTCGCCGCGACGTGCAACGGCGTCCGATTGTCGTAGTCGCTGAAATTCTCGCTCGTAATCGTCTTCTTCGACCGCTCTAAAACTCGTTTCAAACGTTTCAAATTCCCCGTGGACGAGCAAAACAACAATTCACTGGTCAAGTGTCTCTCGGTGTACTGTAAAAACTTCGCCGTCCCGGGTTTATTCGTCGCGTCGTCCCCGCTCGTGGCGTCTCCGTCGCTGTGCCTTCCGAGCGAGCTGTCGTTGGTCAAGTCCTCGGTGCTGTCAAACTCACTCATATCGACCCGATACGGCGCCCGGATCCCCGGCGACGCGCCGACGGGTAACGCATCGTTCGCCATGCGCTGTCCACTGTCGCTGTCGAGGCTTTTACGCGGGCTCGCGGGCGCCATTATTTCTTGCCGCCGTTATTTTAGGCTAGGTCTGCGAATGCCGCGACGACGACGACGACGACGGCGGCGCGACGCGCGCGCGCGCGATGCGGCGAGCGACGCCGCGGACGATGCGCGCGCGCGCGTTCGCGCGACCTCACGCGGTTCGACGCGCGGTGGCGTTCGTGAGAGCGCGACCGAGGGCGTCGACCACGCGGCGGCGGACGACGAATGCGGTTCGACGCGGGACGGCGCGCGGTCGGAGATTTCCAGACTGCGGGCGCGATCGACGCGCGCGAACGCGCCTCGCGGAGGGAGATGCCGCGGACGCGAGCGCGCTTCGAAAGACGAAAGACGAAATATGAAAGCGAGAAGTCTAGGGAAATCGTGTATTTAATCGAAGAATCAGAATGCGTCGAGAAGATGAGCGGACGAGAAGGGCGCGGCGCGGCGGGCGCCGAGTCAAAGTCGAAGCGCTCGAGCGGGACCTAGTGCGCGGTTGCCGGCGATCACGCCAGCTTTTCCCCGCAAAACATGTAGTGCGTCGGGCGATAAGGCGTGTACGGCACGCGCCCTTCCTCTTCGGCGTAGTACACGGTCTTGTAGTCCTCGTTCGACAACAACCACTTGCGGTGTTCTTTGTTGAAGAAGACGCCGTCCATGGCGAACCACCACTTATATAATCGCTGATCCCAGGATCGCTCTCTACCCTCGCGAGTGACGAAATCAATCAACGCTAGGTTACCACCAGGGGCGACCAAATCACTCATGGTCTTCAACGCCTTCTTCCAATCGGGAATCATCGTCAAGCAGTACGAGCACGTCACCAAATCCGCTTGCTTGGGCAACTTCTTCTTCACCGCGGCGCTGTTGATGTCACCCTCCACGAAGACCACTTGAGGCGCGAGACCGAGCTCCATCACGCGTTCGCGCGCCATTTCAAGTAGGGCGTCAGATAAATCGCACAAGTACACCTTGGTGTTGCACTTTCTCACGTGACCGACGACGAACTCAACGTCGCGCGCCGTGCCGCAGCCGACAGAAATCCAAGTCTTCGGTTCTTTCGCCCACGGAATGACGTGGCGCATGAACAAATCACGAGCGGGTAACAACGCCTCGCGGAAACCGTCGTAGTTCTTGCCCTGTTTCTTGTAGAACTCGCGCACATCCTTCACTTTGCTCAAGCCTTGCTTTGCCATCGCCAACATAACCGAGACATCCGCCCCGAACGAGTTCGTGAACGTGCGACCGCTGCCCTTTTGCACGATCATCTCCGGATTATAGTTTTTCGGCGTAGGCGCGATAAACTGCGTGAGATACCAGCCAACGCGATCGTAATCTGGTACTAGAGTTCCATCGAGATGCGCGAGCACCGGAGAGTGCACGCAATCGGCGAACGAACGCCAAAAGATGCGACCCTTTTCCTTATCCATGTTCGCCACCACCTTTGAAATGTTCTCCGCAATCATCTCCGCCGGCATCCAGTCCATGGAATCGAGCAGCGAAGCGATGGTGATCGAGCCCGGGCCTTCGCGAACGGCGGCATCAGCCCAGGTACCGTGGAAGAGGTCGACGCGGTCGACTCTCTTCTTCAGGTTGGTAAAGTTCTTCTTCTCCAAGTAGCGCGGGCAGCAATCGGGAGCGAATTCACCGACGATGTAGCCGTAGTAGAAGTAGTTATTAGGCTTCCACACACGCACCTTGAGGACTTCCACCAAGCGATCGGCGAACACCTCCGGGTTGCGGCTCAACAAGTTGAGTTGCTCGAGAGGCACGCCGCCTAGCGGCGCGATCCAACTCCACAAGAACGTCATCGAGCACAACTTCAACGTCAACCAGAAAAAGATGCCGCCCGGACTATCTTCAAACTGTTCGCGGTTCATCACGCGTCTGCGCATGCCCGACAGGCGCAGCGGAAAGCACAAAATTTTCGCCATCAGACCAGACGTGCCGGCGTACATGAAGTTGTCTCGGAACAAGTTGTGATTGTCATCCCAAAACTCAGCGGTTTCGGGCTTGAGCAGCGGGCGTAACTTGGACTCGTAGACAGATGTGAACACTTTGTAGTTCGAGCGACCCCAAATGTCGAAGAACTGCTCCCAGTTCAACGCACGAATGCACGCCAGCTTGAGCTCGAGGGTGTGCAACTGCGCGGCGTTCATGTCGACGGCGATGATCTTCTTCGGACCTTGGCACAGGTAGTCCAGAACGTTGCAGCCAGCGGAAGAGATCGTCAGAACCACGTCTTGGTCGTTCATGTGCATCACCTTGTGATCGACCGCGGGATCTTCCCAAGAAATATTGTAGATGATTTTCTTGCGGCCGATGGACGTCATGATGAAGTTTTGCGTGTACACATCGTGCACAACGACGCCAAAACGATACATAAAGATCAAGAGAATGGTCGCGTGCATGACAATAATTGGGACCGACGGCGGCTGAGTGTACTTGGTGTAAACCAAGTCGTACGCCGCGTAGGCGTGCGCCATCGTGTTCGCCGCCAACATCATCGCGAAGAGCACGAGCTTCCCCTTGAAAGGCATGCGCTTACGACCGTGCGAACGCATCAAGTATCCACGAACCCAACGCTGGAACTCTTTTACGTGCAGCATTAACAGACTGAGGCCGACGGTGAACACAAGAGTAGAGAACTGCGCCGCCTTGTAAATCAACACCGTGTGGAACACGATGCGGGTGAGAAAGTACAAGACGCCAAACAGCAAGCTCGGTCGCTGCTTGTTTTGCACTTCGTGGAACGCCAACAACATGATCGGCAGCTCTTCCACGAGCGCAATGGCAAACAAGGACGTGAGACCGTCGTGAATCAAGTATGCGCACACCGCGATGTACAAAAAGTGGTGCGTCCAGCCGTCGTCGTACGTCAGCAAGTTTTCGTAGTGCATGCTGCCGAGAAACAAGTCCATGATGCAGTAACCGATGAAGAATATAGCGGCGTATCGCGACAAATCCGTTTCGTTGTCAATCGTCGCCGTGAACCCGTCGTGGCAGACGTGGTAAAACAAGTACAACCCGACGAAGGATGTGACAAAGGACGAGTACAGCGTCAAGTACCACGAGTGATCGGGAAGCTTTAAGAAGCGCAAAAAGTAGTACACGAACGCGCACGCGATCATGTTCGACCCTAAGAGTATCATATCATTACCAGAAAATCGCACGTTCTCCGCCAAGAACTGCGCCATCTGCGCCGACGCCGTCGCGATTTGAGCCACCATGTCGAGCGTCTCCTTCGTCTCCTACGAGCGCGTCAAAAATCACCACACGTCAGTCGATGCGCCATGATCAACGCCTTCCTCGCTGGCAGATCCATCATTCTATGCGTTCACATCGCAGCCATCGCTCGCTCGTTCGCCACGATGGAATTTCCCTCGCATCCTCGCCCGCGCGTTCGCGAGATCGCCCGTCACTATCCACAAGCGCCTCGCCGCGAGCCGTCCCGGTCCCCGCCGCGCCCGTTCGCGTCCATTCGCGCGTCCGAGTCCACTCGAGCGTTTCGAGCGCGCGTCTTTCGCGCGTTTCCCCGACGCGCGCGCGCGCGCGTCCACCGTGGACGCCGCACCGCGCGCGAACGCGTCGCATATTCCATCGGCGCGAACTTTTCGACGGCGACCGATCGTCGTCGTCGTCGCGCGCGCGTCGTCGCGTCGCGTCGCATCGCTCGACGCACCGATGACTCGAACGCGTGCGCCCCGACGCGTCCGCACGACCGAGCGTCGTCGACTGCGGTGACGTCGCGCGTCTCGAAAGATGTGTTCGATGACGCGCACGAACCGGCCGCGCGTCGCCCGCTGTTTGATTATTTGGTTTTCGCGGCCGCGCGAGAAGGACGAGGCGACTACATACTCTTACAAATGCGCGCTAAAACGACGACGAAGGCGCGTCCCAAGCGGTGGTGGTGACGACCGTCCATCCCGCGCGCGCGGGCGCGCACGCGCGGCGAACGAGCGAGGCCAAGTCTTCGGCGACGCGCGCGGCGGCGCGCTTGGGCGGCGGGCGCGCGAACTCTCGCGAGACGACGCTCGAGCGTTCGGTGGAAGCCGCGTCGACGGCGACGCGCACGAACACTCTCGGGACGCTTCCAGCGTATGATTCCGCCCACGCCGCGTTCGTGCTCACGTCGCGGACGCAGAGCGCGAAATCTCGCAGGCACTCGAGCGAGGCGCCGGGCGGCGCGCGGGCGGCGGCGTCCACGGCGGCGTCGAGCTTGTCTTTCAGACCGTCGCACAGACAGCATCCGGGCTTGGTGTACACCACGATGGTGTTCGCGGCGACGTCATCGTGCGCGCCGTCGTCCTCGTCGTCGTCGCGTGCGAATCCGTCGTCCGCGCGCGCGCGCGTCGTCGGTCGGCGCGTGGACATTCGCACGTGCACTCGAACCGTCGCGCTCGGACGCGCTCGAGACGCTCGAGACGCGCGAGATGCGCGAGACGTCGACGCGTCGAGCGTGCGGGACGCCGCGACGTCGACTCGGGCGAGGGACATCGCGAGTCGAACGACGCGGCGTCGCGAAGTGTCGTACGCGCCGCGCGGCGGTTGGCGAGCGCGGGCGTCGCCGGCGGCGTTCTGCGACGGACGCGACGGGCGGGATTCGCGATGTGGGTGCGATTCACGATGTGTATCAACATAACATACACGTACGCCCACATCGCAAGGTGGTGAGTGGATGGCTAAGAAATCCTAAGAGATTGTGAACGAGCGCGAGCTCGCTCGTTTACTTCTTCGCGCCCTTCTTCTTCGCCGCTCGCGCCTTAATCTCACGGAGCGCCGCATCACGCGCCGCGGCGCGCACTTCCGGCTTTTCGTTACGCTTCTTCGCGAGCACCTGTGAAGTTGCGGTGATGATCACCACTCGTCAGTCTCTCGTTCGCGTCGGTTCGCCTCGCGATTTGAAACCCTCGCCGCGCGACGCGTCGCGTTCGTCGATGCATCCATCGATCGCGACGGCCGCCCTGACCGTGCGTCGACGACCGCATCGCCTTGCCTCGCGCTCGACTCCACCCATAGTCATCGCGCGCCGTCCATTCGACGTCTCTCCGCGCGCGTCGCTCGTCGTCGACGCACCTCCAAGGAAGCCCCAACCAAAGATCGCGTGAACGCGCTCTTGTTCACCCGTCGCTTCTTCGTGCGAGTGCTAGCTTCGATGTCCTGCGTCGCGAAAACGAAATAATATCCAGTCAATCATCGACGTCACTCGATCGCGCGATCATCGCCGCGCGCGTCGGTCGTCGCGAACGACGATCGTTCGCCGAAGCCCTAACGACGATCGCCGATGGCTGGTGCGCGCGCTCGCACGCCGCGCGCGCGTTCTCCCGCGCCTCGCGCGCGCGCGAGCGAGAGAGGTGAAATATTCGACATCGATCCCTCGTCGCGTCGTCCTCCTCACCTTCTTGTGCGCCTTGCGGTACGTCGTCGTCCACGCCAACTTGGCGGGTTTCTTCTTTTGCGCGTGCATCTTCTTCGACTTGCCGTTCAGGAACAGGAACGTCGTGGAGTCGATCTTCGTCAGGCGCGTGCCGTGGCCGGGGTAGACGCGCAGCCCGCTGAACGCGCACTTCTCGGTCTTGAGCACCATGACGTCGGCGGTTCGCTCGCGTCGCGGAGAGACGGTCTGGCGACGACGCGCGGGGCGTCCGTCGAGCGGTCACGTGCGCGCCTCGGGACGGGGTTTTGTGGTCCGTGTGACGCGCGACTGGTCGACCGGTCGAGTCTCGCGCCGACCGACGGTTCGTCACCGTCCGTCGCGCGTCGTCGTCGCGCGCGCGCTCGACGTCGAATCGCGCGGGCGAGGCGCGAATGCGAGCGATCGCTCGAATGGTGCTCGCGGTGGCCGGTGCGGTGATCCTGGCGCGTCGCGCGAACGCGCCGAAGGGGCGAAGATTGTCGCGGACGAGGACGAAGACGCGCGGCGAACGCGCGGCGGCGACGAAGGAAAGCGGCGACGGGGGGGGCGAGCGAGGGCGAGACGACGACGTGAACGATGCGGAGGACGCGAACGCGCGGCGCGCGTACGCGGACGACGCGAACGCGCCGGAGAAACCTCGAGCGAGGCGCGAGACGCGTCTCGTAAAGTTTGGCGTCGTCGAGGGCGAGAACCGCGGCGAGGACGCGATGGATCCAGCGCGGACGATAGAGGACGATTTGTTTTGGTTGCGAGACGACGAACGGAAGAGCGATGAGATTTTAAAGCACTTGGAGCGGGAAAATGCGTACACGGAAGCGCACACTGAACATCTGAAAAAATTGGAGACGAAGATTTACGAAGAAATCATCGCGACGATTGAAGAGACGGATGTGGACGTGCGCTTCGCGTGGGGCGATCGTCACGAGTATTGGGTCAAGACGCAAAAGGGCAAGGCGTATCCGATCATTTATCGATGCGAGCGCGCGAATGGAAAGCACGTGGAGAAGGTTTTGGACGTCAACGAGGTCGCCGCCGAGATGAAGTATTGCTCGCTCGGCGGGTTCAAGCCGTCGCCCACGCACGACGTGTTAGCGTATGCCATCGACGCCACGGGGTTCGAAACGTACACGGTTCGGTTCAAGGACTTGAATACGAATGAGCTCTTGGACGACGTCCTCGAGGGATGCGCGGGCGGCGTGAGCTGGGGAGGCGGCGTCAATCGCGAGGTGTATTACTCGACGATGGACGACGCTCATCGCCCGGACAAGGTGTGGCGCCACACCATGGGAACGCCGCAATCGAGCGACGTGTGCGTGCTCGAAGAGCCTGACGAGTTGTTTAACGTCGGGTTCTCGCGAACGTCGAGCGGACGATACATGATGCTCGAGTCTGAATCCACGGAAGAAAACGAGTGTTATGTCATCGATTTGGACGCCGCGGACGCGGCGCCGGATGTGCGTCTTGTGCAAAAGCGATCGCCACTCCATCGGTACTACTTGGAACATCGAGGCGATACGTTTTACGTGCTGACGAACAAGGACGAGAAGATAAATTTCGAGCTCTTGATGACGCCCGTCGACGCCTTAGGGCAAGACAACTGGGTGCCAGTCGTCGACGGCGCCGGCGCGCCGGTGTTCGCGTACGACGATAAACGCACGCTCGAAAGTTTCTTCGCCTGTAAGAACCACCTCGTCATCGATGGTCGCGAAAACGGCTTCAGCGCGATGTGGGTCGTGCGTCTGAGCGAGGAAAGCGGCGAGGTGGTCGACTGGCACAAGACGGAGTGGCCGAGCGAAAACGCCCTCGTGTACCCAAGCGTCGCCGGTGAGACGCTTCGATGTGTCGGCGCCAATCAAGTGTGGGACACAAACGAGATTTACGTGTCGTATTCCTCGCTCAATCAGCCGCGCACAGTGTACAAGTACGACATGAACACCAAGTCAAAGAAGGAGATGAAAAAGACTCCGGTGAAGGGCTTCGATACGAGTAAGTATACAACGATGCGACTCGAAGTCACCGCGCGCGACGGCGTCAAGGTTCCGGTGTCCATCGCGTTTAAAACGAATTTGCGAGCGCACCGAGGACCACTGTTGTTGGAGGGTTACGGCTCTTACGGTATAAGCAACGATCCGGCTTTCATGCGCACGGCGGTGCCGCTTATGGACCGCGGCGTTACCATCGCTATAGCGCACATTCGTGGTGGTGGAGAGATGGGACGCGAGTGGTACGAGAAGCAAGGCAAGTACTTCACTAAGCTCAACACGTTTCATGATTTCATCGACGTCGCCGAACATTTAGTGAGCACGGGGTGGACACAACCGAGCAAACTCGCGATTAGCGGTCGGAGCGCCGGCGGTTTGCTCATGGGGGCCACGCTCAACATGCGGCCGGACTTATTCCGATGCGTCGTTGCGGGCGTTCCGTTTGTGGACGTCATGGTGTCCATGTGCGATCCCTCGATTCCCTTGACCACGGGCGAGTGGCTGGAGTGGGGTAATCCGAACGTCGAGAAATATTTCGATTACATGATGAAGTACGCGCCTATGGAAAACATACGACCCATGGAGGTTGCCCCGGATGTGCTCATCACCGCGGGATTGTACGATCCGCGCGTCGCGTATTGGGAATCCGCCAAGTACGCCGCTCGTTTGCGCGATGCCGTCAAAAATGGTGCGCGCGTGTTGCTCAAGACAGATCTCAGCGCCGGTCACTTCAGCGCGAGCGACAGATATCAGCACTTCAAGCAAACCGCGTTCGAGCACGCGTTTACGCTCGAATGCCTCGGGCTCGCCGGTAAGAACGTCGCCCCGAAATGGATCTCATCAAAGTAGGCCTATGTCATCGAATTGATTTATAACGCTATGTGTGCTATCGCGGCGCTCGCGCGTTCTCGTCAACCGCCGCCGAACCAACCTCGTCCGCGTCTCTCCTTCTCACGCTTTCGCGCATCTTCCAACCACTGCGGTGTGTGATACAAAAACGGGTCGCGCGGTTCGTCCCCGACTTCGCTTCGCATGCACTTGACGAACAACGACCACGCCGGCGGCGTCGTCAGTAGAGGATTGCCCTCAAACAACGATTGCACCACGTCCTCGAGCCTATCGTTGCAACGATGTTGACGCGCGCGTTTGGTGGTCGCATACAACTCAATGCCGCCGCGATAACCGTGCGACGCTCGAGCCTTAGCACCGTCGTCTTCGGCGCTCGAACTCGCGGCGAACGCGAATCGAGACGATCGTCGCGGCTGCGACTCCGACGACGACGCGTCGTGCGCGGACGACGCGCGCTCGACGTCGATCACGCGCGCGCCAACGCTCGCCATCGCGCGATGTGTGACACCGCCGCGCGCTCGAATCGTTCGGATGCGCTCGGGAGTGAAGTGAAGACGAGCGCTCCGCGGCGGCTCGAGCGAGCCGCCGTCGCGTCGACTCGGTCGAGCACGCGCGAGCTTAGAAGAATCGCAAATGTAATTTAAACACGCTACATACGTCCTACGCTCGCTTGACGATCGTCAGAAAGACGAAAGCGTCGAGGGAAGTGTCTGAGGCGTTCCGCGCCGGAAATCGTCGCGCTCGCGCGATTTATTGGCTGCGCGAGAAGAAGAGAACGACGCTCGTCAGTCAAAAGTGGTCGGGATTTCGCGCGTTCACGTTCGCATTAACGCGCATGCCGTTTGCATCGCGCGCGCTCGAGGGAATGTGAATGTGTACTTACCAAGAAGCCTCGTACGCGGCCGCATCCATCATCGAGTCAGTCTCAGACGGATTGCTCATCTTCACCTTCATGAGCCAGCCATCCGCAAAGGAGGATTCGTTAACCATGCCCGGGGTGTCGTTCAAGTTTTCGTTCACTTCGATGACTTCACCAGAGATCGGGGAGTACACGTCGGAAGCCGCCTTAACAGACTCGACGACGCCGAAGGACGACTTCGCCTCAACCTTGGAGCCAACTTCCGGAAGTTCGACGTACACGATGTCACCCAATTCAGCCTGTCGTCGAATGCGTTGCGCGAATGCGTCAGTTTACGAATGCGCATCGATTTATTGTCCCGTGCGTCGCGTTCGCGCGACGTCACGAGCGCGCGCGCGAGTGTTCGTTCGCCCGAGTTCGCCGCGATCGAGGCCCCCGTCGTCGTCTCACCTGCGCGTGATCGGTGATGCCGACCGTCGCGATATCACCTTCGACCTTGGTCCATTCGTGCGAAGGCATGTACTTCAAACCTTCAATCACTGTTCGCGCGACGCACGAGGCGCGCTCGTCAGTCATCGCGTCCACGGTCCCGTCTCCTCGCCTCGCCTTGGCGCGCGTCGCGCAAGGGGCCCATCCAAACATTCTATCCACACCGCGTCCCGCCCGTGGCGTCGTTTCGCGCGCGCGTCCGCGCTCGTGCGTCTCGCGCGACGTCATCGGTGCCACGAGCGCCGAGTTCGACCTTCATCGCGGTTCACACGCGCGCCCGAGCGTTCGATCGCGCGTCGGATGACGTTCGGACGTCCGCGCGCGGGCCATCGCATCACATCGTCGTCGTCGCACCGGTGGAGTACGCGCGCGCGCCGACCGCGGTCACGCACATGGGCGCAAACGCGGTGGTTTGCTTCGTCCATCTCAAGAGCGCCGATCGCGCCGACATCGCGCAAAGTTCGTTCGTCGACGTGTGCGGACGACGCGCGCGACGACGCGACGGACGATCGCGCGCGTCGGCGCGTCGCGGGTGTGTGTTTTTATACACAGATGAAAACATCACACACGGGCTTAAATGGGCGTCGAATGCGGCACCGATCCGTCGTCCCGAAAGACGACGCCCACCGCACCACACGGACGGCGAAACTGCGAAATCGCGACGACGACGACGACGGCGACGCGGGCGGGATTTCGACGCGCGCGGGCGACGGCGATCGCGAAGACGCCGCGTCGACGCGTCGCGACGCCCGCGTCGATCGATCGCGATGTCGACCGCGAGCGGCTCGACGTTCGCGCGCGCGTCGGACGCGATTCGACGCTCCGCGGGGGCGCTCGCGAGCGCGAGCGCGACGACGAGCGCGAGCGCGGACGCGGACGCGGCGGTGAAGGCGACGCCGCGCGTGGTCGTGGACTTCGCGGGGCAACTGCTCGGGTTCTTCGCGTTCACGTGGGAAGGCGCGTGTTGGGCGCTCGTGTGCGCGCTCGTCGTGGGGAACTACCTGGCGAGGAAGTGGCGCCGAAAGATGCGAAAGACGCTGGCGAGCGCGGAGATGAAACACTCGCTCGATTCACAGTTCACGACGGTGGAACACGGGGCGATGGAGTGGATCAATCACTTCTTGAGACATTTGTGGAGCTCCACCGCGGGGACGTACGCAGACGCGCAAGCCGCGGACGTCTTGCGAGGAATCATCGAAGGTTTGGGATCGTCTAAGCCGAATTTCGTCAAGGAGGTGACGCTTACGGATCTCACCTTGGGCTCGACGCCACCAAAGATTCAGTTGTACACGGTGCGATACAACCCGACGCTCGATTACTTGCAGTTTGAGTTCAACGTCGACTGGTTCGCCGACGCGGCGCACGGACGGTTGATGACGAAGATCAAACTCGCCGCGGCGCTGCCGTCGCTGCGCGTGCCGATTCACCTGACCGATTTCGGCTTGCGTGGACGCGTGTTGATGGGCTTCCGGCTCACTAAACGCGTGCCCGGCGTCTCGGGCGTAGACGTCTCGTTTCGCGGCGCGCCGAAAGTCGACGTGTCGGTTCGCCCGGTGGGATTGCCCGTGGCCGATATCCCGGGCTTGTATCAATGGATCATGGGAAAGCTAGAAGAGGTGATTTGCAAAAAGTTTCTCGAGCCCAGACGTTTGTACATTGACGTCGAGGGGAAGTTTCTGCGAAAGATGGCGAGCGCCGATTTCCTCGGTCCGGGCGGTACTTTGGTGTGTCGAATCGTGTCTGTGAAGGGTATGCCGAAGAACACGGGCTCGGGGTACCCTTGGGTCGAAGTGTCGTTCAACGGAATTCGTCGTAAGACGTGCACGAGACCCGTAGCGAAGGTGATGGAGTACGGCGGAGCTATGGCGTTTCCTTTGCCCGCGGACACGAATTGGAAATCCACAGAGGATAGCACGATGAACGTGGGCACGGTGCGCGTGCGCATCATGGACAGAGCCGCCGTCGGTACAGACGTGTTCGTCGTCGGTGAAGCAGTGTTTGGGGCGCACAGACGATCCGACACCGGGACGCATCACGCGTCGCTTTCTCTTGGCTCGCACGCGGCCAAGTCTAAGTACGGCGTCAGCGGAAAGGTGTCCACGATAGCGCAAATAGAATGGGAAGTTCTCCCTCCAATCGAGCGATGGAACCCACTGAAACCTGCGGTGGTTGAGTCTCGTTCGTCGGCGCCGCTCAAGCAGCAAGACGACGCGTCTGAGGACGAGGACGACGACGACGATGAAGAATACGACGAGGACGAGGACGAGGACGAGGACGAGGACGTGGATACTGCCGACGTTTTCAGCGAAAGAAGCGCGATGAGCTCTGGTCACGGTGCGTTATCACCTGCATCGCGACAAAACAGCCTTGGGACGGCGAAGTCAGACGACGAGGACGCGTTAGGATCCGCCGCAGAGCACATTTTCCAACTCGCGAAATTGAGAACGCTTCTCCAAAGCGAAAGGGATCATTCGCAGAGCGTCATAGAGAAGCTCAAAAGCGAATTGGCGATGGTCAAAGATACGGTCATGCTCGAACGCGAGCGACGCGCGCAAGAGTTGAAGCGTGCGCTCCTTGAAGGAGTGAAATTCTTCTGTCATACAAAAAACTCCAAAGCGGCGTTGAAGGCGGACGAGACGTATTACTTGCGTTACCACGGTTACAAACAAATATTCACGCTTCACAAGAAGCACGGGGTGAAATCCAAGCCCGTACACACCCTGAACATCGCGCACGTCGCGTTCGCCGCCGTAGGCACGAAGCACTTCACCATGGGCGTCACTCGAGAGCAGGATGCAAAGGAAACTACCAAGGCGAAGAGCGCCAGGGCGCAAGAAATTCATTCGCTGTCGGCGAGCAAATGTTTAACCATAGTCTTTTCCACGGAACAAGAGTTGAAAGCTGAGGCTGCGTCCATTCGCGAGGCGAAAGAACTCACGAAAAAGGTGAAATGCGCGACCGGCGAGGCCGAGGAGGCCGAGCCCGTCGTAGACGAGCCAGCCGCGTTTGCGTCGCCGGCGGGACTGGCAGGCACGGGATTGGTGGGGTTAGACTTGGAAATTCCTCTCAAAGGCAATGGGAGAAGCGCCAGGGAGTGGGTCGACGGTATCAACGCTCTGAAGCAAGTGTACACGGCGACGGAATATCCTGAATTGAAGTACCTCGAAAACGTTAGACAGAAGAGCTTGAAGAAAAGCGCGGACGAAAATCGAGACATGCACAAGAACGGACCGCCGGCGGTGTCGCCCGAGAAAAGTAAGCGTACGAGCGAAGTCGTGGCGGAGATCAAACGCACGCCGACTTCGTTCGCCTCCGTGGACGAATAGACGAGGTACTCGGCGTCCATCGACCTGTAGCCTTCCCTTGTAATCGACGAATGGACGGGTTTGCCTCTCTCGGGGTTTTTGTCTGAAGTGTCCATGAAATCTTACTAGTTTAGTGGGATGGGACGTGTCTGAAATTTTTAGTGGGATGAATCAGACCGACCCGCTCTCGCGCGCGCGCGCGCCTAGGGTTGTGCGTACTACATCTTCACGCGCACTCGCTATCGTGACGAACGTATCGCCCTCGACGTCACCACAGAAAGTGTAACACCGAACGTGGGAATCGTATTGTGGCGCGATGATCGTTTTGTTATATTCTTCATTGCCACTAGAGCGCGCATACTTCAATCAACGTGGTAGCGCTGTCGCGCGTTCTGGTGGGCGTAGTTGCCATACGCCGCGCGTTGCCCGATTCGAGCGCGGCGTCTATCTTCCGCTTCGTCAAGACGAGCGAGTGCTGGACCGGCGTATTTAACGAGAGCGAACGTGCCGCCCGCGGCCCCGCCGTACAAGAGCGCGAGAACACTCGCGACGACGCTCACGGCCGAAACCAACGCGACGAGGAAGAACGCCACGCCGGACCAAATCGACGTGCTAAATGAAGATATGAGCCCTGGCAACGCAAATGCGTAGGAGAATATCGCGCTGAGCATTCCCATCGTGAAATTGCTCACGGCGATAAACGCCCATCGCAACAGGAACGATATCGTCGATTCGTCGCTCTTACCGCGGAGCATCAAATGTAACCCGTCCCAAAAAGTCGAGCGCGTCGCGAACACTTTCCCACGCTCGTAGCTTCGCTTAAACAGTGCCTTCGCGTCGCCCACGCCTAGCTCGGACCACAGACCAAGCTCAGAACGAGCTTCGCGCATCGCGGCGTCCCGTTTCCGCTCCTCGACTCGTAACGCTCGAGCGGCGTCTCTCTGACGTTTCTTCGCTTGCTCGATTCGCGAACGCTGACTGGGCGTCGCCGTAAACCGCCACCCAAACGGTGTCACCGCCCTCAACTCGCGCTCTGCGTCGTAATACGACGACGATACCCGTCTTAACGCTTCGCCGATTTCTTCGTCGACGCGTCGCAAAGCGTCGTCGTAACGCCGCTGCATCGTCGGCGTTATCTCCACCGGCGCGCGCGCGTAAAACGCCACGTATATTCCCAGGCAGTACAACATCAACGTCCCAGTCGTCTTGGGCGTTTTCATCGGCTTCCACCGTCCCAGAGCGCGCACGAGAGCCCCCGCCGTGGATGTTTTCTGCCGACTCGATGTTGTTCGCGTCTCCACGATCGCGCGCGTCGTCGCATCTCTCTCGCGCGCATCCATAGCGGGCGTGGGTGTCGTATTCTCCGTGAGTCCGTCAGCGTTCATCGCGCGTCGCGCACTGAGCAAATCTCCAGCCATCACTCGTCACTGCGCGACGGTCCGACGGCCAGGCATGGACGCCGAGACGGTGACGAGCGCACTGCGCGCGGCGTCGAAAGTAGGTTCTGCCGCAGTGGTCATCATCGAGGTGTGCGACGCGAGCGACGATCCGTCGTCATCGACGTTCGTGTTTCAACGGAAAACGGCTGGATATCCCGCGGCACACTTCGTCGGTTCGCTGTGTTTATTTGGCGGCAACGCTGAAAAAGAAGACGCGACGGCGCGCGCGACGTTGGAGAGGGAGCTCGCAGAGGAGCTTCCGGACGCGTTCGTAAGCGTCGTCATGGCTAACGCGCGCGCGCACGGGCGGTACCTCGTTGCGGACGCGAAAGGCGCGTACGCTTTCATCGCGTGCGCGTTCGCGGCGAGGATACGCGCGACCAACGTCGACGTCGACGCGCTAGTCACGGATGAAGGCGAATTAGCGGTATTAAGTGTCAGTCAGTGTGGTTGTGAGTCGTTCGCGTGGTCGTACGATCGCGTCTTCCGGGACTATCTCGTTCTTCGCGATGGCCCGCACGACGTCGTTGAGGATGCACAAGGCGAACGGCGCGATGAAGCCGTCAAAATATCCGACGACGCGGACGTCGGCGAATGGGCGGTACTCGTGTGAATGATACTGTAGAATTAGCAACGGTAAATTATATTATTTCAACTTGTAGAAGGATGGCTGTATTTATTGAGTTTCACGGTATCATTTATTGAGTTTCACGGTATCATATTTATTGAGTTTCACAGTATCATTCGTTACCGTCTTCGTCGTTAAAGTACTCGCGCATCTTTTTCACGAGCGCTTGCTCTTCTTTGTCCATCCTGATGATCTTCCTCAGCATGTCGTTGTCCATCGGACCTTCAGTGGTCAACTCGACCCATTCTTCCAAATCGATTTTCACGTTCTTGAGTTGACTGTAAGACATTCGCGGCAAACCCTTGGCGTAGCGCTCTTGCGCGTGGCGATCGGCGGTGAGCATGATGTATTTGGACATTTGTCTGCACTCGTCAAGCGTGAGACGACGCGATTTGAACTTGTCCGCGTCGAAATTTTCCGATCCCCTTTCGGCGACAGACATTCCGTCGACGCTGTGGAACGCCTCGACGAGGAGTTCGTAGATTTCTTCAATGTCCAAACCGTCGCCGCTACGCTTGGTGTCCGCGGCGCGGAAGGAGTTCACCGCCATCGCGCCTTGGATGGCGTACTTTGCGGCTTCGCGTTCAAAGCTCGCGGGCTCCAACATGTGGTTGGAGTAGACGAGTGAACGCGTACCGAGTCCGTACATCGCGACGATATCGCAAATCGAGCCCGCGACCTTCAACAGCACGAGACCAGAAACGAGGACGTTGATCAAATACACGTAGTTCACCGAACCAATGATTCCGCTCGTGGTGACGTCGATGAAAACGCCGTAAGCGTACATGTTGATAAATGTCCCTGTCGGTTTCCCATCGTCCAGGTCGATGGGATCGTCGAGGTCGGTAATCGTCGATCGGTACTGGATGCGCTGGCCCTTGGACGTCCAATCGATAGAAGGCTCGATTTCGAGCACGGCATACGGACTATCGCCGTCGGAGATGTCGTCCGAAGCGCTCGCGGTGTGCAGGTTGTAGTTGTAGTACTGAAGCTTCGCGTTGATGCGCATACCAGCGAGACGGGCCATGGGGGTCACGCTCGCGCTGCCGCCCTTGCCGTAAAACACGGATGGGTCTCTGCCGGCGAACGCCACTTGATCTTTGTACGTCTTATCGAGGTCGATGTTGGCGACGTCGAGAATATCCTTCAGCTTGAGAGAGATGTACTGACCGGCTGGGATAATTTTCAAATTCGTCGAAGATCCGGGTCGGCGCACGTACGTCTTCGGATTCGCGGCATTCGCGAGACCTGAGAGCGTGTCAAACTCATGAGAAATCCCGATGCTCGAGTGCTCGGCGCCGATGGTCAACCAATCGGTTACGCTCTCATAATAGCAAACGCCGTTCGATCCAGCCACGCTCACGGGGTCCACATTGCCCGCACCGTTCGTAAAACCGCCATAAGCCACGCAGTTACCAGAGGGTTTCAGGGAGCGATGAGTAATCGTCTCGGTCACGTGCGTCGTGATGAACATACCTCCCGCCGGTTCTTTCGAGATGATTTCATCCGGCGTCAAGTAACCGCACTTGACGTTGTCGTACACCCAAGCAGTGTCATAGTTGAACGCGTACGACGAATTCAGCGTCGCAGACGCAGCGCTTGCGCACGGCAGCACCGGGTACGTCTTCCCGTCGGTGTACGTCTTGGTCGTCGCCGCGGTGGCGGCGGCGGCGTCCACCTGCGCGGTGTAAAAGTCGTCGTTCCCGTTCCCCCAGTTCGTCACTCGACCGATCGGGACTTCGGTCCGCAGGTACGTCTTCCCGCGTACCAGAGCATAGACGACGTAAAACACGATGACGGCTTGCAGCGCGACGTTCAGAAGCGCCAGTCTCCAATCTATGATCTTCACGAACTTGGACGTCTTGTAGCCCATCTTGCGCGACAGCGCGGTGGCGAGCGTGACCCACCCCATGACTCGCTGACGGCGAACGCGAAGTGACGCGTCCAAGTTGGATGTTTGCTTGATTCCCCTCGAACGCCGGATATCGCCGCAAAGGTCGTCGCGTCGGTCGGTCGGCGGCGGCGCGACATGACGGTCACCGCGGAAAAGACATCGAACGACTTCTTCGCCATGGTGGACGCGTTCAGGATGGATGCGGGGCGAGCGGTGAAGGTGACGGGAAAAGTCGTTGAGTTTGACGATGACGCGGCTGACGCGGCGACGGAATGCTTTCGCGGTGACGAAGACATCGAGGACACGTTCGAGACGACGTACGACGCACTTCGGGTGTGGCGAGCGCAGAACGCATCGACCTCGGATGTCGACGCGTTTCACGCGTTCATGGTTTCGCTGCGACAGCGTCCGCAAGCTCGATGGCAGTGCCTCGTCGCCGCGCTCATGAGCGTGCAGTGTTTGGACAAAGTGGCGCTGCGAGCGTTCGAAACGTTGCGAGATTCTACGCTAGACAGAGAAGTGACGCTAGAGGCGATCGCGGCGATGTCGACGCGCGAGCTCGAGCAACATCTGTCGACGTTAAACTTGTTCCGCGTCAAGGCGAAGTATATTCGAGCGTGCGCAGACGTCATTCGGCACAAGTTTCGAGGCGAAGTACCTCGCACAGTGGGAGCACTCAAGACGTTGCCTGGTGTAGGGGACAAACTCGCGCACTTAGTCGCGTCAGTTTCGTACGGCGGCGACGAAGACGGCTTCGCGGGAATCGTCGTTGACACGCACGTAAAACGCGTAGCGAAGAGACTCGGTTGGGCGCAAGCGGGCGACGATGTGGAAAGTGTGCGCATGTCGGTGCAGGCGCGCGTCAAGAGAGAGGAATGGGAAGCCGCGACGCTCGGATTGATAGCGCTTGGACAACGATTTTGCCACGCGAAAGCGCCGGCGTGCGCGGCGTGTCCAGTGAACGCGTCGTGTCCGAGCGCGCCGCGGACCTACATCGACGCGCGCATCGACGAGTGCTTCAAAGACGGCGAATATAGCGACTAGCAACGATAGGAAACAGAGCGACGAATATAACAAAACGATCATCGCGCCACAATACGATTCCCCACGCGCCGCCGTCGTCGGCCCCGGTCTCCCAGCGCGCCGTCGTCGCCTCCCCAAACCGCACCTATCGAGATGTCGATCACCTATCGAGATGTCGATCAAACGAAAGTCGCACGGGCAGTCGCGGAGAACGATGACGATGAAATGTAGCGCCACGCCAACGATGAATATCTCATGTATCTATATTCTGTTTGCGGTGCCGTGCTGGTCGATGAGTGATGGCCGCAGGGTGTCGTGAAGGTGCACAGGAAGGATGCGAATGCTAGTGACTTTTCGGGTTTAGTACGACCCAGAGAACCTAGGGTGAGGTGTAATAAGTATTAGCTAGCCGGTCGGTTACGGCACTTCTCCCGAAGCGCCTCCCTCCCTCATGCTTAGGGTTTAGGGTTTAGGGTTTAGGGTTTAGGGTTTAGGGTTTAGGGTTTAGGGTTTAGGGTTTAGGGTTTAGGGTTTAGGGTTTAGGGTTTAGGGTTTAGGGTTTAGGGTTTAGGGTTTAGGGTTTAGGGTTTAGGGTTTAGGGTTTAGGGTTTAGGGTTTAGGGTTTAGGGTTTAGGGTTTA